TCTGGAATCAAAATCGAATATTACTGCAACCTTTGCAATAATTATTGAACTTTCTTTCAGATACAATATTTGAACTATTCAGCACCAAAACTTTGTCAATTGAAGCCTAGAATCAAAATCGAATTTTACGTAACCTTTGCAATAATTATTGAACTTTCATTCAGCTACAAAATTTGAACTATTCAGCGCCAAAACTTTGCCAATTGAAGCCTAGAATCAAAATCGAATTTTACGTAACCTTTGCAATAATTATTGAACTTTCATTAAGCCACAAAATTTAAACTATTCAGCTCCAAAACTTATTCAATTGAAATCTGGAATCAAAATCGAATATTACTGCAACCTTTGCAAAAGTTATTGAACTTTCATTAAGCCACAAAATTTAAACTATTCAGCTCCAAAACTTATGCAATTGAAATCTGGAATCAAAATCGAATATTACTGCAACCTTTGCAACAATTATTGAATTTTCATTCAGCTACAATTTTTGAACTTTTCAGCTCCAAAACTTTTGACTGAAATTTTTGGTTTTGAAAATTGATAAAATTTACACAGACACTGAAATTTTTAATCTTTTTCTTAAAAATGATATTTTATTTAAATTATAAGCTTTTCATGTCATTAAAATTGATATTTACAAATTCTTAAAAACCTCTTGGATCTTTATTGTTAAACGTACATCTTTAGAGCAATAAAAAATGCTACTAGTGCAAAAAAGAAACTGTTTAAATCAGCCGTGATTAGAATGTTGCTCAATCAACGACTAGCGATCATAGTTTGTTCACATGGCTGCTTTCTTTTGATGATCTAGTCATGACAACTCGGCTTTGAATTTAGCCAGTTACAATTTGAAGCTTGGTGTGTTGTAGTGATATACCTTGGGTCTTGCAACTGTGCTGGGTTGCAAGAATCATTATTTTTTATTGACAAACTCAATCATATCATGTCAGCATCAAAAATCAGTAATTAAAGTCAATAAGTCAACATTAAAGATGAGATAAGCTGCCATTTGAACACTTCAAATAAGCTAGGCTATTTGAGGGTGGCCGTGGCATACGTTATTATTTTTATTATTATTAGTTTATTGTTCATTCTTATATTCGGAGTTTAAATTTGATTACTATTCAGTATGATCATAACTGTAAGACCAAATAACCAAAATTGTTTTGGGATCAATCCTACAAAACTTCACAAAACTCCTCAAACTTGGACCATTTTAATCCTACCCCTTAAACCATTGGCTTCATATGGCTTCCATTTTAGAGTCAGGCAGGGAATTAGGCTTTTATAATAAAGAAGATATTAGACACATTTGTAATATTGTTAAACTTAGTAAAGATTATTTCTAGCATATTAATTGATCCTTTTTAAGATTTTCTCCCTCAAACTGAATTATAATAATTAAGTACGTGACACATGCTGTAACAAACTTAAATATCAAATTCCAATTAAAATCGAAAAATTTACATGAAAATCCAACATTTGTGTCACGAATCTGCATGATGAATTGACAAATTTTATCAGAATTTTCAGGTTCAAATGCCAATTTTGAGTAAAGCTGCTGCATTCCATGATGTTTTGCAATATAAATCCTTTCAGCAGCATGAATAATTGAACATAAAATAATCGCAGCTATTGCCATTCCAATTATGATCATTATTTTCATCAATAAGTTCAATCCAGTCATTAACAGTGGAATAGATGAGTAAATGCTGCACCAGACCAGATAAACTGCAAAAGTTCCCATCATTGGAGTTCCATAGACTGAATTATAAAGTTTCACACATTCTGCAATTTTCAAATGAATTCCTGGAAGTTGGTCGATGGATTTGTCAATGCAGTCATTCATCATTACAAATCTCTTGCTTATTTTGGACATAAAAACGATGTAATGGGAAAATAAACAAATTTTGGTGATAAAAAGCAGGATGTGAAATAAAGGAATGAGATATTCTTTATGAATTGACACCGTCTGACTGAAGACTGTTAATGAAAGCTGTATCAACAGTATTATGACAATTATAAGCAGCATAGAACCAAGAATAATCCAAAGTCTCTTCTGCTGTAATTTATAATTAATTCTAACCTCAAACTTTTCATCAATTTCACTCAAAATTATCAAAATTTTCAATATTTTGTCACGTTTATAATAAATCCAGGACATAGACGTCACAACAACACTATAATCCAAGAACATTAATATTGGAGATCCTTTTGATGAAGCTTTTGTCTCAAATATATTTGTAATCAGTTCCGAATTTGAATATTGCCAATATCCAATTGTGTGTATCATGATGACTGCAAAGACAGTCAATGTACTCCATGAAGGTTTTAGAACTATTTCATCTTTAAAGTCAACTTTGATGAAAAATAAGCCTGACAATGATGATAAGATGAACAATGGCTTGACTGATGAATAAACTTCTGACAACATTTTATCGGATTTGAATTGAGTTTGTTGAAAGTTTAAGATTGTTTGTGGATATAAACATGCTTGGGGTCTTTTATATTGCTGTAATAAATGCGCATTAGAAGTCAATAAAGAGATTAAGTTACAAATTGACTTTACTATTAAATGAAGACATGACAATTCTGAGAAATACAAAACTCATGTCAAAGGTGCTTCCATTTCCAACTTAAAAGAGGCCGTTCCAGGCGCGTAGCCAGGAGGGTATTGTCACCCTCTTAAGTGTTTTAGGCCGTGCTCTCATTACGGTTGAAAAAGTTTAAAGGTGGTACAAGTTGGTATTTGGGACGTCATCAGTGAACGGTCTCTAAGACATCCTACATCAGGGGATCAGGGGGGTGGCCAGGAAAATTCAGAGGGAAGGAGAGGATTTTTATGATTTTTTTCATAAAACTCCTAGCAAAATGAAGAAATTTCTATTAACGTCCCCAAAATCCCTACCCCCCCCCCCCCCTGGTTACGCGTTTGTCCAACCTGGTTTTCTATCCATTAATCGTTCTGGCTACATTCCTACATAAAGAATAATTGACAGTTAAATGACTCAAATATTTTTCTTTTGTAAATACCTAGCAAAACAATCAATAAGGGATCGTTCCCATATGACGTCCAAAATTAACGGTCATTTTTCAAAAAGAAAAATGAATTTTCAGGAATTTCTATTGTTTTTTTCTTTCTGACCCCCCTCTCCCCTTTTCCCCTTCTAGACGTCATAAGTGAAATAAGCCAATCCTGTTTATTTTGTAATTTTATAAAAAAACATTCGGCACCAAATACAAAATTATTCAGCAATACTCAAATTTCGTATATTTATCCACAACAGTCGTTCAATCCAAAAAGACTTCAAAAGATGTTGTCTGAAATTTATTCATCACTAAAGCCACTATTCATCCTTTCATCTCTAACTGGACTCTTTTTCATACAAATTGATTTGAAAACTTTAAAAATCGTAACTCCATTTTGGAATCGATTGATTGTCATTTGTGTTGTTTTAATTCAAATTTTTGGAAATTCATTTTATTTACATAACGAACTGATGAAGGATTTATTTTTCACAAAAGTTTCCAAAATTGGAACTCCAATATTGATGCTCGGTGACTATTTATTCTCAATAACTGCAATGCTGTGGATTTTCACGAAACGTGAACACATTTTGAAGATTTTAATAAATTTGAGTGAAATTGATGAAAATTTATTTGAATTTGGGATCAAAATTGATTATAAGAAGGAACAAAGGAAGCTGTCAATTATCATTGGATTTTTATTGATTCTATTAACAGCTTCAACAGTCATCACAACACTTTTAAGCAGTCAACTGCTAAATGGAATTAATTTTGGTGTTTTTCTGCCAATTTTAAGCTTCTTGATTTTCGTCATTGGATTGACATTGCTGGCACAGTACATCATTATTGCCACTAACATTGGCATGCGATTTGAAATGATGAATTCGTGCATTAAAAAGTCAGCTTTAAAGCTTCCACAAATCCACTTAAAAATTGCTGATTGTGTAAAGATTTACAATTCAATTTATGGACTTCCAATGATGGGAACTTTTGCAATTTTATTCATCTGGTGCTGCATGTCAACATCTACAGTCATCTTGATGCCAAGGAACAACATTGCTTTATTCCTTTTTTTCCTTATTACTTTAATTGCAGCTGCATTTTCTCTTTGCCTAATCGTAAGGTCAACCGAAAAGACTTTAGCTGCAAAACAGCAAGCTATTCAGCTTCTTTATGGACAAATGTCAAATGAACCTGAAAATTGTGAAGTCATCTTTCAGTTCATCATGCAGATTCGACACACAAATGTTGGATTCTCATGCAAATTTTTTGAATTTAATTGGAACTTAATTTTTAATTTTATTACAGCATGTGTCATGTACTTGATTATTATTATTCAGTTTGAAGGTTCAATTGATAAAAAAGATGTTTAATTTTTTTGCATTTTTGAAACTTGTTTCTAAAAGGTAGCTTTTGTTCATTTTGTTCAACTGTTCGGCTGTTCGGGCCAAAAAGAACTTTTTAACCAGATATCGTGAAGAGCTCGGGTTTGTTTTAATAGCTCAGTTCTACAGAGTTATGGGCCGATCGAACAGTTAAAAGTCTTTAAACAGTGTATTTATACTTTTATTAATGATTTTTTTATTTCACACGAAAAAACACGTGGTGCGTTCAGAAATTTGTAATCAGACTACGTTCAGAAATTCGAATTTTTTTAAAACGGTAAAAAATTTGTTAATTTTTTTAAATTATTTTTAATTAATGCTTTTGCAGTCAAACTTTTAGCGGGAAAATTTCAAATATTTATTGACCGTTAAAAAATTTGAACTTAAAAAAACCGTTAAATAATAAAGCCTTTCTACATGAAATTTCTTGTAATTATTTGTTAATTACACTAAAATTTATGATCTTCTAATCTCCGAATGATTTGTAAATGAACACGAAATGATTAGATAATCAAATACTGATCGCTAACACAAAAATATGCTTAAGTCCCTCGATCAATAACACGAGGACTTCTGTAATTTTTTAGGTTATAACAAATAATTTACAGCATGTACAATTAATAATAAAAATTTCCCAATCATCCAGAAAAAGTCATAAAATAAATCTGATCGGTCTATACTGCATTTTCCTTCATATCTTTGATATGTAAATTTCTCTTTATGTTTGAGTAAATATTCAATATTTTCCACAGCTTCACCAAGACTTGTTGACATTTTATCATAAGCAAGTAACTTGACTTTTTGGATATTTTCTTTATAACTTGGTTTCATCACTTCCATTATGGCATTCGTTAATGACTCTTTCGTAAATGTATTTAAATCCAGTTCGACTGCAATTTCGTGTCTAACTTGAAAGAATGTGTTAAATGGCTGGTCAAGATTGATTGGCATTAGAACCATTGGAACTTCTCTATCAATTGCTTCTTCGATAGTTTTTAATCCTCCATGTCCAACAAGAACTTTAACATTCGGATGTGCTAGGATGTCAGACAATTGAAGCCATTTTGAGATTAAAATGTTGCTTTGTATGACTAGATGCTTAAATTTGTCATAATCTGCTTTCCAAATGACTTTAAATGGAAGATCTTGAAAAGTTTTACAAAATTTATTGAACAAAATCTCTGGAAAGTCATTGGCAATGCTTCCGAATGATAGCACAATCACACCTTCCTCAGCATCGTCTAAGAACTTCTTAATTCTCAAATCTTCAATTGATTTTGATGGCTCAACGTGAATAAATGCAATTTGATGATAATTTGGTACAATTGGTCGAATATTAGTTGTCATAGCTGAAGTATCAGTAAAATACATTTTAGCTCTATTTCCAACAATATCCATTAAAGGTGGAAATGAAAAGTTTGGAAATTTTCTATAAAACTGATATTGACTTAATCGAATGTCTCTGGCTCGAAATATTTTTGCAAAAAAGTGTTGATTAATTAAAGACATAAGACGTTCTACAAAACTTACTTCACCATGAATTGCTGGAATAATAATCTCAGGATGGATTGTATCATGAACATAATTGCCAATATATTCATGAAAGAAATTTAATGGCTCAGCAGAAAAAACACTGACTAAAGGACAATTATAAATCTCAGCCAACACTATAAACATACAAAAATTACATTCAACTATAAGTAAGTCAAAATTATAATTTTCTGGATGTAAATAAAGTTCTTGTAGCTTTATATTCTCGAATTGACTTTCAGCGGCATCATGATGATATTGAAGCTCATGTTTAACATAATATTCAAATCCGTTCATTTCATCTAATTTACTTTCAAGAATTCTTGACTTCGGATGCACAGCTCCAATGACATATTGCATTATATTTGAATTATTAAAATTCTTATAATGTGTTGAAAAAACAGTCAGGTTGTGTCCTTTTAATGCGAGTACTTCAATGAGCTTAAAATGGGTCAGCTGATGACTATAATAAGCCACTGATTGAATATATAAAATATTTGCTCCAAATGATATTCTCACAAAAACTGTAAAAACTATTAAAATGATCAGCATTTTTACGAAAAAGAAAAAAAAACTTAACTAAAAGCTTCAAAACTAAACGACAAAACTATTTAATTCTTCAAATGTTCAGCTTAAAATATGTAAGAAAGTTTTCCAGACAGAATCAATAGCAGATGTTTTAACTATGATCGATTTTTTGTTGTGCGACTGTTGCACAAGTTATTAAAATTGTGTAATCAAATGAGTTTTATAAAAAATTACAGAAGTCCTCGTGTTATTGATGGAGGGACTTAAGCGCATTTTTGTGTTAGCGATCAGTATTTGATTATCTAATTATTCTGCGTTCATTTATAGATCATTGGAACATTAGAAGATCATTAATTTTAGTGTAATTAACAAATAATTACAATGAATTTCCATATAGAAAGGCTTAACCATTTAACTGTTTTTTGAAATTCAAATTTTCTAATAAATATTTGAAATTAAAGAGGGAGTCAAAAAAATTTGAACAGGTTGCACAGTACTGAAATAAAAAAATCATTAAGTATAGCACAAATTCATTGTTTTAAGATTTTAACCGTCGAGAGCGTTAATCGCACAATAGAACTGAGCTAATAAAACAAATCCGAGCTCTCTACGATGTCTAGATAAAAAGTTTTTCTTCTCCCGAAACAAGTTTCAAAAATTTGTTAAAAAATATGAGAATTCAGCAATGGGCAACCTTTTTTATGCCATTGTAAACCTTGATCGTAAGAACACCGCTTATGGTTAATGGGATTTTTAGAATTTCTTTTCAGTTGAAATTCTTTGAATTATAAAACTTAAAACTTAATTGCAGTCAAGCTCCTTTTAAAGTCTGAAATTTGGAGTCCAATGGAGTTTGGACAGTCTCGTAGACCTAAAATTTCTGCCCTACTACATCCAATAAGGTGGGTCAGAATGTACACAAAAAGTTTTTGCTACTTAATTATAAAGCTGTTAAAATTGAGTAGGATTCAAAATTGTCATAAACCAGTGGTCTCCAACGTTTTTTGTGGCACGGCATTATCTAGCAATCGCGTAAGTTTTAAAAGTTTTGGAAAAGCTCTACACTTCACAGTGGATTAAAAGATGGAAATCATCATCATCATCATCCAACTTGGTGGAAAGGAGGGTTTTCAATTCCGGTCCAAATTTTCAATCCCGGGATTACGGGTTTAGAAAATCGGTTCAGTGATTGAAATCTCTAGTAATAAGCCATGACCAAACCCATACACAACATTTGCTTGGTGTCTTAATTTTTTTTACAATCAATTTTAAATTAAATTCAGAACACAACTGTGTAAATATATGTTGCAACCTATCTTAAAAATAAAGCTTTGAGTTCATTGTAGCTCTACAAAGTAAGTTGCTCCTGAAATTTCATTTAGAAATGTTGAAAATTTTTAATTTTTTTCTTTCATTTTTTTTGTGCTATGTCGAGTGTCAAGTTACAGTTAATAAGGTTCAATTTGAAATTAAGAACAATTTAAATCATTTTGAATGTAGAGAAGATTTGTTAAATATATTTATTGATGATTCTATTGCACACAGTGGTAAAATATTCTTCAAAAATCTATTTTCTTGATTCGTAAATTCCAAAAGTTGTTGTCGTTCTGAAGGAATCTTTTGACAACTATTTTTAAATTTTAGTTTTTTCATCATGGTCAAGATTCCACTTGAATCAAAAATATGGAAATTCTCATGATTTTGGTGACTTTAAAGTCTGCAAGAATATAGATGTCGACAAATTATCAACACAATATTGTCTGGTTCAATATTTTAGTCACACAGTTACATTTCCAGTTCCACCAAAGAAATCTTGTTATCAAAACATTTTTGACGATGTTGATAAATCCATTTTTGAAGCAGTTTGCTTGCCATCTTCATGTTCGGCCAGTGATGTTAAGGATGTTTTAAGATTTTTGAATTTGACGAATCACCAAATTTATTGCAAAAATCACATTAACAAAAAATCACATTTTTTTATCCAAAATTCACAATCAACGATTCTTAAATGGCTGAACATTAAAAGACTTATGTAATTAGAATGAACATTATCATTTTCATTAGTATCATCTGGATTCTAATGGCTGCTGATTGATTTCTCGCTCTTTTCCATAAGTTTGAATGAAAAGCGATTAAAAATAGGCCACTAAAAATTGTGCCTTTGGACAGCCCACAGTTTTATCGAAGCAATCAATTAGAGACATAATTAAGTTTTCATTGTCTTTTCAAATCGAGTTAAATGTCTTAAATTAAAAGAGATTCAAAAGAGGAGTTACCCATGCAAACCCTTTCTTTGCTTCAGGACCAAGTCTTAAAAATTATATTTTAAATAATTTCTCAAAATCTTATTTTTTTTCAGTTTGCTTCACATATTTGGTATGTGTCAGTATTCTTACAATTGACACTTGCTGCACCATTTGTGTTTTTAGGAATTAAGCATGAAACCTTTGGAAATTTCATAACAACGTTTGTTTTGGCTGCATCGACAGTTTTAAGATTTTTGCATACTTTTGGCGGGTTTTATGACAAGGCACTTGTTAAAAATGGCTTTCTGTAAGTTCCGATTTTCAAAAAGGCAAACCAACAAGAAATTGAAATTTCCTTTAAAAACATCTATTTTTAGCACACATTTTGATGAAATTATCCTAAAATATCAGTCCTTACAGTACAGACTTCTGCCGTTCTTTGGTGGAATGATTTTAGAACAGTACTGGAACAACCGACCAAAAAAAATTCAAGTAATTGACATTTCTTACATTCAAACGTTTTCTGAGACCATAAATTTCAGATCAGAATATGGAAAATTTCAGTTTTATTAATGATTCTTGCGACAACACTCAACATGTGTGGAAGACTGCAATTATCTATTTTGACTTCAATTTTGGATATTATTTTGATGTACAGTTTGCTAGTTCTCATCGATTCCTGTCATCATTCGAATGGAAGAGTCAAGAAATTTTTATCCAGGAAATTTTGGTCAACAATTTCCAAAATGGGACTCAGCATTTATTTAGTTTCTGGACATATTCAATTTACCATTTACGAGCGACAACTTGAACCGCTTGAAGTTAAAAATGAGTTGCATTTTGTTAGTTTTTTGATTAAATTTGTGTCTTTTGAGTTATATTTATTTTTGCTTACAGATTTCAATGTTTTTTGCGGACATTGTTAAAATGTCGATTCCAATACTGCTAACGTTTTTGCTTATTGACGAGCCTTTTTCTGCATTTGGAGAATTTTTGGCAGAAAAAATTTTTCTTTTAAAGTCCTGATGAAGATGTTAACGTGCCCATTTTTAATTCTACAAAATTTTCTAAAACTAATCTATCGCTAAAATCACTTTCTGATTTTTATATCTAAATTTTTAATGCCTGAATTGTAATAAAAACTTTATTTTCCTCAAAAAACTGCCGTTTTTTTTTTGTTCCGTTAACGGCTTTAGAAACTTTATTCCTAGTATGCTTTCTCGCTATCGGGATCGGGATCGGGATTTCCCGGGATTTACCGATCCCGATCAATCCCGGGATCCCGAAATTTATCGGGATCGGGATTGAAAATCCCGGTTTTTTAGTTTAGGAAATTATTGATGTTTTAGAACCTGCTAAATACGCGACAGAAGAATTATTGCGTAAATCAAACGATTTATTAATTGCTGAAGGAACATTAACTTTTTGCTAGACGAATTGTTGCTACAAGGAACATTATTGTCTCAAAAGGTTTACGATATGAATTGCGCTCGCATAGGTGCACGAAGAAATGGAACATTAATTGACTTAATACTTTACCTGAATAATCCTCAATATATTTCTTTAGACAAGCATTTTAAATCGTCAACAAAAGCTGCAATACATAAACTTGGCATTGACTTATTGAAAAAGTATTTTGTCAAAAACTCTACAAATGGAGCTATGGAAGCTTCAACATCCAGTGCAAATCAAATCCAACCGTCAAACATTTCTATTCGAGATAGACTGAAACTAAGCATATCTGAATATACATCATTAACAACAGATGCAGCAGCAACAGAACCAAATAACTTGAAAAGAGAGTTTAATTGGTATGACAAAAATAGGAAGAGAACCGTTTTGTTAGATCAACTTTACGATGCATTGATAACAATGCAGCCGACCTCAACTCAAAGCGAACGAAATTTCTCTATTAGTAACAACATTCTTACAAAACAAAGAAAACGTTTACTTGACAAGAATCTAAATGCAATTGCATTTGTTAAAAGTTTTTTCATTAATGCTTAATTTTTATTATTATATTCACACCATTTTCTATAACCTTTTAACTTACATCTTTATCAACATTTATTTTCTATTTTTGTTTATGTTCACATTTTTCAAAGGAAACATGGATTAAAACATCTACCTTGTAACACATAAAGTATAACTAATTAATTAAGGAATAAATGACCGTATAAGTAGCAAAAAAATATATAATTTTTTTTGGGAAAAAAAGCAGAAAAATGCTGTTTTTTAAATTTTTTTACATATTCGGGATTCCCGGGATTTCCCGGGAAATCCCGAAAAATTTCAATCCCGATCCCGATCCCGAAAATTTGTCGGGACCGGGATTTCGAGAAAGCATAATTCCTAGTATATTGTCTTTGATATATTTTATTCCTTCTAATGGCTTGATGGTTGGATTGACTAGATGGCTGGATGGGATACAGATTGTGTAGCGGACAAAAAAGATAAATATATACAAATAATATATTTTGTTACCCAAACAGCCGAAAAGATGAAACATAATATTGTGTCGCTACACTGGATCTCGTCTGGATCCCAAAGATAATGAAAATATCAGATATTTATCAGTAAATACACAGATTTCCCTCTTTTATCGAGGATAGAAGATCTGTGACGCAAGTTAAGTCACAATCGAGAGTCAAAATCGGTAAATAACGTCACAATCGATAGACAAAGTCGAAAATATAAAGTAACAATTTAGGTTACTGACACAATTTATGGAAAAGTCACTATTTATAGTTAGAATTGCGGTTTTTGCGACTTAATTTAATTAACGCTTATTGTAGCACACTTAAACAATATATTTAAACACCAATTTACTTCTTAATACTATCGAAAACTTATTATTTATTTAATTTATTCAAAATGTATGTGTTGTGTGTTTATTGACTTAATATGAGACTCCCCTTTTTAAGCTCCGCTTCACTTTCAAAGCTTCGCTACTCTCTCTAAAATTACAAGATTCTTGTGTGTTAATGATCCATAAATATTTAAAAGTTACATTTAACTACAGCTAATATTTAACTTTAACATTGAACTTTAAAACATGCACAAATGTTAATATTAGGGGCTGTTCGATTATGACGTTGAGGTGGGGAGGGGGGTCAGCAAAAAATTCCTTCACACCCATTGTTCTTTTTTGAAACATGAAGACCGTTAATTTTGGATGTCATCAGTGAACGAACCCTTAGGGAAAAGAACTGAATTTTGTTATAAGAACATTATTTTAAGTTCTTTGCTAAATCGTCGTCTTTTTACGCTCAAATTAAACTGGTCATCAAACACTCCTTGATAAGCATATTTAGAAAGTCATTATTTGTTGAGTCTATTTGTCAAATTGGATTATTTAATCAGTAATAGGTTTCAGTCAAGTAATATAATAATCTTTATTTGTTTGTGGTGTAAATTATATAATTTCACATTTTCATGTTCATTGAATCAGGAATTTGTTTCAGAATATTTAGCATTTCTAGGAATTAATCTAGAGTATTCTATAGAATTTAGTCTACAAAACTATTCTGGTCATGTTTGACGGTGTCATTATTCTAGTAAAAATACAAAAAAAACTTACCATTTTCAATATTATTCAGTAAGGTGATTTAACAATCTTCAATTCTCTTTCAGTCCTCAATTTAATCACAAGAATTAACTCAAAAAATGCTTTCGGAAATTTATTCATCTTTAGAACCGCTTTTTGTGCTTTCATCACTATCGGGCATGTTTTTCCTTGATATTAATTTCAGAACCTCAACCATAGTGACAACAATTTGGAATAAAATATCAATTATCATAACATTAGTGTTCTATATAATAGGATGTTGGTATTATTTTAGTTCTGAACTTATTGAGAAATTATTTTCAACAAAATTATCAAGAACTGGAGCGAATGTATTGCTGGTCATTGACTATGCATTTATCATAATTGCAATGTTGTGGATTTTATCCTAGCGAGGAAAATTCTCAAAATTATGATAAAATTTGATGAGATTGATCAAATCTTCAAAAAATTTGGAATAAAAATTGACTACAAAAAGCAAAAGCTACAACTAAGGATCATATTAAGTATTCTCTTTGTTCTGTTCATTATTGAAGTGCTGGTGATGACTTACATTAGTATTAAGTTCCTAAGTATGCAATTTAATCAAATTTTCTTATTTATTTTTAATTACTTACTGCTTGCAATCGCATTGACATTATTTATCCAATTTGTAGTTCTTATGAACTCCATCAGTCACAGATTTAACTTGATGAATTCATGCATAGAAAAATCAATCAATGAACTCTCGAAAATTCATCTTAAAATCACAGAATGTGTTAAAATTTATAATTTCATTTATGGACTTCCGATGATGGGGATGTTTTCAATATTTTTAGTCTGGTACATAATTTGTGCCTCAAAACTTGTTTTGTCACCAACAACTAATATTTACTCCACAATTGGAATTTCTTTAAATATTTTTTGTACTATTTTGCCTTTATGCTTTTTAATACACATGGCTGAGAAAGTTTTGAATGCCAAGCAGGTAGCTATTCAATTATTGTACAAAAGAATGTCAGAAAATATTCAAGAATCTAAGAAAATTTTGTATTTCATCATGCAAATCTTGCACACTAATGCTGAATATTCTTGTGTTTTCTTTGATTTTAATTGGAAGTTCATGTTTAGTTTCTTTACAGGATCTACAGTTTATTTGATTGTCATGCTTCAATTCGAAGTGTCAATGGAAGATTTGTAATTGTTGTTATTGAAAATGAATAAATTTGGTTCAATAAAAAGCATGTTTATCCGGACAGAATGTCGTCAATAAATAAATGTTTGATTGTTTAAGCTTAGAATTTTTACTATCCCAAAGTTCAATGCCCCAAAAGCAAGAAAACTTAAATCTAGTCTATGAAGTATTCAGCGTTCAATGCCTTAAAAGGATGAAAACTTAATCCTAGTCTATGAAGTATTCAGCGGTCAATGCCCCAAAAGCATGAAAACTTAATTCTAGTCAATGAAGTATTCAGCGTTCAATGCCTCTAAAGCGGTTCTCTTCTGTGGGAAGTACCATCAATTTATTTCTAGCAATCAGCCTAGTGATAAATTAAAAATAAGCTATTATTTGTCAATTAAAAAAAAATTAATTATCTAATAAGTTATGTTTTGGCTCACAAAGGTGTGTCCGATATTTTTTAGACTTTTCTGTGTATTTAATATCAAACATTTTCTATTCAGCATTCAATAGAATCAAAAGTACATTGTCATGTTGTCAGAAGTTTATTCATCACTCCGTCCACTTTTCATTCTTTCCTCGATGACTGGATTGTTCTTCTTCAAGATTGACTACAAAACATCCTCAATTGTCACATCAATTTGGAATAAAATTACTATTTTAGCGACTTTTATAATCTACATCATTGGATGTTGGTTCTACTTGAAATCCGAATTGATAAGCAAATTATTTTCAACCAAGTTGTCTAAAATCAGTTCTAATATTCTGATTGGAATTGACTGTGCATTTATAATTGTTGCGATGATGTGGACTTTGATTAAAAGAGGAAAAATCTTACAAATGTTGATAAAACTAAGTGAAATTGATGATAATTTGTGCGAAGCTGGATTGAAAATTAACTACAAAAGTCTAAAGAACAAGCTAATAGCATTGATTGGATTTATATTATTGTTTTTGATTAGTCAAGTTGGAATTACAATGGTGATCAGCATTCACCTCATGAAATTTCAATTAATTGGAGTTATAATCTGCATCTACAACTACTTAATTTTCATAATTGGAATCGTGTTGGTGTCACAATATGCAGTTTATATGTACAATATTGGAACTAGATTTGAGATGATGAATTTGTGTATCGAAAATTCACTAAGAAATACTCCAAAAACACACTTGAAAATTGCAGAATGTGTAAATATCTACAACTCAATTTATGGACTTCCGATGATGGGAACTTTTGCAATTTTCTTAATCTGGTACATTATTGCATCATCAAAGCTTGTTCTAGCACCTGAAATTAATATGTTCTCAACGATTGCATTGACTTTTAACATTTCAACAACAGCAATTGCATTATGCTTCACCATTTTTGCAGCCGAAAAGATTTTGATTGCTAAACAAAAGTCAATTCATCTTTTGTACTCAAAATTGGATAAAGAACCTGGAAAATCAGATAAAATTATCAATCTCATCATGCAAATTCGACACACAAATGTTGGATTTTCATGTAAATTTTTCGAATTTAATTGGAGTTTGATGTTTAAATTTGCATCAGCTTGTGTAATGTATTTAGTTATTCTGATACAATTTGAAGGAGGAATGTAAATTGTTATTAGATAAACTGGAAATAAAGCTGTAATAAATTGAGTTAAAGTTTATCTTAGTCTAACGCAGTGGTTCTCAATCTGGGTTTGGTCCGATTGCCCATTGACATTTTCCCATTGTTCATCTGCCCATTGAGATTTGCCTACTAACTTGCCTAATGATCAAATAAACAATGGAAAAATGTTAATGAACAATCGTCATGATCCTCTCAAACTTTTTGTCGCGATTGCTGAAATAGGCGCTATATTTTCATGTTATATGAGTTCGAAAAGGTCAAGAAAATCATTTAGTATCTTGAGACTATTCAAGTGTGACGAAAAGGTTTTTTATTTTAAAAAAATGTGACGTGGAGCAAAAAAGTTTGTGAAACACTGCTCTAGTTAGGAGACTAATCAATCATGTACCGTTACAGTGGACAAAAAGTACTACATTACGAATAAAGTGACGAAAACCTCCTTAAACATGTCTTTCGCTCCGCCACTGCGTAAATAATGCCAAAATATGTTGAAATTCAAAACCAGCATGTCAACGAATGAAATAATGTCTACAATGAAATTAATTAAATTAATTTAATTCCGGTAGCTTAGTAGCTCTCTTGTTTAATTTCCCAATAAACTTTAGTCTATTCAGTTCAATCAAGGATTCGAGATTAAAATGTTGACAGAAGTTTATTCATCTTTTGAACCGCTTTTCATCCTTTCATCGATGACTGGCTTATTCTTCTTCAAAATCAACTTTGAGACTTTGTCAATTTCAGTTCCAATTAGAATGAAAATAATTTCTTTTTTTGCATTTATCATTCTGATTATCGCAAGTCTATCTTGCTCATATTTTAACTCTGAATTGGTGAAAAAAATGTTTTCGGTTAAATTTTCAAACTACAGTGGACCGATTTTCGTACTTGTCAATAATCTAGTCACAGTTTCATCGATGATGTGGATTTTTATAAAACGAGATGCAATTTTGAAAATTTTGATTAAATTAAATGAAATTGATGAGATTATAGATCAATATGGGATATTTTTTGACTATAAAAAGCAAAAGATGGAGTTGCTGATTTATATTGGAATTTCGGAAGTTATTACTGTTGTAATGGGAATCATCAGCTCATTATTTTTTATTTATCAATATGAATTGATTGATTTTCGATTTATGACTTTGATCTTTAACATGATATTATACAGCATTATAATCATATTAGTCCTACACTACATCACATTTATGTGCAATATTGGAACCAGATTTGAATTGTTAAACTTGTGCATTGAAAAATCTATCGAAAAAGTACCAAAAATGCATTTAAAAATTATTGAATGTGTCAAAATCTACAACACAGTGTATGGAACTCCAATGCTTGGAACTTTTACCAATTTCTTCGTCTGGTGCTGTATGGGTGCATCCACTCTTGTAGTTGTTCCAAAAACCAGCACTTTGGCAATTGTTTTCTTGATTCCTGGTGTTATGTCTACAATGTTGTTTACATTCTTGATCATCAAAGCAGCACAGAAGATTACAACTGCGAAACAAAATTCAATTGAAATTTTATATGCAAAGTTGGTTAAGCAGCCTGAAAAGTATGACAAAATTTGTAAATTAATAATGCAGATTCGACACACAAATGCTGGATTTTGCTGTCACTTTTTTGAAATTAATTGGAATCTGATGTTTAAGTTTATTACAGCTGGAGTTATGTATTTAATAATAATTGTGCAATTTGAGGGATCATTTGAATAAATTTCAATTCTTTTCAACATTTAAAATGCACTTTCAGCTTTTAACCTCCAAGTTAACTGCCCAAAATCTAGAACAAGTCCTTGCATGCACGGCACACAAGTTTTTTTTATATCTCATAATTTAATATTTATTTTAAATTTGTACAATTGAATCATGACTTGATTTTATTGCTCATTTAAATTATTTTTCAACGGCTGTATCTTTTAACTTTATTTAAAACAGTTGCTGACGCCTCTGTCGTGCATTAAAAAGTCATTAATATTGTTTAAATATTTCTTTACAAAAGAATTTAAAAGTTAAAGTTTTATCGATTTCATTTCATCCAACTAGTAGGGCAATAAAAAAAATTTATCAATTTTCGTTATCGCTTTGCTTATGAAAACTTTTTGTGGTCTTTAAATTGAGTTCAGTATAAATTGGACCGTTAAACTTTAATTTGCTAGGTTAAAGATTTTCTGAATTATTATTTTATTGTAGTTTCTGATTAAAAATGAAATTTGAAATTTCCGTGGTTTTCTTGATCGCTGTGTCTTTAAAAGGTAAGGATCTTGGTGAGATAACTAATGATTGTGCAGAGGGATAGAGTCTAAACTTTTAAATGGAGAGAAGACAAAAAATTTTATGAATGTTTTAAGGATTTTCTCATAAAAAAGCATAACCAAATGAAGAGTTTCTGTTGATTTGAGGTACAAATCCTCCCTCTAGCTACACTACTGGTTGTGCATGACTAATTTCTATTTTTGAAGTAGGAATTCTTTGTAGGCTCTAAAGCCAGTGCTCAAGATGTGCAAACTCAGAATTAATCCTGAAAAATCCCAAAAAAACTAAAACTTTCTGAGCCAAAAAGCATGAAAATGTGAAATCCGTTACTTAATAAGGAAACGAGCCCTATGATAATAAAAAAATTAAATCCAATTTTCAGGCATCTCATGTGGAGGAGGCAACCAACAAATTTGCTGGTTCTATCAATCGCAATTTGATCAATCCCTCAGAACCTACTCAAGAGTGACAAACAGCTGGGCTGAACATATCATCAATTTAATGCAAACTTATTCAGCCCAAAATCCATTTGAACAGCCAGATATTCTTAGCACTGCACTTAGTGGAATTGTCTCCGGAAATACTGAAATGTTTACCACATATTTGAATAATTTTGCGAAAGAAATCGCTGCTTTAACGGAAACTGATGTTGCTATTGTTACAGAGGCTTATAAAAGCGCTCAATTTGGATCACCATTCCCACTTTCTTGCATACCAAATCTTGCAGAAGCTGGAAATGTTTATAATAATGCTTTGGGAAAAGTTGATGACGAGAAATCAGCAATTGAAAGAACAAGTCATGGTCTTGATGGATAAATTGTTGGAACATAAAAAAATTGAATACTGAAGTAAAGTGCTGTAAATAATTTAAAGGCAGATTTTATTCATTTTTTTATATTCTGTTGATTTTTTTCATAACAATAAATTAAATTTTTTTATTACAGAAAAAATTAAGTTGAATTTTTATTTGCCATAATGATTCTCATTTTGTATTATTTATTCCGATTATGATTAAGCTTTAACCAGGTGCCTTTGCTGGTCGAATAGGTAACGCGCTTGACACAAATTTGGGATGGTAACACGAAGGTCGTCGGTTCGAATCCAGCCATTTCCAAATTTGTTCTTTTTCGAAAGTTTAGATACTTCGACTGCTTAATGTACGAGATCAATTTAGGCAATGTCGGATTAAGGAACGGGTCAGGAACTTGAAATGTAGCGAGAGAAATAGGAACGAGAGCTTATAAGCTTACCCACGAATCGAATATTTTTAGAACGGAACTGATCACGTCACACCCACAGAAGATCGAAACGAGAGCCTTATTATTTGAAACCCAGATTCAAAGATTGGAAGTTTTGATGCTACATAATATTAATTCATATGTATATGAACACAAAAGGTGTAAAATGTGAATTATTACCGGACAGTTTGACAGTTTGACTTTTAAAGAGATTCTGAAATTTTAATGCAAATTTCAATAAAAATTTTAATAATAAAAGAAGATTTCAGTAAAATACATGATCATGCACGACATTATAAGCCTGAGACACTGTGATTGTGATCTGACTAATGACGTAATTTTCATATTAATTTTATTTATTTCATGTCTACTCATTATGATTTATTTTTAAAAGATAAAATTGAATGTCTCATTATTGTGACAAAACTGTTAGTCATGCTGAATATTATCATTTTAGATTACTTTTCAGAGTTGTAATTTATTAATTTTAACTTTGATTATATTTTTCAAAATATTTCATTCTAGTCGCTGGAGAAACCAAGTCATCAAAGGATGTATAAAATCAAAGATTTTAAAAATCAAGAACTTAAAATCTCAAAAATATTTTTTTTAAAGTCCATGACTACAACCCTTATTTTTTTAAGAATAGTCATGTAATATTTTTTAGATTTTCTTGACTATAGTCTTGACTTTTTTTGCTCAATATCTAATTTTAATACTTGAAGTTCAGATTTAAAATTAAAACTTATTTTCACTTTTTTTGTCCACAACTAATTTCATCCGAAAAAGCAATGGATCTGAACAACGACGTTTTAATCACGTAAGTAAAACTCATTTTTTTAAAATCACTAAAATGCAAAAATTTATCATTTTAGGTGTGCCTTATTCTTTCTTCCAACAATCTTCCAAATCATTCTTCTTCTTGTTCTGATGTTCAAAGTTTGTTGCCCCTCAAATCAATCAAATGCTTACGCTAATGAAACTTATGGTCAGTTAACGGGTTTAAATACTTCTCCATCGCCAAACAATGCAGTAGGCAATGTTTATGAATCACCACCACGACAGCCTCAAATGACTGCATTTAGCTCTCCAAGGAAATTTTCGTCAAGCTCTAGACAGGTACAAATTCCAAATGTTTCAGTGGATAATAATAATTACGCTGTTCCAAAAATGCAAACTGAAAATTTGTATAATGATCCAGTATTGAACTAATTTGTGAAGTTGATATGTCTTGATGACAGAGTTGCGAGACAAATCACCTGTCAATAGGTAGAAGTGACAGATATGTTACAGACACTGCGATAGGAAATGCCTGTCACTTCTGCCTGTTGACAGGTGCTCTGCTTGCAACTCTATGGCAGGCAATGCTTTTTGTCAGGCAAGTGACGGATTGCAACTTTGCTTGTCTATGGTTTAAAATATTTCAATAAATATATTTATATTTAATTTTATTTATATTTAATAAAATTTAAAGCTTTAGTCCGAAGCTATAAAAGTCAAAAAAAAAACCTAAAAAAAGTAACTCATCCCATGACTTGTATCGAGCGAGGATCAAATCTCGAACCTCATGCCTCTCGATTTTTGCATTTTTTTTTGGTACTTGCTTTTTATCCCAATAATATTAATCAGAGATCGAAGCCGATTTTTTCGGCTTAACTCAATTTTTGATTTTTTTGATAGAAAAAAGCCATTTAACACCCATTTTAAGTATTTAAATTGAACTTTACATGCTTTACTATGATTCTGTGAAATATTTTTTCAGCATGTAGCTATAGTAAGCTCTGAATTTCAATTTAGCAGATTTTAAGCCGATCGGCTTAAATTTCGGCTTAACATTCTTTAACTGTGTTAAATGGCTTTTTTCTATCAAAAAAATCAAAAATTGAGTTAAGCCGAAAAAATCGGCTTCGATCTCTGATATTAATTTTAAGGTAATTTTTCTATAAACATAGTTTTAGTGTTTTAATTTTTTGCCAACGACGTAATTATTTGGAGAATAACTATGCAGAATTGTAAGTTGTGGTAAGGTCAACATGAATTAATACAATCTTGTAAACAACACTTACATGACTTTATGTACTCCAACAAAAGCTGTGCAAATCACAAAAAATACCTCTGAAGACATTAACGTTATTTTATATTAATGATTACTTTTGTTTCTTGCTATTATATCTTTAAGCAATGCTGATTGCGATAAAAAAACGTTTAAAATAATATTGTAGCTACAATTTCTGAAAAACTTACTCTTGCGCTCTTTTAATCATAAATACCTGGGTGCGTCGGAAAAGATTGACGGAACAGTAACTTATGACGTCCGAAATTAACAGTCATTTTTCAAATCATAATAAAAAAAATTCAGGATTTTGATTGTTCTTTTCTTGCTGACTCCTTGCCCCCCTTCTTTAGACGTCGTAAGTGAATGGTGGCTTTTAAAGTAATGTTTTTTATGTGCACGAACCGAAAAAAGGTCATAATAGTGAAACACGGAAATTTTCTTAAAATACTTCTGTAAAATTTAAGAACTACTGGTATAAAATACAGATTATAATAAAGAATGTACATAAAATTAATTCTTAGGTTATGAGCATAGCTAGGAGGCTCGAAGAAGGTTCAGCTATACTTGATGTTGCAAAATTATTGATGGTGACAACGGGTCTCTAGGTTTATTGCAGTTAACAAGTGGTTTATTGTGATGGTGTGCTTAAAATGATGAAATATTAAAAAATCAAAAACTGAATACTTAATTAAAGTTACGAGTGCATCAACAGCTACAACAATTAATTTTTTAGTTTATCCATAACAGTTTCTTGTTAAGGCAGCATTTTGAAAAATAAAACAATTAAAATTTAACTGCTATGTTTTTAAAATTATTCCTTTTATCAGGAATTTTATTTCATAATTCAAACTGCTTTAATTCCACGAATAATTTCCAAAATCATAATAATGAAGTGGAAAATTTTTTTCAAAATAAATCGGAAGATAACAACGATTGTAAAATAAACTTGAAAAATAATCGTGAATATAGTGCATTGAACCTCTCATGTAAGTTTCGAAATCATTTACATTAAGTTTGATTTTATAAAATGATTGCAAGCTAATTTAAAACTAGGGTTCGATTTTAGTAGCTACTTGCTCCTAATAAATTTTTTTCTGTAAATTAATTAAATTTTTTACCATTTTTTTTAAAGATCAATCAGCATGGTCGAATTTTACTGCAAAAAAATATGGAAACTCACATGATTTCGGGAATTTTGTGGAATGTCAAAACTTAATAAATCATGACGTGACCGCAAAATATTGCTTAATTCAATATGTTCATGATTTTGTACATCCAATTCCAGTACATCCTTCGAAATCAATTATCATGAGAGAGTGGGATAAGTTAGATATTTCGTTCATCGGAGCTATTTGTTTGCCAGCTACATGTGGAGAAGACGATGTTCAAAAAGTATTAGAAAGTGAATTTATGGGAAAGAACTTAAGTTTTGAAAGAATTTTCTGCAAAGAAATTTATCGACCTAGGTATATTTTTGGGACATACAGTCATTGGTTCATTGATTGGTGGAATTTTGAGAGAATTTTGTAAGTTTTAAGTTATCATATGTAATCCATTGATTTTTGAACATATTGCCTCACTTAGCCTTAGAACTCTTTTATCCCAATCTTAAAATTTATTCCATATTTTCAGGATTTTCGCTTCAATCTTCATTATTACAATAATTTTATCCTTCTCAAGTCTTCAAACCTATCACGCAATCAACATATTCAAAGACTTATTTGCTGATAACATTAAAAGCTCATCAACATCTTATCTAAATGGAGTTAAAGCTATAAGTACAATTATTGTAATTTTATTACATTGTTGGCTTTCAAGAGTCTATTTTCCATTCAAAAATGGCAAAAGTCTTGAGCAATTTACGAATGGAATTTTTTACCGACCGCTTTGGGTTGCAAATGCAGTTATGGAGAATTTTTTTTGTCATTGGAGGGATTTTGACGGCTAAGGCGCTTGGTAAAGGATTTGAGGAGAGGTGAGTTTTGTGAACGGCTCATGGTCATCTGGCAGAAAGTTCCTAGGAATTCCTAGGAATTACATGATTCCTCTGTTGTTCTAGAGTCAGGGAACCGAAAAGGGGGTCGTTTACTTATGACGTCCAGGTGGCAGAATTATTATAATTATCTCCTAATGAAAGAAAAGTATTTAAATCATATAATCAAAAATTTAATCATTTGATCTGAATTTACAGCAACAAGCTAAAATGGATCATAAAATACTACATAAAGCGCGTCATGAGACTTCTTCCAGCTACTGCATTGATATTAGTACTTATCATTACATCAAATGCTGAGTTTTTGGCTCCGTATAGTTTTTCGAGCGAGAAAGAAAATTGCAAACAATTTTGGTGGATGACCTTGACTTTCAACTTATTAGATTCGAATTTTTATGTAAGTATTGGAGAGAAAATAACATTATGGTCAGTTAATTGCAACAATTTTGTTGGTTGAATCGAAGGGAAATTCAGCAATTTTACCAAAATTATCACATTTATGCACAAAGCAATAACCGGAATTATAATTCTTTTTCTAGTTTGCTCGCTTCATCTGGTTTATATCAGTGTACATGCAACTAACATTTGTAGCACCATTTGTGTTCTGGATTACAAAAATCAAAAATTTCGAAATTAGGTCTTCAATATTAATTGTGGCTATTTCAGCTGTTATTCGATGCCTTCATACATCTAACGGGTTTTATGATAAACTTTTAAGCGTCGCTGGTATTGAGTAAGATTTATTTTTATGATTTTAACGAAGTTTCTTTTGAGGGTTTATTCACTTATGATGTCCAACATTTAGGGGGAAGAGAACGCCCCTTATTAAAATTTAACTCTTTTTCAGTATTTCGGCGAATGATGAGATTTTCTCGAAATTTATTGCAACAGAATACAGATTGCTGCCATTTTTCGGTGGACTGATTTTAGGAAAATTTATAGATGTTTCAAAATTTAAGGTATTTTCTTTTGATTTTGTATTCGTTTAATAATTTATTTTCCTTTTCAGCCAAAATTAAATTTAGTTCTTTGGGCTTTCTGTCTCAACTTATGCACCCTCTCAATCGTAGCCCTGTACATTCCCAAGCTTGTTTTAATTCTGGACTTGCTTCTCATTATCAATCTGATACTTTTTTTCGACGCATTGCATCACGATTCTGGTTTAATCAAGAAAATTTTGTCACTCCGATTTTGGATGCCTTTATCGAAAGCTGGACTTAGTGCATACCTAATTGTTTCGTATTTTCAATTTGGTATCCATAAACGGCTGATTGAACCGCAGGAGATTAAAAATGAGTTTCAATTTGTAAGGAATTTTAAGTTTTTATGATTTTGTTAAAAATAATCTTGAATAATTTTAGATGTTTGAATTTTTAAAAGACGTCATCCAATCATTCATGCCTTTGCTGATTGTTTACACACTTGTTGAAGAACCGTTTTCTAGATTCGGTGAATATTTGGCTAGTAAAATTTAAAAAGTCAACAAAATAAGGAGCCAATTTCAATCAAAATGTTCGGGGATGATTGCTTACAAAAATCTCAATTAATAAACTTAAAAAAGAAGCACTAATTAGAGTTAAAAATTACAACAGGTCTTTGAATTTAAAAAACTATTTTGAATTACTAAAAAACCTTTACAAAGGAATTTTACAAATTTTTACAGGAAAGAACCACTAGGATTTGGGTGAACAAAGCGTGGAAACATCCCAAAGCGTTTACATCCCAAAGTTATTCATCAAATGCAAGGATTTTACATTTTCATGTTTATTGGCTCAGGGATTTTTTAGGATTTTTGGGAATTTTCACGATTAATCCTGAGGTTCCACGCTTTGAGGATAAAGGTTCATTGGCTGTTCCTGATTCGGGGTAATTAGAAGAGGAGGGGAGGTGGGTCGGAAGGTCAAACTAATCTCCTCGACAAGCATTTTTTGTTTTGTTTCATAAAAATCACAAATCCTCAGCATATAGACTCGGTCGAAAACTTTCCAACAAATAATTTTGGCTTTGTTTTTCTGGTTTTGATTTAGGACCTTTCCCATTTGTGTAAGAAACCAGATAAGTTTTGGAAAAATGGAGGACCTGTAAGTAAAATAGAGGACATCATACGTGTCTTCCAATTTTATTCGTTTTCTGGACGAATTAAAACAAGTCTATTTTATTTTTGACTTGATGACTGTCCTCTGAAAAACCAAGCAGATGGTTAACCCTACCTTTGTGTGACAAAACGATTTCCAGTTCAGCCTATGCGGTTATTTAATCTTTTTTGCATTGAATAAACATGTCGGATTGTGAATGATTTCATTTAAATTTTTTCATTTTTCTAACGATGATAAATCGTTCAGTTTAGCATTATAAAAAAAAAATCAGTCAACATCAGTCGAGATATACTACAGTTTGTATTTTTTTGTGACACTGTGAGGATTTAAAATTTCATTCCAAAATAATTTTCAATACAATCAGTTGAATTTTTTAATTGTAAGTCTTTATTTTTTTGGAAAATTCTTTAAATTATTTTTAAAATTTCAAAAAAAAATAAAGACTTACAAGGTTCAAAAAACTTAAGTTTCAATTAAATACACCAAAATGATGGAAATATTGTGGGATGTTGTTTTGTAAGTTAATATTAAAAATCTTTAAATTGAATATTTCTTTATAATTTTACTTACGATTAAAAAATTAATAAACTTTTTTCTTCCCACACTTTTCAATAGTTTTGGAGTTTTTATGCTTCTTAATCTTCTCCAAACTCTTCTTTTGACAATATTCATCTTGAAGGTGCGAAAAAACAAGAAGGAATCAACATCTCTGCAAAACCATTGTAAGTGCAATAAAAAAAAAACTAGTTTAGAAGTGGCCGTTACAGATGTGAACGGATGAAATAAGCGCGAAACGGTTTTTTTAAATTTTAAATATTGCGATCGTCAGCAAGATCATATAGCAGCTATTAAATGCAAAAAAACCAGAAGCCAGAAAAAAGTCAAAGCCTGTCAAAGTGGACCTAAAAGTGAATTGTTTCCTATTAAATATGACTAATGTTTAGTTTATTGGTTGCTCTGAGACCGGTTTTTTAAAGTTCATGATTATTTTTTTTTTAAATTATTTAAGGAAAATACTTTGTTAACCTTAAAAATTAATCGTATTTTTAAATTTTATTAATCTTAAATGGAGTTTCTCAGTTTACATATCCTCAAAATATCCTGTATAACATATTCCATGCTTAGTAACTTACTACACATCATTATTTCACTGACTCATTTTGATGATTATAACAACATTTTTGGAACTCTGTGACTTATAAAAATGACTAAATATGAAGTTAATAGTGCATAATTTCCTGAAATTTCTTTAGGTTCTGTGAAACACGATCAATTTAAAAAAAGAATAAAAAGCTTTCCTGAAATTGATGCAAATGTTTATGAAGGAAATGAAAATTTATACACGTACATGAACCAAGGTAAAAATTTAATTTAAATTATAAATCAAGATTTTTGGGGTTCTCAAGGGATTTACGAAGAACTGCCATAAGCTAAAACCAAAGGAGAATTTGACGAATAAAAAAAAAGTGATTATATGAAGTTAATAATGCATAATTTCCTAAAATTTCTTTAGATTCTGAAATGGAGCACGATCAATTTAAAGAAATAAAAACATATTCTGAGATTAATGCACATGTTTACGAAGGAAATGACAATGTATATACGGACATGGGTCTAGGTAAAAATTTAATTCAAAATATGAAACAAGATTCTCGAGGTTCTCAAGCGATTTACGAAGAACTGCCAAAAGCTACAACCAGAGTAGAAGTTAACGAAGCTTCAGAAACGTATGCTTATGTTTCTGAAATGCCTTTATGTAAGTCTATTTTATTTTTTTTTCTAAACGAGTGTCAATTTTTTTTTTGCAATTATCAACATTTAATCTGTTTTTTATTCTTTCTATTAATATGCTTAATATGTCGCAAATATTGTCAAAGGTCTAATCAACTCAAAAGTTTTAAAAGTATATAATATTAAATATAAAAATTATGATGTTAAATTGCAAGATTAGGTTTAGTGGTTTGTAAATTGAATAGTTTAAGAGCCACTAGACTAGATCCAGGATATGGCAAATGACAATAGTCAGTCGATTTTAAGGGTTAGAAACTGATAAGTTGTGTTAGATTTTTGTTCATTTTGTTAAATCATTTAATTAAATTTTAACTTTCTGCTCTTTATAAAATGCGTATGTACTGCATTGAAGTACCCTAATCTGAATTTATTTACTTTATTTGACAGATGATAAAACTGACCATATGCAAGTTTCAAGTCCAAAACATGACCCTAGTTACGATACAGTTAGAAATTAAATGAGAATTGTTTTTGCTTCGAGATGACCACAGAGATAATTTATCATATTTTTTTGTCAAATTTATATTATAAAACTTATATTTTTTTATTACACATACTAGCATAGTCATGGAAAAATATAAAAAAAATCAATTTTTGTAATTTAGAAATAAAATAAAATTCGAAATATATTTAAAAAAAACTTTTGACAAACTTGTTGATCACAAATCAAAATTTCTGTAATTATTCATGAATTACTCAACACTACTGTAATTATTATTTCAGAAACTGCTTACTAATCATCACTATGCTGTATTTAATAGGTTTATCTATTTTATTTGTCATATATAAATCATCAAATGAATCTAGTCCAAACATAGAGTCATGTTCATCATTTGCAAACAAAAGTCATCATTTTGATTGAGCAAGACACGGAGAATATGGAATACAAATACACAAATGCACATAATTTTAGTTTGGAAGAATTTGTTGAAGACCCTAACGAGATAAATGAGAGTTCCACAAGCAAAGGTAACAACAAGTTGAATGAAACATATTCAAAGTTCATCAAAATTCAAAAATAAAGACATTCGATACTTTGGAGAATCCACAATTTGTTTTTTGTAATGACAGAGTAATTAATAATTTATTAGGAGATGTAATGACTCAACAATAAAGAATAATGATAGTTGTATGCTTAAATTATATTCAATGGGATCTGATTTCGATTTTGGCTATGCTCTTAAGATACCTTTGTAGTTCAGGAACACATTTCTACTTGAGACAATAGATATAAATTTAGAGTAAGTGGAGTTTCCTTAAGTTTCAAATGAGGAACCAAACTAATGATCATATTATTCTTATTTTTATCATTATTTGCTACATGCGACAATTTTATTAAGTCACACAATGAACGAAAAGTAAGTTCAATTTTTTTTTATCAGTTTCACTCATTGATTGCTCACCTCCTTACTTCCTCCTCACCATTTTGAGCATTTGTATCAAGGCAAGGCTTTGAGCGGAATGACAGAAAGAAAGAAGGACAAATCTATCAATTTGAAAAACACATTAATGATTCATAAAGAAATGACTCATTTGAATGATTCTAATAAATTACTAAACCATCAAACTGACTGATAACCAGTTGTGACTGTCAACATAATGACAAATAATAACTTTCTAAATAATATTTTGGATTTCTGTACAAATTAAATTCATATTTATAGAAACAGAATTAAAAACCAGATTGTTCAATTTAATTTATTTTGAAATAGTTTAATAATACTTATACTAAAATGGAAGACGATTATATAAGTGGATTATTGTAAGACAGAATTTAGCAAAAAAACTATAAATTTTATTAAATATAAAAGATAACTTTATTCACAGCTTTGGAACATATATGTTTCTAAATTTTCTGCATACATGCATTTTGACCTTTTATATCATAAAGCTTCAGAAGAGCAAATTGTTTGAACAAAATACAATCGTCCACATAGATGCTAATCCGTACCATGGTATGTACACATTATTAATGTTTAAAGTTATTTTATCTGGTTAAAGACTATAATTTGCACTTTGAAGTCACACTTATGATGTGGCTAATGACAAAAGTGTGAAACTCTTTTTGATAAATTATTTAATTTTAAAATTTACTGTCCAGTTAGTGATTTGATAAATAAAATGCCAAGTACAGAAACATTAGCACCAACGGTAGAAGAATATGAAGCCCCTTTGAACCACCAAGAGCCAAAATATGCTGAAGTTGATCCAAAAAAGACCGAAAGTAAAATATATTTCAAATAAAAAGATTATTTATTTAATTTTATGTTTTGGCTACATTTTAGAATATGATGCACTCAACTATCTGCAACAAAATACTAAGAACAATTTATCATATGACAAATTAAAAATTCTGTCCGAAGAAAATCAAATGATTTAGTAGAATTGTCCACAAATCATTGATGAGATGTTCAAAAAATCCATTTTATATTTATTTTTATTAATTAACAATCAATTAAAATAAAGTTTAAATTATTGAATATTTGATAACATTACTAAAACTAGAAACAGTTTATTTTCTTTTATTTCTCACTTTCGATTCTTTTCTTTTCAAAATTAGAAATTGAGGTTTTGAAAATTTGGTCTGACGCGAATTCTTGTACTTCTCATTTTTCCACCCCCCTCAACACTTATTAACAAAGCTCCTCTTATCCATTAAGCGTTACGAAGCACCAACTCATCACAAAATTTGGTTCATACAGCTTCAAAATTAAATTGTAACCGAGATAATGCAGTCATTAATCAGTCAAAAAATGTATAAATATTGCTTATAAAAGAGAAATTTTAACAAGTTTTTCATCTAGTCAAACTTATGATTTTGTCAAAAATAGTAAACTCTTTTATTTTTTGAACAAAAAAAGAATTAAATTAGTTTGTGAAGTTTTATATAAATTGATAAAAAACAATGTAAACAACTAAAATGAGTATGATAAAGTGGTTTTTGTTTAATAAGAAAAAATATCAAAGATTTCAAAACTACGACGATGAAGAGTACAGAAATAGCATCGGTAAAATATTTAAACTTTATCTTAATCCTCAAATTATTTAATTATTTTTATTTTAATCATTGATTTAGATGAAATAATCGTCCATTCCAACCGACACAGCTGTGAGCCTTCAACTTCAATCGCACATTCATCCAACAGCTCGAAGTCAGCTGACAATCTTTCAACTTGCATTCAAGCTTCAAACATAAAAGCATTGTTAAATGATGCAAATAAAGTTTTACTATTAAAATTAAAAATTGCAAGCAAGCCAACCTCAGCTGAATTAAATGAAGTAGGTCAACAATGTTTAAAGAAATCTATGATCATCCTGCTAACAATAGACAATGACAGTAAATATTTCTTGTACTGGAAGTCAAAGGATATCGGATATTTCTTAACCTTCAAGATTTATGACCAATCTGAGTTTATGAATGATCTGAGGTTTTTTGAATTTTTAACTAATTTTCTTTGCTGCTCTTTGAATGGAGAACATTTAGGTATGTTAGCTACTTAGAACTAAGTTATAATTAAATTTTTAGTATCTCAATTCTTTAATTCAAAAGGGTTGCAAAGCAAAGTTCCATTAAAATCAGGTGCATCAACATTTCAACTTGATCACTTAGCGGATCATCGTGACTACAACTTGCTCCTTGTTGCAGCAGAATTAGGAGATGCTTACATTGTCCAACTCATGCTCACATTAGGCCTCAGTTCTGAATCCAGTAGAATAAATGCTCAAACTTTGGCGTGGAAAAATCGACATTTTGAGGTACTGTCAATACTTTTAAGATCTAATTTAATTTATCCATACACAATTTACATCGATGAGTGTCCAAATGACATTCAAGAATTTTACGAATTGAGTCGTCGGTTAAATGAGGCAATTATGTTGAGGGATGAAACAGCAGTTTTGCGTATATTGACACAGAATTCAGACATGATTCACTTTTATAATCTTAATAATGAATCAGCACTAGCTTTTGCACTTAAACATAAACTTTTCAACATGTACAAGCTGCTCATATCCAAGAACATTCTATTAGGTCCACATGAGAAGTTCAGTGTCTTAACAGAGGATATGAAGGAAAGCGATCGTGAGAAACTTCGAGAAATTCATTACGATGAATCACAAAACCTTCCAGATAATCATATGCATGTGTTGTTATCCAACTCACGTCTCGGTCATGATACATCTGACTCAACAAAAAAATATGAAATCATACAAAAAGCCTTTGAAACTATGAATCAAAATAAATTCATCCAGATCATTCTCATGATTGTTGCTGCATCAAGGAATTTTCGCATCATTTTTGACTTTAATCGTGATTCCGTTGAGGTTGTGGATCCAACAGCTGATGAGTCAACAGATGGACTATTCTATTCTGATAGTGGACGGATCTACATCGGTGCTAAGAAGTTGTTAGATCAAAATAATAGACTTGAAGCACTTGGAGTTATGGCTCATGAACTTTGTCATTATGTGATGTGTTTGGTCTATAAGAATTATGGAAACCCGTATGCTAGTGGCAATAAAGATGCTGAACGAGAATTTAAGGAAATTTCAAGAATGTGCTTGAAAAATGCTGGAAAAGAAAGAATTGTTGATGTTGTGCATGTATGTTATCCTCCATCTTTTCATCATGCTGAATTAGTCGTTCGTGTGCCGCATTTGATTATGAAATATCTCAATAATCCTGAAAAATTTAACACAGTAAAAGTCATTTATAGCAAGCTTTTCGATGTATTTGAGGGTAAAATTTATAAAGATTTGTGTGAAGCACTGCCAAAGATTGAGGCTAAAGCTGAAACTGAGAAGGAGAAAAGTAAAAGGAAAATTAAGAAATTGCGAATGGTTTCCATAATTATTGCATTTCTTGCGATAGTTTTGATTATAGCTAGTATTTATGTGGCATGGTTTGTTTTCTATAAACCCACTTATAAGTTCTCAACGTTGTCACGCGAAGATCAAATTTTAGTTGAAAATGCTCCAGTTATTTATAAAAATGTCAATATAGTTTTTCATGATTTATTTCCCGAGAACTCAAAGACTTATGATCTGTTAACATCTCAAGATATTTACCAAATGCTTGAAAATATTCCAATGAACTTTAGTGATCCTCATTATCTATATTTAGACAAATTGGTAGTTTTTAATTGGCATAATTTGACAGGAACGTTAAAAGATAAATTCATCAATTCAAATTTCAGATTCCAAGGTGAAACTCTAAGTTACAAATTTTTAAACGAGTCCCATCCGGTTGTCTTTAATTCCTTATCTTCTTCACAAATTATTAAAGTTCTTGATGATGATATCCTATCAATTCATAAAATGACCAAGAATGGAACACAATCATATATCGAGAGGAAAATATTCATTGAATACATTTACGAAATGTATTTTTTGTTCATGGCTCATTTAAATGATGACATTTTAAATAGTTTTTGCATGTTTGAAAACACAACTGGAACCGCAAATGATACATTTGATAAATTTTATGATGAATTTATGAGTCTCGATTTTCACACCCGCAAAAAAAAAATTAAGAAAATTACTTATTTTGAAGGTTTTGTAAGATGTTTAATTGAAGATTTTAAAATTGTTGATCCAAATACCAAAACAGCAACAGATTCATTGTTTGCACATAAAAACCTTCAATTAGAATTTAGGAAACTATTAAGCATACCAATTTCAAACTCAATAATTAATCAAACAAGGCTGTTTGCCATCTCAGCTGATTCATTTGCAGAAACGACTTTAACATTTCAATCATTTCCGTTTGGCATAAAGACAGAGTATTCAACACGATGGATTACTTATCTTGATTTTAGATTTTATGAGCAGTTTACAGAAACATATTTACATTTAAAGGATGTTGAAAATACATTAGAGCAAGTTCAAGGTCTAAGTTCCGATAATGAATTTGAAAGAAAAATTTTTGAGCAGTTGTTTTATTCTGGAAATGTCATTTTCTTCTGGGATGGCTTTGATCAAATGTTTGATGACCGAGACCTCGGCGTATTAAATTTTGTTAAGTTGATTCAAAATTTAACTCAAAATTTTCAATTTATTTCAACTAGTTCCTTTTACTCTTATAGATACAGAAGTAAAAATATTTTTAGAACTAAAGCTTTTACTTTAGTTCCATTGGATGAGGAACTAAGGGAAAAATTGCTTTACGAGTACTTCCTCCTTCAAAACATTAGTCAGACTGAAATTCCAATTTACATTCAAAAAGTACAAAGAATTTTGAATATTACGGAATTAAAACAAAACTTGAATACGCCATTGATGTTAGAGATGATTGCTTACACAATAACTAATGACATCAAAGTATTTAAATCAGAAAATATTTTCGAAATTTATGGAAAATATGCTGAAATTAAAGTAAAGAACTCAGTGAACGAAAGTGAATTTAAGCAAGAATTTATCACACATTCTTTAGTTTCTGGTTTTAGCATAGTTAAATTTTATCAAAAGCATGCCATAATGTGCTTAGATATTATCTCAAATATTAAATTTGCATCACTTAGACTTGAAATTATGAACACAAATCTACCAAAATTAACAAAAGTTGATGACATATCAAAAATGGGAATTTTAGAAATAAAAAGTTCAAAAGTTTATAAATTTATTCACTCAACTTTTGCTGAATATTTCACTGCGCAATATTTAATTGAAAACGTTTACAATGCAGATTTTGAAGTTCCGGAACAAGAAGCGGAAATGAGGATTAAAATATTTTATTTTGCCTCTAGAAAAAGGAAATTGTTAGTTTTTATTAAATCGTATCTTGATTCATTAAATAGGAATGAAACGGAAAGTTTTAATGCTCAATTTTCAAAGTTGTTAAGCACAAAATATCAAAACTTCCTTTTCAATACGATGAAAATTTCAGAAGGGAAATTCAGACATTTATTAGAATTTTTTGGAAAAGATCACAAGCTAATGTCACATTTATTAATATCAAGTGAGAATATTAGTTTGTATCGTGCAACATACGACTATGCCAACCTTAAATATTTCTCCTACTTAGAAATTAATCGAACGGAAATCAAACTTACTGCAAAAAAGTATTTAACTAATGATGAATATTTAAAGTTTATTTCATTAAAAGACCTAAGAGGTTCCATACTTTACACGATGTATTGTGTCAAACAATTTACAAATTCATCCGACAGGGCACGACAATTCTTTCCAGGTTATGATTTACCCGACGAGATTTTTGACAGTTTAAATACTGAAAATGTTGTGAACCTAATTGCTAATAATTTAACAGTAAATGAGCTCAAAGTTTTCATTTCATCAAATTTACTTTTTTATCCGCTTTGTGTGTTTTCATCTCAAGATGGGGTTGTTGAAGTAAAAATGAATATTTTACGCTACTTTAAGAATCTATGGAAATTATTAGAAATTCATTTTTCAAAAGATGAATTAAAAACTTGGCTTGAAGATAAATTTAAATTAATAATTTTGCAAAAAACTGATATAATTTTTTATTTTACTAAAAAAATCGAAAATTATTTTTCCGATTCAGAAATTCATGATATTTATGTATCTAAAAGTTTATTGCATCATGCCGTTGTTTTTGGATTTTACAGTAATTTTGTACACACATCGAATTTTTTTGCAAATCACACGCGTTTAGAACAACAGAAATCAATTCTGCAAAGTTCTGTTGAGATTGAATGCTATTTAGATACACAATTTCAAGATCTCTGCTATATTGTCCCTAAGATTAATATACTACAGGCATCGCTTGTACAAGGGATTGGTTCAGGTCGTGATGAAAGTTTACATTCCTTTAAACAAACATCACAAATGTACAGAATATTTTTTAATAGTTCCGAGCTTCAAGAGTTGATAATTACAGGTTCAAAGGAGTTTATTCCATTCTTGGTTATTAAAAAGAATTACAAAAGTTGTGAAACGTATGCTGATTTTTTAAACGAAACATTTAATGATAATAAAAAGTCGTTGAGGGAATTTTTATTATCAGAAGTTGAACCAACAAAATTAAATATCTTTGATCTTCTTGTCAGTTTTATGGATATTGAAGGAAGCATTAATCTATTCAAAAACTTGATCAATTATTAAACTAGTTTTAAGTTTCGATTTATGGTCGAATAAAAAAAATATCATTAAAATTATATTTACTAATTTACTAATTTAGAAAAAAGGATGTAGGAAGAAAGTAAGTTCTTGCTGTTACTTAGTCAAAAGTTCTATGTTGGGCCGGTTGAAGAGTTTTAAATCATGCAATTTATTATGTAAAACTAAGAATTTGAGATGTAGGAAAGGTCAAGAATTATGTAGATAGGATGAGAAAAATACGAAAGCCGTTAATTCACCAAAGATGGCTTTTGCTCGAACGAATCTGGAAACATTGTAACCTACTCAAAATTGGTACGAAGGCCGACATAAACACTAGTTCTAAGATCGAAAAAACAGCTTTTAATTAACTGCTGGACACAAAACTGCTTTGTAAAGATTGTGCGCTACATACTGAGCTAGCGTACATAATATAGATTTGAGAATTATTAATGTTAAGAATTAAATTTTAGCGCTTAAAGGTTTAGTAATACTGATGCACAATTTAAGATGAACAAATTGAAGTTATTATTAAAGTTATAATAAAAGTCTTTAATAGCTTTTGTTCAAAATTTATCAGAATTTAACATGAAACAAGCAACATATAAATTTTATAATCAAAGGATATGAATTTCCCAAATGGTACCATTCTTTTATTACACAACGCAAAATACTGGATTTTTAAGGCCCCATTCTTCTTTATTTTCATAAATGTGATTTTTAATTCCGAATTCAATTTCAAGTATTACTTACTCTTCTCCAACATTTTGAGTTTTAGTTTCAAATCTTGAGTAGACACTTGACACTAATGTCAAGTAAATTACCAAGCGTATGGAAACCTAAATTCAACAAAAGAACCTTTTAATTCATATTAGCAGGTAAACAATTTATACCCAATAAATTAAATGTTTTTCATAAGAATTGAAAGAATCATTGCAATTTTCGTAGACTATTATTTCAATACAAATTAATTTTTGAAATGACAATAAATTCATTTATCTTCCAAATGTATATAGACCAACTGTTTAAGAATGAAAAGAAAGTAATAAAGTGTTATTTGGAGTAGTTGTAGCTTCCTATTGTACTCATGTAGCAATTGTGGAAGATTCATCACTATTTGATATAGATTAATCAGCTGTTGTTGTTGTTGTAGGTTGTTCAGTTGTTGTTGTTGTTGTTGTAGGTTGTTCAGTTGTTGTTGTTGTTGTTGTTGTAGGTTGTTCAGTTGTTGTGGTAGATTCATCCGTTTTTGTTGTAATTGGTTCAGTAGTGGTCGTTGGTTGTTCAGTGGTTGTTGTAGGAGGTATAACTGGCAACAGCTCATTCCCTTGAATTCTCGACACATTCCAAATTGCTTTGTTACGACTGTTATAAGTGTTGATACTAAAAAAAGTTTATAAAACATCAATTCACATCCTTAATATGTTCAAAAAATTAAACTCACTTAGTCCTCAATCCAAAGAAGTTTACAGGAAATGGTTCGCGAATAAAATGAGCCATAAATGGAAATCTTTCAGCTTCTTCATAAACCATAACAATCCCAAACTTCCATCCGATTATAAAAGTTCTCATCTCATTCTCATTCAGTCGACGATGCTCATTATCAAGCAAGACTCTTTCGCCACGTTCATAAATACTCGAGTCACGATTATCTCGTTCACCAATGTGAATTTCAACTAATGGATCTCCTCGATCAAGTGAGTCTGTTAATCCAATGTGAGCATTTTCTGCTGCCTGAATCCTCACTCTTAATGCTTGCCAATCATCATTTGGACGGATATTATGCCAGTCGAAGAGTGTTGAGTTATAAGTTTCAAGTTCTAGAGTATTAAAAATTTAAAATTTCAGTTTAATGTTGTCATAAAATCAAGGAATACTTACCAATCATAATTCTATCAAAATTATCAAAACATCCAGTCATTTGTTGCATATATCCAGCCTTATTCCCCAAAAAGTTATCTGTATTAAGTTGAGTACAATTGTTGCCAGAGAAAAATGCAGTCCTATGAACTGTTGATTGATTCATGAAATGATGCTCAATTTCGTCAATATTATTTTGTGTGACACTAAGTGTCCTCAAATTTGCTAAAGATCCAAATGACCTAGATTCTAGCTTTACAAGGTTATTATCACTAAGATAGACATTCTCTAATAGATTAGTTGATGTAAATGCATTTCTGGGAATTTCTATCAAATTGTTATGGGCTAAACTGACGGAAATTAAATTCCTCATGGTGCTAAACCATTGAATCTCAATTCTATCGATATTGCACGAATCACAGCTGAATGTTCTCAACGAAGTTAATGACTCGAAAGTATTTGCTGGTATTTGATAAAAACTGTTAGCTGACAACGATAAGGTTGATAAGTTTTCAAAACTTGCGAATAAACTTGAAGAAATGGAAGTAAGGCTATTGTGATTCAAGTCTAAAGTCTGTAGTCTTCTGTTGTAAGCGAAAGTATTAGCATTAAGGGTAGATAGTGTGCCGTAGGACATGCTAAGATACAAAAGATTTCCTAAATTATTAAATGCTGTTGCTGGAATCATTTGGAATGTGTTATAGGACAAGTAAAGTGTATTTAAGTTTCCAATGTTACTGAACCATCCAGTTTCAACAGTGTTAATCTCACAGTATCGAAGATCGAGAGACACGAGGCTTCTAAGTGTGTCAAATACAGTCGCAGGTAAATGGACTCCAGGATTTAGCTGCAAATTTAGGGTTTGGAGATTACCAAGGTTGTAGAATGAAAGGTAGTTCAGACTCTGTAAAGTATTGTTGTACAAGTCCAAAGTCTGCAGCTTCGTATTTGAAAATGTATGTGGATTGATGTAAGTAATTTGGTTGTCTCTAATCCTTAATATTTTCAAATTAGTGCAACTATAGAATGGATTAGGTTCTAGTGTGTTGATACCCATCTTTTCCATGACAAGTGATTCCAGCATTGGAAAGGTATCACATATGATTGTTGGAATGTTTGTTGTAATTCCAGTTGATACGATTTGGACTGTATTTGAGAATGTACAGTTTGTGCCTGGATTGCCACCGATTGTGAAGCTATTGTCACCATTTGGATTGTAAATCAGGAATACGCAGGTACAAACATCGTCTCTGATTTGAAAATCGCACATTAAATTGATTGTTGCTTGAACTGATGAGAAGCTTGCGATGAAGCACAGAAGAAGAAGTTTTTTAAACATTATTGACACTTATTACTAAAGTTTTGATTTTTATGACTTGATGCAAGTAATGTTCTTTCCCATTAAACCACAAAACTGAACTGAAATTGATTTCTTTAATTGCTGCCAAATAAATAAATTAAAATAATCAGAATAATTTATATCGATTACTGATACATATTTGAAGTGGATGGTAATCTAAAATTATATAATGTTTAAGCAATTTAAAGAGCTTTACTAATGCAATTTTAAATTAACAGATTAGATAAATTTTAATATTTATTGCTGAATTGTTTACAGTTGAAAATATCAAATTGATGTGAAATGTTAAAAATGCAGTTTATTATTATTTTATATGCACTAGCTATATTATTATGGGATGGACACTTAAGGATCTTTGTAAAAGCGTTAATTAAATTCGACATCAAGTGAGTAGCAATGCTTTGTTAAGGCTGTTAAATAATAGGAAGGTTGTCTTATATCTTTGGGAATACATTTTTTTGATTTTTTCACGCATTTTTGAAACTTGTTTCTAAAAGATAGCTTAATAATACACTTTGTTCGGCTGTTCGGGCGAAGAAAAACTTTTTAACCAGACATCGTAGAGAGTTCGGGTTTGTTTTATTAGCTCAGTTCTATCGATTTATTGACCGGCCAAACAGTTAAAACTCCTAAAACAGTGTATTTATACTTTAAATAATGATTTTTTTATTGCAAATGATAAAACACGCGATAGGTGCGTTCAGAAATTTGAATAATTTTCTACTGTTTTAAATAATTTGAATCGCAGTGCCTACAGCTGAAAGGCTGGGCCCTTCACACATTATATATATACTGTTTTAAAAATTGTTATCAGGGTGCGTTCAGAAATTCGAGTATTTTTTAACCCGTTAAGATTTGAATTCAAAAAAAAACTTTAAATGATTAACCCGTTCTAAATGGACTTCTGTAATTTTTTAACTTCATTTTAAACAAAAGATTCAAAACTCAACTTTCAATTATTATTATTTTATCAGAGTTGCGAGACAGGTTTCCTGTAAACAAACAGGATTGTTTGCCTATCATTTTTTGTCAATGTGATATTGTTCACATTTATGGTTCTCTGCAATCTAAAAATTTCAATTTCAAGTTCAACAATCAAAGTCGAAGCTTTTGTCACAAGTAACAACTGACTCAATTGACATTGAACAGACTTGAAAATTTCAATTAACCAATTCTTGGTAATTATAAAGATTATGAAATGTATCATAAAAAAGATTGAACCAATAACAACACCAAAGCTACTTCAAATTTAACTCCTGCTAATCTTCCCGGGGATTCTTTTGACGTAAATATTAATTTTTTTTCTACTGAAAAAAAATCCCCTTAATTCATCAGCTTTCTCAAGTACATATTACCATGATACTTGATATCTTTTAAGTAATGGCAAAACAATGGAATGTGGGTTAGTAAAATTCAATTATAATTTTTATTGCATTTGTTAAGTCTATGTGGTTTTATTTGTCGATATGCTATCTGTTCCTGGAAAATTATTTTAATCGATTTATATAAAATTCAAGAAAATTGAAGTTAAATTTTCATTAAATACAATTTAAACGGTGAATACGGTTGGAGTTATTCAGGAAAAAAATTAAATTATAATTTAAGTGGTTGCGGGTTAACATTACAAAGACTCTTGATTGTAAGTTGATACAAAAAGTTTTTGGTTCTTGGTTCTTGATTTTTCGATCTTGTTTCTTGGTTCTTGGTTCTTAATTCTTGATTCTTGATTCTTGGTTCTAGGTTCTTGGTTCTGAGTTCTTGGTTCTTGGTTCCTGGTTCTTGATTCTTGATTCTTGGTTCTAGGTTCTTGGTTCTGAGTTCTTGGTTCTTGGTTCTTGGTTCTTGGTTCTTGGTTCTTGATTCTTGAGTTCTTGGTTCTTGATTCTTGGTTCTTGGTTCTTGGTTCTTGGTTTTTGGTTTTTTGTTTTTGGTTCTTGGTTCTTGATTCTTGATTCTTAGTTCTTGGTTCTTGGTTCTTGGTTCTTGGTTCTTGGTTCTCGGTTTTTTTGTTTTTGGTTCTTGGTACATGGTTGATTCTTCGTTCTTGGTTCTTAGTTCTTGGTTATTTGTTCTTTGTTCTTGGCTCTTGGTTCTCAATTCTTTGTTCTTGGTTCTCGGTTCTTGGTTCTTAGTTCTTGGTTTTTGGTTCTTGGTTCATGGTTATAAAATAAAATATTAATTTTCTTAATTCCAAATAATTAATTTTGCAGCAAACAACAGGAAAATCATCATTAAAGACTTCTTATCAAAATGATTATTAAGCTCTTCTTTCTCTTATTCTTCATCAACTCGTGCCTAGGATCTTTCAATCTTATGTGCTCTTTTGATTTTGTCGATGACTTGTGCACCTGCCGATTCCTAATCTATAATCCAGATGGTTCAAATGACTACACAATTGGAGGAAATCCCATCACAAACTGCTCATTCAATGATACAATTCAAGTCATTTCTTCAGGAAAAAGCTTTAACATTCCATCAGTCATCTGTGATCGATTCCCAATGCTTGAAATTCTTCAAATGGAAGGATTGGAAATTAGCACACTTGACCCAAATCCATTTTTAAACTGCAGAATGCTTAAAACTTTAAATTTGGGTTACAATAATATCTCTGAAATTATTCCATATACCTTTATGAACACCAAGCTTGAATCACTCGATTTTCACAGTAACAGCTTAGAAAAGTTAGATCCAAATGCATTTTTCAACCTTGGTCAACTAAAAGTATTAGTTTTGCAAAATAATCCAGGAATAATTTTACCTGAAAAAATATTTGATCCACTTTTGGGACTTGTTTCGCTTAATTTACGTGACTGCAACTTGTTGGATAAGAATGCTGGATGGTTTGGAAAGTTGAAAAATCTAACAGACTTGAACTTGTCGGTTAACTCATTTACTACAATTCCAAACTATGCATTTAGAAATTTGACCAACCTTGTGAACCTTGACATGTCAGTTGGTAAAATTACAAGCATTGCTTCAAATAGCTTCACTTATAATGTTAACTTGAAGACATTGAGGATTAACAACAATAATTTGACAGCCCTTGGAGCAAACATCTTTGATAGCTTAGGAAATTTAGAGATTTTATCATTATCAATGAATAACTTTACAGCTGTAACTTCAAACATCTTTAAACCTTTAGTTTCACTACGTAAATTGTCGTGCAGTGGATGCAACATTCGTGATATAAAGACAGAATGGTTTGAGACATCAAGAAACTTAGATTCAGTTGATTTGTCATGCAATCAAATCAGTCACATTCCAGTCAATACATTTACATCAATTAATCAGCTAAAATTCTTGTATATAAACAGCAACAGTATCTCAAACCTTAATTCAAGGTCTTTTGGAAATTTGAACAGTTTATATACACTTGATGCAAGGGATAATATAATTTATGAAATCGATCATTACTTTATGAATCAATCTACTGTAATGAAACATGCTTCTTTCTCTGGTAATGACTGCGCTGAACTTAATACAGATAATTTTATGGAAGATAAGACAAATGTTATGCAGCAAATGACTGGATGCTTTGATAATTTTGATAAAATAAAGATTGGTAAGTTTTCCTTGATTTTATGACAACATTAAGCTGAAATTTAAAATTTTTAATACTCTAGAACTTGAAACTTATAACTCAACACTCTTCGACTGGCATAATATCCGTCCAAATGATGATTGGCAAGCATTAAGAGTGAGGATTCAGGCAGCAGAAAATGCTCACATTGGATTAACAGACTCACTTGATCGAGGAGATCCATTAGTTGAAATTCACATTGGTGAACGAGATAATCGTGACTCGAGTATTTATGAACGTGGCGAAAGAGTCTTGCTTGATAATGAGCATCGTCGACTGAATGAGAATGAGATGAGAACTTTTATAATCGGATGGAAGTTTGGGATTGTTATGGTTTATGAAGAAGCTGAAAGATTTCCATTTATGGCTCATTTTATTCGCGAACCATTTCCTGTAAACTTCTTTGGATTGAGGACTAAGTGAGTTTAATTTTTTGAACATATTAAGGATGTGAACTGATGTTTTCTATTTTTTTTTTCTAGGATTAATACTTATAACAGTCAGAAAAAAGCAACCTGGAATGTGTCGAGAATTCAAGGGAATGAGATGTTGTCCTTGCTTCAATTTTATAAGCAATTAATGAATAAATAAAAGAATTAAAATCAGTTAAAAAATAAATAATTATAAATTTTTGTGTAAATAAAGGATTCAATTTCAAAGCATAAACAATACAACGTGCCGATGGTTGGAAACAAAACAAGCTTTACTCTCAAAGATACGTTAGGAATGAGAGAGGAATAGAGAAAGTTTGACATTTGAAACAACTTGTTGCTCGTGTTTTTTTCTCTCTTTAAAAACTTTGTTGAGATTCTTAAGTTTAAATACTTCTATTTTCTCCAACAATAACTTTAACGGTTTTTTAAAATTCAAAAACATTTCAAACCAAAAAATTTGTCGGAAACTTGACAAACCCTAAAAATATATTAATCACAAAAAATATCTCAAAATAAAATTTTCTTAATATTTTTTAGTATAGTTAATAACTTCTAAGTGACAAAAATGACTGTAGCTGAATTTTTCGGATGTGCATTCCTCGCCTTTGGAACTCCACTTGCTATGTTTTGCTTCACAATCAGTGATTCTCCAATTAAAATAATTTTATTAATATTTTCATCATTTTTGTGGCTGCTGGCACTGTTGATCTCTTCATTTATTTGGTTCATATTTATTCCACTACGAGACTATCTCATCTTTGGGGTTCTGGTGTCGGTGCTTATTCAGGTAAGCTTAAATTTGTCCGAAAATAAATAAATCCTAATTTTTGTAACATTTTCAGGAAGGATTCCGGTACATTGTCTACAAACTCCTAGACAAGACTAGTGCTGGACTCGAGGAACTAGCTGGAAACTCACTTGTTACTCACAACAAGCCAGTCTTGGCTTATGTCTCTGGATTAGGCTTTGGAATCATTTCTGGACTTTTTCAAAGCTTAAATATTCTCGCAGATGCTGGCAGTGGACCTGGAACTGTTGGATTAAAAAGTGGAAGTGACTTTTTCTTCATCACAAGTGCTACTTTTGCACTGTGCATTGTCCTCCTTCATACATTCTGGAATGTGATTTTCTTTAATGGAATTCATCATCACAATAAGATTAACATCATTTATGTTGTATTAAGTCACTTGATCTTTTCATGTATAACACTTTTGAATTCTTATCAGCTTTATGGATTGACACTGACTTTATCCATTGCTAATGTGATTATTACTATGCTGATTGCATTTAAGACTGTTGGAGGCTCTGTGATGAAGTTGAAGCAATGCATTGCTTGTCAGTGAATTTACAGGACATTTTTTGTATGGAGTCTAATTAATTAATCTGTATTTATAATTAATTTGATTAATAAAGTTATTAAAAACTTACTCATTATATCCCTTACGTGCTAGAGGTTCAAGATTCAATCCCAGGTCAATTCAAGTTTTGGAAGCTCTATTTTCATTTCACCGTTCTAATTAAGAAGCTCGGTTCGTGCGTTGGTTGTAGGTTTGAAGTCTTCTGGAAATAACGTGTATCCTTCGCTAGATATACTAGAATAAACTAGCCGTTGGATGATTTCATTACAGCATCTTGAACACGAATTGTAACTAGGTTCATTTTTGATTTGATTTGTAGTGCCTCTAGCTCAAAAAGGTGGGCAATATCCATGCTTTACATTTTTTACTCATTAGTTAGATACTAGTTTGTTGTTCCTTAAAAAATTCATGGCAGTTTTTAATGCCATTTATATGGGGATTGAAAAATTTAAATTTAAAGTAATAAATCCGAGCAAATGTTGGCATAACATTGAATAAACAAAATATTTTTAAAATTGCTTTTCGCACTGACTTTCAAGACTAGCAGTTAACATTGTGGATTTCATTAAAAATACATGAGTTATTTACTTAAAATATCTACTCAGATAGAGAAAATCTTGAAGACTTCAAAATCTTATTCTTCAACATGGCAAAGAAAACATAACAATTATAATTTTAAAAATTATGCAGTGTTTTAATAAAGTTTAATATTTTTTAATCCATTTTTCCTTGTATGATTATTTTGAACCAATCCAATTACATCCAGATTTTTGGTAATGCAAAAAAACTGAATGAATGATTTTTTTTAAAATTAAATCAACTAAAATAAAAATGTTTTTTTGGGGGTGAGACGAAGACATTTTATTAATATTTTGAAAAAAAAATAATAATAATAATTCTAATTATCCTAATATATATAAATAAAAAGGTACTAATGTGTATCTAGTTTTGATCTTTAAATTTTTTGTTAATTAATTTCAATAATTAATTTGAATAATAATTTGTTGATAGAAATGAAATTAAAATCTGTTTTCAAATTCTTTTTTAAAATTCAAAAGATTTTTTTATGTGAGGAAATTTTGGGACACAAGAATATTTTAGAAAAGAAAATAGGGTTCCCGATTTAAACTTAAAAAATCAACAATTTTTTTTTTAAACATTGGTAATGAAATATTAAAATACAAAGATTATTTATGATAATGCAATATTTTCCCACAACTCTTTTAAAATTTAATAAAAAAGTGTTTTCAAAAAAGGTTGAAATTAAGGAAATTAATGGAAATTTGTTTAAAGATTGTTTTCTTAAAATAAACTTCAAAATTTGTTTCAAAAAATCAAGTTTTTTAAACTTTTTAATTAAAATTTTTTTATAATCTTTTAAAAAAGGCATAAAAATGAAATTTTCGGTTTATTTTTGAAAAATCAATGAAAGTTCCAATCAAAACTATACCAATATTTTTATTATAATTCATAATTTAATAATATTGAAATTTTCACATCTTAATCTAGGCTGAAGAAAGATTTCATAAATTACTAGTCGTTGATTAGTTGATTTTGAAGTCAAAATATTAAAATTTGATTAAAATTGATAAATACTCAGAATAGGACCCCATTTGATTTTTAAATCTGTACAGAAATCAGAATTTTCCAATCTTAGTGTCCATGCGAAACCTTGTATCCTACAACAAAAGTTTAAAAATTGCATTCAGAACTTTTCTTTGTCGAAAAGTTCTCAAAATCAAAATATACTAAAATTTGATGAAATATGAAAAACCAGCATGATTTGAAAGGTTTTACATACCTTTGCTCTTTTTTATTATTTTTTACTATTCACATTTTTTCACTTTAAATTTAAATCAACTGAAATTTGGTAATTTTTTGCTGAATTTGGTAAAAATATTGAAAACAAATCTAAGACACTTTACATACCTTATGAATGGATCATGATTTATTTATTTCCAAATTTTGCTTAGTAATTTGGTTTCAACCTGATTGTAACTTTATACTTTTTTGTTAACTTTTTAGATCTTTTCAGATCAAGTTTTATTGAACCAATTTGATAAAAATTGGCAGCTTTTTTCAGACCTAGACAAATGTGTTGATTGTATTTTGATAAATATTTATGTCAAAAATATTCAGCAATTTAATAAAAAAAATTCAAAATACATTCTTAAAAGACACCACGTTTAGTTCCAGACTTGAATCGTTTTCCAAAATTTTCAATTGCTTCGAACATTTTTGTATAAAATTCCCACAAATTGTCAACTTTTTTCAACTCATCAGTTCGTCCATCAACAATCAATTCACCAAAAATGCCAACAACCTCAACATCCCAAACACTTTCACAATATTTGTTCATCATTTTACGGAAGTTTTCATGTTTTTCACTTTCGATGATTTCAATTCCGATAAAAACTCTTTGCAGTTCCTCTTTTTTATCATCATCATGCTCAACAAATGGTTTAGCGTTATTCTTAAAAGTCCAATGTGCAGCACAATGCATTAGTTGATGTCCTAATGTCCTCAAGATGTCAGCCTCATCAACATTACTGACATTAATTTCCATCAAATTTTCCTTTGGATTATAACAGAATGCTTTACCGTCACAAAAATTAAATTTAATCTTTAAGTGATCAACTTGTGCGACGAGTTGAAGAATTGTAGACATTTCAGGAATATCATTAAGTCTTACATATAATGTCCTGATGTAATCAAATGCTTTCTGGTTATTATCCTCAATTTTACCATCAATTTTTATCTTATTCATGACTTCATCGATATAGTAAGGAATTGCAGCTTCAATATCGACATTCATGGATGCATCTTCTTGGTTCGCACCTTGACTATTTGGATCTTCAAGTTTCATTCTTTTGACACCTTTTTGGACAGTTGTCATTGACTTTTGGTCAAGAACTTTCAAGATTTTTTTTGTCTTTTTCTTCTTTCGCTTGCCATTCAACGGTGGACGTTGAACGTTAATCTTTTCCCAATTTTGTGGATATAAGCTTGTCGTCATGCTTTTCGTCATCTCAAATTGCTTGTAAAAGTTTAACTTTTGATCAATCTTTTTAGCTTTTTTTTCTTCAATTACAGTATCGATGTCAATGTCTGCAACCATATTCAACAAGTACTGTGTACGATTGTGACTGTAATCAAAAATCTTTGATGGATTTACTTCCAAAATCTTTCCATCATCAATCCATTTGGTCTTATGTTCGTATTCGATGACTTTTTTAGGCTCACATGATGGAAATTTTTCCAAGTGAAGATCAATGACTGACTTGTAAGGTGCCTGTATCTTGTTAACAATCAAGTCACCGATCTTATCAACCACATCATCCTCAAAATTGACAGAATATCGAATATTTTCTGGAAAATAGTCATAGATATCCTTAACAGTTGAAATGTCGTAGGTTGCATCATCAACGACTGAAAAGTCATCCTCACAAGTTTTGGGCTGTCCATAATTGTGATTTTTAGAAAAGTCGTCGACATTATTCATGTATAATGGAATTTTATAGGTGTTTGGAAAAATTCCAATTGGATTTATCATTGTAATGGAACGTGGCATTGGAAAAGCTTTAATTTCCTTTACATAAGCATTGGTCATTGTCTCATAAGAATAACAACCTACTTCTCTCGCTTTGGACTTGTAACTCTTCGATTGTACATCAACCATGATGTCGATTCCATACATTTCATACTCATAAGTTCTCGCAAGATTCATGCAGGTCTCAAAAACTGATCTTTTACGTGACTTAATCTCAACAACGAGAAACTTACAGCCAGATTTTGCAGCATTCTCGAATTCCTCAAAGAGCAATTTCGGACCGTCTCGGCCTTGGTCTTCACGACGACGTGCAAGCTTAACTCCATTAATCCTTTGTGCCTTGTCATTTCCATAGCTTTTTTCTTTTTCTATGATGCATTTTGAGATGTAAGACTTACCAGAATATAATGGACCTCGAATGAAGATGCAGATTCTAAGTTTGGACGAGAAAATTAAATTACAGATCCAATAGTTAAATCTGGACTAAACACTGTAGCTTAATTTTAATATCCAGTTCCATAATAATTAACTATCTTACCTGCTTGGTCGTCTACTTCTCCATGGTCTTTCAATCAATTCTCTGATTGGCATCACTTGCCTATTCTTCGTTTTAAAACACGTTGTTATCGGTGGTGACTCACGTCCTTGAAGTGACGGTGCATACTCCTCCTCATCACTGTCATAACGTCCTCTAAAACTTGGATACTTTTCTCGCATCATATCATTTCTATCCCTCATTCTCTTTGGTGCTAAAGTCATTTTTCGATTTGGAGGATCTCTTCGGACGATATAGGTGCACCGGACATCCTCCATCATTTCCAATGACCTTTTTATTTCGATGTCTGAATCATCCGAATCGTCACCTAATTTATTCATATTATTTTATTGTTTCAAACGTAGTTGCTGGAATAAGTGTGAAATAATTAAAGTTAAGTAATTTAGGAGGTCAATTCTTAGATTAAGGATGAGTTTTTAATAATGAATTGATCAAAATTAAATGGTTAAACAACTTTCTTAAAATTACTAGCAAACATTGTGGATGGAAAGGGAGCAAGAGGAAGACCGAAGAGCTCTTGGATTAACTGTTTTGCAAAGAACGATAGAATCCCGAACTGGCAGAATTTGTCGAAGGATAGAGCTGTCTTAAGACGTTCTAAAGCACGGCAATTGGCCTACGTGTGTCCCAGCCAAGGAAGTAAATTAAGTGAACAATTATATTAATTTAATAAAAAAGTTTGTAATGCCTCCTCGAGAATAGTTCAAAAACTATGGTTCAAAAACCATAAGTTCATTGCCGGTTTAAAGTCGTGAATAATAGCCGAGAAAATTCTAATCTGGACGAACTATGAGTCAATAAGCTTTGTCAGTAACTAATGCATTTAAATTAATGTTTTAAAATTAAACATAACATTATATTACGAAATTGAATATCTTTTTGACTAATCATCAAGTAAAATTGTTATCAATTGCCTTATCTGAACTTAATGGAAAAGAATGCAAAGCAATATGTTGAAAGCGCTGCAATAAGTTTAGAATCATGCTGAATTTAAAGCATTTGGAAAAAATTGATATTTGGGATTTAAATAGACTAATGCTTGTTATAACCGCAGTGATGAAATTCACGGAAACTTATAACAAATTTAAATTGTTGATTATTCATCAATTTTTACGATTTTTTTCACATTATTGCCTTAGTTTTATCTTAAATTGATTATAAAGTATATTAGTCTTATAAATATGAACTTACCTTATCAAATCCTCGAGTATGACTAAGATATAAAACCAAATTCTTGATATATTTGAAAAATAATTTGTTATTTAAAAAATTAAGGTCTACAACGATTGATAAATTGTGTTTCACTGCGTCATATTCTCTCTCTTGTTTGTATTTAAAAGAAAGAGACAGATAATGATGTTGTCTCTCATTTTAAATAGCTCATGTTCATGTATAACAAATTTTATAACATGATATAACAAAGGATGTATTCTAGCGTGTATAATAAAAGCTAGTATTGATAAGCCATTTTATATTTCACTTTCGACTTATTCTGCATTTGTTTAGATTTTGAAGTTTGTATTATTTTTGATGATTTTCGTTAAATATATTAATCACTGCTTGATATTGCTGAACTTAAATTTTTTATCTTATATTAGACATTTAAGAGTATTAGTACGAATTTATAATCAGTTCAGTCTTCGACATCGCTGCCGTCTGTGTCTTATGAAGAATCATGTTTTGGCTTAAATTGGCATGAAATGATTAATAAACCTGATATAAGGCTCATCACAAATGAAGAAATATTCATTTGTAATCATCAAATTAAAATTTTAAAAATTTGGCGTTCTAGGCCTCAAGACTAGAATTTAACATTTGGTCAAGACCTTTGAAACGAGCAACAAAATAAAGTTCTACAAAAACGTCATTGAAGATGAATCTTATTCTGAGATGGATTGAGAGCAGAGATATAAATTGAATGATAGATTATAGTAACTTAAAGTATCGTTCAAATACAATCAATATTTAAATAGAAGAGATCAAGAATTATTTTAAAAAATCAGCTATTACAGCAAGGAAGATTATCTTGTTATCACACATAAATCAAATAAAATATGAGCTGTAAAATCTAAAATCTGTAAAAACAAAAACAATATGAAAACCTACCAACTAGCAGCTATCTGATGTACAAACTTGGAAATCTTCAAGTGCTTCCACTTCTGAAAACTCGAAGCAGCTAGTCAGTCAAAATAAAATTTACTCAAAATTAAGCAAAAACTACATTTTATTGGCTTTCAATATTTCATACAAATTATACAAAATTTCAAGATTTCCATACCATTTTGACTTTGAACCTACAAGTTCTTTATAATCGTCAATAAATTCAAAAATAGACAAATTTGTTGGCTGAACTTTCTTGTCTAAAAATTCCAATAATAAATTGTCACTTCCTTTAAACAGTTTTTTCAAATAATTAACAAAATCTTGACAAGAATTTTCATTTGATTTTCCAATTAAATAAAGTAAAAAGTCAGTTGAGCTCATGATTATTTCCCGAATTTCATTTTTGGTCAAATATTTTTCATAAATTTCAGTGACGCATTCAAATGCCGGAGCATTTCCAGTCGTCATTGTTCTGTGGATGATTTTTAATGCTGTAAAATCATAAAAGAAATAAACAAACTTGTGACTTGAAAATTTATCTTTTGACTCATTTAGCAAGCTGAAGAAGTAAAAGTTCTTGTCGCCAAGATCATCATGCAATAGAATTTGCTTCCGTTCGTCTTTAGTCGAATGATCGCTGAGAAAAGTCCACAAAATTTTAAAATTCCCAGAATCCCAAAAAGCTTCATGCAAAATATTTTTGGACATGAACATTTCATAAATTTGAGAATTTGATAAGAATTTTTTAGCTTTTTTGAGTAGCAAGTAGAGGAACTTGTCATGTCCATCCTTGTTATCTGGACAAATCTCAAAGTAATTCATCATAGCATTCCCAATGGCTTCTTGCATCTCAGCTTTTGCTAATAAATTCTCAAAATTAGTCCATAATTTTTTATACTCGACAAAATCAGGAGTGCTGAATAGCTTGTTGTAAAATAAATAAATTTTTGGACTTATTGCCATCATGAAGAGTTGTTTTTGGTCATTTTCAGTTAAAGGGTCGTCTTGGGGATTTGTGAATAGCTTTTGCATAAAAGTTTGTGGTTTAAGGAGTTTTTGTAAGAACTTCCAGTAGTTTATGGACATGGAGGTCTCAATATTTTGGAATTCTCCATCTTGTTTGGGGTACGAAGCTTCTGAAAGCTGCTCATCTGTATTTTGAGTGGTTGGCGTATCTAATGCAGTTACTATCCCCTTATTATGCCACTGGATTAGAGATGTATCTTCAAACTTAGAACCATAAGGCTCATGACTCTTCACAACCCCCAGTAAACTATAAAAACTCTCCCCAAAAATTATCTTACCCCTCTGATTCTTACCGTTCACAAAACTTTCAAACTCCTCATCTGTCAAGCACTTCTCACCCAGTTCCCTAATTTTTTCAGGATCAACAAACAATCCAAAGTAATTAGGATCAAAAATAGCCGTATAAAGTGTTTCATCTTCATGAACATGCAGTAGGTCAACTAAAAGGCTATGATCTGACTTGAAAAATTCAAATAAAAATTCAAAAATATTTGGACGATTTGTGTCCAACATTCGGATGAAGAAGTTCTTAAATTTTGTCCTCAAAAGAATCGAAATTGTTGGATTGAATTTTTTCTTAATTTTTTCTCTAACATTAAGATATGAAGACATAAAGTCTGTAATTACTTGCTGAAGGTTACCGTAATTTTGCATTAAATGATAAAATAATTCAAGTCTTAATTCAGCCTCATTAATGTCTACATATCCATTGACATTGAGGATGTTTTCAATTAAATATTGACCAACAAAAAACTCGGAAATTGTTTTGTGAACAAATTTGAAATTATTTTTTTCATTAAAAATTAAGATTTTTAGGGATGAAATTTTTCGCATTGATAAATTTTGTGGGAGTTGTTTTTGGAATATTTGCAACTTTTTCATCTTTAAACCCAACGTCGTGCTTGAAAATAATGAAAATTCTTGAAGTAAAGCGTATTTTTGGAATATTATTTTTAAAGAATCAATAAGGTCTGATTTTTGGGTATTTTCGAGGCTAATTCTTAACCAATCTTTGATTTTATGTTGAATGAAAGTTTCAAAAATAGTGTAAATTTGTGAATAGTTAAAGATTTTACCATGATCGTCAGTAAAAGATAACAATTGAAGAATCATTGGAGTGTCAAAGTCATACACAAAAATGTCATTTGAATTGAATTTTTTCATTATTTCTTCACATTTTGCAATATTTTCTTCAATTTTATCATTTGGAATTTTTTTAGAAATGAAATGTTTTGTCAAAAATTCTTTTTTATTGCCTTCATTAAATGGCAGCAACTGCCAAGTTCTTATTTTCAATGATTGACTTAGTTTATCGGAAACTGAAGGATTTGAACTGATGTATTGAACATTTGAAGTTTTTGTGTAAATTAAATTGAATAAATTTATAAAGTTTCTAGATGAGGTTAAAGGAATGTCGTCAAAATGATCCCAAAATAAGACAAGATTTTCTAATTTTAAACATTCTTGGAAAATTCTAACCTGAAAATTGTAGCTTTCTGAATTTAAATTAAATACAATTTTGCTTAAATCTTCTAAGTTTAAATTATTGATGCCACGATTCGCAGGAACTTCACTATGACTATTGGAACTTTGGTTCAATTTTTCTAAATTTTCACTGGAATTTTTATTCAAATTTTGGTCAAAATTTTCTAAATTATCATCAAAAGTTTTAGAATTTTTATTAAACTTTTCAATGCTAGCGTCGGATTTTACATCAGAGTATCCAAAAGAATCAATAAAACTTGCGAAACCATCATCAGTTTCCAAAAAAGTCATCAAAATCTTCAAATCAATATACGCAACCCACTTAAATGGACATTTTTTCTTAACCTCTTCCATAAGATGCTTAAAAGTTGAGGTTTTTCCAGACCCAGTTTCAGACGATAAAATTAAAATTCTAGCATTCTCAGCCTGCTCGATAATTTCAATACTATTTTTGTGCACAAAATGAAACTGTTTGTCATTAAAGCTGAAATCTTGGCTGGGAAAACTTGAATTATCTTGAATAATCTTAAGATTCTGGTAATAACTGTCAAAACCTTGATTTGAAAATTTATCATAATATTCTGGAAATTTACTGATTATTTCAGCACATTCCTCTGGATTAGCTTCATCATGAATACTTTCAGTTTTACTCACATATTCAAAATAAATCAAATTTACATCTTCTGGTATGAATTTTCTTTCAACGTAGAACTTACAATTATTAACTTCAATTGCTAATTGTTCCTTGCATCCAACTATATCACCAATTGAAAGAATATCCCCATTCAATACAGTATTTATTTGTTTTGAAGTAAGATCATCAAAAGCTTCATGATAATGTTCATAAAGTTTCTTAAATTCAACAACTTGACCCTGAAAATTTAGACTTGAATTTAAAAATTTATCTTTTAGAATTTTTGGCAAATTTTCCCATTTAAACTCAGTTAGTTTCCCTAAATACCAAAATTCAGGATCATTGAAATTCAAATTTTCATTTTTTAACAATCTAAGAATGTGATCTGAAGTAAGCAACTCATAAATCGCAGAATTTTCAGGAAATAATTCACTCAACATAACTTTTACACTTTTAAAATTTACCAAACGACTTTTAAGCTTTACTTTGGTCTTTTCTGACAACTTACTATAGACATATTTTGGTTTGCAGACAAATCTTGCCTCAATATCTGGCAATGCTCTTTCCATCTCAGACATAACAATTTCAAAATGATCAAAAAGATCTGGAAAATTCCCAACACTTTTCTGAAGCTTCTCATGTTGATTAATATACATTGCAATAAGTTGTGCTGGCCGGACAATCAACTCAGATGGCTGCTCATTCTTTCCGTAATTGTCAAAGACGATTTTGATCAATTCTTCATTTTCTTTATTTTGTTTGGATGCGATTAAAACTTTGTGGAACTTTTTTTCAGCTTCTCGATCAAGTTTTGTGTATGGATTCGCTTTATTGCCGTAAACAGCATGAAGGGCGTAATGACAAAGCTCATAAGCTAATGTTGCGCATACTTTGTTTATTGTATTGATGTTTAGTAAGTCTTTGGCAGGAATATCAATTCTGTAAGAAGTGTGAGATGATTCTGGAGCAGCTGGATACTCAAATGTAGAATCACGACAGAAGTTAAATACAATTTTAAATATTTTTGTGGCTGCAACAGTTTGAAGGATGACTTTTAATCGAGAATCTTTGTTGAATTCTTTGTAGACTTGATGCACTTTGTTCAAATATTCATTTTTAACTGACTTTTCTTGGATAACAAAGGAGTTAGCCATAAGAATAGTCATGTGCTTCTCTGGGAAGCTTTTGTCGTACTTTTTGTGAATTATGGATATATTCTTCATTTTTTCTAGGCTCAAACCATTCATAATTGTGTCTATATCCTCATTTGGAGCAAATGAAAGATTTTTTGAAACTAAAAACTCATAAATATCCAAAGAATCTAGTTCCAATGCAACTTTGATTGCTGATTCGTTCAATAAATTGTAGAAATATCGATGATTTGAATATTGCTGTATAATTTCATTAAGTCTATCCATATTTTGATCCTCAATCATTTGATGAAATTTTTCACTGGTTTCTATAAAGCATTTTAATTCCTCCGAGCACTCATTTACATCAACTTGCGAAGGAAATGTCAAATTTGCTTGAAGTAGTTCTAACAAGACATCAAAATGACGTCCATTATATGACAGACTTTGAGCAGTGACTTCACTTTCTTGTAATTGTGTCTCGATACCATACTTCAGAAGTGGTTTTATTGGGTTAACACTTCCTGATTCAGCTGCGAGAAGCATCAAGTTATAGTTTCGAGAATCAACTAAAGAATGAAGCTCAACTCTGCCTTTTATGTTTGATATGTCAAAATTTGCATTGATTCCTGAAAATAAACTTAGTCAGTGCTAATCTAAATTATGATTTGTGACAAATCTTAAAAATAATCAATCCCGAGTCGCTAAACTGTGGTTCAGGTAAGTGTGAGACAGCTTTTGAGATTAAATTGGCTTTTATATTTCGTATCTCATTCGCATAAATATCCTTTAATGTACACAATCTGAACTAGATAGAATCACTATCCAAAACTCTAGTTATGTCTTACCCAAATGTCCATCTTGCAATGAGTTTACCAAAAATTCAGCAGCAAATTCACAAACATCTTTGTCATGCTCAGAAAAGTAATCCCTATAAGAGCTGAGAAACATGACTTGTCTAACATCCTTTGACTTCCAATAAATAAGAAACTTCTTGTCATCTTTGGCAGCTACAAAGATAACAATTGATTTATTTTTGGATTTTTGTTGTAGCTTTTTCACATTTATTGAGCATAATTCATTTGTGTCATTCGCTGTGATTATTTTAATCCTTAATACACTATTTGAACTGATCACTTTTATCTCGTTTATCTTTTGAATTATTAAATCAAAGTCATTATTCAAGTTTTCACAATCTAAGGTCGTCCATGACTTGTCTATTTTATTACTAGCACTGTTTTGATTTGTTGTGGAATTGCCTGGCATTTTTATTAATTTTATTGCACTTAATTTAATTATTTTGTTTAATTTTGCAGCATTAATTGACAATAATTGCACAAAACATTTTAAAATTGACCTGAAACACTGCACACATATCACTTGACTGGCTACGATTTGTTTCTTAGTAATAAAAAGAAATTGATAAACTATCTTATCGTGTTGTTTTTTTTTGTTATCAGTGATTCGATAATTCTGTAAGTTCATTGCTGTATATCAATGTTTTAAGACACTAGCAAATTCGGTTTGTTGAAGATTATTGTCAATTTTTAAGTGGATTTTTGATTTATTGTGGTGCTCAAGATGTTAAACTAGTAAAGAAGCTATTCAAGGATAATCAATTTAAATAAAAAAATATTAGATTAAGTTTCAACTTATTTATATATTTTGGTTAAATATTTTATTCAATAATTTTAATATTCAGTAATATTTTATAAAAATAACAAATAACAAAAATAAAAATCATTTTTTTTTAATACTTTTAATAATTTTAGATAATTTACAAGCTTTTTAAGCTTTTTAAATTCTTTATGGCAGTGTTGTCCAAACTTTTTTGAGTCGCGGCACGTTTAGGGTCAATCCATGACCAAAGTCGCACACAGCATATGGCTTGAATCATTTCTAAAAAAAATTTACTGCACACCAGTGTGCCGCGGCACAAAGTTTGGACAACACTGCTTTATGGCATTAAAAACAATCATTATAGTTCAATTAGATCATGTAACATGTAAGCTAAGAATATCACCAATAGTAAAAATTGCTTTATGTTTACCATAACCAAGTTCAGTCTCTGACATCCTTTCAGTATCTTTTGGTACATCCTCTACATCATAAGACACATTCTGCTTCCTTTTAAATGAAATGTACATTTTAAAGAAGATCAGCAAAGCAATAACTTTCAGTCCACCACCGACGAGATAAAATGCACCAGCAAAGAATGTTATTGTTGTATCATAGATCTTACTGTACATTGGTCCATAGATGGATGGTGCTAGGGACTCTATGAGACCTACTAAAGAGTTGAGACGTGCCTGGGGTTGCGAGTTATTGACAAGGATCAAAAAATTGTGGAAAATATTAATTTAAAATGAGAATTTGTTAAATGATTCAATCAAATTTTGGGAACTGAAAGGTTCATTTACTATAAACTTATTATTGCAGCCATAAAAACTCACCCTTTCATCAACTCCAACAATTTTAGAAGCAATTGATCTCATAGCAATGAATGAAGCATAATGAATAAACTCAACAACAGGTCCAAAGTAAAATTGCAATGAAGTCACAGCAAAAGCATAAATAAAGCTTGCCATGATTTTTGACAGCGATCCAATAGCACCGATTAAGGCATCGTTGATCTTTAAGACAGTTGAGAGTACAAATATCGTTGTTATCGTTCCTGGAAATAAAAGAGAATAAAGTTAAGACGGAGAAGTTTTTTAATTAAAATTAAACAATGAATTGAGAAATAAGCTGAGCGTGATGTTATGGACTGTGCCATTACTAAAAGCTTCTATATTTAATGTGACTTCTTTTCCTTAAATTAAGTGTTTTTTTAAATACTTTTCAACTCACCACACATCGTTATCAACGTTGAGAAAGTAAAATAAACGCTGTAATCAATTTCATTCCAATTAAACTTCAGTCTTGTGTACAAATACATCACAGCTTGTTCACCATGCATGGGTCCAACAACTAAAATCACCACAAACAACAGAATTGAAATTTTTAGTCTTTGTCCACGTATGAAGACAATTTTGAAGGTTTCTATTGGATTTGTTGGGTCAAAAAAGTCGAGAATGAAATTTTTATTTGATGTTTGGTTTTGTGGTAGAATTGAACTCGATGGAGTTGCTTTGTCGATATTTTGAGTTCCTTTTGAAGATTCAGATTTATTTAAAACAGTTTTCTGTGATTTTGATGATTCCTTGATCCAAAAGAGTGCATAAAAGAATGCAATTAGGTGAATTGTAGTTGAGATTAGAAAGACTCCGTAATATCCAGTCAATCTGAAAAAGATAAGATGCAATTGATGAAGATGAATCGCAAAAAATGATAAATTAAGTTCGAAACTTTTGTAGTAAGTTTACAAATTAATCAAAAATTCACCTTAATAGTATCCCAACTGATCCCATGGCAATTGGAAGTCCAATTGAAAAGAATGTGTTTGCAATTCCGATTCTTAATGTTCGATCATTTTCGTTTGTAATATCAGCAATGTAACTGAAAGCACCCATTAGCATTGTGGCCCATCCACCTGCAAAATTTATTTTAAAGCTTTAGGGCAAGAAAATGATCCTTATTGAAGTAAACCTGCACCACAGGACTTAGTCACAAGTCTGATGGTGTTCCAAAGAAATATTATCTTTGCTTTTAACAGTCATAAGTATTCAATCCCGGGATTAAAATGTATGTGATCCCGGGATCAAACCCGAGAGTCAGTACATTTTAACCTCAGGATTGAAACCCTAGTCACAACATTGATTCACACGATAAAACCACGTATTCTCAAAATTAAATTCCGTAACTGAAGAGCTTTTTAAACATTAAATACCCAAAAGCTCCACTTAAGCTTCAAAATTCCAAAAGCATCCATTAAGCTTATTAAGTCTTCAAAATTACCTGTTATTCCTTCAAAAAGAGCTTCTGTGATTCCAGCAACTTCCATTGGAAGATCTTTGAAGTAAACATTCAAAGCTAAACCAGCTGATGAGACAAGCTCACCAAATATCGGAATCAACATGCATGGTCTGTGAAATTAAAAATTTTAAAATCTATTTAGAACAATAGCAAATTAACCCAGCATACTCACTTCCTTCTCCCATGTCGATCACTCCAACTGCCAACAAAAAGTATCAACAAGCATGGAATGAAGCTTTGAATCACAATTTTCCACTTTTGCATATTCACCACAACCTTCTGTACATCAATCTCAACTTCTGTTAAATTATTTGAATCTTTTCTCTTTAGTGCATCACAAATCTCATCACTATAACCAAGATTTACACGACATGCCTTATCAAGATACAAATTCTGTGCTGCATAAGCCGTTAGGACACTTGCAATAATGTATAGCGGTAAAAGAGGTTCAACAGTCACATTTCTTGCAAACTGAGAGATTTTTTGGCGATGAGATGATGATAAAATTTTTATGATCCCCATAATTGACACAACAGTCACAAGTGGTTTAATCTTTATACAAAAAAAAATTGTGTAAATGAAATAAAAGAAAAATACGATAATAAGTTTGCCAACTGTCAACAGCCTCGACAATGCCGGCGAATCAATGGTGATAACTGAATGTAAATAAGATATTATAGGAGAGGCTGTTGAACTCTGGATTGTGGATTTTCTTGAATAAAATTAACTTGATTCAGAATGTTGTTTGTTTTTATTTGAATGGAAATTAGATCAGCGATCCTCGATTTTGATGCAACGTTTCTGTTTAAAATAAGAACTTTTGGACTAAGCTCGAAGCTAAGGAACCAGGTTTATAGCTAGTAATTATTTATGGCAGTTTTAAACGCCCAAACTTTAAAATTTTAAAAATTTGAATTTCTCATCCAAATTGTTACCGGCCGAATAAAAATAATTCAACCAAATCAACTCAGCTCACCTTATCTTGACGAGATCGACTGCAGCACTGACGAGTTTTTCAAGTATATATTTAAAAAGAAAAAAAGTAATAAAGAGTCGAGTCAAATTGTTAAACTGATGTGTGAATTTAAAAACGAATCCTCAAATTACAATTTACATTATTTTATTAGTAGGAATGTAAAATAAAAGAATCTATTCCATATTAAATCATTTGTTTAGATATTATGAATAAAATTAAATATTGAATTATGCTGACTTAATCTTTATGTTGAACTGTTTTGATAATTTGTAAATTGAGTCACACTTATGGTTAATTTTTACAATTTGGGGTGGGTTTCTCAGTTTATACTTACACCTACACTCAGTTCACTACACATTCATTTACGCCTACTTTAGGGTATACAATAGCATATGAACTAGTACATTCATCAGGTGCTGGTGTAGAAGTAAGCGTATACCGAGAAACCCACCCTAGGATTATTTATCAATATTTTCATTCGATTTTATAATGTTTTTGACATTTAATAAATAATAATTCAGTTGTTTTGGTTTTTAAACGTGACTTTATCTTTTTAAGATTAACCGATGTAAACCAGAGATTTCATGAAAAGACTCTATAGGCAGTTACTAATTCATAGGAATTTTAAGTAAGCTATCTTAGTTGGAAGCAAAGTTTTCATGAAAAATCAATTTTAGACCTAAAACAAACCTCTTTCACAGGCGTGTTGCTAGAAAAGTCTTGTCCAACACCACTCTTATCGTTTTTAACCGCAGCAATGGCACGGCCTAAAATCCTTAAGAGGGGAACAATACCCACCTGGCTACGCGCCTGCTCTTTAGACTCCAAATCACCTATAGAATAAAATAGAATGTAATGTAGGGTTTTGCTTAGAGCAAAAACGGCACTGCGATCGATGATCTGTTGTACCATCCCAAGCCATCAATCATAAAATTCCTATGTCCTTGATGAAGCCAATAATGTCCTGATAGTGCTGCCTACTAGTATCCTCATCATTTATGTAATCCTTATCAAAGTGCTTGACACGTTGTACCCGTAATGCTCTGCATTTACAAAGAATATGGTCTTTGGCACAGAATATGCCTCCTTTGCTAGGTATACAAGGATATACTAGCATCTGGATGACTTCCTTACGGCATCTTGCGCACACGAATTGTGACTAGGTACATTGCAGGGTACATCAGGTCTTATGACGTACTCGTGTCTTTGCAAGGTGCAGAGCTTGCAAGTGGTTCGGATCCCACTATAAACTGTAGGTCTAAAGGGTGTGGTACAATAGATTCTGTTCTAATTTGAATCGCAGTGCCTCCAGTTGAAAGGCTGGGCCCTTCACACATTATTATTATTATTATTCCTCATTTACCTTACAAAACCTGCAAATTTTACTGTTAGACAAATTCAATTTAAAAATAAAACTATTGATACTCATGTGTCCTGTCAAAGCACCAATTAAGATGCTAAGATCTTTCCTTGGTAGTCTGAGAGCATCAGATATTTTATTCTTATTTTTAGGACCAAGAAGTCTTTTGGCTTCCTCTAAATTCCAGATACGAAAATGCTGTCTCTACATCCATTCTCGTATGTTTGACTTCAACAAGCCAAACCCAAATCACCTATAAAATCTTAAAAAAAATAAGGCATAGCTTTTTACGACCCCAAAAGTACTTTGTTATTTCTTTACACATGAATAAGTTTGAAGATCATTAGCAAATAAGATTAGGATCGAAGTTTGCTTCTTAATTAGCTGAGACCTGTCAAGTATTAGTTCAATCATTGCGATGTCTGATGCACAAACCAATTGTTATCTCAAATTTTCGGTTGGTTTCAAGTTTCAAGATCATTTTATTTGTGTTTAGTAAAATTAATTACTCATTCTTGATCTGAGTGACATCAATCAGGATTGTGATTGTAAATTTGATTATTTTATTCTGACAACGTTTCAATTAGATTGTTCTGTGGATGATTGATAATCTGGCTGTTGACTTCTGAACAAAAAAGAAGAAATAATCCCGATCGGCACACATTGAAATGTTTGCCACCCGGCGGTTGAGTTATAGTATAACTAGAAAGTTTTGCTAGCTAATTTAAAAGTAAACTAAATATTCCCTTTATGTCTGCGCACCTGAATGTGTCACTGTAAAAGCATATCATTTTTAAACTTAATATCAAATGCTTAGTCAAAAATGAACTTTCAACTTCAGAATGCAAAAAAATACAAATACTGTCAAATCTATCAAATTTGTCAAGAAGTTAAATGAAAAATTAGACATCATAAATTAAGTGACGAACAACCTGCAGAACTTCTTATATCGCAACAAAAGAATAATGACTCAATATTCCATCGGGAAGATTAGAATGAATAAAAATAATTTTCGATGAAAGAGCTTGGCATTAATATTCGGGATTTCGGTGAATAAACAGCAGAAAGAGTTAAAGGTCGCAAGATATTAAAATAAAAAGATTCTTTGAGAAATTGTAAAAAGCTGTGAATTTTTTGAATTTTGGATAAAAAAATAATTAAATTGACAAAAAAATATATTTTTTTTAAATTGGAAGAGACGATTATTTTAGAAAAAAAAATAATTTTACCAGTTATTTTAAATTAAAAAGATTTTTGAAAAATAATAATTTAAATAAATTTTGAAATTTCCAAAAAATAATATTTTGAAGAATTTAAAATTTAAAAATGAAGAAAAAAACATTCAAAAATTCAAAATAAAAAGTCGATTTTAATTTTTTTATAAATATCAAAATTTTCAATCATAAATTAATAAAATGTCAAAAAATAAAATTAATACATTTTAAAACCAAATTTACAAAAAATAAAACTTTATTAAATTCATATTCCAAAGAAATTTAAAATTAAAATTCTAAGAATATTAATTAATATAATTATTAAAACTTCTAGAATCAAAATGACTTATTAATGTGAATAAATAAGGAATGGAATATTTTTGTGCAAAATATAAATATAAAAAGGTTAGTGCTGTTATATTGGACTTAGCTGAAATAAAATAGAAAAATAAAAAAATAAGGTTTAAACTCAACTTAGAAAAAACAAACATAAAAAGTGATAATTAAAAATTAATTTTTATATTTAAAGCAAAAAATACCAAAAATTGTTAAAGATAATTTTTAAAAAAATGCATTGGATTACCAAAAATTTTATTTTCCTATTATGGATTGCTGCTGTCATAGGTGACCATTATGGAGAAAGACGTAAGTTTATAGACCAGAAATATAGTCCAAAATTATTCCAAAAGATCGGCGTTTCTAGGATTTATCAGAATTATTTTCATACAATTTTAATCCAGGAGATAAAATATTGTGAATTATTTGGAAAAAGTTTGAAAATCTTTTAGATTTAATTTTTTCTCAAACCTGAGTGCGTTCAGTAAAAAAATTTGCGTTCAATTTTTCAAAATTAGTCTATGCGACTATTTAAATTGGTTTAAATTTTTACTTTTCACATTTTGTGAATATAATTAAGTTAAAAAGATTCGAATTTAAAATATTATTAAACAAAAAGCTATTTAAATGATAAATTCGTATTTTAAATGTCAATAACCTAAGCTACCAATTTTCATCCTTTTTGAAAAAATTTAAATGTTAATAAGATTCGTACGTTTTTAAAAAAAGACAGATAAGAAAAAAAACGCGTAAAAATTCAAACCAGAATCAACAGAACTAAACTTTCCATTTCAAAGCCTGAACCCGTGGCATTTAATTAATAATTTAATTTATTCTGGAATATTTTGGCTCTTTTGTGATTCATCTAATTTTTTTTTATTCTTGACAGAGCGAAACAGACGGAAAGTTTTGAAAAATTCTCAACAGCGTCACATAACCTACGTCAACCATCCAACAACTGCAGCATTACGGTACTCTGAGCAATTGAATACAAATAAGAAAGCTTTCCGAGCTGTTCTTTTCTACACTTTTGATGACAAAGTTAATAGCAATGAAATTGAGAAGTATGAGTTGAATCCTGAATTATTTGAGAAAATAATTTCGTCAAAAGAATTCATCAAAAAAGCTGAGACTCCTCAAAGTACTTCCAGTTTGATATCCTTTTTCGATGGAAAATGTGATATATCAATCAATTGTCAAAGGGAATGTACTGATCCAAAAGATTTGTGTCCTTGTATAACAACAACGCCCTTTACTACTGTGGCATCAACAGCTCCTGTCACAATTCCCCCCAAAACTACAACAACAGGTCCAGACACCCCCAAAACTACAACTCCTATCACAGACACACTTAAAACTACCACAACAGGTCCAGACATCCCCAAAACTACAACTCCTATCACAGACACACTTAAAACTACCACAACACGTCCAGACATCCCCAAAACTACCACAACAGTTCCAGACACCTCCAAAACTACAACTCCTGTCACAAACACCCTTAAAACTACCACAACAGGTCCAGACACTCCCAAAACTACCACAACAGGTCCAGACATCCCCAAAACTACAACTCCTATCACAGACACACTTAAAACTACCACAACAGGTCCAGACATCCCCAAAACTACAACAACAGGTCCAGACACCCCCAAAACTACCACAACAGGTCCAGACACCCCCAAAACTACAACTCCTATCACAGACACCCTTAAAACTACCACAACAGGTCCAGACACCCCCAAAACTACCACAACAGGTCCAGACACCCCTAAAACTACAACTCCTGTCACAACCACCCCCAGAACTACCACAACAGGTTTAGACACCCCTAAAACTACAACTACTGTCACAGATACCTCTAGAACTACCACAACAGCTCCAGACACCCCCAAAACTACCACAACAGGCTCAGACACCCCCAAAACTTCAACTATTGTCACGGACACCCCGAGAACTACCACAACAGGCCCAGATACCCCAAAAACTACAACTCCTGCCACAGATACCTCTAAAACTACCACAACAGGTCCAGACACCCCCAAAACTACCACAACAAGCCCAGACACCCCAAAAACTACAACTCCTGTCACAGATACCTCTAGAACTACCACAACAGGTCCAAACACCCCCAAAACTACCACAACAGGTTCAGACACCCCCAAAACTACAACTATTGTCACGGACACCCCGAGAACTACCACAACAGGTCCAGAAACCCCCAAAACTACCACAACAGGTTCAGACACCCCCAAAACTACAACTCCTATAACAGATACCTCTAGAACTACCACAACAGGTTCAGACACTCCCGAAACTTCAACTTCGGTCCTTTCTTCCACAACAACCAGGCCTGCATCAACAACAAAGACATATATCCCTCCACCTGGTGTTTCACGACAACCATATACTCGTTGGGCTGGATCTTATCGAAGATATACAGGACAATTTTCATTTGGACATACTTGGAAGCCATTCACTGGAGGATATTCTTGGAGATCAAGACGATATTCATCGATACCAATAACAGATCCAGGACGGTATAGACAACGAAGTCTTGTCAATGAACTTAATCCAGTTGCTAACGAGATATGATTGTAAAAAAATTGAAATTGTAAATAAAAAGATTTTGATGTTTTGTACAGAATTATACTTTTTAATATTTTTGTGTCAATAAAAACAGGATTTTAATAAGCAAACTTAATCAATTTTTTCATACATATATCACTGGCTTTACAGTCATCAATTGTGATCCATAGCCTCCCTTAGTGGGCGTCTGAAAAAGACTCTGTCGCCCAGTCGCCAATACCAAATTCTATGCTTTCTCTGTCAACAGCTTCCTTCCAGGAATTCTTTGGTAGTCCGCGTATTCTCTTTCCATCTTCAAAATGAGACTTAAAGATTTTATTAATTTGAGCTTCTTCAGTTCTCCTGATAATGTGACCAGCCCAACGTAATCTGTTGATCTTGATCCAATCCAAGCTCTTAAAAATGTATGCTTCCTTTTTTGGTTCAAATATTGTTCTCAAGACCTTCCTCTCGAAGACGCCACTCTCATCGTTCGAAGTCATGTTCCATGACTCTGAGCCATACATAATCAGGTACATACAGGTCTAACAGTGTCTTATAAATCTCAAATTTGGCTCCTCTTAGGATTCTTTTGGAAGCAAGGAAGTGTCGGATTGAAAAATATCCACGTTGCCCAGCCAAGATCCTCCGCTTTATCTCCAATGTAGTGTCATGAATGTTGCTGATAATAAATCCAAGATAGACAAAGTCATTGATTATCTCGAACTTCTAATCGCCAATTGACAGATGCGTGTCAACAAGATTTCTAGTCTTTTCAGATGCAGCTACCATAAGGAACTTAGATTTGTCCACGTTTACCTGAAGCTCAATCTTATTAGTTTCTCTTTCCATTTTGGAGTAAGCGTTGGTGATGATTCTTCCAACAATGTCCACTTCAATTCATATCATTCCGGCTTCGACTTGATTTAGATTACATTTAAAATATAGAAAACAAAAGGAAATATAAAGCACATGTTTGAAGATAAAAAGCTTTTGGGGTTAACTAAGTCACTTAAGACCTAAGAAGTTTGATATCGGATTCTGAATCTTGTAAACCTATAACTAGGGTGACCAGATATTTGTTTTAAAAAAAAATAGTCCTCTGAAAAACCAAGCAGATGGCCAGCTTACCCATAACCCAATATCCTTTACTAATAGCCCACATTGCCTCATATTGCAAATTTTTAAAAACTTGATAAAAATATTTATAAAAAAAAAATAAAAATTTAAATTTTCATATTTTAAATAATTAAGTTTTTTTTAGATGTTTTAAATTGTTTCAAATGAGCATGACTAATTCCACCTGTATTTCCAATGGTAATTCCGTTAAAGATTTTCATCTCGCATGATGAATGAATTTTTATGTTCTAGGAATTTTACTTTCCACCAAATCTAGTTTATATTAAAAATCTAGGCAAAAATCAGCTCTTAACTAATGAGTCATTAGCCGCTTATCAGCATATGCTCCAAAAGTCATCAACCTTTTGTGTGCGAAAAACTTGTGTTGGAATTTTGCATAGTTTTTATAACAGGATCGTGCAGCTCTTTTGGGAGTTTTACAATCAACATAATATGGCTGGAACTGATAGTATTTAAGAGGAATTTTAAATTTTCATTTTATTCCATTTCCACATTTCAAACTGCTCATACTGAATTGTAAGGAAAAATTCAATTACAACTTAAAATCGTGCATCTTAGAAAGTTAAAGGAAACTAAGGTCAAAAAATAGAAAGTAAAAATGCATAAAAATTTAAAAGTTGTTCTGCTTTTTGTGACGATAATTGAATTAAGTCATGGATACGAGCACAATTTAACAACAAACTCTGCATTTAATCAATTAAATTTTTCTTATTTATTTTATTAAATTATAATTTTGTTTATAAAGATGCCGAATATTTAACAACACCGATGCCAGAAAAGCGCAGAGCTGTTCGTGGAGTATTTATCTACACCTACGATGACAATTACAATGGAAAAGAAATTGAAATGCATGAATTGAACCCACAAACATTCAAAAAATTAATATCTTCTAAAGATTATGTTGGAAAATCAGTTGCAATTAAGAGTGCATTCAATCTGATTTCATTTTTTGATGGACGATGCGAGGCAACTATAAGTTGTAAACCAGAAATTCATGAGTGCACAGAAAGACCATGTGAATGTACTACAACTACAACAACTTCAACAACACCTAGAACAACTTCAACAACACCTAGGACAACTTCAACAACACCTAGGACAACTTCAACAACACCTTCAACAACTTCAACAACAACAACACCTTCAACAACTTCAACTACCACAACACCTTCGACAACTTCAACAACAACAACCTCAACAAAAAGAACCACAAAGACATATATCCCTCCACCTGGTGTTTCTCGACAGACATACACTCGCTGGGCTGGATCTTATAGAAGATATACAGGACATTATTCATTTGGATACTCTTGGAAACCGTTTACTGGTGGAAATTCATGGAGAACAAGACGATATTCATCAGAAACAACGACAACAACTGAACGATACAGGCAGAAAGAACTTAAAACAGAATTTAATCCGATTGAAAATAATTGAATAAGTTTTTAAAATATTAGCAGAATTACAACAGGGTGCGGAATTAGTTTTTGATCATTTTTGATAATTACCACGTTTTTCTTAACTTGCTTTCTTATTTTTGATGATTTTGATTAGATCCGCACCCTTGAATAACACTGAAAAATTGTCAAAGATTTAAACATTTCTTAAAAATTGTGAATCAATAAAGCAATGAATTTAATTCTTAGTTCCTTTGTTTTAACTTGTCCTGAACGGTTTGTTCAATCGAAGCTGTTTATTGACATTTTCAACTCGGCATTTTTGTGGTCTCATTTTATGATGCAATTTGAAATGTTAATAAAAAGACAAGAAAATCTGTGAATATGCAGCTTGAACCTTTGTAATATTAATCAAGTCTATTTATAGAAAACTAGAATTCGGTGAAGAAATTCGGACATCATTGAAGAAATAGACCGAACTATTCTCTTGTGCGTTTTTAAAAAATCATTCAGTTTCAGTAAGTCATTCGGAAAAAGAGGATTAAGCGGTGAAAGATTAAAATTTAAATTTTTGTTTCTTTATAAAAAAAATAATTTATTTGTTAAAATAAAAAAATTCAAAAATAAGTTTGAAAATTTTTAACAAAAAAAAATGTATTTTAAAAATATGTCAAAAATAATTAAAAGTGCATTTTAAAAAGAGTTTAAAATTTAAAAATCATTTAAGCAAATAAAATACAATTTTTTCGAAACAATTAAAAAATATGAATAAAAGTTCAATAATTTTATTAATCCTTTTAATAACAACTTTATTATGTAATGGATACGAATACCCAAAGCCTAAGTTGATATTTAATTCGGAAGGTGAGTTTGATAAATTTTTATCAATTCTGATAGATTGACTTATCTTAGGTTTTGATGCACTTTTCTCGATTTGATTGCTTGATTTATCTTGTGAAGAATATCTAATGGTCCGTTCACTTATGACGTCCTAAAGGGAGCGGAGGATTCAGCAAGAAATGAACAATAAAATTCCTGGAAATCCATTGTTCGTTTTGAAAAATGACCGTTAATTTCGTACGGCATAAGTGAACGACCCTTAAAGGTTTCCTGTGTTTAAACCTGACAAAAAGGCTAAGAATGTGCTTCAAAATTTGATTTATTGCTTTGTGTTCTCACCAAAAAACATAAAATGAAAATTTTTCAATTATTTACATTTCAATTAGATTTATCTCCGACTTTGACCAATCGTAAGATTGTTCGTGGAGTATTTTTCTACACTTACGATGACAATTACGATGGCAGAGAAGTTGAAATGCATGAATTGAACCCAGAGACATTCAACAAACTTATTTCATCAAAGGATTACATAAAAGCACCAACAGCACTCAAAAGCACATTTGATCTTATTGCCTTTTTTGATGGTCGATGTGAAACTTCTATAAATTGTGAACGAATTCAACAAGATTGTCGATCAACTCCTTTACCTCGTACAACAATTTCAAAAACGACTGCAAGTACATCATCTAGCACCACAACAACTAAATCTACAACAACCAAACATTTAACAACAAAAACTTCACAACAAACTACGACAACACCTTGGCCATCAAATTATGAGCTGCAAAAAGAAGTTTCAAACATATTCTTAGATTTTGCACCACAACTTACAGAACCACATCTTATTGAAATCATGACTGCACTTAAGAATATGAATACTTATACACAATACTGGACAGCATCTCAAGTAGATGAAATTTCATCACGAAATTCTTTAATCGTACAAAGTGAAATGCTGAAGCAAAACACATCCGGCACTGCATCAGTCATGAGATTTTCAGATGAAATTAAGCAGCATATGATCAATTATACGAAGGAGATTAATCCAAATATGAGTTTGGAAGAGATTTTAGGGATGATTAGTATTGTTGAAGAAATTGGAACTGCAACAATGAGGTATTTAACTTTCGATCAGTATAAAGGATTGAGAGGTCCAGTTGTATCTGCATTTGCAAATAATACAGTGATTAATGGATTTGTGTCAACAACAAAAGCACCCACAACAACAACTTCATCAACAACAACAACAACGAAGAAATTAACTATTCCTACAAGCTCAACAGTTAAAAAATTAACAACCAAGAGTCCAACAACTTTAACAGTCGCAACAACTACACAAAAACCAGCATCAACAACCAAGACATACATTCCTCCACCTGGAAGTTCCAGGAAGCCATATACTCATTGGGCTGGAACTTATCGACAGTATTCAGGATATTATTCATTTGGATACACATGGAAGCCATTCACTGGAGGATATTCATGGAGATCAAGGAGGTATACATCAGGCACAACGACAACAACTCAAAGATATGGACAGAAAGGACTTGACAATACATTTAATCCTTTAAGAAACAAGTAAATGAGCCTGTAAAATAGCAATAAATATTGAATAAAATGATTTTAATAGCATGTTGCTGCATCTAAACTTTAATATTAAATTTTGGATTTAATTTTCCAAATCATTTTGATTTACTAGCTTCACTAAGATCACAAAGTCTAATTCTTTGTTTTTCGAGCAATGTCCTGGTTTTTATTAAGAATCGATGGTCACTCTACATACTGCAATATAGTCCATTTATAGAAAACCAGTTTTATATTAGGAAGTTTCAAGCAATTTAAAAAAAAATAATTTTTTCTTCCTTTATTTTTTTTCTTGGTCATTTTAAAAAATTCATTCAGTTCCACCTTGTCATTTGATAAATGCGGATTTAAAAATTGAGAAAACATAAAAAAAATACCAAAGATTTTTGTACATTTTTTTAGAAAAGTTATAAAATCATAAGAAATTTATTAGTGACATTAATTTATAAAAAAAACAATAAGTTTAAAAATGGACAAAAATTAATAAAGAAATGCTTAAAATTTCAAAAATTTTACCAGTTTTGGTAATTTTAATTGAATTTGTTAATTGTTACGATTACCAAAAGCCTGAATTAAAATTAAGTTGTGGAGGTTTGTAATTTTTTTTGTTTAACTTGTTAATTGTCAGCACAAAATAGCATCTAAAGTATTAAATTTGGACTTATTTAAATTTCAACTAGATGCACTTCCAAACCTCATAAAGCGTAAGGTTGCTCGTGGAGTATTTTTCTACACTTACGATGACAATTACGATGGTAGAAAAGTTGAAATGCATGAATTGAACTTAGAGACATTCAACAAACTTATTTCATCAAAGGATTATGTAAAAACACCAGCAGTACTAAAAAGCACATTTGATCTTATAGCCTTTTTTGATGGTCGATGTGAGACATCAATTAAATGTGAACGAATCCAACAAGTATGTCTTCCATGCAGTAAGAATTTAACAACTACAACATCTTCTCCATCCAAAACATCCTCAACTACAACATCCAAATCCCCAACCAAATCATCAGCTCCCACTTCAACAATGCCCGCACCATCAAACATTGAAATTCTTCAGAAAGTTTCAACAATTTTTAAAAATCTTGCTCCACAGTTAACGGATCAGCAACTTAATGAGATCGTGATTGCACATGAACACTTGAACAGATACACACAAAACTGGACAGCTTCTCAATTACACGAGATCTTAACAAAAAGCTCCATAATTTCACAAAACGAAGTTCAATACCAAAATACATCCGTGAATGCAGTTATGAGATTTTCAGACGAAATTAAGCAGCACATGATTAGCTACACAACTGAAATTGATCCTCACATGAGTTTAGAAAATATCTTAGGCATGATTGGTGTTGTTGAAGAAATCGGAACTGCTGCTATGAGGTACCTTACTTTTGATCAGTTCCGAACATTAAGAGTTACTGTTATTTCCGAATTATCAAAAAATAATGAAGTTGTAGCAACAACAAAAACTGTTCCAACCACTAAGGCTTCTACAGCCTCAATAGCTACGCGTCTAGCAACCACAAAAACCAAAAATTCCACAACTAAAACAACTGAACGTCCATCAACCACCAAGACATACATAGCACCACCTAAAAATTCGCAAAAGCCATACACTCGTTGGATTGGACAGACTTACAGACAGTTTACAGGATATTATTCATTTGGATATACTTGGAACCCATTTACTAGTGGACATTCATGGCGAACAAGGACATTTACGTCCAGAACAACGACAACAACTGATAGATATGGACAAAGGGGAATTTATAAAACTTTTAATCCTGTCAAAATGAATGAATAAGTTTAGATAATTTTAAATTTATTCAACATAATCTGTCATTTTTTGAAAAGTAAAATTAAGAAGTCTAATAAAAAGATGAGAAAGTTTGAAAATATGGAATAATAAATTTCAGATAATTGAAAAGAACGTTTCTTCATTTTTGAATATTTTGAGCAAGAAAAGGAAAGGGACCGTTCACTTATGACGTCCAGAGAGAAGAGGGGGGGGGGGCTGACCCCTAAAACAAGAAAAAAAAACAATAGAAATTCTTGAATTTGATGGAAAAATGACCGCTGATATCGGGCATCATAAGTGAACGACCCCAAAGGACCTTTGCCAAAATTTCTTAAAATTTTAGCAGAATGTCAGTCTCTCTAAATCTCTGAAAAAATAATCAATTTTTACAAAACTAGTTTTTTTAAATGAAAAAAAATCCGAGCAACTTAAATAACTCAATTTATCTATTCTCTTTTACGTATGAAAAATTCATTCAGTTTTAGCATAGCATTTGGTAAATGCGGATTTGAATTAATTTTTGGAAATAAAAATAAACATTTCTTAAGAAAAATCAATTAAGTATGAACAAAACTTTATTTGTTATGTTGATTCTAATAAAAAATTGTTTTTGCTACGACTATCCAAAGCCGGAGATAAAGTTCGATTGTGAAGGTTTGTAAAAATTGTTGTATTTATCAATTCTGATAATATAATTCTAAAGTAAGAAATGAAAGATACTTGCAAGTAGAGCTCGAAGTCAACTCGTGATTTTCATTGATTTTGTATGGCGGAGTCAACTTGGAGCTTTGCTTTTAAGGAGTGTCTCAGTCAGTCAAAGAATCTTTAATACCAAAAAAAAAAAATTATATAAATCAATTGAGTCAGCGAATATTTGAGCACTTTAAAGGTTAATACAATGGCATAGTCTGTCACTTTTCATCCAGGGGTTGACAGGCTTTCATCTTGATAATTTTTTTTCTAAATCTAAATACAAAATTTTTATAAAAAGATGAAATCATGTCAACCCCTGGCTTTTCACTGTATAACAGAGACTAGAAACTGGTTCAGTTTCTAATTCTAATCTCTGCTTTTAACCTCAATGTTTGACTTTGTTCTTGAATTCTAAGATGAAAAAAAGCATGTTAAATGATTTTGTTCCAACCTTTTGATACCCCGAGAACCTTATAAAGTCTATCATACATTAGAACTTCTTATCAACTTTCCCCTATTATGCACACAGCTTAAAACTTGTAAGACGTGTGCTTTCCGGGATCATATGTTGCAGCATAAAGTACAATGGATTTTCATGATTTTCTATTGTTCTTTTCTTGCTGACTCTGCCCCCCCCCCCCCCCCCCCCATCCCCTTGCTGTCATGAGTGAACTAAGGTAAAACAAGCCAAAATAAAATTAACATTGAGACTATTTTCACTACATCTAGACACACCTCCAAACCTCGTAAAACATAAGGTTGCTCGTGGAGTATTTTTCTACACCTACGATGACAATTACGAAGGCAAAGAAGTTGAAATGCATGAATTGGATCCAAAGACATTTAACAAACTTATTTTATCGAAGGACTACGTAAAAACACCAGCAGCACTTAAAAGCACATTTGATCTTCTTGCCTTTTTTGATGGTCAATGTGAAACATCAATAAAATGTGAACGAATTCAACAAGAATGTCTTAAAATCTCACCATGTAGTAAAAGTTCAACAACTACCAAGCTTTCAACAACAACAACAACAACCAAACCACCAACTGCAAGCAAAGCTCCAACAACCACAACAATAGCTCCCGAGCCACCAAGCAATGAAATTGAGCAGAAAATTTCAAAAATTTTCTTAGATGGTGCTCCACAGTTAACTAAGCTACAACTTGATGAGATCATGACTGCACTTAAGAAAATGGGCAAATATTCACAAAACTGGACAGCATCTCAAAATTATGAAATCACGACTCGAAGCTCTCTCATTAATCAGAGAGAAATGCTGAAGCAAAACACATCTGCTAATGCAGTTATAAAATTTTCAGATGAAATTAAACAGCACATAATTAATTATACAAAAGAGTTTGATCCTGATATGAGTTTGGAAGATATTCTGGGGATGATTAGTGTTGTTGAAGAAATTGGAACTGCCACTATGAGATACTTAACTGTTGACCAGTTCATAGCTTTGAATAGTAAAGTTGTCTCTCAGCTAGTTAATGTTGAAGATGTATTTGGGACAACAAGTAAGGCGCCTAAAATAACTAAGAGACCAAAAATCTCAGCAACCACAACAACTACAACAACCAAAAGTCCAACAACTTTAACAGTCGCAACAACTACGCAAAAACCAGCATTAACAACCAAGACATACATACCTCCACCTGGAAGTTCCAGGAAGCCATATACTCATTGGGCTGGAACTTATCGACAGTATTCAGGATATTATTCATTTGGATACACATGGAAGCCATTTACTGGAGGATATTCATGGAGATCAAGGCGGTATACATCAGGAACAACGACAACAACTAAAAGATACAAGCAGAGAAGTGTTATTAAGCAATTTAATCCTATTATAAATACAGAATGATTTGCTTGAGTGTTAATTTTATGAGCTTAAAATAAAAAAATAATAATAAAGAATAAATTTTTTTAATTTTTCAAAATATCATGAAAATAATTGCCAAGACATTTTAATTTAGGTTGAATTTATTTTTGAAAAATAAATTTTTGAACCCACCTTGGAATTTTCTGCGGTTTTTTCTTTTATTTAATATTAAAGTATCTTCTGCATAGAGCTAAAGCTCTTGTGCACAAAATTACATTGACAATGTCATTAATAAATATTATGAACAAGGCACAATTTTAGATTGAGGCGTCTCTATCAGAACAGGTAACAAGTCAGAGATTGCAATCCCAAATCGAATCTGATAAAAAATGATTATTAATTTTATTAATTTTATCCAATTAATTATAATGAATGCGATCAAAATTTATAAACTTTTTTCACTTTTATCGACCTCCTGAAATCATAATCAAGCAGCCGATGATGCACACTTAAAAGAATTTATGACACTAATTTAAAATTGTAAGAAGTTTGCTGGCCAAGCAATGATGGTGAAATTAGGATCTAGATTTTTGCCTTAAAACTATTTAAACCAGAATCTTTGAAAAAATCCATTGACGTCAAATTTTTATCTTGTGAACAACAATTATTACAATATTTCCAGAGTTGTATTTTAAAAAAAATCGTCAAAAACCAAATTTAAAAAATAAAAACTTTAAAATTTTATTAAAAAAATTGAAGAATCAATTAAAGTTTAAATCTTCGAGACTATTTAACCTAAAGTTTACTATATTTCTTGAATCAAGGGTTATTTTGGAGCACAACTCTGATCCTTAAGTTTAAATTCAGGATATTTTTTGATATGAAAAACTTGAATTGTGATTTTTAAAACAAAAGTAGTCGTGCGTCAAAGAATAATTCTTTAATTTCACCATAGCTATTCAAAGCTAGATATGAAGTTATTTAGTCAAATTTAACATTTCATATTGTTTTGATAGTTCCATCGGATAACATCATCTTCAAGGTGTAGTTAAAAAATATTAATCTTTAACTTAACAAAAGTTGTGATATTATTTTTTTTAAAAACGGTTTTGATTAAAAGACTTATGAAATTATTTAAAAATAGTATGAAATTTATTTAAGTGGATTTTCATACGTTTCTGGCTTTAAACAACTTTTTAATAATTGAAATTTTTGCTCGAGTATTTTGGAATATTTTATTTAAAAATATAATAGTGCTTTACTTAATTAAAATACTTTTTACAAAAAAAAATTAAACCCCGTTTTTCTTTCATTTTAAGGTTTCAAAAAAAGATTGTATTGAAAAGTAAAATTTAAAAGTGGAAATATGAAAACACAGTTTTTAATCATTGTGGTTTTATTGAGCCAAGTCTATGGCTATGCACCACAGCATTTAACAACAAATATTGCAACAACACAAGCTGAACCACATAAATTTTGGACTGCTGATGGTGAGTCTTCCTTTTGAGAATTAAGGATTTAAATGTTTTGAGTATATATTTGTAGCTAGTATCTTTGCAATAGTCCACATCTGATAAACCTACATATTCCCAAGATTTTTGCAAAATAAAAATAAATTATAAAATTTTTTGCATCTTATAAAGCCTCATTTTTTTCTACTTAGATATTCAAACACCAACCACTCCAATCCCAGTGAAGCGCAGAGTTGTCCGTGGAGTATTTTTCTACACTTACGATGACAATTACAATGAAAGAAAGATTGAAATGCATGAATTGAACCAACAAACATTCAAAAAATTAATATCTTCTAAAGATTATGTTGGAAAATCAGCTGCAATCAAGAGTGCATTCAATCTGATTTCATTTTTTGATGGACGATGTGAGGCAACTATAAGTTGCAAACCAGAAATTCTAGAGTGCACAGATGTACCATGTGAATGTACTACGACTCCAATACCAACCCCTCCAACGACCACCCCTCCCACACCTACCCCTCCCAAACCCACCCCTCCCACACCCACCCCTCCCACGCCCACCCCTCCCACACCCACCCCTCCCACACCCACCCCTCCCACACCTACCCCTCCAACACCTACCCCTCCAACACCTACCCCTCCCACACCTACCCCTCCAACACCTACCCCTCCAACACCTACCCCTCCAACACCTACCCCTCCCACACCTACCCCTCCCAAACCCACCCCTCCCACGCCCACCCCTCCCACACCCACCCCTCCCACACCCACCCCTCCCACACCTACCCCTCCAACACCTACCCCTCCCACACCTACCCCTCCAACACCTACCCCTCCCACACCTACCCCTCCCAAACCCACCCCTCCCACACCCACCCCTCCCACGCCCACCCCTCCCACACCCACCCCTCCCACACCCACCCCTCCCACACCTACCCCTCCAACACCTACCCCTCCCACACCTACCCCTCCCAAACCCACCCCTCCCACACCCACCCCTCCAACACCAACACCACATAGATCAAAAACTATGTCAATTCCAGGCTTGTATTCTCCTCCTCCACAACCATCAAGAAGAACGATTAGATCTTATACAGAATCGTATCGTACTTTTTCATGGACACGAAGAAGCCACACCTATTCACAAATTTATCCAACTTGGTGGAGTACCAGATCACGTCGATCTTATCCAATTCCAACTCTTAAACCAAAAATTAATTACGAACGAATTAGCTATCCTGATGGCTACCGTTATTTTCCACTTAACTATTAATTTTTAAATTTTCCAAATATTTTTTACATTCTTGAAATATTGAACGCTTTTAAAATTCAATAAAATCCCTTTTGCTTACAACCTACACGCAAAGTTATTTGAGTTGAAGTTATTAATCTAATACACGCAAATGAATCACTAAACTTATAAGTTTTAGAAAAGAAAGTTGAAAAAGAGTGAAAGCCAGAACAACTAGTGATTTGAGCTCTTAACTGATTATCGAGACATGAAGATTCTTACACTTACTTACTATCTTGGCTTGGGCGCACATGGGCCCATCGCCGTGTTCAGAGATCGTCCAAAGACAGCTCTATCTTTTGAGACCTTCTACCAGTACGGGATATAAGGGACGTCCTTATCAACACATCCAATCCAGATGTTCTTTGGTCTTCCTCTAGATCTCTTGCCATCCTTATAATCTGCAACTGTTACTACAAGTACTAGGGCATCTTGTGGACGTCAAAATACATGTTCAGCTAATCTCAAGCAATTTGCACGGAGAATCTTTTAGAACCTTTGGATGAAAATTTAAACTAGAAAGCCTGGTGAAAATCCATAAAATCACCCACTGGTTCCGAAACTGCTTCAAGTTACCACTTCTTCTTCACAATTTCATGCTCATTTTTTTTATTCAAAAATAAAACCACAAAAATGAGCAAATTATGGGCATTAGTGAGAGCACACGTAGAACCATTGATTCTCTCACAAATGTTCTTATTCCATTCTATTTGTTAAGAAACTTAAGTTTTTTTGAGGATAATTCATAATTTATGTCCTTTTCAAAAACCAATTGATCACGCCATTCTGTATAAATAATGTCCTCATAATGTATCACTTGCAAGAGAGTATCTCGTCCAAGAGACAGGAGTGTAGCCAGGATTTTTCAGGGTGAGTGTCCAAAACATTTTTTATTGTCTAAAATAAATAAATCCTTCTCTATTTGGTTATTAAAAGCTATTTCAAAAAAAATTGTATGAAATGTCATTTTCAAGGAGGGTTGCTCGGTCACCTAAGGACACCCCCCTGGCTACGCCCCTGTAGAGATCAATAAAGTCTAATATCTTGAAAATATCAAATATTCCTTTCCACATATTTTTAATATGCAACTCCAACTCCGTTATTGTATCGGTATTAGAAAAAATTTTATATTCTTAGGTTAAAAATAACTGAAAAGATTTTTTTATCATTCAAATGTCAAAAGCTATAGCCGTATAATGCTTATAACAGGTTGGCGAGAGATATAATTTATAGATTTATTTTGGCGCTTTTTTTTTTGTTGCTTCTATTTTCTTCCACGCATGATTGATCTGGTGACATACAAAAGTCAAAAATTCAAACTCTTTTGTTTTCAAACTGCTGTCGACTTTGACAAATTTTGGTCAACTTTTCGTAGTTTTGGTCGGTTTTTGTGATCTTTTGGTCGATTATTGTTGAGTTTTGGTCGAATCCGACTTTTGTTTAACTTTTGTCAAATTTTAACCAGTTTTTTAAAAGTTCAAATAAAATTACTTCACTTAACAACAGTCACAACTAGAGCTCGAAGTCAACTCCGCCATACAAAATCGATGAAAATCTCGAATCGACTTCGAGCTTCAGTCACAACTACAACAACATCATCAACAATAAATAATCAACTTCAAATCAGCACGGAAGTATAAGTTGTCTGCTTTTGCACTCTCTCAGCATCTTCGTAGCAAAAAAAGAGCAGAAAAGCAGGAAAAAAAGTCAAATGTCTGTCATCTGAACAGCAAAGCGATTAGGTGGAAGGGAAGAGCTCGGTGCCTGATAAAAAAAAACTATTTCATTAGACTGTGTGAAGTCAAGAAGCTAACACGGGTCGAATCGTGTCCGTTAGCTATAAAATTAATAAGTGCAAAATTGTAGATTTTAAGAACCGTTCTATAAAGTACAAAGAAATATGATAAGATAAATTTTTATTATTCAAAATAATAATTTGTGGAACCAAAAAAAAAAGAGATTTGTGTGAAAAAATATTTATTGAAATAAATTCTATAAAAATTGGATAATAATAAAATGAAAGGATTATTGTGTATTTTTGCCATTCTTGGATATTGTAGTGCAGCCGGATGTAAGTTGAACTGACAATTTTCATTAAGGTTCTGAACTTTAGTTTGAATACTTCTAGGATTTTAAATGATTTTAAGAATAACTGCCAATGAATTCAGTTTAAGTCATTTTCATGTTAGTTGCTAATTGCGTTAAAAAAATTCACAGTCAAATTTGTCATCAATATTGTATTTTAATATTCAGTTTTTATCCTCTTGTATTTGAATTCAAGATGATTCTTAGTAACTGAAAAAGGTAAAATTCTCGACTCTCTTAAATTTTTCGTCTTAACTAATCTTAAATTAATTTTATGAACATATTAAGAGCAAATGTATGAATTCATATTAAATTAATGGAATGTTTTTAAGACCTAGTTCTCAACTCTGAAAAAGTTTAAACTTTAGCTATTCAATTTTTTCAAAAAAATAACTGACATTGACCAAATTAGATCAAAAAAAGTAAACATAGAGTGAAAATCATAAGAAAAGAATTTAAAAAAAAATCATAAAAATAACAGACTTTTTGTTGAAATACTTCGTGAATGGTTAAGCCCAATTTGATTAAAAGTGTTCTTTAAACTTGTATATCTAAATCTTACAGTTTTAGTACATTAAAAGATCATCTGTGCGGTTTTTAGAAGACAATTCTTTATTTATTATTTAAATTTTATGAACTTGCTGCAAAATTCAGATATTGGTTTTCTTTTATTATTTCAATCAAGGGTGTGAAATTGATCAAAATGATCAAAAATGAGCAAAATTTAATTTATTATTTCCGCACCCTTGGTGTCAATTGCTTTTTGACCACATTTCAAAGATGACACTTACTCCTGGATAGAAATTGAAACATGTCCGGAGTCTAGCCCTGAAAAAGCGTAACAGACCTAATTTTCAAGCCTTTTCCATGAAAAATAGATTAAAAAAAGCAAAATGTTAAGGATTTTAGACTGGCTTTGTTCCTTTACATCCCATGCTCAATATTAAATAATTTATTATTTTTTTAAATTGCAACATTTGATTTAAAACTTATCTAAATAATACAAGTTACTTTTATCTTTAATCGTTTTTAAGTCAACATATTAAAGGCCGGGATTATAATTATTACTATTAATTAGTCTTTGAAATTTCCCTCTAGTTCCTGAATGTCGAATTTTTATAAAAATGTTGATCAAATTTCAATTTTTTTTAAACTCGGAAGTAATTATGGAATTTAATTTATCAACCCATTTTGTTAACATTGAATTATTCGTAAAACCTAGAAAAAAATCGAAATAAAGTTTTTTAAATTCTCACACTTTTAATTTTTTTTATTTTTTATTGAAAAATAAATTTAAAATTCAACAAAAACACATCATCGGAAGCAATCAAGAAAGACAATAATAAATAGAATTGACAGATCAACAAGGTCGAATAACGTGATAACCTAGCCATAACCCAAAATCTTCATAAAAGATTAATAATCATAGGTGTGCTTCCTTTGTTCAAATCATTTCTGATTAAAAGCCGAGTTCAAGTTCGTTTAAGTGGCAAAAACTACGACTTGAGGTTATAAGCATTCAATTCATTAAAAAATATTTTTTGTCAATATTATGAAAAATTTTTTTGTCTTTTTTGAATATTATAAAGTCAAGCATTTGAATATTTAAGTGAACAGTTAATCATTTTTTCGTGTCAAATTTCATTGGTTTTTAATTAAATTATTTTTAATTTTTACCGAATTGATACATTTTGTTTCATTTCAATCAATTCTAGATCACAAGTTTATTTTTAGAACTTAGCACACAAGTCAATATGTGTTATAAAATAATAATTTATTCAAGAGATTCTTTAACCCAAAAACGTGTTTATTTGAATAAACGTGCAAAACTTCTTTATTTTTATCGTTTGGTTCTTAACTTTTGGATAAAATCTTTTGACAATATTCAGAAAAAAATAGCTAATGAGACAATACGGGTTTAAATACTGATGCATCACGGATATCTGTTTAAGTTTAATATGACTTTTACTTTTAATTTGGTCGAGCAGATTGTTGATCAAGATCAAGAATTAAATCAGGAAAATAAAGCTTTGAGACAAAAGGTTGAGCTTAGAGAGTAGAATCAAGACTAGGCGACTTAGGTTTCGGAACTGAAAAATCAAATTATGAGTAAAGGACAAGTTGGTAAGGAGAAATGAAGACTTAAGTTGACATCATTTGTGAACGACCTTAACAATATTGAATATTCTTTTTTTTTTGTAAAATAACCGCATTTGGAGTCAGAGACACGAAGAATTACATAATAAACTGTTTAAACTTCACTTCCATGTTCTCACTTCTGCTGTGTCATGGCAAATGTGTCATATTATCAAAGTATTATTAAAGTTTGCCAATTTTTATTCATGATGATTAGTTCCTCATGATCCACTGTGAATCGTAGTGCGTTAATAAAGCGGTTGAACAGGCTTCTGTCTCGGGCTTAAGCAGCTACTGTTACACTATTGCGATTATTTTAGTTGTTTTGGTTCAAATGTCTAGACAATTTGTAGATTTATTAAATCTTCACGTTTTTTTTTTCCTTTTTTCATTGGGGCCGTTCACTTATGACGTCCAGAAAGCAGGGGGGTCAGCAAAAAAGAACAATTGAAATTCCTGGATATCCAATGTTCTTTTTTGAAAAATGACCGTTAATTTTGAAAAATTAACGACCCCTTGTTTAAATAAACATTAAACTTCAAATTTTAAACAGAAATACCCAAAAACTCAATACAAAGTTTTTCAAAAAATATTCTAAACTGTTAATGTTATGCAAAATTCTAGTTTATGGCTGCTCATGTTCACCACTTAATTTATTCTGGATTAAACCGGATGCGTTCCTGAATTAACTGTCTGTTTTATATAAAATTCTTAAGTTATGCAATAACTGAATATTTTAGACGATTCCTGTTCTTTTATTGATCATTATTGACATTAATTGAAAAAGATAAAATAAACTGCAAGCTAACTGTTGGTGGTGCTTATTTTTGATGGTTTATTAATTAATAATTTCATGCTTGAGGTTGGACAAATTTGCACTAGGTATCAGTCTTGTTAAATAAACTTTTTAAGAAATATGTTGATTACTTAATTCCTTCTGGGGCGCACGTGGGCCCATTGTCGTGTTCAGAGATCGTCTAAAGACAGTTCTATTCTTCGAGACCTTCTGTCAGTTTGGGATATTCAGGACTCTAGCGTCCTTATCAACACATGCAATCCAGATGTACTTCGGTCTTCCACTGGAATATGTTAATTATTTGAAGAAAATCTCGAACAAAGATTGTCCAAATTTTTGGTTTGTACGGTAAACTAGAGTTGAATGGAATGCATAAAGTCTCTTCAATAAATGCAAAAATGTCACAATTATTGAAAAATGAAAAAATGATTTTTAGAACATTCGGCAGGCAGTAAAGCTTAGAGAGTTCCTCATATTCTCACTTTGATGACCTTACAGATCAATTGTGATCCATGGCCTTCTTCAGATGCCACTTAAAACTGCCTCTATCGCTGGCTACTGCTTGCCAATTTCCCATACCAAAAACATTTACTCATACTCAATATCATAACTGAATTACTCAAAACAAAATGCTCGAAAAAAAACAAAGTTTTAATTCATAGACTTTTTAATGGACAAACAGTTAGACAGTTGCTGATCCAAATTGAATCAAACCATTCTGAATCTGCATATTCACGGCATACGATCAAATTCCTTTAGATTACTAACATCAATATACTCAAAATTCATTTCATAACTTGAAGGTCAATTAAGCAAAAAAAAGAATAGAACTGACGCATTATCATGATGCTGACCACACAGCTGCAGCTATTTTTATTGCAAAAAAAATTAATTTTCAAATTTTAAACTCTCAGAGTTATTTAACATTTAAGGATTTAACGTTTGATATTTAATTAAAATATCATCTGATTTTTTTTGTTCTTCTATTTCTTGTATTTTTATCAGTGACTGCATTCTTAATCTTATGTCATTTTCATTTATTCAGTCTCGAAAGGTCTTCGTGCCGTGATTTTTTATACACACGATGAGAGCTTTGTTGGATCAGATGTGTCGGTTCAAGAATTAGATGCAAAAGTTTTCGACGAACTTTATGGTACAAAAAAATTCATCATTAAGCCAAAAGCACTAAGCAGCTCGTACGAATTCCTCTCACTTCTTGACAGTCGATGTGACATTCAATTGAAATGTGAGAAGCTTCAGGTACCTAAAGTTGAGCAATTGACATGTCCAGCACCAAAGTCATGCCCGTCTTGTGAAAAATGTCCAGCACCACAACAGTGTAAGAACATTCCAGATACAACAACAACAACAAAAGCCCCAACAACCACAACAACTACAACAGTCAGACCTACAACAACCACAACAACCAAAGCTCCAACAACTACAACAACAAAAACTCAGAAAATTACTGAACCACCACGTACTTACCTTCCAGTTCCAACAACTCCAGAGCCAAGATGTCTTAAAAGTGGAGGTTCAGGTCCATTCTGTTGTAAGAATGGAGCTGATAATGCTGACTGCTGTGAAAATGGTGGATCCGGACCAGATTGCTGTACTAATGGAGGCAAGGGCAAGTACTGCTGTGCCAATGGTGCAAATAATCCAGACTGCTGTGAAAATGGTGGAAAAGGTAAGGATTGAATTTGCATTTTGAAGGTTTTTTGGTACACTCGGAGTCGACTTCAAGCTTTAGTTTAAGTGGTTGATTATTTACAACTTAATAAACAAAAATTAATTTCATTCTCACAATCTAGGATCATACTGCTGCAAAAACGGAGCTGAGAATGCTGATTGTTGCGTTAATGGTGGTTCTGGACCTGATTGTTGTACAAATGGTGGTAAAGGCAAGTACTGCTGTCTTAATGGAGCTAATAACCAAGACTGCTGTGAAAATGGCGGCAAAGGTGAGATTAATTTTATTGTATATTAAAAACTTAATGGACTAGCTTAGCTATTTTTAAGAATATATTGAAATCAGTCTAGATTATTGATACTGCTAAATAAATAAAGATGTTAGAATAGATTAAATTAGTCAAGATAAAATGCAACAGCTTTTTGTTAATTGATGCTTTTATTTTATGACCCACTTTAAAAATCATAAATTTTGTAGTAATGGGATTTGTTTAATGACATGCTTAATAGATTGTCACATTAAAAGCTGTATTTTGTTTATATTCAACAATATGGTCAGGAGCCGGTTTCTTGTGTGGTAGGTTCAAGTCAACTCTGTTCTGAAAATGACTCCAAAATAAATACTCGGTTCTAGGCTCGTAATACATTTTGGTACTATGAACTTCTGAGACTAATCAGAACATGATTGATCTCCTTAACATTTTAAGAATATGAACCAAGATTAAGAACTTATATAGCAGCTATATAGAGTCTACGTTCCTTTAGTTTATCTCCTCAAATGTCTAGTGTTTTACAATTTTTTTTTCTAAATTAGGTAAGTTCTGTTGCAAGAATGGAGCTGATAATGTCGATTGCTGTGCTAATGGTGGTGTAGGCGAAGCTTGCTGTACTAATGGAGGAAGCGGTAAGTTCCTTTTTTCCAAAAGGTTCAGTTCAAAATCGTTAAATTAATCAATAACCGAATTTTGACCCAAATTAGGACCTTTCTGCTGTGCCAACGGATCAAGAATGAAGAACTGTTGTCTCAATGACGGTTCAGGCCCAGATTGTTGCACAAACGGTGGTAAAGGAATGTACTGCTGCAAGAATGGCGCAAACAATCCAGATTGCTGTGAAAATGGCGGTTCAGGTTAGTTCATAAATTAAGCTATAAAGTTGTTATTGATTTAAAATTAAATTCAGTGTTTTATCTGCGATTTTTGAATAGATTTTGTTGATATTTTGTGAGAATTTAGAATGTATTATTATTAATTGAATGACCTCAGCTAGAGGATATAAATATTTATTAGGATTAGAATGATATGAGCTTTATATAATTTTATAGCGAGATCATAAAATGGATTATAGTTTTATAGGTTTAAGAAGATTTTAAAAATGAGATTAAATTATTGAATGGTCAATAGAATAGGCCTCATAATGTGATGGAGATTAAAGGAAGAACACTACAAGTTACTTCTTAACACTTGCTTTAATTGGTAAAAAATTATTTTTCATCAACAGGTAAATTCTGTTGCAAGAATGGCGCAAATAATCAAGATTGCTGCACAAACGGAGGCAAGGGCAAGTACTGCTGTCTTAATGGAGCAAACAATCCAGACTGCTGTGAAAATGGAGGCAAAGGTAAATTTAAATTTGGGATATTTGATCAATTTTTGGATTATAAAATTGTAATTTCATTTTACTTAATTTTACCTTTTTTTTTCAAATTCATAGGCAAATACTGTTGCAAAAATGGAGCTGACAACGCAGACTGTTGTGCTAACGGCGGCAAAGGTGAGATTAAAATCATATTAATTTTTAAAAACAGAAAAAAAAAGTTTAAGTTTTATTTATAAAATATTTATTTGTATGAAAATTAATGCCGGACTTGAATTAAAATTTTTCTCCAATTTTTGACCACAAAAATGTTTCAAATATGATTTTTATGATAATTTTATTTGCAAGATTTATTTGATTTTTCTGTGAGAAAATTGACAATGAATTTAAACTTGGTCTGAGATTATTTTAATTTATTGTTGATTAATTCTTACTTGCGTTAATACAATAGGCATAAATTTTATGTTATGACTAAATTGCTGTAATCTGTAAATTAATTTTGAATCTTCTTCAATTCCACAGGCAAATATTGCTGCACAAATGGAGCTACAAACGAATTCTGCTGCACAAATGGAGCAACAAACAAGGAATGTGCATTGAAAGTTTTGACAACAACAACAACAACAACTACAACAACTAAAAAGTCCCAATCAACCACTTCAACAACAACCAAGAAACCAACAACCACAACGCGAACAATTCCAACAACAACAAAGGACAGACGATATGTCCCAGTCTCATATGTCTCAAGACCAGTCGGTGAAGCATGGACAGGAACTTACAGAACATTTGTTGGAACATTCAGACAAGGATACACATGGTTACCATTCACAGCTACTGGATCATGGCGTACAAGAAAGTATACAACTGGAACATTCACAACAACACCTTCATACAAGAGAGAAGATTACGTTAATGGAATTAGAGTTGCAAGTGAATAAATAAAATTGAGAAATTTTTTGTAATTTTTTTTTCATTTCTTGAATTTGGTACAATAAAAATCTTTTCTGATTCTTTGATTTTTTTTGAAGGAAATTGTAAATTTTTGTGATTTTAATTTTTCGTTATTTTCTTACTTCGCTAGTCGTACAAAACAAATGTAATCCATGACCTTTCTTAGTTGACGCTTATAATTAGCTCTATCGCTGGCTACCGTCTGCCAATTTCCAATACCAAGTGCTAAACTGTCTCTATCAACAGCCTCTTTCCACGAGTTCTTTGGCCAGCGACATGATCTCTTGTCATATACGAAGTCAAATTTAAAGACCTTATTTCAATGGAACTTCCACAGGTCTTCTTATAATATGTCCAGCCAATCGGAGCCTGTTCACTTTAATCCTTTTCACTATATTAGCTTCCTTAAAATCCCAAAATGCTGTTTGTGAAGTACGCCGGAGAAAGTTGTCAGGGAGTAATCAAACTCGGCCTGAATTGCGTCTATATTACGTCCATTTATGTCTCTATCCAGTCAAAAATAATTGCATTGTAAAATTCTTCTAGAATAACAATTAAGTGAGAGTGAAGGTCATTTGACATCTTTGCTCCTACCGCTTGATTTTTATTCTCTCTTATTGACATCTGCAAAAAGATCATTGATGGTCAAAACTTGAAATTCTTTTTTTATTATCAAGCACATCTTCTTTGACTTTTTGTTTTGTTCACCGTTTTGGTCATTTGAATTTTTAATGCCATTATGTCACTGAATTATTTTAATAATATAAAGCATCCTCTAGCGCTGGTCGAGACTATTTAGAATTTTATTTCTAATTCTTGGTTATTTAAACTGGTTTTAGAAACATTAATTTTTTTTTTCTCTGTAAGATGCTTAATAAAAAGTTTTTGGTCATAACGGATTCGGTTAATATTATAAATTTTTACTTTCAATTTCAGCACAATAAAAGTGTTGAGTATGATTGACTTTAAAGAGCATGAAAAGCGCTCTGATAAAGTTATTAAAGCACTTATTGCTCATTTTTTGAAGATTTCCTCAACATAGTCTATTATCAAAGCTTATATTCTTAAATCTTAAAATTTTTACATTTTTGGTAGCTTTAAAATGTCTCTCTATAGCTCGGGACTCGAAATGTTCGAAAACTTAAGTCAGATTGTTGACATTGCTTGCTTATAAACTTTCAAATGTAAGATTTTTAAATGACACATCAATAACTAAGATATCGTTTCTTCTAGTAACGTTCAATTCAATATTGATTGCTGTAAATAATAGGATAGTCTAATTTTAGATTAAAAATAGGTTTTCAAATATTTCCGAATTTATAATTGTTTTTTGCGACTTTTTCATAAAGAAAATTCATCAAATTTCCAACAATAAAATTAAACAACTCACCAGGAAATATTTAAAAACCAAGAATGCGACATCAATCTTACCGGTTAGGTCAAGGCTGCTGTTTGAAAAATTATGCGTGACATTTACAAAACAAGAGATTTAAAATTAATATCTTCCTCAAATAATTTATGCCTCAAATTCTGGTTGAGATATTTTCGATATGTTTTATCTCAAAGAATTTAAATAAAGTAAATCTAGTCATCGAGAATATATTTAGATTCGTGAGAGGATGAGAAAGGGAACTGGTTATTTATGGACCAGGATTTTGAAAAATTCTGGCTAATCATTCAAATTGGGTGGACTTACTTAAGAATATTTTGGTAAATAGAATTTAGATTCTTTATTTTGGACGTAAAATTATTTAAAAAATTTTTTTTGTAGAACTTAATTTAAAAATTTTAAAATCACAAAAACTTCCTTCTTTTAAGAACTTTAAAAAACTAAGCCACTACAAACTCATGATTTTTAGCACATCTCCCAAAATCCACACACAAAAAAAACCATTCGGCACGTGTTGAATATTTTCGCAAAAATTTTCTATTTTTTACCTTCACAAAACTTTGAACCACAAGATGAATCACAAACATCCAGATTTTCTAGTTTACAAAATGACTAAACATAAAGACAAAATAAGTTTCAGTTCTTTCATTTTATGCAAATTAGAACAAAAGTTGGGAATATCAAGGCCGTCTGTTGAATTCTTTATTGGGATCTACGAATCTCAACCTGTTTTCATTTTGGGAGAGATAAAATATTTTAATGGTTTGAGGACGTTGAAAGAAGCTACACAATTCATGTTCATGAGCATTTGCCATTCATCTTTTGAGTCATTTTATATTCTGAATTTTTTAGATAAACTTTCTTGATGCACTGGAAGTGAATATTGGCTATTGAAGTTGATGTCAATTAAAGCATTTGTTTTAAAACAAACAAAAATGCCTTTATAGCTCTTGTTGGCAAGGTACAAGTCACAAAAGTTGCTGTTGAATTTGGACTTTCGGGTTCAAATCCCACCACCAGCCTAGTGATTTTTCAGAAGTTTAGATACTTTGGCTTCTTAGGTGCAGCAGTTTAAGACGTAAAACTAAGAATTAGGCGATGTGAGATGTAGGAACGGGTCAATAATTATGTAGACAGAATGAGAAAGATACGAGAGCCGTAAATTCATTGTGACCTACTGAAAATAGGAATGAAAGCCGACATGATAACTAGTTCTAAGATCTTAGTTTTTAATTGGCTGCTGGATATAAAAAACTGCTTTGTAAAGATTATGCGCTACATACTGAGCTAGCGTACATAATATAGATTTAAGAATTATTAATGTTAAGAATAAAATTAAAGCGATTAATGATTTTACTTAAATTTGAATTTGAATTACTTTTTTTAATTTTTAAATTCTTGATTAATTTCCATATAAAATTTTGTCTAATGCTGAATAAAAACTAAGCTAGAGCTCAGGTTGACTCAAAAGAGTCCAGATTTTATTTTCAGATTAAAAACCAAACGAAAAAAACTGAAAATGTTGAAAATTGATAGAAAATGTCGTCATTTCCAATACTCAAGATTTATTTGCAGAGTCATGTGAAGAAGTTGACTTTAATCGTATTTAATTCACAGCTTGATATTCATTTAAGCTTTGGAGGCACGCCTCTAATGAATTTAAAGAGTTTCAATGATATTATGTAAGAATTTAGACTTCTCAGAACATTAGCTTTGGATTTATGTTGTTGTCTTAAATGAATGTGGCTTATTGACAAGCAAACATATTTTTTTAAGCCTATCCAATCTAGAGAAAATTAAAATTCTGCCTATTTTTTGCTAAGCATGTCATTAAAATTAACATTTTATAATTTATATACTGAATTATCGTTTTTAAAGTTTTAAAAAAGCTATTTTTAAAATTCGCTGGCTTCTTCTGTGCTGATTTGTTCTTAAATCTTTATAGTTTGGTACCTTTATTCGTACAAATATGCCAAAATAAATTAAATTCTTTTATAAACCCAAAGAACATTTTTTATAAAATCATTTCAAATTTGACAAAACAACAACCAAATAAAATAATTTTCCTATTCAATTTTTAATTCTTGTCTGTTTTAGTCTGCAAACTGGAAATTTCACCAAAAATCTTTTAGATTAATTTACCTCTGACATTCTCGTCAAAATTTATTCGTCTTTCCAGTTTTATTGCTTAAATCTCTTCTGTTTGGTTAAAGATTATTATTTTTTTTTTCCAAAATATCTTTGTGGCTTTTGTGTGAATTCTTAATGTTTATATCCATATTTAACTTTGTGAACTCTATACTCCATTTCATTGTGATTTTACATTTTTGGGCGATGATGTTGATTTGATGTTGAAGATTTTTAATGAATTGGAGAATCAGTAAAGCTTTTGTAGTTGCAATGAACTTTTTGTAAGCTTGAGCAAAGCTTTTAAGGATTCTAAGCTTTATAAATGTTTCATTATCATGGATACTTTGCATAACATCATCTATCTTTTAATCATTTTGATGCTCGCAGTTTGTAGGACCGTTTGAGTTGTTTTTTGCAATTTGTATCGACGATTAGGCTAGATTGGCTCTGTAAGTTCCGACTAAAATTGCTTTTATTTTAAAAAATGGATGGTGGAATAAAGCAGTGATAGCCAATCCCTGTGCTATGAAACAATTCAAGAAATTCAATGAATCGTATGCCATGTGCAATTTCTGTCATGGCTCACCAGTAAGTTGTGCTGTGGCTCATGAAAGGTTGGCTAACACTAAGAATAAAATTATGTTTCTGCTCATCAAGACATCTTTTTGGAAAATTTCTTTAGATATGAATGGTAAATTCAGCAATATTAGCACTTCTAGAAATCCTCATTGATGATTTGTTTACACATTTTTACTCTGCATTGCCCTGTTGATGATTAAATAAAGTGATGTTGAAATGGCATAAAAAATTGTTTAAAAAGCTTTCGATGCCGTTTTCGAAGCACAACAACATATTTTGAATAGATTTAGAAATTTTTCTCGCAATCGAGTTTGTTCTCGAAAGATTTATTCTTGAAATTTTATGTTAAACAAAAGCCGTTTTTCTTATCTCTAGATTGTGATTTTAGAAGTAAAAATGTTGCTTTTGAACAGGAAAGACAATAAGTTTCAAATGGATGTGCTGTTGATGAGGATCAATGCGCTGTTTAAATAAAAAATTGTTTTAGACTTTAGAGAAGTACTTGATAGAAATAGGCAATATCGAAAAGAGATAAAATGTCCGGTATCATTGAACAAGCTCTTTAAAATATGATTCAATTTAAGTTGCAGTCTTACCAGCTCTTTATAGATTATCTTCATGAATATTTCGTATTACATGTTATGAAAATTATAATTTTTGAACTAACCTTATTAAAAACTGACCCGTAATCAACCCTCCATCTTATTAGCCTTAACCTTTCGTTATGTTTCTTGAAAAAAAATTAAAAAATGTAATCAAAATGCTGAAAAAAAGTCCAAAAAGACAAATCATATCCCCTTAAAAATTGCCATTTTTTGACAAAAACACGTGATCAAAATCACATTAGCTTCATCATCAATCAATTACTCAAGCAGGCATCGCATCTTTTTTTTTGTAAATATTATATTCAGTCACAAAAAGGTTAAATCGATGTTTTAAATGCTAATAATAGCAAAATGTTCATCAAATAAATCAACGTATCTTAATCATGTGGACGTCTCTTCTTGTATCTTCATCTTCATTCATCATTTTATGTAAATAGCATTAACACGCGATTTATGTTGTCAATGGAATCAAACATTTTTTTTATTGCTGTCAACGATAATGATTGAGAGTGACCGAGACCCTAGTGTGTTGGATTTTTTTTTTATTTGCGGTAGTTTTAGTGAATTTGTAATTGAATTAAAAAAATATGTACTTTTTGTATGTGGCTTATAATTCAGCTTTGGGATCATTTTAAGGAATATGGAGACTTGTTGTGCTTTCGTGACAATTTTTTGCAATTCAGGCTCTAAAATTCTTTTTTAAAATCCTCTTAATGCAGTACTTCTCAAACTATGCTCTACTGCAGACTCTGTTGTCCAAACTGTGTGCCGCGGCACACTGGTGTGCTTTAGAAATTTTTTGTTAATGACTCAAGTTGGATGCTCTGTGCGACTTTGATCATAGTTTACTCCTAACGTGTGCCGTGGCTCAAAAACTTTGAACAACACTGCTCTACTGCTTCGCTAGAAAGTTCAGGTGTTTTGTGAAATGTATGGAGATACTACCTAATATTCAATAAATAAGTGGTTTACTTCGTCATGGTCAAAAAAATTGAAAAACCTAATAATTGGGGTAAGCACTTTGATAAAAGTATTGAACCGCTATGACTCATGCTTATACATATTTACAAACACACGTGAATTGAATCAAATGTTTATTAAAGAGAATACACCCGCGGCATCTTTGATAAGATAAGAAATGAAAAACTACACAATAATAAAGCAAAGATTATTCTGTGTTTGGTTGAGTTCAATGAAAGTCCAGTTTTTGTAATTATTGTGATAATTTATTTTTAATTAAAGGTTTAATAGAGTTATAATAATAAAATGAGCTCTAAGTCAAGTTCCAAGAATAAAAATAAAATGCGTAAGATTTTGTAGTGTTTTCAGTGGTTACAGTATCTAGCATTTTGCTGTAAAAATAAGGTTTCTGACCTCAATCTATTAATGGAAGAAATGTTTAAATTAATCCAAACCTCATGAACTTCCTATGATGAATTATTTTCAGAGCTCGAAGTCGATAGGGTTTAATCGACTTCGAGCTTTGATTCTTTTGTAATCTAGCGTGGTGCCGTGCCAGTACTATCCTGACCGTCAAGAGCAGCCATTTTTACTCTGTGTGCCTTTTGGGCATCTATATCAGTCGGAATGCCCAATTAGATTTTAATTAATTGTTCGATTCTCAATAATAATTTAATTTAATGTTTACCAGCATTCTCATGGAGGCAAAGTAACAACTCTGAAAGATTTCCTAAGCAAGCCGTCCAAGGTGGAACAGACGTTGGGGGACATGAAATTTTCGTTGGTCGTGCGATGCACTGCGATATCATGCTGCCTGCAAAAATAATTCCAGTCACACATAGTGCTTCTGTTTGTGAGCATACTTAAGAACTTAATTATATAGTCACGAAGAATCCATCTTTAAATTCTATTTTTAACAGCCTATAATGGTTCCGAGATTCCAGTTCATAACTATGAAGTGCTGACAGGAAGAGCGAGAAGTTTTAAATGGATCCCAGCTTCAGATGGTAAGTCTAATGAAAGTTCAAGATTTAAATTAACTTAAATTCTACAAAACACAGGAAATGTTGCTCCCGGTGCCATCTCTGTTGGTGAATATGGAAATGAGCATTTATTCATCGGTCGAGCTCCATATCAAAGTTCAATGACAATCGGAAAAATCCATCCATCTCATCGTGTCTTGTACATTCCATTTGGTGGATACGAAGTTCCATTTCAGCATTATGAGGTTCTTGTCTGTGCTCAAAAAGACAAAAACAAGAAAGACAGGAAGAATAAGAAGAAGCGTGGTTCAAGTTCTTCAAGTTCTTACACATCTAGCTCTAGTGATACGAATGATGTTAAGAGGAAATAAATTCATATCCTTAAAACTTGATTTCATAGAATTTTACAATAAATTTTCAAAAATAAAATAAATATTAATTTAAACCCTTCAAGATTTAAACAACAAGAGTAAACGATCCTTCGTAGAAATCTTGCAGGGTCATCAAAAATCTAACGAAACTAATTAAAATGTCAACCACAAACAGCATAAAGCACTGCTGACATTTCTCAAACATGTTGACAGCAAACATTTAATAACAACTTAAACATTTGTATTACCTATTTGCTATGAAGTTTGTCTTGTCGCTTTAATCTCAATAATAACATAATAAATTGATTTCAAGAAAATATGGCACGCGCGTAGAGTTGCAACCTGTTTTACACAGATCTTTATCTTGCTAGCTTTAGTCTAACAAGAATCTATTAATTTGCAGACGAATTTATGTTTTGAGTGCTTGTTTGTCAGTTGGCAATGAAAAAAATGAGAAGATATTTGGAAGTAGGTCTGATTTGTAATTTAGCTATTTTTCGGATTTAAGCGCAGTTTTACACACCTTTTAATAAATTTTTGAATAGTTTCAACCCCTTTTGATTAAGTTTTTATGTAGTTGTGAACCCCTTGATTGAGATTATAGTGTAGTTGTAAACCCATTGCTGTACTTTTCGCGTCTTAGCTAATATTTGCATAATTCTACAAAACGATTAATAAAAACACAACAAAGTGTGCCTCTAAACATTTATAAGTAACGCTAGTAGCAATTTTTGACCTATAGCAACTACTTGTATCTAAAAGTCTAGACGTTTTCCTCCTCTAAGCTCCTTATTAAGCGTTTTATAATAACTAAGAGAGCCTTAACATGAATGATCATGTGCATATAGCAATTTATTCCATCTTACTAAGGCAAAGCCATCAAACAACAATTTGTACACATCAGCATTCACAAACGCTTCTTGATTTTTAAACTCACAGGTTCACAAATGTCAAGGCTCTTGATCATCTTGACACCATTGAAAATAAACAAATTAAATAAGAATTTCTCCATTCATGAAATTATTTTTGAAGATGTTACGAAATTCCCATCAATATCGACGGGAACAATGGACTAGTTATGTAAGAATTTTTCTCATATGCTTCTTAATTCGGCTTAAGTTTACGCAAATTTATTATGTCCAAAAAAGGCAAATTATTATTGAGAACTATTCATCTAATATTATTTGAACTTACCGAGACATTGACCATCTCACGACATTTACTGTAGCGCCATTAGCTTAATTAAATCTTAGCAGATGAGTCAATGATTTTTGGGTATTTTTCAGTTTTTAAAGTTTAAACCTCTTTGATAGACGAAAATCTCAACTTGACATATGCAACAATGATTTAATTCGGATGGTATTAAGTGCTAGTATGGGGGTCATTTGTCGGTAATGTCGAATATTTCTTGGAGGTCAAACACTTAAGCAGTAATACTGGATATGAAAAAAGTTTCATTTGTTTTGTTTTGAAAGAATTTTAGCAGATTTTTCGCTTCGCTATTATTTTGTCTTTCTATAATATAGACATCATTGACAAACTAACCCCCAAACCGCGTTGCAAGTTCCTATTTTAAGCCATTGTGTTATTGAGCTACCTCAATCAATGTTAAGAGATTTTCTTGAAATTAATAAGCCTTAAGTTGAATTGACGATGAGATGGGTCATCGTCAGATTCTTCGATGTGCTAATGATACCCCAATTTGTTGGATTAACACTGATCAAGACAAGAAATACTTTTTTTTGGTACTCATACAGCTGGTAAAGCGTGTGTGGAAATGAAATTAAGAGTGAATCTTCAGTAAGGTCATTGACTTCTTCGTCAATTCGTGTTGAAAAAAAATTATTCGTGTTGTTTTTTCATAAAGCAATGAAGCTATTCAAATGTGTCTTACTAGTTTTCAATTTATTTACTATTATTCAATAAAAAATCAATAAAAATATTTTTTTTGCAGATTTTTTTATGAGCTTTTGATTACTCAATGAATTCTATTTATAGCGCATTTATCACCATTTTTTATAGATTTTCAATTTAACTTTTGCATTTCAAATTTATCTAATATCTTTCAAACTGCAATAAATGTCACAAGAAGAATATTAAGTAAGATAAAAGAACTCATGGTCAGCAATATGACGTTGAGGAAGAGATGACCACAGGTGGATCAGAGGTTAGGGGTGTAGTCGGATCGATAGTAATAATTAAGGGTTGTTGTGATTTTTTATCTTTAAGTTAAACCAAATCAAGGGGTTTGAACATTAAAATGAATTTTCCTAGCTATGCTTCTAGTCAGAGACATCTAGGATGTCCAACTACGCTTCTGAATGACCATTTAATTGGAAACATAATCCAATGGTAATTTAAAAATCTTAAAAAAATCATCTTAAAACTGCGCAGATGGACACCTTGACCATGCAAAATCAAACCCCGGAAAAAACCACAACAAGTTCTATCATTTTGATAAATTCACATCTTAATGACTGATCATCGAAGAATTTCTAATCACAATAAATTCCTACATCATTATCATATCCAAAATAAGATAATTTTTATCAAGTTTCATCAGCTTCTTCTTCGCAAACGTGCAGATGTTTACAAACAAAGGCTTTTATTTATCTACTCACCGTAACCTTTTGCACTTTAAACCAATGTTTGGCTTTGATAAATTGTCATCGCGCCTTGTTAAAAAAACACAAAATTAATTTTCCAATAATAAATTTTTCGTTGAAATTCAAGCAAGAAGAAAGACGAAAAGCGATAATAAAAAAATTGGCAAAAATGTTCCGGTTTCGTTCTCATCATCGTCTATCTTCTGTTCTGTCATCCTCGGTATAAAGTTTGAAAGGATTAAACGAGTCGGAAGCAGGCTGGGATGTTCGAATTTAATGATTTTTTGTTGTTTTCAAGCATAGAGAGCATAATCAACACCATTTTGACCATTTGAATGCTTCATGTGCCTTAAAAATAGGAGAATAAATGTTTGTTATGTTGAATATACTCAAAATGTGTAGTTTACTACTCAACACATTAGAATATTTAACACCAGAATGCACTATACACCACTAAGGTGGATAATGCTGAATTCTAGTGTAAAACATACTCAAAAATGCTTAATTATACATGAATTGAGTTATGTATAGTCTAATGCTGAGTAAATTTGCCAAATAGACGCAAAAAATCACCCCAAATCCACAACAACACAACATCTTCCCACCCTACAATCAAAAATATTTTACAAACAATTCTTCTTATTACTTCAACAAACATACAAAAAAAAGCCAAATAATAGAGTCAACGATAGAGTCACAGCGCAAAAAAGAGGAGAAGAAGAAAACGTGACCGAAGTCAAATGTAGCTATAAAAGACCCATCATCTTACTCAACTGCATTCAGTAAATTTTCATTCGTTAAACCTTCATACCAAACTTAAAAAAATAATAAAAATGAAATTCGCAGTCGTTTTATTCGCTGTCATCGCTGTTGCAGCTGCTGCACCACCAAAAAATAATCCATCTGATGATGTTCAAATTCTTAAGGAATACAATGACATCTCAGCAAGTTCTTATAAATTCGGTTTTGAGCAATCTGATGGATCAAAACGTGATGAAACTGGCGAAGTTAAGCTTATTGGAGAAAATGAAGGTGTTGTAATGCGTGGATCATACGAATATATTGGACCTGATGGAAACACATACAGAGTGAGTTGTAGTGAAGCTTGTGGGAATTGATAGAAAATAAAATGGGACTAAAGTGATAAGTTGTCAGCTCCTGTTAAGACTGTTGAGAATTCAGAGTTTAAAATGCGAGAGGATTAAGAGTTGAACTGATGTAATAGCCATCTAATATGCTTAATAATTGCAAAGCCTTAATAAAAGGGAACGTTGTGGGGTTTTGAAACATAATTTAAAAAATAAGCACAAATCTTATAAACTCAAAATTAAGTTCAATCAATTAAAAGTGAAAAAAAAATTAAAATTTTAAAAAGCTCGAAGTCAACTTCTTTATACAAAAAAAAAACCGAGCTGACTCAAAGTCGGAGTTGACTCCAAAAAACTGAAGTCAACTGGAGCAGACTCGAGTTGACTCGAAAAAAATGAAGTCGGCCAGAGAAAAGTTGAGCCGACTCAGTTTTGAGTCGAATCAAGTCAAATCAACTCGAGTCTACTTGAACCCTATCGACTTCGAGCTTTGCATAAATCTTTAATATCAACAATAAACAATTCCCATTAAAAATTCCCAGAAAAACATTTTTTTTTATTTTTTATTTTCAACAATCTATCGTGAAAGTCAATAGAATAAAAATCAAGTTGTAGAAATATTGTTATTGATTTTTTTTTGTTTTGTTATTCGCAGGTTGACTATGTTGCTGATGAAAATGGTAAGTTGAAGATTATAATTGACTATAAACCAGTGATTCTCAAACTTTTTTGATTTTTGATGATCAAGCTTAGTTGTTAAGTATTTTAAGGTACTTTGATATCATGAAGATTCTATTAAAAAGTCAAAAAAAAAAACCGATTTCAATTTTTTTAATAATTTTATTATTTTTTTAATCCATAAATCAGAATGATAAGAAATTTGTGCTTAAATAATTTCTCTAGTGCCACGGCACATCAGTTGAGAATCACTAAACTACAATTTTTACCAAATCTCATCAAACCCATTGAAAACAAAATTCCAAACTTTTCTAATCTTAACATTTTTATCTTCATTCTCAACAGGTTTCCAACCAACCGGAGCTCATCTTGTAGGAATTGCCGGAAAATAAATTTCTCTTTATTTTCAATCCAATTTGTTTGTCATCAACCATGTGTCAAGTCAATAAGCAACCCTTAATGCTAAGTCAATTAACACTAAATAAGCTATGTGAACCTCAAAGATCAAGGAAACACCTCAATCATAGTAATTTTGTAAAAATTTATCATTTTATGCTCACTATTCAAAGATCTATTAATACATCAGCTCAAAAGTAAACTCAAAAAGTTCAATAAATGTCAAATGTTTTTTTGTATTTAAATTAATTTTATTTTTATTTTAATAATTTACGATTTTCGCATGATTTGTCAATCATTGAGGTATAGCAAGGGTGTGATACTGATAAAATGATCAAAAATGATCAAAAAAATTATCATAAATGATCAAAATTGATTAAAATTGATCAAAAATGATCAAAAATGTTCGAAATTGATCAAAGTTGATCAAAAATGACTAGAGACTTAGTTCTAGTCCTTACAAAAATGATTCCCAATCGGCACACATTGAAATTCATTGAAATATTTGCCACCCGGCAGCTGGGTGGCAAACATTTCAATGTGTGCCAATCGGAATCAACTCTTCTTATTTTCCCCAATAATTACAATCATACATAAGATTAATCCTCTCAATATCTCCTTTACTCAATGCAGTTCTTTGTCCTATAACATTCCGATATTGTTCCTCAGTTGGAACAATTGTTCTCCTTCCATTTTTAGAAAAAGCCAGTGGATCATAATGCATGATTGAATAATAATCATACTTAGTTCCAAAATTACTAAATTTATTTGAATCAAGCTTATCAAAATTAAATCGACTGTCCTGCTTAATATTTTCCCAAAAAATCTTCACATATTTATCTCTGTCTGGATGATTTTGCATGTGATCGTAGCCCAATGTATGGATTAATTCATGAATAATAATTCCGCGAGAGAAGCAACCGTCTTTTCTCAACGACACAACTTGCTCTCCGCCGGCACGTCCAAGAAATGATGAACAATCGTCACCCGAATAAATTAAGATAAAGTCCGACTCTCTTGAGCGAGGTGTGAAGCGAATACATGTATTCTTCTCAATGTCATCCATGGCTAGACGTATCATCGTCTTTTGTTTTGTCGCTGAGAATTAAAAATAAAAATTGAGAAGTTGATGACTTAATAGGATTAATGCGGACATCTTGAGACTCACTGAATCTTGAACTTGACCACAACTTATAAGGAATTGTGACGAGACCATTGTTCTTTCTCCAACGATAATTTGTGTCAATTATTCCTGTCCTTGATGGAAGGTCTGTAGCGTTTCCGAAGAAGAAATTTTCTTGATTCTTGGCAATTATCATGTCACCTGTGGATTGAAACTTATTAAAATTAACATAAATTCTAAAATTACCTCACCTTGGAAATATTGCCCATTCTCAAGTCTTTGCTTGACTGAATCATCAATCAAGAATTCTTCTGTATTATTTGCCGATTTAACAAGCTCATCACTTGACACTAAATCAGCCTTAAAGTCATCAGGACTATCATCAATGTCAGTATCGTCAAATCTACTGATGGTAGTCACAGTTTTATTCACAAAATTCTTGTAATTTGATTTACTGACTTTTTGCTTTAACAGTTTGATTGGATCAATTAAGTCATTAAATCTTTCGTCCTCTTCCTCAAAAAATACAATTTTATCGTCATTTTTGACAGGAAATGCAGCTAATTTTGCTATTGAAATTATTATTATTATAAAATAAAGACACAAAAGAATTCTTTTTGACATTTTTGGTGACGCTTACTAGCTTTATTGTTGTGCAGAAAAAGAGATACAAAAGTTACTGATGAGCGCTGATTTTGGTGACAAACGTCGGATCTCTCCGAGAGAAAAATCGATAATATTTTGCGAGATTTGTTAGTTTCTGCTCATTTAAGAGATCTTTGTTTTTGTTTACTAAGCATGTTTGCATCTGCATTGGTGGTTTAATATTGAACAAACCAGGATGAGCTGAATCAGGCAGTCAGGCACCGATCTGAAGCTTCAAAATATTATTTTGTGAAACCATTTTAATTCTCAAACTTTTCAGGTTAATAAGACTTAAGATGTTCTGTAAGGGTTTCAATCCCAGCATTGAAATGAACGTAATCCCGGGATCAAACACGGAGTTCAGTATATTTTTATCCCAGGATTGAAAACCCTACCCTGTTTTTTCGTTATAAGCTAGTAGCTTAGTAAAATAAAAAAGTCATTTTTTATGGCTCACTAGTAGCTTAGTAACAAGTAGTAGCTTAAAATGAAAAAAACAGGGCGATGTTCTGGTATCTTTTTCGATCATTGGAACATTTGATGTTTTTAAAAATGATGCCATAAATCAATGGTTCTCAAACCTTTTAAATCCAAAAATGTTTGCTAAATAAAACCTTTGAATATCCATAAATCGCAACATCCCTGAAAGCTTAAGTGATACAGTAGCTTAAAATTGAACTAAGTTTTAAAAGCACTGCTTCAAATTGCAATAAAATAAAATGTTTTTTAACCAAAAATTAAAAACTAATATGCCTAAGCGTGGAAGTTAATTCTCAAAGAGTTACTTGCCCCTTGTTTATCGAATTGATGGCACAAAAGGCTTCAAATAAATAAAATTCTTGTTAAATTAACTAAATTACCGCAATGGAAGATATAGTATCAGGTCAAAGTAACTTAAGGATTGCTCTTACATCGTGTGAAGATCCATTAAAAGCTATAGAAGCATTCCAAGTAAATGATTTATTAATGTTTTAATATTTTCAATCAATGTTTACATGTTTTTATAACTTCCAGCTGAGGAATGGAATTGCATTTCAGTCACTGCGCCCAATGCTGCCATTACTTGATCTTCATATGATCCCACGATTAGATTTCCATACATCAATACTCGAGGAATTGAGAGATAAATTGATCCAGCAAATAAATGACATGAATACTAAAACTGATGTTAAGGAACGAGATAAGAAGTTAAAGGAACTGCTGAATAAAAGTTTCGGATTGATTCGAGTTAAGCAACTTCGTCCAGCAGTCATGGCAATTTTAAAAAGTATGAAGCAGATTGATGATAAATACTTGCGAGTTTTAGTCCGTGACCGTGAACTTTATTCAGCATGTGATGTAGAAGTTAAAAGACAAATTTGGAGAGATAATCAGAGCTTGTTTGGTGATGAAGTATCACCTGAATTGTCTCAGTATATCCGTGTTAAAGACACAATCATTTACGATCATTTAAATCTCAACAATTTGTTCTTCTCGCCATCACCAAAGAACAGACGTCAAGGAGAAGTTGTCCAGAAACTGGCACACATGATTGGATCATCTGTTAAGCTATACGACATGGTCCTTCAGTTCCTTCGAACACTCTTTTTACGTACGAGAAACGTCCATTATTGTACATTACGTGCAGAACTGCTTATGGCTCTTCATGATCTCGACATTCAGGAAATCATCTCAGTTGATCCATGCCATAAATTTACATGGTGCTTGGATGCTTGCATCAGAGAGAAGCAAGTCGATATTAAAAGGTCACGTGAGTTGCAAGGATTTCTAGACAACATTAAGCGTGGACATGAACAAATTTTGGGTGACTTGTCAATGACATTATGTGATCCATACGCAATCAATTTCCTGGCAACATCAGCCATTAAGATTTTATTGCATTTAGTCAGCATTGATGGATTACCAAGAAGTAACCAAATTCTGATTTTATTGCTACGAATGCTGTCATTAGGACTGTCAGCATGGCGTATGATTGATACTCAAGATTTTAAAGAATCAAAGTTTGACATTCAAATATTGACAAAATTCCTGCCTGCATTATCATCACTTATGGTTGATGATCAAGCTCGTTATTTCCACTCTCGATTACCACCAGACGAGCGAGCAAATGCTTTAGTTGTAATTGATCACGAAGGTCCAGTTCCAGAGGCAATTGAAGCATATATCCAAGAAAGTTCTGTTGCATCTATTCTAACTATGTACTATGCACTGCATGTAGCTAAACAAAAGGATCGAATTGGACTGTTGAGAATCCTTACAATTTTGTCATCATGCAAAGATGATCGAGCTTATGAAGATCCATTCCTGCATTCCTTAATCGCACATCTAATTCCAATGGCTGATGAGTTTTCAAACGAAGATTTTTGTACTGGATTATTTGATGGATTTCTATTTGCTGGCTTAAACCGTGACAATGTCAGCAAGCACATCATGAAGTTGTTGTGGTATGTTCATGCTAAGATTAACAGAATCAGATTGAATACTGTCCTTAAGGCAATTGAACCAGAATATGTGAATGAACTTTATGACGCATTAGTAAAGAAAATTGAGCTGATTCCCGAACCTATGCAGATTGAGACTAATTAAGGTGGAATATAATAGGATTAAGGACAACTTATGTTTTAAGCGATTATGTAAATTTATAAAAAAAAAAACTATTAAAGTTTACCAAAAGAAGTTCGAGCTATTTTTAATATTATTTGCACAAATGGGATGGAAAAATTCAAATTCTGTCTTAATTTTTTTTTTCAGGAAATGCCAGATCCACAACTTCATCAGAATAAATTACGTGTACTCTTTTAATTTCATAAAGAGAACCGAAAATCAAGTCAGCTTCAATAATAAATAAAAAGTCATTAAATATTTATTCAAATTACAGTAATTGAAGCAGAAGCTATTTAGTAGTGATGATGATAAGGAGAAGCAGAGATATGAACTATTAGAACTGATATAATTTAAATCATATCACTGCAGCCTGTTAGAAGCATTAAAGTAATTAGAGTCGTTGAGTGAAGTCGAGCTCTTCAAAGTACCAAGAAAAAAATATGTCATCGATTATCGAGCAATCAACTTTATCAACACCGTCTGTGACTAATTTTGATGTGAACACATTAACTGAGTCACTAAAGTACTTTGGTACAGCTGATTATGCTGTTTTTGTGGCAATGTTGGCATGCTCAACACTCGTGGGTCTCTATTTTGGGTATAAAGACCATCTGACCAAAAAGAAGAATAAGAAGCTAGGACTTCAAACAAGTGCTGATGATTATTTAGTTGGTGGACGAAAAATGAAAGTTGTTCCGATTGCATTGTCACTTGTGGCTTCATATGCGTCTGGAATCACTCTGTTGGGTAAGTTTGGAACAACAATGTGGAGTTTACTTTAGTGCGATTCATTAGTGAGATCATCAAGCAGTTGTGGAATTTTTATACTTAATATGCTAGTATCGTACGACGAATCAAAGTCAACAGACTCCGTGGGGCTGGACATGTCGTTAGGATCCATGTTGAAACTTCAATTTATAAAAACTTTAAGAATGTATCTGTAGATGGAAAGGCGTGGAAACTTAGGACTAATCCTGAAAAATCCCAAAAATCCTAAAAAATCCCTAAGCCAATGAACATGAAAACCTGAAATCCATTTTAAATCCCGAACTTATTCGTCAAATGCATCAGGGATTTAAAAGGGATTTCACATTTCCATGTTTATTGACTCAGGGTTTTTTTTTAGATTTTTCAGGATTAATCCTGAGTTTCTACGCCTTGTTGAATGACAAAAGATCAGGCGGACGTCCCAAGAACTCTTGGAAAGAAGCTGTTGACAGAGACAGTATTGCATTTGGTGTGGGTAATTGGCAAACGGTAGCAAGCGATAGAACTAGTTTCAGGCGCCAACTAAGGAAGGCCATGGATCACAATTGATCTGTACGGCCAGCGAAATAAGTAAGTAACATGCTAGTCCTGGTTTTGGCTGCAGTTATAGACTTGGATACACGAATAAGCGCTGTAATTCTTAAATCTAAGTTCAAAACAGCTACCTAATGATTATAGGAAAGATCGAATAGGATAGTTGTGGAAAGGACAGGATGTGTTTAGTGATTAGGGAAATTCATTTTAGCATCATCACTTAAATCCAAAAGGTACTCAATTAGACTAAACTGAGTGACTTGAGCCTCTTAGGATTGCATAAACCAGATTTTCTTAAAAAGCAACTCTCAGCTGATGGTTTACAATAAAACCAGCACTACACCGCAACTTGAATCGAAGGTTTGATAGAAAAATGAAAGAAAACTACCGATTTGATAAGAAAAGCGCACTGCTGTGAAATTGGTTCTTAAGAAAGAAAGAACTTATCATAAGTATCAAAGTACCTTGACATTGATTTCAGCTGTTTTGTGCTTATAACTTGAATCATATTAAGTCTGAGATTTTCATCATCAATCACAAAATGTTGTGGAAAGTTTTTTGACATTCTTATCTAATTTAAATAATACAGTAGTACCAAAAGTTTCGACATCTGACATTCATTTTAATTATTTACATTTTACACAATCATTTCAGGTACAAGCACTGAAATTTATCTTTATGGCACTCAATATTGTTTCTTTCTTTTCGCAATTGTCTGTTCCGCATTTATTATCCATTTTATTGTCATTCCTGTATTTTATGAACTCAAGATAACATCAACAAATGAGGTAAGATCTTTTGGATTTTGAGACTTGATAAAGCAAATTTTTGACTGCTTAGTCAATGTTTGGTGCAAAAGGATACTGAACTGGATGATTTTAATCTTTTTTCTAGTACTTGGAAGCGCGGTTCAACAAGAAATTGAGGGTAATGGGATCAGTATCGTTTTTGGTTGCGATCATTCTTTATTTGCCAATTGTAAGTTTATTATTTCAAGATATCTAATTTTGGACAGGGTTCGGTTTTTGGTCTACTCAGGGCACCTTAGGACATAAATTAACTTCATTGTCCTTCAATATGGGAGGACAATATGAGAATAGGTTAAGCTGCCCCGGGTTGCCCTATAAACCGGACCCAGCAGGATGTGACAAAACTGCCTTAAAAGTGGTTTTGAGCCTCTTATAAGGATACAACGAGTTAATAAAATTTGTCCAAGCTAACGCCTATTCACAAAAAAAAAGCTTAATGATGCCTTAAAATGATCAATTACTTTTAGGTAATTTACGTCCCAGCTCTGGCATTCAATCAGTTTACCGGAATCAATATCCATGTCATCACACCAATTTCGATGTTTATTTGCATTTTCTATACATCCTTGGGAGGAATTAAAGCTGTTGTATGGACAGATGTGCTACAAATTACTCTAATGTATGGAACATTGCTGCTGATTGCAATTAAGGGAACATTGAGTATTGGAGGTAAATTGTTGACTTTTTAAGACTAAAACCGAGTGGAACAATAAATATTTGCTATTTAATGTATAAATGAAGCGACAAAAAGTTTATGTTTTCGTTGTGGCTGAATTTTTACGTTTGAATGGCTGCCTTTTGACTCGTTTCGACCTGGTGTTGACTTGATGTTGCCAAACACAAACGGAAAAATTCAAAAAGGTGTCGCATTTACTTCGCCAACAAGGCAGCATGAACTTTTCGTCGCAGGATTCACTTCAACCCACAAACGGCTAATCTAAGACTAAAATCTGAATGTCCATTTTTTCTAGGTCTTGGAGTTTTAATAGAAAGAAATATCGATGGAGGCCGCTTTGAATCAGCCGAGTAAGTAAAACCTAATGAAGCTATTATGAAACATGTCTTTAGTGTTTTCCATTTTTATCATTAGCTTCCGAATAGATCCAACCCTACGTCATACATTTTGGACATTAACAATCGGTGGAACAATCTGGTGGACCTCAATTAATGGAACTAGTCAAGCATCAATTCAACGTTACTTGTCAGTCAAAAATCTTAAAAATTCACAAAAGACTCACATTCTTTTTACAATTGGTGTGATTGTATTAATATCATTGTGCATCTACAATGGCTTGCTGTTATTTGCAATGTATCATGACTGTGATCCTCTGACGACAAAATTAGCAAAAGCAAAGGATCAATTACTTCCATTGCTGGCTATGGAGACTTTAAAAGACTATCCAGGATTGTCAGGACTTTTTATTTCTGGAGTATTTTCAGCAGCTTTAAGTTCAGCATCGACTGTATTAAATTCTATGGCTGCTGTTGTTCTATATGACGTTTTCAACGCCTTCAGATCCACACCACTTTCAAAACGAGGAACTGAAATTGTTATGCGTGGAACTGTTATTATTGCTGGAATAGTTTCTGTTTTGCTCGTTTATGTGGTTGAAAATCTCGGTGCAGTTCTGCAACTTTCAATGAGTATTCCACCTGCTGTTGGTGGTCCAATGCTTGGTGTCTTCATCATTGGAATCATGTTGCCATGGATTGGTGCTCGAGCTACTTTTTATGCCACAATATGCAGTTGTGTTGTCACATTTTCGATCATTATGAAAGCACAAATTGAAATTATGTCTAAAAGATTTAATTTTCCATCAAAGGAAACGTCAGTTGATGGCTGTTCTTATAACTTTACATTCAATCCTCCAGAAATACATGAGACAATTAAGGCTGACTACGAACAAAACCAAATTTACCATATATCATATTTATACTACATTTTAGTAGGATCAACGCTTGTGATTATTATATCAGTAATATTAAGCTTGTTTATGGGTTTTCAAGATCCAAGATCTGTTGATCGAAAGCTTATTGCACCATTCATGAGACGACATATCCATTTTGAACCGGTTTCCACAGAAGAAACAAAGGATGAGGATGAAACAGTTGTAAAAGTTTATGAAAAACAAGTTTTTGATACACAAAAGACTTAGAAATAGACAAATGCACTATCCTATAGAATATCTCATGCACTAGCTATACATACCCTATCTTTAACTATGGTATTTCACTCCCTAGACAAAACAATCAATATGATTCAGTAAAATTCTCCAATAATCTGGGAAAAACTTCAAAAACTGAACCCAGGCTTAATCATCCTAATTTATTTATAAAAGATATATTTTCCTTAATAAAAATCAAAAAATGATTCTCTTAATTAAAAAGAGAAGAATTGAAAAGAATCTAATTGATCATCGCTAATTTTATAAATTCTTTTTAATTTGCAGTAATTTTTGACAGCCTTTATCTCCTAAAATTTTGTTGAATTCATTTTTAGATTAATTTATATTATCTTGTCTTCTTCTTATTTCAAAGCATCGCATTGACTTTTTGAACACATAAACAAATCGTAAAAAGATTCTTTTAAACCCGAGCTGCAGAAGTATTTATTAGTCACTTATCATAACACTTTACATTGTGACTAGATAAATATCACAGATACCTAAATCTTAAAATCACTTAAATTCAGATTGTCCTACCAAAATGCAGATGATAATGCTAAAGTGCGAAGGTTCACAGACACGTTTGGTGCAATCAAAATTGTTTTAAAATGAAAATTTTTTTTTTAATTTCAAGACCATTAGTGGTGAAATGGCATCAGTGGTCTAAGAGATAGAGCGTTAGCCTTACATGCCAAAGGTTCTGGGTTCAATCACAGTACCATTCAAGTTATAGAAGCTCACTTTCTATTTCACCATTCTAGTAACGAAGCTCGGTTTGTGTGTTTGGTGTAGTTTTGAGGTCTTCGGCACATAGCGTGTCTCCTTTGATGGGTATACTAGGATATACTAGCTGGATGATTTCATTACAACATCTTGCGCTCACAAACTGTGACTAGGTACATTGCAGGGTATATCAGGTCTTAAGACTTACTCGTGTCTTTGTAATGTGTAAAGCTTGCAAAAGACCAGACTCTTCTCATGATTTACCTTTTATCAGACCTTTGCTCGACAAATGACATGTTTTCTTAAAAATTCATTAAGATTTGTCTATACTCGAATTCTGACTGCTCGGAATGCACTCTTATAATTGAGAGAGACACAAATGAGAAGATTAATTTTCTTTTTTTTTTGGTAAATGTTGAATGTGAATTATTCAAGATTTTTATTATATTCTCATTTAGACAGTCTAATTTGAGATTTTGAAGTGTTCGGCCAATAATGGCGATAATTACGAATTTACTGGCTATAACATCGCTTTTTGTGCCAATTTTGGCTTATCCACAAGGTGATAAAATTACATATGCACTTGACGATGACAGCAACGATGTGTTATCCCGATTTAGACAATTTGAGATACTTCCATCAAGGAATTCATCGCAAAAATTTTTAAGACATCCAGAAGCATCAACAGCACTCGAAAATGGAGAATATTTTCAAGGTGATATGAAACTCTCGCCAGAACAAGAGAAATATTATCTCACAGATGAGGATCTGGACATAGGTGAAGGTGAAGACGCAGAAGGTGTTGGATCAAGAACTGGAATACGGAATTTAAAATATCGCTGGCCCAAAGATAAAAATGGAAAGGTTAATGTTCCTTATAAAATTGATGATGCTGCAAAATTTTGTAAGTATTTTGAACCAAAGATATGTTGTAGGAACTAAAGTAATTGATGGAAATTATGGACTGATGGACTAGCGGACTAAAAACACTAGCTGTTCCTCAAACTCAATTCGAATTTTTCATTTCAGCTTCATATGAAATGTCAATGATCAAACTTGCATTTGCGGATCTACAAGAATTCACATGCATTAGATACATTCCATATACATCAGAACCTGATTATATATCTATAATATCTGGTCGTGGATGTCATTCAAGAATTGGAAAAATTGGCGGGAAACAAGAAATTTCTCTGCAAAAAGTCGGGTGCTTCTCCCGTGGCACAATCATCCATGAGTTGATCCACACACTTGGATATGATCACATGCAAAATCATGCAGAACGAGACAACTTTATCACAATTAATTTTGAAAACATTAACACTGCTGAAAGACATAATTTTGAGCGTGTAGATTCAAGAAAATATAATAATTTTGGAACTCCTTATGACTACATTTCAGTCATGCATTACGGACCAAAAGCCTTTTCAAGGAATGGAAAAGAAACAATTACACCAAAGCAAGCAGCTTTTAAGGACAAAATTGGCCAAAGAAAAGGATTAAGCGTTGGAGATGCTCAGAGAATCAACAACATGTACGACTGTACAGTGGCAACTAAAAAGTTTTAATGTGAATTTTTGATTAATTGTCTATAACTATAATGAATTGAATAAAATCGGTCAATGACTAAGGCTGTCTTTATATTTTGTCTACGACTAAATTCCTAAAATACTTAACTGTGAATATTAATTTCTATTTAAGCATTAAAGAGTTGATTTTCTTTTTAATAGCTTCTTCCGACAAGCAATTATTTACTCATACACTTTTGACAAAACAAAACAAAAAAACAAGCTCTATAGTTCACTAGCATTGACCTAATCTGATCCCAAATCATCTGTTCTTAGATTATTAAAATTTTTGTTTTGTTTATATTTAGATTAAAAACAGTGTTTTCCAGAAAAATGTTAAAGCTGCATGCTGATATTAATGTTTTAAGTGCTCTATAGACCCAGAAATTAAAGTCTTTTGTGAGAATTGCAATTTAGGTAAAATTATGTAGAATCAAGCTTCCAATCTTTAAATCAGGTTTCGATTAAATTTAGGCTCTCGTTTCAAACTTCCTTGGACGTGACGTGATACAATCTTGTAGCTAGTTCCTTATTTCTCTCGCTACACTAAATTTGTAAATGGCTGGATTCGAACCGACGACCTTAACGACGAAGGTACTTTACTGCATATAAAAAAAAAACCTTTACCTATTCAGATCAATTGTGATCCAGGATGCGCTAGGGCGTGTCGCAGCTAATGAGAGTTTAACGAGTGAAAATGCGCCAAACCACTGCACTCAAGCCTAGACCTACAATTTATAGTGGGATCCGAACCACTCCTTTGCTGACATTTCTGCCTCTAGCCTACAAAGGAAGGCTGTGAGCCCCATTTCCAGTACATTTGATTCGAAAAAGAACAAGTGAAAAATTTCTCATGCCCAGTCTCGAACCCATGATCGCTGTGTCGGTATTGCAATAATTAGGTACAAAAGTACTAAACCATTCCGCCACCGAGCCACTTCAGCTCACGACGAAGGTACTTTACTGCATATAAAATTATATATTTCAACAGCAAGGTATCTAGGCTATCGAGCCATATAGACGTAATATTATGCGTCTATGGCGAGAGTGGTTAGACAACACCTCAACTCTCTTTTGTGAGGGCATGGGTTCGATTCCCACCAGAGAACGGTCATTCAATAATTATATAGAAAGTTGTCCACATGACAACGATTTGCACAATGCCTCACGATATTACAAATTTTTTTAGGTTAGTCTGTTTATTTAAAAGATTGAAGCATTAACGTAACTTAATATTCTGCATTCTTAACCCATATTTCAGATTTCTTACAAATTTTACATGCAAAAAAGTTTCTTTTGCTTACTTGAACGAGCAGAATAAATAGAACTGTCTGCATTGATAGTCCGTAACTTGATTCAGAGACCATAAAAACTGGTTGATATAAAATATTTTTTACGACATTAAAGTCATAAGTGAGAAGATAATAATTTGAATTAAGTAAAATAAATATAAATAATAAATTAGCATAAAAAAATTAAAACAGTCAACAAAGCTTAGATTTTTCTGGTAGCAATAAAAACATTAAAATTGAAAACGATGAGAGAATTTGAGTCTGTTTGTTGTTGATTTATATGTTAATATTTTCATTTTTTTCGATAAACACGTTTTGATTGTTGTTATTGTTTCCTTGTTGCGACTTAATTTTTTTTAATCAAAAAATATTTTATAGTAAGTTTTACTATATTTTGGTGCTTATTAGAATTATTTTTAATTTTGTTTTATTGTAAAATTTCATTAGTTCGCTATTATAAGTGTTTTTTGACGTAGTTTTCCATAAATTTGTGTTGATAATTCGATAATAAATCATAAATTTGGGTTATGTTCATCAAAGTTTTTACTTTCTGTTTAGTAGACTCTTCTTAAACAAAATCATAGATAGCAGCCCTAAAACATTTTAAAAACAACTAAATTCAAGTCAATAAGTTTATCAAAATTTTATAATAAAAAAAATATAAAATTTCAAAACTTACAGCATTAGTTTAAAGTTTAATGTTGTAAACGTTACAAGCTAATAGCTATGAATATTAAATTATTAATTTTGTTTCTATTTCTAAGTAAATCTGCATCTTTTCCTATCGACAACGATCGAATAATTTTCCGAGATGGCGATGAAGTCGCAGAAGTCGAAAATAGAAGAAATAATGCAAATATAAACCAACTTCGATTATTAGATGACACAAATCTCTTAAAATCAGACAATTTAACAGCAGAATTTATTTTTGATGAGGAAGCTCAACAAAAACTTGAAAATGGACAATTTTACCAAGGAGATATTGTCCTAATGGAAGATCAAGTAGAACTACTGAGTGAACCAGAAGATGATAATCAATTTGGGACAAGAACTGGAATTTTGTCAGAATATTGTAGATGACCTAAGAATAGATTTGGAAAGGTCATTGTGCCATATATGTTGTCTAGTCAATACAGTAAGTAAGATTTGAATCTGATTGATTATATGATATTGCTGTAGAACTGGCTCAAAAAAGGTTGAACAACACTACTTTAGAACCAAGCTAAAGGATATAAACTAAAACTATGTTAGGTACTGAATTCTGTCATAAACCTAGAATGTTCCCAATCACTTAAATAGCTTAACCTGAAAGTTTGAGAATAAGACTATAAATATTCTGAACTAAACTCTTATAAATGGCTTCAAGTAAGACTTAGCCTAGCCCCAAGCTCATCAAATTATAATATCCACAAATTTTTATTTCCAGCTCCCAAAGACAAAATCAAAATCATTCTAGCCATGCGAGATTTACAAAAATTCACATGTGTGGAATTCCAATCACGCAGCAATGAGGTAGACTACGTATATATCACTTCTGGAGATGGATGTTCCTCACATCTTGGAAAAATTGGTGGACAACAAGGAATTAGTTTACATCGACAAGGATGCTTATCTAGAGGTACAGTAATTCATGAGCTCATCCACGCTCTTGGATATGATCACATGCACAGTCATTCAGAACGAGATAAATATGTGCAAATTCTTTGGGAAAATATTGACAAAAATCAATATGATAATTTTGAAAAAGTAAGCGCTAGAAGATTTAATAATTTTGGAACTTCATATGATTATTATTCACTTATGCATTATTCGGCAACGGCATTTTCTAACAATGGAAAAAGAACAATTGAACCAAAAGATAAAAGATACAAAAATATTATTGGACAGAGGATAGGACTAAGTGCAGGAGATGCTAATAGAATCAATAAAATGTACAAATGTTTTAAATAAAACTTTTAAAAAAGTTTAAGAAAGACTTAATTTATGAAAATATCCTTCGTGAACTTGAAAACTGTTCTACATTTCAGGAAAACAAATCCATGACCATCTTAATTTGCAGAATATATTTGCATTAATAATTTTAATCTTATTTAACATTATCAACAAATTGCGTTACTTAAAAAATATTAATTTTTAAACGATCAGTTTCGTACACTTGAAGATAACTAAGAATGATAGCTTTAAACTTCAAACTCTTACTTGACGTCAATTATAGTTGATTCTATTAAGTAACATTGCAGCTATCTCAATATCTTAACAATCTTCATCGATTTAGTTCGAGACAATTTATCACAAGCTTCATAACTCTATTTTAAATACTCAATTAAAGATGAAATTTTTGATTATAATTTTATTCAGCTTAACAAGCATAATTTCAAGCCATCCAATCGACTACGATCAAATAATTTTCCCAGATAATAATAAAATCGATGAAATTGTTAAAAACATTCAAGCTACAAAATTTGAAAGTAAAATCTTATTAGATGATCCAAATTTGCTGAAATCTGAAAATACATCAGAAGAATTTTTCTACGATAAGAAGGCAGATTCGAAGCTTGAACATGGCAATCACTTCCAAGGCGATATTGTATTACTTGACGATCAAAAGCAGCTTTTAAACAAAACAGATAGTGACACTAATGTTCATATAAGCACAAGAACAGGACTCATCTGGGAAGGTTATAGGTGGCCTAAAAATGAATTTGGAAGAGTTGTGGTGCCTTATGAGATGTCTGATGATTACTGTAAGTATTTTATCGAGCGACATAAAGATTTAAGTTGAGTTTAGTCCCATTAACGTGTGAACACTATGGTAGTAGTAACAGTGTCAAGGATGCTACACGTATGGAAGTTTGGAGGGAAGGAGACGACATATGGTCGCTCAGAATAGTAAACCTAAACACGGGCCTCGACACCAAGAACTATATTAACGTCACTAATTTCAATTTCACTTTTAGCATACGACGATAAAGTCAGAATTGTCCTTGGCATGAATGATCTCCAAAAGTACACATGTGTCCAATTCATCAAACGAAGCTATGAAGATGATTACATCTACATTCATTCTGGCAATGGATGTCATTCAAATTTAGGCAGAATTGGTGGGATGCAGCATGTAAGTCTTCAAAGAGATGGATGTCTATCAAGAGGCACAGTCATCCATGAGATTATTCATGCACTTGGATATGATCACATGCAGAACCATCCTGATAGAGATAGCTATGTCAACATTCTGTGGAATAATATTTTTGAGAACCAAAAATTCAATTTCAAAAAAGATAGTCCATGGATATTTAGTAATTTTGGAACTCCATATGATTACTATTCAGTTATGCATTATGAGCAATATGCATTCTCAAAAAATGGAAAGCGAACGATTGTACCAAAAGATTCAAGATTTAGTGTTGTTATTGGTCAAAGGAATGCTTTAAGTAATGGAGATGCGAAGAGAATTAATAATATGTATGAATGCTTTAATGATTATTAGTGACATACTTACTGTAACCATGTTCTTATGAGGAGCTAAGGTTACAACAAAAAGTGCTTCTGTTCCAGCAATGACATTCTCTCTGGCATTTTTCTTTCGAAGTGTATGTCCGATCCAGGCGTACTTCCTCATCTGTATCTTCTTGTTGATGTCTTGTTGAACTGCTTTCTCGTGTCATGGTTTGAGGTTAAGTTGGATATTAAAAACTTTTTATAAACTTAGTATAAAATATATATATAAACAGCATCCCTAGTATTTTTATTTTCTAACGGACATATTTTCAAAGACATCCAATACTTGTTTTAAATATTGTGAAAAGCCTGCACCTATTTTTAAACATCCTTACTTCTTGACTAACCTAGTGTGATGTGTCATTGGATTATGTGAATAAAAAAATATAATAATAATCAACCTTTCGTCAAGTTCTTATTCTTTCAGTTAATGTTTAAGAGTGTTTTTTTTGGTTTTCCCTAAAACCTCTAAACCAGTGTTATCCAAACTGTGTTCCGTGGCACACAGGTGTGCCGGAGGACTTCCTTAATAATAATGTGGGAGCGTTCCAGCCAAGCGGTGTGTTACTACACGTTGCGACGAGCTAAAAGTACTGCGATCCTGATCGATGATAGAATCATAGGATGATAGGACATCCTTAGCTGGGTTGTGAAAAAAATATCTAGAGTAAAAATGTGCCGTGGCTGAAAAAAGTTTGGACAACACTGCTCTAAATTTAAATTAAATCTCTATCGACTCAGTTTACCTTCAACACAACATCAAACTCCAGACTATTCTTAAACTGTTGAGAAGGTCATGGATATGTGAGAACATCAATTTATTTCTTGGGAAATACAGAAGAAAGCATTTGTATAATTTTAGGGCCAAACAAAACAAGATTTTAAAGAATTTTGGAAACATTGATTTGGAAATTCCAAATGTATGAAAATCATAAAATTCGTTGTGCCTGGCTTACAAAAATTGTCATCTAATTGACGATGTTTCATAGGACGAGAGCTCAGTTGTCAATTATTCATCACTAAGTTCAGAAGTGTATATTAAAATCATGAAAAATTTAGTTTTTGTATTAAGTTGGATAAACTTAATTGCAAGCCTGCCTATTGACTATGATCAAATAATATTTCCTGACGACAAAAGACTTAATAAAATAATTGGAAAAATAGAAGAATTAAAATTTGACAGATCAAATTTATTAGATGATCCAAACTTGTTGAAATCAGAGAACTTAACTGAAGAATTTCTTTTTGACATGGAAGCTGACTCGAAATTTGAGCATGGGAATCACTTTCAAGGAGACATTGTCCTACTTGATGAACAAAAGAAGTTTTTGAATAGTTCAGTGAATGAAAAAAGTGGTGACATTGGTGCTAGGACAGGACTTATCTGGGAAGCATACAGATGGCCAAAAAATAAAAATGGTAGAGCCACGATACCTTACGAGATATCAAATGTGTTCTGTAATTATCACAATTTACCAAGAAGTTCAAAATAAGTCGATAACAGATTGCGTTCTTGTTTACTTTTCAGCATATCGCGATAAAGTTCGAATCATTCTTGCTATGACTGATTTACAGCGTTACACATGTGTTCAATTCATCAAACGGACTTATGAAAAAGATTATGTCCATTTTTTCTCTGGTGAAGGATGCTTCTCGAATATTGGAAGAATTGGTGGCGTGCAGTACATCAGTTTACAAAAAAGAGGCTGTCTAGGTCGTGGAACAATTTTACATGAACTAATTCATACACTTGGATATGATCACATGCAGAACCATTCAGATCGAGACAGTTATGTCTTCATTTTGTGGAACAATATTATTGAGAAGCAAAAGAACAATTTCAAAAAAGATAATATTAGAAAATTTAGCAATTTCGGAACTCCATATGATTACTATTCAGTCATGCATTATGAGCCTTATACATTTTCTAAAAATGGAAAACCAACAATAATACCAACGGATGCTAAGTATAATAGTGTTATTGGACAGAGGAATTCCTTAAGTGCTGGTGATGCTGAGAGGATTAATATTATGTATAAATGTAAACAATAAATTGACCTTAGTGGTTGTTAAGTTATTTTGTTTCGATAAAAACTGGATTATTGGTTTGGGGTCGTTCATTTAAGGCGTACGAGATGCAAGGGGGAAGGAAAAGGGAAGAAGTGCCTTGTATTTTGTGACAGCTCAAAAAAGGAAAAATATTTTTCCACATCAATTTTGACGGACATCTTAAGTGATTGATTCCTTTCCTCTCTACTCTTTGTAAATTTATCCTAGCTTCTTACTCATGCTAATTTAAGCAACCTTTTTTTCATCGAAAATCGCGTTTCAACTGTCACGCCCAACCCACCACCAAATAAAAATTTCTAACCTCGCCTTTTATCGAGTATAAATAAAGATTATGTGAAGGATTCACCGAGGATCGTGAAACCAACCCCTGAACGCCTACTGTTGAGCTCCAGGCAGCTTCACATACAGTCTACGTATAAGATTTGACCAGAGTTGTTCGGTGTCTTTCAGATACAAGTTTTTATAAATTTCAAAAATCAATAAGTTAAAATAAATTCATAACACAAAGTTTATATTTTAATCATTTATTCTTAAAACTCTGTTTTTTGGCAAGTTTTTTGGGGAATTTTTTCAGCAAGACACACCCGAAACATCTTTGTTAAACACTCATTTATCATTGATAATCGGAGACAAGGCTCTATATTCTTGTACCAGTTTTTTTAATGTTTCTAGAAATATATATTTCTCTTCAGTTTATAGATTTGTATTCTTGTGTTCAGACTGCTTGACTTGCAGTGATAATGAAAGTGATTTTAGTGATTCTTCATACTTTGTTGAGTCTTACACTAGCATTGCCAATTGATAACGATCGTATAGTCTACCCAGACTACAAAATAATTGAGGAAATTGTTGATAGATTTGGAGATTACGAACGTGATCCAAAAAGTTTATTTGACGACCCAAACCTCTTGAAATCAGAAAATGCAACAGCTGCATACTTAATCGACGATGAAGCAGATACAAAATATGAATATGGAACTTTTTATCAAGGTGATATGATCTTGAAGGATGATCAAATGGATATAATAAATAGTTTGAGACCTGTTAATGATCAAGCTGAATTTAATGATGATAGTGATTTGGGAACCAGAACTGGTATATTATGGGCTGGATATAGATGGCCTAAAAACTCAAAAGGAACTGTCATTGTTCCGTATGTGATTGATAGTCATGACTTTAGTGAGTGAATTAAATATTTTTTTTTATAACCTACACTGTGCAGCTATGAAAGTTTTAAGCCAGTGTTGTCCAAACTGAGTGCTGCGGCATACCAGTGAGCCGCAGAAATTTTTCGGAAATGACACAAACCGCATGATTTGTGCGACTTCGATCATGGCTTACCCCTAAGGTGTTCCTTGGCTCAAAAAGTTTTGACAACACTAATCTAAGCTTATATAAAGAGGTTAAGCTTATTTAAATATGCAATTGTGGATTTCTACCCAAACAACTTCTTTGGCTATGGTTTATTCTACACAAGAAATGTGGAAAGAACTCGAAAAGAACCACTTTACTCTAATGACGTATGAAGTCTATTAAAATTGTCATTTCTATAGTCCAATATAGACCTCCATACCTTCGAGCACGATGTACCCCCATAGTCCCTCCTTGATTACATTGAAATCGATAATTTTATCAAAACTTATAATTTCAGACACCTTCGACGAGCTTAAAATCCTGTTTGCTATGCTTGACATTGAAAAATACACATGTATCCAGTTTGTTCCACGTAGCAGTGAGAGAAATTATGTCCACATACATTCTGGAGTTGGATGCAATTCACATCTTGGAAGACAAGGTGGACGACAGCTGATAAGTCTTCAACGCAAAGGTTGTATGTCTCGTGGAACAATCATTCATGAATTAATTCATGCGCTTGGATATGATCACATGCAGAATCATAATGATCGAGACAAATATGTTTATATTCTTTGGGACAATATTGTTGAGACACAGAAGAATAATTTTCAAAAAGTTAGTCCATACCTATTTAGCAACTTTGGAACTCAATATGATTTTTATTCAGTTATGCATTATGAGCCGTATGCATTTTCGAAAAATGGAAAGCCAACTGTTGTTCCAAAGGATTCTAAGTTCAACAAAATTATTGGACAAAGGAATGCATTGAGTTCGGGTGATGCTGAGAGGATTAATAATATGTATAAGTGTTATTCTTAAGGAGTTGATCATAAGTGATGTGTAAGATCATAAAAAGTAGAATGGGAATTAATGAGGAAAAGTATGGATTGTCAGTTATTATTAAGGCGTATACACTCGGGATTTTTGGGACTAATCCCAGGAAATCCCAAATAATCCCAAACTTTGTACAAAAATCACAAAAATCTCAAAAAAATCCAAGAAAATTCGAAAAAATCACAAAAAATCCTAGAAAATCCCAAAAGACCCCTAGTCCCTAACCGACACTTCAAATGACTACAGTTGAATATAAACTACTATATGCACAGTAATCGAATAAAAATCATCTCTATTTTTATGCATTAACATGCAAACCTGTTTCTTTCAAAAATGCTGGCTAAAAAAATATCCAAAATAAATTCTTATTAAAGTTAAATAAATCCATAAATCAAATATTTATTTCAGAAACACGAGCCAAATCGCATCTCAAACAAACCATAACAACAACAATTAGTAAAACATCCCAAAAACATTCAAGAATCCAATGTCAATGCCACACAACTTTCCTCAAACTAGTTTGATCTTACAATAAGATTTTGTCTCATTTATTCTCATCTTCTCAGCAGATAGTGTCTCGCTGTTGCGTTTACAAGTTGTTTTTTTAATCGTAGTCAATAATATGAAATTATTTTTATATTTTTTACTTATTTTTGTAACTAAAATTTCATCATTTCCTGTTAATGACGATCGGATTATTTTTCGTGATGATGATGTTCGAGTTGATGACAGTGTAGATGATATAAGGTTTGACCAATTGCGTCTGTTGACTGATTCGAATTTATTAAAGTCAGACAATGCTTCTAAAGAGTTTTTGTTTGATGAACGAGCACAGCAAAGGCTTGAGAATGGTCAATTTTATCAAGGTGATATAATATTGCAGCAAGATCAACTTGACATTTTGAAATATCCTGATGATGATGATCCATTTGGAACTAGAACTGGAGTGTTGTCGGAGAATTATAGATGGCCTAAGAATAGCAAAGGAAAGGTTATTGTACCTTATGAGTTCTCAAGTGAATATAGTGAGTATTTTGTATTTACTTTTGATCAATTGGATTGTCCGACTGACTAAGTTGCTTAATATGTCCACATTGGATTAACCCATTCATTAACATATTGTCAATGGAAGATTGAGTTGAGTGTGGATTTTTCCCAAACAAAATTGCATTTTTCACAAAATGTTGTAAAATATTCCTGAATGACTAGGTATTCCCATATGCCGAATGACTGGAATGGTGCTGGCTTCGATTTAAATCCAGCGCCATGCCAGAGTCACAACGGCTTGAAATCGGATTTCTGATTAATTAACCGACTTGTGCAATTCGTGCTAAGGACCAATTTTAACCAAGTTAATTCAGAAAGCTCTTTTCATCAATTTTTTTCAAGTTCATAAAAAGTTTTGACTCATTTCTTGTTAAAGGAATTTCCAACTTGAGTTCCTCTAACAGGTTTTTCAAAACAGTACTTTGATCTTCGTGGAGATGTAAACAAAATAATCCATTGACTAAGAAATTCAATATGCCAATCTTTTCATATTCATTTCTTCTTTTTAGCATTTCGTGATCGCATTAGTATGTATCTTGGCATGTATGACTTGGAGAAGTATACATGTGTACAGTTCAAGTCACGTGACAATGAAGAAGATTATCTTTTTATTAAGTCTGGCAAAGGATGTTCGTCCAATCTTGGTAAACTTGGTGGTAAGCAAACAGTCAGTTTGCAACAAAAAGGATGTCTTTCACGTGGTACAATCATCCATGAATTGATTCATGCACTTGGATATGATCATATGCACAGCCATTCAGATCGAGATAAATATGTAGATGTTGTTTGGGACAATATTGATAGGAAAAGTTTTACAAATTTTGAAACAGTCAGCGCAAAAAAATTCAGTAATTTTGGAACTGACTATGACTTCTATTCAGTCATGCATTATTCACCAACGGCATTTTCTAAGAATGGGAAACGAACCATAATTCCTAAAAACAGCAAATACAGGAATGTTATTGGACAAAGAGTCGGATTGAGTGTTGGTGATGCACAAAGGATTAAAAATATGTATAAGTGTCAGTGATATTCAAATTATGAGATTCATTCTTTAGCTTGTAATGATTGTAAAGTAAGGAAATTTTAATAAAAATGCTGATTGAAATTTTAGGTATTTTTTTAAAATGAAATTAAGAAGTTTGGTTGCTGAAAAAGCTGTTTTGAGAGCTTTATAACATCTCAAAACAGCTTTTTCAAGACTATTATGTGTCTGACTTCATAAGGTATATATGAAATAATAATTACTGAATAGTCGTGACTAATATTTTTAAACTAAGAATGTTCTGAAACCTGATTCATAAAGTAAGCCGACAATTATAAAATTAACCTTAAAATTTCATTGCACGTTTATGAGCCATAAAATCTTTTGTTCTTTTTCCAAAATTTAATTAACAATTAAAACTAGAAAATTAAAATTTATAAAATTGTAAGAAACTTTGAATGATCTTGCAGTTGCAATTGGAAGTTCTTGTATTGAAAATTAAAATAAAAATATTAAAAAAATGAATTTTCCGTTGATTTGCATTGCATTTATTACTTTTGCAAATTTTGCATCCTCACAAATTCCAATAATAAATCTCGCAGCCAACGCAACTGCATCGATTGCAGCGAATTCTTCACAAGTTTTAAGCACAGGAACCGATAGTAATTTAATCAGTAAAGTTATTACACAAAACCAAAGTGCAAATGCAGAAAATCAATCCGCAGCAGCGGCAGCAGAACCAGGTTCTTCAGATACGTCGTCAAATAATACAAAAATTTCATTACTTCCAGTTCAAATTGTAAATGAAATAGAATCAAATGATCAGACTGAGGATTATTCAGAAGAAGAAAATTTTAACAAAGATGAAGAAATTGAAGGAAATAATGAAGCTAAAGCAGGCACAGAAAGCGATTTAACAATTGACGAAGTTTTGTTGCCTGAATTAAAAAGTACAGAAGACAGTGATGAAGAACTAAGAACACAAGATTCTAAAGAGTCTGAAGAAAAAGATGAATTTGAAGACAATGAAGTTCAAACACCAAAGCCACGTTCAAAAAATTCTAAAAAATCCAAAAAAGGTAGAAGAATTGAAAAGCTAGTTTGTCATGCTGAAATTGAGATTGATCCTGAAGAACCAATTTTTGCTGAAAATTTTGAGAAAAATTTTGAATAAAGTTTGGGATGGGATTGATTTTATAAATCTTGTTCATTTTTTGTTCGTTTAATATTAGACTAAGGAACTGCAAACGGTACAATAGATTCTATCATCGATCAGGATCGCAGTGCCTTCAGCTCGTCGCAACGTAACACACCACTTAGCTGGAACCCTCTCACATTATTATTATAATTATTAAGATACTACCAAGAAGCTCTGCTGCTGCATTGAACCCTTTTAATGCCAATTGAATATTACTTCCAAATAACTTATATCTTATTTCAAACAACCAACTAAGTTGCGTCCATACACACACTTAAATAACAATGAACATAATCTAACATTAAACTCCCAAAAGAAAGTTCACAAAAAAAGCGAATCAATTTCTCATTTAGCTCAACACAAAGCTATTAATACGCAATATTCTGCAATCTTGAACAAAAAAAGCTCTACAAAAATTGGCTAATAATGAAATTTTAATGAGCACTTTGCCACTCAATGTTCATGATCATAATAATTTAATTTTGGAATTTTGTCAATGACACATCGGAAAATTAAGCTTTTTTAGGGCTATGCAAATTGGTCTGTATTTTTAATATAAATTGTTCTGTTTATGGTACACTCAATTTAGTTGAAATGTGATAGAAGATTGAAGAATATTGTAGTAAATTATTTTAAAAAATATATAAACTTATTAGAAAATTCTGGATTTTAAAAAAATCATATTTTGTGTCAAAATAATTTCTGGATTAAATTTTGTGCTGCAAAAAATTAATTTTTAAAAAAGATGATAAAATTATTTTCACTTTCGATCATATTTCTAATGGTAATGAGTGCTTGTGGCAAGCCTCAACTGCCCCAGACAACACCAACTATTCCATCGTATGTGATTCTCCCACAAATTCCAAACAACTTTACACCACCACCCCCAGGACAACCATCATCATTCAGTATTAATCAAATTCGAAATCGTAAGTAAAGTTTCGAACAATATTTAACAATCGGAAGTTGTTTTATTCGAGTGACTAATGTTATGATACATGTTTTAAAGCTGGTAAATAAATCTTGAAATGCTGTGCAATCGGCAGCCTAGAAGCTTAGTGCATAAATATCACCCGAACGGCACAAGTCAGTTAATCGATCAGAAATCCAGCACCAAAATGGTTCTGAATTTGAATCGAAGCTAGCACCATGCTAGAGTCAAACCGGCTTGTCGCTGGATTTCTATTCGATTAACTGACTTGTGCTTCGGGTCAATTACTAAGTGGATACTCATGAGTCCAAGTAAATAAAGGAAGAATTTGGATTGACTGACGTTAGGCTAATATTTCAGTTTGTATTGATTAGTATACAGGAACTCTCAGTCATGAAAATGACTAAGAGAGATAAGTGTCTCTTCAATCATTTAGGACCTAGTCGTGACAACTCATGATTAATCCTGGAAAATCCCAAAAATCCCTGAGACAATAAACATGAAAATGTGTAATCCGCTTTAAATCCTTGATGCATTTGTTGAATAAAAAGGATTTAAAAGGGATTTCACATTTTCATGTTTATTGGCTCAGGGATTTTTCAGGATTTTTCAGGATTAATCCTAAGTTTCCACACCTTGTTAGGGACTATTAATTTATCTTTTACAACAAGAATGGGTTTTATGGTTTGAACCCCTACCTTTCCTTCTAATACTCTTAGACTCACTCAGATAACCTAAGGGAAGATTTAAACAGAGAAACCTGCTTCAGGGAAGTCAATAAACTTACAAATCCACTTTGATCTCTAAACTTAATCAATAATTTATCATTTGCAATTTACATAGCTAATCCTCAATTAACCCTACTTGCTTACTATATTAAACTTAATCAATTCAATTTTAGGTCGAGCATCTGCCAACAAAACCGCCTTTTCCTCACCATCTGCCTCCTTTTCCTCCTCCCGATCATCATCTGAAGAAAATCAATCGAAAACCCATAAAAAGAGTCCAAATGGAAGTACGACATTCAGAAAACCTGAACAACACGATGAACCAAAATTACTTGACTCAGGAAGGGCAAAAATAGAAGCATATTCAGCTCCATTGGCACAACTTGATCTACCTGGAATGATGCCACCAGTTACACATCGCATGTTAATCAATGAATCGAATGCTGATGGTTTATTAGTCTTTACTACTCCTGGGACCACAACTGTAGCAACAACCATACCAACAACAATGACTTCTGGTGATATTAAAGAGACAACACTGGGAAATGGACATTGATTTTTTTGTAAAGTGTTGAAATGAATAAAACTTAAGATACATTTTGGATAAAACTTAATTTTAATTTTACTATCTAAAACTTCAACTTAGTATAAATCCTAGCAAACCATCTAATAGTTCAAGTTACGTCACTACATGCTGTATTATGTCATACTCCCGAATGGCACAATTCGGCTAGTCAAAAAGAAATTCAGCGCCGATAAGGCATGACTCTAGCATGGCTTCGATTTAAATCCATCACGATTTCAAAGCCACACCGGCTTGATACCGGATTTCTGATCGATTAACTGACTTGTGCCATTCGGGACTGTGTCATGCTATCTAATTAGATTCTTATTGCATTTTAAACCCTCAAAAGTGATTTAAATTTAATTCAATTAATTCGCATAGCTTAATTCTTAGAAATTCTCAATTTTATTCATTAACTCCTTACAACTAATGCACGACACATCACTATCGCTTAAAAATATCAATATCAGAATGACTACTTTTATTTAATTTCCCTAATCTTTTAGCATTTGGCAGTTGAGTCAAATGATCCACAACAATCTTATTTCTCAGTCCAAAAAATCGATCACCATCTGGAATAATGATTGAAGATCTACATTCAGATGCTTGCAGCAGTTCTGAGTGAACATCATCTGCTGAATTGCCAATGAATTTTGTGTATTGATCTGATTCCTTAAAAATCTCGAAAAGAGGGAAATTTCCATTGTCGAGGATCCTGCATATAAAGTTGGTTCCATTAAAGACCCTCGAAATTTTATATCCTGTTGGATATATGACATTCTCTGTATGGTAAGCTGGCCGGTCGTAGACAATTTTACCAAAATTTAAAACAGTAATTCCATCATTTGAGAGGATCAGTGGCAATCGTGGAATTTGTGGACCCACTTGGACTTGCTTTTTGATAATTGACGTCGATCCAACAAGTTTTTTGACTTCATATGGACGCTGACTCATGCTGGCTTCTGAGTTTGTGTCGGAATTTTTTCTTTTGTATTTCACAACTGCTTCTGTGCTGGATGTGAAGAACTCTGGTTCATATTCAGCTAGCTTTCGAAGAAGAAAGTCACGTTCCATTTTAGAAACATCGATTGTGTTCTGGATTTTAGAGATGTTATCGCACAAAGCTGAGTTTTCCTAAAAATTAAGACAACTTTTATTTTTTGAGTCAAATTTTTATTTTAAATTTACTTACAACAACAATATTTTTGACGGTCCGCTTCAGCTTTCGGATTTTTCTCTCAAATGTGGACATGTTTGGAAAGAATTTATAAAACTTTTGCTTAAATTCAAATATTTTACTTCAACTTAATTCTTTAAATTTCACAAAAACTTTAAAATTATTCTCGATTGTTGTTGATTGCAAAGTTTTTATGAAGCTAATGTTTACATTAATTTCTAGAGTTCTACACTTTGATAAGTTTAAATATGCATGCTTCAATTTTTGGCGCAATTTCTAATAAGACCGTTATGCGATGCATGATAAATAAATGCAGTAGCTGAAGCCTTATGTTGACTATGAATGCTTGTCCTATAAAATGATAAAGATTCAATGTACTTTTTATAAAACTGAGGCAGAGGACTAGCCAGTAAAAGTTTTGGAAATTATCAAAACAAAAATCTAGAACCCAAGATTTTAACTTTATTTTGACGGACCTAATTGGACAGTTTCTAAGTTACTCTACTAATATTTAAGATTCCTACGTCTTTGTGTAGGATGTGTTTTCCATCATTTGCGTTACTCAGACCTAAAACACTGGTTGTCATGCTTTTATAAAGCCAATGTGAGTAAATGGAAGTTAAGTCAAATATCTGTATAACAGCATAGGATTCCACTCAATTTTTCGAACAATTTCAACAAAAATTTTACATATTTTCTTTATGGTCATTTTAATAATGTGCTAGAATAGCTTAATCAAGAAACTATTGAAATATTGGAAAAGTTTGATAATAAATTTGGAATAATTGAACCAAGGTTGCGGAACTGAAGAATTACATTTTGATCATTTTTGATCATTTTTGATCGTTAATGATTATTTCATCAGTACCACACCCTTGAACTGAACTTGAACATTTAAGATTAGACGGCTCTTTAAGTCGTATGAGTATACTTAAATTATTATGAAAACATTAACGACATTTGAAACATTTCTTGGTAGTAGAACGAGCTGAAAAGACTCGATGGCGTAATGGGATAGTACTTCGGTACCTAATTACACAGCTTTCATGGTTTCAGACTCGGCAAAGAAAATTTTTCACTTGTCCTATTTCAAATCATATGTCCTGAAAATGAGGATCACAGTCTTCCTTTGTAGGCTACGGGCAAGAATGAAATCAAAAAAAGAGGTTCGGATCCCACTATAACTTGTAGGTCTAGGTTTGAGCGCAGTAGTTTAACGCATCCTTACTCGTTAAATTCTCATTAACTGCAATTAAAATTAAGTATCCTAATTGTTCCCTAAGAAATTTACTCATAATAATTTTGGCAGTTTTTTTTGAAGAATTTTAATTTCTTACAAGATTTCATCAAAATATTTTCACAATACTTTTATTAAGCCATAAATCCCTTAATACCCACGAAACCAAGCAACTCATAAAATCATCAAAAAAAGTGAAGAAATATTAAACCGAAAATCCTCGACCAAAAAACAATCGAGTACAAAATAAAAGGAATAAAGATGTGCTCAATACTAAACATCATCCACTTCTACCTGCTTTGTTCAATTTAAATGGCTCGTACATAATATTTTTATATGACTGATGCATCTACGTGCATCGCAAAGTCTCTAGAAAGGCAATAGAACAATAAGAAAAGAAGGAATTGGTAAGAAGCTAGGTAAAGGAATCGACGTTTAATAAGAAAAATCTCAAGGAATCCTAATCAGAGAATTTTTTCTGGGCGATTCTTTTATTGCATCCGAAAAGGATCGATTTTGCTTACCTAAGTCTTCATGCCATCTTTCTTCTTATTTGCCTTTTTATCGTCTTGTTCTTGTGTAGATGTGTTGAGGTTTTTATCCATTCAAATGCATGACTGAGGCAGTTTTGCCTCTCAAATTTCTCTTGACGAGATATTCCAATAAGGTATATGTTAAGGAAGGAATGAAGGAACCGAAGGAGAGGAATGAGAGTGAAAATCGAAAAGTGTAATTCCTGTAAAAATATATTTTCCCTCCAAAAATTTCGGATGACTGTGTTTGAAAATGATGGGAGATTTTTTTTTGAAAATTAAAAATTTTATTTTAATTTTTTTCAGAGATCGAAGCCGATTTTTTCGGCTTAACTCAACTTTTGATTTTTTTTGATAGAAAAAAGCCATTTGACACCCATTTCAAGTATTTAAATTGAACTTTACATGCTTTACGATGATTCTGTGTAATATTTTGTCAGCATGTAGCTATAGGAAGCTCAGAATTTCAAGTTAAAGAATGTTAAGCCGAAATTTAAGCCGATCGGCTTAAAATCGGCTAAATTGAAATTCTGAGCTCATTAAAATACTTTCAATAAAATTTAAAAATATTCAAATGTAGTATAGTTCAAATTCTAGAAAATCTTCATCAAAATTTGTGAATCTTTAAAAATATGCAAAAACAAAAACAATTTAATATTCAAAACCTTAAATTCTTACCAACTTTACAGAGTAATAAAACTTCAGAAACTTTTTCTAACGTGACATTATTTACAAATACTCCCAATAAGAAAAAAAGGATCTTTTGATTCTCAGAAGAAATTTTTGGTCTCATTCATTCTCAAAATCACCAAACGTAAAGTTCATGGATAAGAAGTTTTGTTAATTTTAGTCTATTTTAAATAAATTCCAATATAAATTATTTAAGTTAAATATTAGTTATGTTACATTAAGTTCTGAAAGTTAAAATAATAACAAGAACCAAAAAAATAGAGTTAAAGAAGAAGTTTAAAGTGATTTTTTGCTAATAGGAAGTCTAAAGTTTTATTGGATTTAATTAGAATTTAATTTTCATTGAATGTGGAATAATTAGAAAGGTGAGAAATTGTTTAAAATAAATTAAAGAATTTAAAACAAAATTATTGATAATATTTTTAATTTTACTTTTAATAAAAAACCGTTTGTTGAATTTTAAGATATTTTAAAAAAATAAAAAAAATTACAATTTGTTCAATTAATCCTCAAATCCTCAAAAAACCTAAAAACTCCTCCAAAATTCCGCCAAATTCTTCAACAAACCATCCAAAATTTAACCCAAAAATTCTTCAAATACCGACTTTTTATTTAAATTCCATGATTGTATGTGTGTGTGCTCTCAAATTTCCGTTTACAATAACACAAAAAAAAAATTCTTTTTCGCTCCAAAAGATCTAAACACACACAACCATGAACGTGCAACAACAACAACAGCAACAAATTTTAATGAATGGATCGTCTGCAAATCCGACACTCCAGCATTATTTGGTGAATAATCATTTAGTCAATAACACAACAGATCATAACATGAAGAATGTTCATGTCCAAATTGTGAAGCGTGAACAGCCTGGAGAACGTTATGTCCTCAACAGACAATTTGTACAGAATATCCAATTACAGCAACAACATCAAGAACCACAAATTATTTATTGGGCGATTGTGGAAATTGAGTCAAATAATGAAATAAATTCTTATGCCTTAGTCGAGTCCAAAGATGTAATTGGCAACCCAAAACTTGAATCTTTAACAACTGGCAAGCTTGTGATTGTGAATATTAATGGGAAACAGAGAAGAGCAACTATTGTGATGGCCTCAAGTAAGTCACTTTTCAACACATTTTTTAAGGCACAATGTGATGAACATTTGTCAATTTTTGAAGGATTTTATTTGCAAATTGTGAAAGTTTATTGACTTTATGGTCGGTTGTAAATTTATTTGACTTACCTGGAGTTATGGTTGGGGTTTGTCAAGCGCACAACCTTTATTTTGTTCTTTAAAATCGATTTTGAGATAAAAATAATGAGGACTTACTCAACATACATGAGGATGTTGTGTGCCAACTTAATGCACTTACTGCAAACAAGTAGGATCATAAGTGAGACTATTGCCGCACCTAAAGTAATATGTCATCTTGGACATGCTGATTTTAGGCTTATGTCGTAAGAATCAAACGTCGAACTAAAGTTCAGATTAGCAGTGTCCATAAATGTGTAAACTGATTTCAATTCCTTTCCATTTGTTATTTTTCACGTCCTTATCATAACTAAGCTGCATTACTTTCACTAATTTCATTCACTTTTCCCAAATTTCAGATGACAAAAACTTTATATTCGCCGAATATAATCAACTCAACAAAATGGCTGAAGACAACCTCAAACTCCGTGAAATTCAGTCCCGCAAACGTCGTCGCATTAGTGGATCTGATTCAGTCAGAAAAGATGTTGAAGATGATTCATCACTTTCAGGCTGGTCTGGTGTATCACAAAATGTCAATTCAGAACGTGTTGTGTCGCCATCACCGCACATTCAAACTAAAAAGACATATGAACGATATTGTCCACCAATGCAATATGATCAAGGAACACAAACAGATAGTAAAACTACGGGCGAAACTCAGGACTTGAGTGATAAAATTAGGGAACTCCAAAAATTAGTTGAAATTAATGAGCACATCTTAAATGAGCAGAAGGGACTGAAAAATGAGGCAAAAATGAACAGATTCCTGCTCGAGTCATTTTCTGATGAATTTTCAGCCATCAGGAAGAGTATTCAAGCCATAGAGACTAAATTTGAAAATGTAAGCTATGAACGTCCAACATTTGAAGCTTTACCACAAGAAATGGAAAAGAAAAAGGTTCTTAATGGATCAGCAGCTCAACAGCAACAACAACAACAGCAACCATACTTTATAATAGAAACTGCTGTACAGGATGCTGAGAATGCATCAATGTCTCTCACAAATGGAAGCAATGTAGAGTATACAGTTGAGGAACTTCAGGCTGATGATAGTGAACGAAGTACATCGAGAATCTCATACCATGACCAAACATCAATGATGTCAAATGCATCGATGGATGGAAGTAAAAAAGACTTCCGTAGAAGTCATTCATCCTCAAACTTTTCTGTAATTTCATCAACTCCACTGGCTCGATCGAACAGCTCATCAAATCTCATTGAAGAATGGGCCGATATGGAAGGTGACGTAATTATTGGAAGTAACCAAACAACTGTTCCTATTCACATCCTTCGATCAATTGATTGGAAGAACTTTAAAGCAGCAACAAGGAAGCTTTTAGTCTCTTTGTTTCCACGTGCTGTTTTAGCAACAAGAAGTCTTACTGGACGTCCATCACCAGCATTTCATGACAGAAATAAGCCAGTTAAGGAGAAATTGGATCAAAATATTATTAATGACATTATTCAAATAGTCACGAGGAAGTGCGGTATCCATGAAAGTCAAGTGAGGACAGCAATTACTACAAAATGTGCTGATGAGAATAAAATGATGAGAAGTCGTGTAGAAAAGACAAAAGGAGATGGTGATGATAAGTTTAAGGCACCGGGGAGTGTGAATGATGATAAGGAAAATTTACTGATGGATAATTAAGTTGTTAGGAGTGCTATGATTATTAGGGTAGGTTAAATTTCATAAATTAGAATAGATTCGAGGTAAAGTTTTGAGTTAGGGTGAATATTTCAATTATGTTGATTATTAGAACAGGAAAGAAAAGAACTGGATATATAAGTGTGAATCATTTCACGGCACACCTTAGGGATAAGCAATTATCCCCTTAATCTTAATTAGTGTGCCACGGCACACAGTTTAGACAACACTGTTGTAGAGTCTTACATTTAATGATCACACAAAGTAAACGCTTAGTTATCATAATTGTTATTAATTTAATTTTAAGGCCTCAAAATCAATTATACAATTTATTCTGTCTCATTTATTCACAATTGACTTATCTTAATCATGAAAACATCAAAAACAAGACTTGAAAGAACAATTTTTAAGTTTTTCTTGGTTTAATTTTTGAAAATAAACTTAATAAATTCTAAAGTATTAAAAATAATCACCAAAAGTTGAAAAAATTCGCTATAAAAAATACCAAAAAGCAGTGCAAAAGTGCGCAATAATTGAGACAAAGAAACAAGACAAAAAGAAAAGGAAACAAAAATATTAAGACTGAAAATAAAAACTTTTTTGTTGTAGTTCTTAGAATTATGGTGTGCACCTTTTTTTGGATCCAATAAGAATCTGACAATAAAAAGGATTTTCTTTGAAAAAATATATAAAAACAATTGTTTTTTTTTTAAAGTTACAGAATGCTGAATAGATCAGTTCTGAAAATTTATTTCAGAGCAATTTGGTGTGCCAGATGATGCAACATTCTCGGAAAGTTGAAATAAAAGATGAATTCACCATGAAACTACTATCAACTATAAAACTAAGTCAGTATATAGGGAAAGATCCTACACTAGTCTCAATCAACTTTTTATTTAAACACAAGAGTGCTAGACCAGTTAAGCTTTTGGGTTAGGTTGAATTTTTATCTTTATCGCAGATTGGACATTTTCATGAGCCGTTTAATGAATTTACCTGAAAACCATCTCACGTATAGCTTAGAAATGACAGCAATTCAGATATAAAAGTAATAATAATCCTTTATTTAATTCAATAGTTTAAGGCGGAACAGAAATGACAATATTCTGATATTAACCTGTCGGTTTTAAATCAGATGATATAATGAAGGTAATTGATAAAATGAAAAGAAGCTATATAATGTGACATCTTGATATGTGGTCCAAAAAATTTAACAAAAAGACCAATATAAAAAAAAAGAAAAATATTATTATTCAGATATAAAAGCCAGCTTATCTTATGAGAAGGATTATCCGGAAAATTAAGGAGCGCAGTTAAGTGTCTCGCTGGTCGAATAGGTAAGGCGCTTGGCTCAAATTTCGTATGGTAACTCGGAGGTCGTCGGTTCAAATCCAGTCATTTTCAAATTTGTTCTTTTTCGGAAGTTTAGATACTTCAACTGCTTAATGTACGAAATCAAGCCATAATTGGGCATTAAGGCAACGTTGGAACAAGGAACGGATTAGGAACTTGAAGTGTAGCTAGAGAAATAGGATCGAGAGCTACAAGATTACTCATGAATGGAATATTGTCAGAACGGACCTCAAATGTATCACGTCACGTCCACAAAAGATCAAAACAAGAACCTTAATTTATTTAAAACCTTGATTTAAAGATTGGAAGCTATATCACCATAGTGGTATGTAATGTATCACTAATCACTGAAAAAGTATTATATACATGTATATACATGTATAAATACGAATTCTTCCGGTCGGTAAAGTCAACAAAAAAATAAATAATAATATTAACGAATGTAGCCTGTGTGAAGTACGCCGGTCCAAGTTAGAATTTCGAGCTGAAACTAGGCTTGTTTATCAACACTTTTGCGACAATTTTCGACATCTATTTAGTTTTTTTGACACCCTTTAGTTGTCGAGATTTTAAGGGTTGAATTTTGGACAAAAAGCCCGGCGTTCTTCACATTTTCTGCCGGGCCCATTTCTAAAAATAAACTTTATTGCAAATGTTATATCTCTTATTAATAGTACTTTTTACGACACTTTTCGACACGTAAACCGTTTTAAGATTTGATTGTTCCTTGTTGAGTTATGGCTTGTCAAAGTTCTGGCTGCTGTTTTCACGGACCAAAATAAAATCAACTTTTACTAAAACTAGTGTATTGGGTAGAAACCCAATGCGGATATATTCACACCGTACCATCAAGATTTAGACCAAGATTTGCTCAGCATAAGTTTGAAGGGTGGGCGTGAAGTACGATACTAGGGTCGCCCCTAGTCTAAAATTGAAAATGCTTTTCCTACTTGGTTTTTTGCTCAAAAAAATTTTGGAATGTTTTATTTGTATTTGTTTTAAGCATTGACATATTTATGCAAAGTTTCAATCCATTTGGATAAACCCTCGAAGAAAAAAGTGACAAAATTGATTTTGACTAGGGTCGCCCCTAGTCTAAAATTGAAAATGCTTTTCCTAGTTGGTTTTTTGCTCAAAAAAATTTTGAGATGTTTTATTTGTATTTTTTTAAGCACTTGAATATTTATGCAAAGTTTTAATCCATTTGGATAAACCCTCGAAGAAAAAAGTGACAAAATTGATTTTGACTAGGGTCGCCTCTAGTGCAAATTGAAAATGTATTTCCTAGTTGGTTTTTTGCTCAAAAAAATTGTAGAATGTTTTATTTGTATTTTTTTTAAGTACTAGAATATTTATGCAAAGTTTTAATCCATTTGGATAAACCCTCGAAGAAAAAAGTGACAAAATTGATTTTGACTAGGGTCGCCCCTAGTCTAAAATTGAAAATGCTTTTCCTAGTTGGTTTTTTGCTCAAAAAAATTTTGAGATGTTTTATTTGTATTTTTTTAAGCATTTGAATATTTATGCAAAGTTTCAATCCATTTAAATAAACCCTCGAAGGAAAAAGTGTCAAAATTGATTTTGACTAGGGTCGCCTCTAGTCCAAAATTGAAAATGTTTTTCCTACTTGGTTTTTCGCTCAAAAAAATTTTAGAATATTTTATTTGTATTTGTTTTAAGCATTGACATATTTATGCAAAGTTTTAATTCATTTGGATAAACCCTCGAAGAAAAAAGTGACAAAATTGATTTTGACTAGGGTCGCCTCTAGTGCAAATTGAAAATGTATTTCCTAGTTGGTTTTTTGCTCAAAAAAATTGTAGAATGTTTTATTTGTATTTTTTTTAAGTACTAGAATATTTATGCAAAGTTTTAATCCATTTGGACAAACCCTCGAAGAAAAAAGTGACAAAATTGATTTTGACTAGGGTCGCCTCTAGTGCAAATTGAAAATGTATTTCCTACTTGGTTTTTCGCTCAAAAAAATTTTAGAATGTTTTATTTGTATTTGTTTTAAGCATTGAAATATTTATGCAAAGTTTCAATCCATTTGGATAAACCCTCGAAAAAAAGTGACAAAATTGATTTTGACTAGGGTCGCCCCTAGTCCAAAATTGAAAATGTATTTCCTACTTGGTTCTTTGCTCAAAAAAATTTTAGAATGTTTTATTTGTATTTTTTTTAAGTACTAGAATATTTATGCAAAGTTTTAATCCATTTGGATAAACCCTCGAAGAAAAAAGTGACAAAATTGATTTTGACTAGGGTCGCCCCTAGTCTAAAATTGAAAATGCTTTTCCTAGTTGGTTTTTTGCTCAAAAAAATTTTGAGATGTTTTATTTGTATTTTTTTAAGCACTTGAATATTTATGCAAAGTTTTAATCCATTTGGATAAACCCTCGAAGAAAAAAGTGACAAAATTGATTTTGACTAGGGTCGCCCCTAGTCTAAAATTGAAAATGCTTTTCCTACTTGGTTTTTGCTCAAAAAAATTTTGGAATGTTTTATTTGTATTTGTTTTAAGCATTTGAATAGTTATGCAAAGTTTCAATCCATTTGGATAAACCCTCGAAAAAAAAGTGACAAAATTGATTTTGACTAGGGTCGCCTCTAGTGCAAATTGAAAATGTATTTCCTAGTTGGTTTTTTGCTCAAAAAAATTTTAGAATGTTTTATTTGTATTTTTTTTAAGTATTAGAATATTTATGCAAAGTTTTAATCCATTTGGATAAACCCTCGAAGAAAAACGTGACAAAATTGATTTTGACTAGGGTCGCCCCTAGTCTAAAATTGAAAATGCTTTTCCTACTTGGTTTTTTGCTCAAAAAAATTTTCGAATGTTTTATTTGTATTTGTTTTAAACATTTGAATATTTATGCAAAGTTTCAATCCATTTAAATAAACCCTCGAAGGAAAAAGTGTCAAAATTGATTTTGACTAGGGTCGCCTCTAGTCCAAAATTGAAAATGTTTTTCCTACTTGGTTTTTCGCTCAAAAAAATTTTAGAATATTTTATTTGTATTTGTTTTAAGCATTGAAATATTTATGCAAAGTTTCAATCCATTTAAATAAACCCTCGAAGGAAAAAGTGACAACATTGATTTTGACTAGGGTCGCCCCTAGTCTAAAATTGAAAATGCTTTTCCTAGTTGGTTTTTTGCTCAAAAAAATTTTGAGTTGTTTTATTTGTATTTTTTTTAAGCATTTGAATATTTATGCAAAGTTTCAATCCATTTAAATAAACCCTCGAAGGAAAAAGTGTCAAAATTGATTTTGACTAGGGTCGCCCCTAGCCCAAAATTGAAAATGTATTTCCTACTTGGTGTTTTGCTCAAAAAATTTTTGGATGTTTTATTTGTAATTATGTTATGCATTAGAATATTTATGCAAAGTTTTAATCCATTTGGATAACCCCTCGAAAAAAAAAGTGACAAAATTGATTTTGACTAGGGTCGCCTCTAGTGCAAATTGAAAATGTATTTCCTACTTGGTTCTTTGCTCAAAAAAATTTTAGAATGTTTTATTTGTAATTGTTTTAAGCACTAGAATATTTATGCAAAGTTTTAATCCATTTGGATAAACCCTCGAAGAAAAAAGTGACAAAATTGATTTTGACTAGGGTCGCCCCTAGTCTAAAATTGAAAATGCTTTTCCTACTTGGTTTTTGCTCAAAAAAATTTTGGAATATTTTATTTGTATTTGTTTTAAGCATTGAAATATTTATGCAAAGTTTCAATCCATTTAAATAAACCCTCGAAGGAAAAAGTGACAACATTGATTTTGACTAGGGTCGCCCCTAGTCTAAAATTGAAAATGCTTTTCCTAGTTGGTTTTTTGCTCAAAAAAATTTTGAGATGTTTTATTTGTATTTTTTTTAAGCATTTGAATATTTATGCAAAGTTTCAATCCATTTAAATAAACCCTCGAAGGAAAAAGTGTCAAAATTGATTTTGACTAGGGTCGCCCCTAGCCCAAAATTGAAAATGTATTTCCTACTTGGTGTTTTGCTCAAAAAATTTTTGGATGTTTTATTTGTAATTATGTTATGCATTAGAATATTTATGCAAAGTTTTAATCCATTTGGATAAACCCTCGAAAAAAAAGTGACAAAATTGATTTTGACTAGGGTCGCCTCTAGTGCAAATTGAAAATGTATTTCCTACTTGGTTCTTTGCTCAAAAAAATTTTAGAATGTTTTATTTGTAATTGTTTTAAGCACTAGAATATTTATGCAAAGTTTTAATCCATTTGGACAAACCCTCGAAGAAAAAAGTGACAAAATTGATTTTGACTAGGGTCGCCCCTAGTCCAAATTGAAAATGTATTTCCTTCTTTGTTCTTTGCTCAAAAAAATTTTAGAATATTAAAGTTTAATTTAAAAAAACGGCGTGAATATAAAGAAAATCACAGTGAACTTTTAATTTTAAAAATTCGTAAGAAAGGAAAGTTTTTTGCTTTTTCTGAAGCAACGGCTGTTCCTACCTTGCCCAAAAACAATACAGCTCTTCTATTGGGCAGCACGGATCAAATGTAAAAAACTAGAAGTCTCTACAATGTCTCGTTATTGAGATTTCTTGCTTATTAACTGAAAAACTGATTTTTCAATCTGAACAAAACCAATAGATTCACACGTGAAAACGGTGTGAATATAATAGTCCATTTTTTACAAATTTTATATTAAAACTCATTTTTATTTTCTGACTAATCTAATTTTTAAAGGATAATGTAAATTTAATAATTTTGTCATTGAGCTATAACCATTCAACTCTGAAAAACCAAGTAAATAGCTACTTTAACAGCTGAGTTTGGCAATTGGTAAGCACTAGCTAGCAAGCGTCATATTCAAGGATCATCTACTTGATGTTATAGAACATAATTAATCTGCTTGAGCAGCCAATTAAATTAATTCAGCAAAATATTAAACGATGGCAATTTTCAATCAATTTTGACAATTTTCACTGAAAACAAATTTTTATTTGAAATTATTCAATTATTATTACCGAAAAACTACAAAATAAGCTTAAACTTCACTATAAAATGATGCCAAAGAACTTAAAATTTATCAGTTCAATATTGACATTCTGTTGATCATCACTGAGCTAAACAACGAAAATGTATAAAATAATAATACTAGCTTTATTGGTGACTCTCGTCATTGCTCTGCCACCCCAAGGTAGTAATGGCCAACAAGGAAGTAACCAAGGACAAGGACGAATGGGTCCACCACCTGGAAATCAACAAGGAGGTAGTCAAGGTATGGGTCCACCTGGAGGATTTTTCAATTCAACTTCAACTACTAACTCTACAAGACCTCCACCTCCTCAACAAGGTTAATCAAATTGTTGAAAATGAATTTCAAGAAATTTATAAAATAAAATAAAATAAAAATTTATTTTTTTTTTAAAAAACTAGTTTTAATTGTGTTACAAATTCAAAATCTATTTAAACTGAATTTCCACCATTTTCCTGTATTTTCTTTAATTTCTGCATCACAATTCCCTTAACCAGTTTCGTTTGAACTTTTCCGCTCGGTGTCAGTGGCATGCTGTCCATAAAATAAACTCCACCATGAATGTGCTTAATTTCTGGCAATTTCTCAGCTACAGCTTCAATGATGTCACTTTCTGTGAGCTTTACATCATTTGATGACTTTTTAACAGCAGCTGTAGCTAAGTCAGTTCCAAAATTTTCATTAAAAACTGGAAACACACAAACTAGTTCAACTCCATCAATTGACTGAATTACATTTTCAATTTCTGATGGAAAGACTGTATAATTTTTATATTTAAATGACTCTCTGATTCTGTCGACGATATACAAGCATCCATCTTCATCAAAGTATCCAATATCTCCCGTTTTGAGGAAGCCTTCAGAGTCGATTGCATTTGCTGTAGCTTCTGGATCGTTGTAGTAGCCCTAATAAAAGAATTTAAAATAAATCATAATTATAGTGACACAAGAAATCACACATGACAGTTCAAAGCAAATTCCTGGAAGGATGAGTTGTTTGCATGAGTAACAGTCTGATAAGAGCAAGATTAAAGGTTGGCTTACATCGTTGACTATGCTCAGATAATTTTTGCAATTTTAAATTAATTAAATAGACGAATAAGTTGACAACTGGCAATAAATTGGCGGAACAACAGAACAAGAAATTGCTGGAAATAGCAACTTTGGCCCAGAATCAAGTGCGATTCAAATGCTTTGTGGACGCCCTATGCTTCATAGTGGAGCAATAGGAACCCATCATCATTATTTTAAAATCACCAACTTTGAACATTCTTTATAAACAGACAGTATAGCACTTGGTATTGGAAATTGGCTAGTTATAGGCGTCAACTAAGGCAGGTCATGTATTACAATTGATATGTACGACCAGCGAAGTAAGTAAATTAATAAACAAAAATCAGCTCACCGGAAAGTTAAATTGCAATTTGACTCTAATTTCTCCACGTTCACCAGGATCCACACCTTGACCATCCTCGTTGACAACTTTTATACGTAAATTTGGTGTAATCATGGAACCAACAGTTGATCCATTATAGACCTCATCAGGTTTTGTTAAGCATACAAAAACTTCTGTTAATCCATATCCAACCATTAAGGTTTTATTAGATAGAGTCTCACAAAATTTATTCCTCAATGATCCAGAAAGAAATGATCCAAGAACTACAAATGTCTTTAAGCTTTCATGATTTGATGACAAAAATTGTTTTGATTGTAAAATTGACGCAAGTGATGACGGTGCCAAATTAATTCCACTAATTTTACGTTTTTCTACAATCTCAATTAATTTATAGATGTTAAAGTCATCACTGCTCCAAATACGGACATCATTTTGATAGAAAGAAGCAAACATATGCAAAAAGAACCCGGAACTCCAATAAGCAGAGCTAAATGTCAACGGTTTTGATGGAGGCTTTGGGTACGTTTTAAAATCAAATCGTAAACATGTCGCATGACTCACGCAGACATTTTTTTGTAATCCTGTGATTCCACTCGAGCATAAAATAGCTAATAACTTTTGATCGGCCGGCTTATCAAATTTTGGTGCTACATACGAATCGTAATCTACAGAAACTGTCCTAAGCAATTTAAATGCGCTGATTTCAGAATCATCTGGATCGTCTGAAGTAATTAAAATTAATGGCTTTAAATTTACTTTTTCTAATGCCTCATTCAATGTTGTCAACATGCCGGGGTCACAGATTATCATTTTTGGCTTTGACTGAGCATAAAGTTCACTTATGTTATCGGTGCTTAAACTATGATCAAGTGGATGTATAACTGCACCCATGATGACTGATCCAGTTAGAAGACATGTCAAAAAGTTTGAATTTTGACAAATGACGCCGATAATGTCGTCTGCCTTAATATCCAATTTCATTAAATTCACAGCTATGTTGATGCTTGATTCCTTTAGTTCTTTACAAGTCAGCTGCTCATCCTTTTCATGATGAATTTGAATCACTCGCTCGGGTGTCTCGCTACACGTTTTAAGGATCACTTCACCCAAATATGTATCCATTGGATAAAGATACTGGACTGTCTTTGATGACCAAATTTTTGTTGACGGATCGAATTTTGCCATTATTTTTCACTGCACTGTTTACACACGACTGTTGTCTTTAAAATGAAATTAAGAAATGATAAAGAATTCTCAGTTTATTCACATGAAATACAAATTAAATGTTATTATCAATTGTAAGCGTGTAAGTGATTATACTCTCTCTTGATCAGTGAAGTAGGTAGATTTGTACAAATAATAATGAAGCCTCAAACTCGAAACTTAGTCCAAATAATGTTGAAATATTAAAAAATCTAAATCCAGAACTTAAGGATACACTAGAATAAACCTGAGCAGCAGTTTCGTGGTATTTTTCAAATAACCCGAAACGTTTTAAAGTTGGGGCTGTGATTTTGAGGTTTCCTTATCCCACTGACAAGTTTCTGTTAAGCTTTAAGATTTGTCAATTCCAACCACACCACTGCACTCTTCAAAACAAACAAACATTCTTGAATAATATGTTTACGTTTATTTTCTGCTGTTATCAACTGTCACAATGTTCATATTAATATGAGGAACTACTTATGCTCAAATGAAAGTGCTCTGTCGAGAGAAATGTGTCATCATAAGCACAGAGAAGTAGTTACTTTAATGATGAATGTTTTTTAATGTTAAAAATAAAGGAAGAAACAAAATATCGACGAATACCCAAACCAAATACCAGAGATCGAAGCCGATTTTTTCGGCTTAACTCAATTTTTGATTTTTTTGATAGAAAAAAGCCATTTAACACCCATTTTAAGTTTTTAAATTGAACTTTACATGATTTACTATGATTCTGTGAAATATTTTTTCAGCATGTAGCTATAGTAAGCTCAGAATTTCAAGTTAAAGAATGTTAAGCCGAAATTTAAGCCGATCGGCTTATAATCGACTAAATTCAAATTCTGAGCTCACTATAGCTACATGCTGAAAAAATATTTCACAGAATCATAGTAAAGCATGTAAAGTTCAATTTAAATACTTAAAATGGGTGTTAAATGGCTTTTTTCTATCAAAAAAATCAAAAATTGAGTTAAGCCGAAAAAATCGGCTTCGATCTCTGCCAAATACCATCTCATTATTTTTAAATGTGGACAGTCAATTTAAACCATTTGTGCATTCACTGTAACTACTTGACATAAAATTATATTAGCTTTGCAATTTACGGCAGTGCATTAACCCATTCAATTAAGAGTTTCTAAGTTGATGTCGCAATTTTAAGTAAATGCACGAGGAGATAAGATTACTTTTTGTGTGAATAGAGCTGCAAGCGAGCTTACAATTCTTAAATGCATTAACACCAAACATCATAGGACGATGAAGCTTAGCAAAACATCATAGGCATCGATTTAAATCCAGCACCTTGCTAGATTCATACCAGCTTGGTGCCAGATTTCTGATCGATTAACCGACTTGTGCCATTCGGGTACCTAGGAGCGTAGAATTTGGTTTTTATTAAAAAAGAAAATTAGATTCACTAATCCAGTTATCAGCATTCATTAGCTGAAGCAATCAGGCTTATTACTTCCAAATTGTCTTTAACAATTTTAAAATTGATAAAATTCTAAAAGTTCACAATAAAAACTGAAAATTCAACCAATTTTCTTTAAAAATAAAATCCTAAAAATGAAATTTTTGCACAATTCTTTTTTTCTACCAGCAGCTTTGAGTGAATAAATTCAATTTCTGATGGAAAAATGATTCAATCAAAAAAACCTTTAATAGTAATTTAAAAGCCCAATAATTTAATTTAAATTAAATAGTTTTTGCTCTAGCATAATTGTTTGTTTGTTTGCAAAAGCTGATAATTTTGTTATAAAATAATTTTGTATTATTTTGTTAAGCTTCAGTTAAGAACAAGTTTTGTCAGCTTTATCATCCAAGAATATTAACGAATATGAAATATGTGAACAAAATTAAATTTTTCCTACAATGTGTTATTTTATTAATTTTGGTAAGAATCAAAGATTTAACTATGGATAGTTTAAGATTATAAATTTATATATTTGAAAGCTTCGCAGTGAAATTTTAGAAATTAATGCTTTCTGGAGAATTGAAAGAATTTTGTTACTTTTATTGATTTTTTTAAAAAGCTAGGTTTGTGCGTATTGTATATTATTGAAGTCTTTGACACAAAATATGGCTCAAAACACGGATGTTCGTCTTGTCCTTAAAAAAATTTAAATGAAAATATTATTTTTAATTTACTTACTGTTAATTCCATCAACAGCTTAGTTCAACCCAAGGATATCCACAAAGTAAGTTTTAAATTTCCATAAATATCATAAATTATTTAAAATATCGAAAAATTTCTCAGAACCAGAAGACAACAATGCAACAAAAGCTGATGATAAGCCAACAAGTCCAATTCCAACAATGACTCATACCAAAAATGATACTGCTTTACCGATATCGACAACAGTTGCTTTAACAACAATTGCAGAAACACATACGACGACAATGTCAGCAATACCAGCAGAATCGGCAACAACGTCAGCGACAACAGTTGCAATAAAAGCATTAGAAAATGAAGAGACATCGAATGCTCAGAGACAAAGTGAGTGATAAAGTGGAAAATATGTTTCTGAGGGGGCTGAAGGCGTAATGAGTGTCATGTCAATATAGTAAAATTTAAAACGCTTTTGCATAAAGAATTAATTTTTCTAAATTCCAGAACGTCAAGCAACGATTCCAGCATTCCCAACAAATGCTTTACCTGGAAATGGACCTCCATCGAATTTAGGTGCACCTCCATCTGGTAGCATACCTTTACCATCTGGGAGCAGTCTTCCTCAACCAAACATCGCCACAGCAGGTGCAATGAACAATAGCATCTCTCCAAGTTTAGCTGCAAGTCCAAAATCTATCTCAGCTGCAGCTGCATCTCTTCAGCCTGTCAAATTTCCTCCAGCTGGAAAATAATTTTTATTCTTTTGTATTTTAAAAGTAGATTTTAAGCTGAAATTTGCAAATTTTCTAAGCTTCTTAAAATTGGACATGTCAGTGCTGGTCACTAGCTTCAATAATTTTGAAACTAGTTTTGCTAGAGAATTAGATGAAAAAATCATTTTCGTATACAATTGTCAATTAAAATGTAATTTTTGGTGTAAAATTGAAGCAGAAATTTGACAAGGTTGAATAAATTATTTTGTAGCAACAAAAAACCACTAGTTTTTTGTATAGAACATTATCACAAAAATGAAAGAGTTACTTCCTAAAGTAACGAACTTTGAATGAACAATATCATTTCGAACCCATGTCTAGGTTGGATTAAAACTGGTCGTTACCCAAGACACAACGAAAAAATTTTCAATTCTTTAAAAAAAATAAACAACTTATGTTTTCTTATTGTTTCCATTAAATCTCAAATTCTATCAAATGTGCATGTAATCGAATCAAAATTCAATTATCACCCTAAGATTGACTCCCTAAAAATCCTAATAATCAAGTACTCGAAGATTCGGGTTGAGCATGGCATTGTCCAACTCTGATCATTTAAAAAATGTAACAAACCCATTTTAAATAATGTTCAGCATGTCCTACATTATGTACTTCCTATTTAAAACATGAAACTTATGGCTATAAATGTCTGAGGATGAACTGTTTAATCCCATATATTTCAAAACTTTTGGCCTAGTAACTAATCTCCAAAATTGCAGCCATGAAACCGTTTCTGATCTTATTGACGTTGGCAGTTCTGGTAAATTTACTAGATATATCAAGCATTAGATTCTTGAGCGTAATTAAATATCAATATTTCAGTCAGCAATGATTCTTGCATCTCCAGCAAATCCAGCTGATAAAAAACCGAATACAGATGCAAGCAAAAAACAAGAAGCTTCCAAACCAGAACCTCAAGCAAAACCACAACCAAATGCTAAAGCATCTCCTCCCAATGGTACTAACAAGGACACTGCAAATCAAAATTCACAGGCAAAAAAAGCAGCAAGCAAAAAGGTAAAGTCATCCGATCAAAAGAAACCTCCGACAGGCAAAGGAAGTGAAGATAAACAAGCACCACAACAGAGCTCTACTGACAAGCCATCCGAAAAACCGACGAAGCGATTTGTTGCCTTCAGATCTCACATGCAGTAATGAATCTTTTGGACTATTGTGCTTCTTTTAATCAGTAAAAGTTTATTTTCTTGAAAAAAAAAATTAAGATTTTATTAAGGGTCGCTTTAGAGTCTTCCAATTTTTTTTCAGCCACGGCACATTTTGACTTTAGATATTTTTTCACGGCACACCTAAGGATGACCTACGGTACACCAGTGTGCCACAGCACACAGTTCGGAATTCACTGCTGCAAGTAAGTTGAATAAGAATCACGGAGACAACTAAAAGGAGACCAAAATCTGTATTTAAACTCCCCCAAGTAACAGAATTCAAAACAAAAAATAATCAAACACATTGTCATCATTTAAATTTCTTTTCACTTTTATTTCGTTTACATTTTTTCATTAATTTTTCATCAGTTTTTTCTTGTAGTTTTTTTTTCTGTTGTTATATCATTTAAATCATCTGCAAATTTAATCCAATTTTTTTTTAAAATATTTGTTATTCCACTGTGTGTATGTGTGTGTGTGTGTGAGTGTGAGATATTCTCAAATATTTTTTTAGTACTTTTTATACTCTCTTTATATGACATTCTCTCTAATCTAAGAAATCGTCCATAGAACACATTTAGTTATCATTCAAGTTTTTTTTTTTATTTCTTCATTCTTTCTGTGTGGATCATCAAAAATTAAAGTTTTATTTTACACAATTTTTTTTTAAATAAATTTTGAATTGGAGTTGAATTTACAGAATAAAGCGATAGAATTTAACTTTAGGTACAACGGATTTGAAAGATGATAGTTTTGCATTCTGGTTTTTGTGGTGTCAAAATTTATAGTCCTGGTACATAAAACGTTTTGTCAATGATCTTAGATTTTTTAAGAATAATCTTTCCGATAAGGTTGAGTATCTTAAGCAGAGCTCGAAGTCGACTCGAGATTTTCATCGATTTTGTATGGCGGAATCGACTCCGAGTCAAAATTTTATCGACTTCAAGCTCTGATCTTAAGGATCAAAAATCAAGATCTTGCTTATTTTCAATATAAATCACTCATGTAAGGACTGTTAGATAAATCGTGTAATTTCAATACTTTCTTGATCTTCTTTAGAATCGTAGAACTTAGTAGCCATGATGGGAGTTTAAATTAAACCTTCAAATTTTTTTTCTCTTTTCACTTTTCTGACCATTAAATGGAAGATTTCAATCTTGCTTGAGACAATTAATCAGAAAATTGCATCATAAACCTGACTTAACTTTACAGAAATCAAAGCAAATTTAGATCAATCATTATTTGAAACATTTGTTCTGGAAACTGCATTAATAAGTCAATCCAGGCTGCAATTTTCTGAGCCATAAGATATTTATCACTTCGGATTGTACCGAAAAGTTTACTCCTTCCTTTTTAAGAATTTTTCAACCAATTTGTTGCCATTTAAACAGAATGCGAACTTTATTCTAAGAACCCGAGTGGACAAAGTACTAGTTAAAAGCTTGCCATTGACTTGCCTTTTCACGGCGAGTAAGTATCCATTGACGTGCCTTTGCAACTAGACTTAGGGACGACTAATGACATATTTTGCGCTTTCCATTTAACTGGACATAGGAATTGCAAATATGTCTAGTTAATGTCCAGTTACAAAAAAATCGAAATAAAATAAATAACACGTGTCTTTTTCTCCATTTTTTTTCTTTCGTAAAATTTTATTATTGTATTAGTGTAATTAATTAATTAAAGTACACTATCACTTATGAAAAATCTCTAGTAAAAATTGAGTCTCGAACACTTGCGCGTGAAACAATTATATTTACTTAAAAGTTTCATACAAATTTTGGTGGACCTTATATAAGTGATTTCTGTAAGCACTTGTGAAGTATATGGTCAAAAAAGTAAGGAAAATTATTTTTGAGTTTCGAACACTTGATTGATTAGCATGAATGTCCAGTTAAAGTCTAGTTAACGTATAGTTCTCTATATCGTATATATTTCGACAAGTTGAAAGACTGTTAAATGATTGTCCAATAATGGACTTTAACTGGCTGTGTCCACCCGGGGAAAGGTTCATGATTGTTGCTATTGTCAACCTTCAGCTATCATTTGTATGCTCAACTCTAACTTTGCTATTATTTATTCGCATCAATCTTTAAGTTTTGTTCTTAACTATCTTTGAATTTCTATTTTTTTTTTGACAAAACTTTATATTAAGATGTTGAATATTATATCATTTAAGTTTGTCAGTTTACACAGTTTATAGTCGACAGTTTTTATAAGGTTATTAGCAATCTAAAACGCGGATTAGTTCTTGTTTATTTTGTAATGATTAATTCTTAAAAGTGGCTGACCATTTTATTACTGTAGATGCAAAGTTCAAGATTTTTCACGATTTATTTCAATTTCAATCATATTTAAAATTCATATCTATTAAGTTGTAGCCAAATTGTTAGCTTAAATCTCCCTAAACTGACAATCCAACTCCAATTTTTATATATATTTTTTTTCTCATATTTGTTGTTGTTTTTTGTATCATTTTTGTGTACTTTCAGTTGATTTTATTTTTTTATTAATTATTTAAATTTCTTTTACTTCATAACATAATTAAAGATTTTTTCTTCATTATTTTTCTCATAAAATTTTTTCATCTTTTTTTATCATTTTTATATAAAGTTAATTTCTTTTTTTTTTGCTAGGAGGCTGAACAGGAAAGAAAGTTTTTTCATTTTTTTTAATTAATTCATCATTTTTTTTCTTGCTAGAGGTTCAATTTTTATCATTTTGTTATTTTATTATTTCATATAATTTTATTTTTTTAGTTTCATGGTTCATTTTTTAATGTGAATTATTGAATTTTTTCATTTCTTAAAATTTTCATCTTTTTTTTGTATTTTAGCAGCTAAACTTTTTTAATATTAGAAAATCAAAATGCTTTTTTAAACAATTATCATTTTTATTTTAAATTTTAATTTTTTAAAAATAAATTCAATATTTTTTGGGATACCTTTTGGAGTGTCTTTGAGGATTTTTTTGACACCCAAATCTAAGTATGAATCAACGATAATCTGTAAAATAAAAACAAATAAACAATAAACCTTCATAAAATTTCTCAAACAATCAATAAATTTTCATCACGGTTTTTAAAAAACCTCGAATTAATCACATCGAAGTTTAATTTTTTTTATGTTTTACATTCCATTTCTATTGAGTTTCTATAATTGTTGAAGTGCCTATATACGTTGCCTGTATTTAAAAATCAACGAATTAATTCAAAAAGTGAAAAACAAAATAAAAATTCAAAAACAAAATCTTTAAAGGAACAAATTAAAGTATCAAAAATAATTACATCTTCTCTATTTTATGCTCGGAAATATGTTGTGAAATTTGATGGAATTTTTTAAATATTTTTTACTTTTTTTTTAAAAAAGTTCAAAATTTAAAGCAAAAAAATTCAAATTTTAAAATCAAAAAATAAATCCAATTTTTAAAATTTTAAAAAAAAAATTCAGAAATTTTAAGGAATTTAAAAAAATCAAAAGATTCTCAAGTTCCATCAAAATCGCACAATCATTTTCCCATTTCAAATCTTCTCATTTCACTTCTATATATATTTTCATCTTCATTTTTTATGATCAATCTGCATCATTTATTTTACATAAATATCTCTACAAATAACATTTTGCATTTTTTAAATATTTTCAACACTTTTTTTTATTTTTTTTTCTTAGATTGTTTAATGTCCTTTCTTAAGATTCTGAATCCTTCCAGGACTTTATCAACATAAATGTTCACTTTGCAATCATTTGTTTAGCTTTAAAAGCTTCTTGACTAAGTCGTCATCATCTGCCTTATGGTCTCTACATTTTTATGGCTTTCTACACAAAAAATATGTCCATTAATGATACACGAAAATTTGTTTTTTTCTTCTGTTATTTAGGATAAATGGGTAAAGCGGAGTTAAGGATAGGATAAGAAAAGCAGTTGGTGACTAGGAACTCTTTGGTTTTTTTGGTAAATTTTATTTATGATCTTCTTAGTAAAGTTAAACTTAGTTGTTTTGTTGCAAGAGATGTGTTTTTATCTTCGTTCTTGGCTGTTTTTAAGTTTTTGGTGAAACCTTAACTTAATTTAATAAATTCATGATCAAGATGATTTAAATTGGTTCAAACTGGTTCAAAAATGATCAAGAATGATCAAAAATAAAACAACATTGATCAAAAAGAATCAACCGGAGTCAAAACTTTTGACTTAACCGGGATCATACTGTAAAAACAACCTTAGGTTATATCAAACAGCAGCATCTATAGTGGCAATCTGGAAATTTGATCACATTTAGAAAAGCTGTAAGATTTAACCATTTAACTAAGGTTAACACTCAAAAGCAACATCCAACTCCCAATCGCTACTTAAATTCACCTCAAGAACAATAAAATAAAATTGCACCGTCTAGAGGACCATCAATCACCAACTTAACAGGATACAGGGTAGAAATAAATTTTGAAAATAATAAAAAAAGCTTAGAATTTTCCACTTTAAAATCCTCTCGTGATCAAGCCACGTGAGAATCTTCCACAGTTTATTTCTAAAAAAATTAACATCATTGTAATTTAATTAAATAAAGTTTTCAAAAAAAAAATAAAATAAAATAAAATAAAAACAAAAGGAAATTTTCTTTTCAAAAAAATAAAAACTTAGCGCGTTTAAAACGCGGCAAAAAGGAGCTTTCCTGTGTGTGTATGTGTGAAAGCTTAAGTTCCACTGGATATGGAGATTATTAATTCTAAGTGACAATAAAACAGGATTTTTTTACTTCGACATTTTTGCATTTTGCTGTCGAATTTTCTTTAATAAAAATATAGATTTTTTTTAATTTTTTCGTGTTTGCTCTGCAAAAATAGTGAAATTTAATTTCCATGAAAATTTTATAGTTTCCTTAACATTTTTGTTTAGTATGTTTTTGGTGGATTAAAATTTGTAAAGTGTGAATTTTTTGATTTGTTAAATATTTGCACTGTTTTAAGTTGAATTTTATTTAAAACTTTGTTTGCGAAATTTATTATTTTCGATTTCCTGCTCATAAAAATTGTTTTAAAGTAAAGTTTTCATATTCACACAAAATTTTCAATTTTTGTGAATATATTTAAATTAACAATTTAAATTTAAAAAAAAATCAAAATTTTGTCAAATTTGTTTTCGAAAATTGATGCAAAAATTTTCACACTTCACAAAACTTCTCTCACTTCCGATTTTTTAGACTTCCATATAGAAAGTTATTATTTTTCATTAAAATGCAAAATTAATAAACATTTTTAAACTTTTAAATTTTTCTCAATTCTCTAATAAATATGAAAAAATATAATTTGATTTTTTTTTGTGTCCTTTCCAATTCTTTAAAATTTTTCTTTTCATTTTCATTCAATTTCCAATTTTTTTTTCTTCGTTTTCGTCATTCCAAAAATATTCTTTTTGTTTTTTCGTTCATTTATTAATAATTTAAAATTATTAAATTTTATAAAAACTTAATCAAATTTTCTTCATCGATCCTTAATTTTTTCTCTTATAAATTAACAAAAAAATATAATATTTTTATGTATATATTAAAAAATTTTAAGCAATAAAAACATAATAATTACAGCAAGCATTTTTTAGTAATCCAAAAATTTTCTCATCTGTGTTTGTCTTCTGTGGCTTCACAAACGGAAGCATGCGTCACTATTATCAATGCCAAAAGGATGGTTTTTGTTACTAGATTCTTTTTAATTAATTTTTTGTTATTATTATTATTTTTTATTATTTTTTTCACTTTATTATCGGAAACAAAAAAATAATAATTAAACATTAGCCGCCAAAGAAGTTTCTTGAACTTCCATGCGTATGCATAGAAGTTATTCTGTCGAAATTATTGTTGAAGGAGAGGTGGCGTGTGTGTGTATGTGTATTATAACTTCTTCATCTTTTTTATTTTTTTATATCATCAATTTTGTAGTATTTTTTCTTTCTTAATTGTGTTGTTAATTAAACTTTTTTACTTTCTTCATTTGTTTTTCATTTTTTTTTTAAATTTTTAATTATTTATAATAAATTTTTTAGAGAATTTATTTTTGCGAACCACCAGATTGTGATGATTGCGCTTGTTGTGTATTATTATCGGCAGTGGTCGTTGCGGTCTGGGACATTTTTTCACAGTAGTCATTTAAGATATCGCGAAAACGAGACCAGCACTTTTCGGGTACAGTTATTGCGGTTCGGAAGTTGCTCTTGACCTACAATGAGATAGAAATTAGAATTTTAGGTTAGTTCTGGTTTTAATTCGGTTCTAAAATTCAAGGATAAGCTCTAATCTGTTTTGGATGACCAGCTTTAGTAGAAGTAAACTTCTTAAAAGTTTTAAGTCGACTAAAAGCTTTAGTCAAAGCATTTTTCAATAACATCGAAAGGCTTTTTGTTCTCGAGAGCTATAAAAATCCCCCAGCTTATGTTTTTGGATCTATAAATTCATCTTTAATAAATAAATTTGTACTATCACACCCCTTATTGATTTTATTTCCAAAATATCCACCAATTACTAGTTTTGCATCCTCAAATTGCAGCAATTTGACAGTTATTAAAATCTTTCAGCAAGATCAAGTTTGCAATCCCTCAACATATACAGTTTCAAGCCCCTGCAACATTTAAATTATTAATCCCATTAAATCTTCCAATTGTCCATACTGCAGGATTAAAACATTTAAATCTCCAACCCCAACTCAAACCATAAAATCCTTCACAATATTCATCTCATTTTGTACACAAGAAATAGGTCGTCGATGATAAATAACAGCATTTAATCTACTGACCCAATTTCAAACTAGTTCTTAATTCCACATGTGCAACAAAACTAAAATTAGGTCACAAACTCTCCAATACACATTTATCTTTGCAATAAATCCACCCCACATCCCCCTCGTCATATTTTTATTTTCATCTCATTTCATTTTTTTTTATTCTTTTTCTTTGATTGTGTAGTTATGCCGTGTGTACATGCACATTTATGCAATTTATTCCCTTTATCCATCTCTTTCTGGTTATTTCTCCCATTTTTTGTCTCTACTATTTTATTTTTTTTTCTTTTGCTATGCTACACAACCTACCTCACTCATTCGCATGTAGATGCCACGATTATTTTGGCCAATGTCGAAATAAAAGTTTTTGTTATCGACTCTCAAGTGACGTCCTTCGGGAAGTTCACCTTTAAATCTATAGTTTTTAAGAAAATTAAATTGATTAGTACTTATGTGATTGATGGCTTATTGTCTGCTTCTGTCAGCCTTTGAATTCAACGTTATTATTATGTATTACATTGAATTTATTGTCAATGCATAACATATGGACAATATTGAGAACATAGACTGCTATAAAAAAGACAATCTACATCCTTATAAATCAATTAATACTAACCCGCCATCAGAATCACCAAATTCATCCAAAAGATCCGTTAATGCATCACGAAATTCGACTAAGCCCTGCGCTGGAATGGCGATTTGAGACCGCGGACCACCGCGGGTGATTGTTTGTGATACCTAAAATACGAAAAATTGTGATTTCATATGTTTCAAGTAATATGGGAACTTCTTTAATTGTAATAACTAGGAAACTATAAAGTTAATTTAAGTATGCGTATAGCGAGGCTGTTGATAGCGACAGGATTAAAATTGAAATTGAGAATTGACAAACTTTCATCCTTCCTTCCCTCAGAATTACGGTCATCGAGGCTTAAATCTCTTTGTAGCTGTTGTATGATGTAAATACTCATAAGTAGTTTAAATTTTATCTATCAATTCAAATTGGCAAATTGGAAAATCAATGTCAGCTTCCAACCAGCTTGTCAATCCCTAAAATACAACCAATCACATCACTACATCCAACTTACTCTTAAGAAACGTCCTCTCGCGTTTTCCTTCAAATCTAAGTAGTAACGTCTGTTCTCTTTGACTATACATTCTGATTTCAGCTTTCCATCTTCCGGAACATTCTCGGGATTTGGGGGACCTTAAAAGATTCAAGAAAAAGTTTTAAACAAGACATTCGAATTTTAATAATTTAAAGGCTCACCTAATGATGAATAAAAATCACTGAATGTTGAAAGATGTCCGCGAAAGTCGGATGCCGTTGAAAGAGCTAAGAAAATTTGCGAACGACGACCATCAGCGCCAATCTAGTTAAAAGATATAAATTTAATTGCATTTGGATTCTAGGAATTTAAATTAAGCCTGTAGCTATGCTTCAGAATAGGAGCAAATAATTCCTCATAATTAGCACGAAATGTAAATACCGTAAATTGGAGTAATTAAAATATTCAAGTATTCATTTCCAAGGAAGAACACTTGATCCCAACGAAATTAATTAAACTCCTACATTTTAAAAATTAAATTCTCAAAACTCACCTCAGCGACCTTGATGAATCGACCACGTCGATTTTGCTTTACATCAAGATAAAATCGCTTTGATTGAATCTGCAAGCATTTAGAGGCAAGCTCCTGCTCTGTTTGATTATTCGGCTGACCTAGAATGTTGAGATAAGAATTGAAGATTAAAACTTAATTTTTATGAATTCATTAAGTTATAATCAAAAAAAATAAATTTTAGCACATAGACTTTAAGATCCATAGCTGCAATTTGTGTGTCTTACAATGGTTTTGATAGTTCACCGAGAGAGGGTTCGCCAGACCTTCCCACTCAAAACCTAAACCTACAGTTTATAGTGAGATCCGAACCAATCTTCTAACGACATTTCTGCCTGTACCCTACAAAGGAAGGCTTTGAGCCTCATTTCCAGTACATATGATTCGAAAAAGGACAAGTGAAAACTTTACATGCCGGGTCTCAAACCCGTGCTTGCTGGATCTGTATTGCAATAATTAGGTATCAAAGCAGTAAACCATTCTGCCACCCAGCCACTTAAGCTCTCTTAAATTTAAATACTTGGAAAAAATTAAAACTGAAGAGGCAATGCACGGTCAACTAAAGACATGGTCAACTAAAGATTACCCTGACTACGCACTAATGCTCGACCTCTTCAATGTGCAATGTATCACTAAAGCAGCGAAATAGCCCTGTAATCATCTTAACACCTTTCTTAAGATCAACTTATAGTCCTTAATCTGATAGACCAGCTAAAGCTTCTATTCTCCTGCTTCCAATTCATTTGTTCGCAGTTGCAAAGCAAAATGTTTTTAATAAATTTACTTTGTTATCTTCAATAAATGTTTCTTATCATTACTTTACTTATTATGTCATAAATGTGCTTTAAACAGAGCATGCATTACATTATCACACATTACGTATACAATTGTTGACAAATTCAAATAGTATTTTTGTCAGAATTTACTTTTTTAAAAATTGATAGGTTTTTTTTTGTATTTGCAAATTTAAGGTCTGTTAAGTTTGGACATGAAAAGTTGTGGGATATTTGCTGTAGCCTTATGATCATCGGATTTGGAATTTTTTACAAATTTTTCTGTAGATATGAAATTGATAACTGAGAACTTGTAATATTTTGGTAGCTATAAGCTGGTTCATAAAGCTACAAGATGCTACAAACCAAAAATACAGCAAAAATCAAATGACATTCCTGACTATTATAACTCAACGCTTATTTTCCTGTTAAACAAGCATTAAGCAATAAATTTTAATTAAAAACTTTTTCCAAACTCAAACTTTTAACTCAAAATGAAACTTTTCGATAACAAGCTCTTCTGAAAAAGGCTATAAATGGTCGACAATGTAAAGTGGTCGATTCATAAATTAATTTCCTATGAGCACATTTGTTAATGTGCTGTCATAAATAACAAGTAAATTATGTCTCGAATTGTCCTTAATTTCCTCTCCATTGACTTCTCGTTCTGTACATTCTGACATTGTCACATGAATTTTTGATTCTGTTTTTTATTTGCTTCGATATGGAAAACCTAATTAAATGGTCAATGAACTCTGGAGTTTTGGTATTTAAGAAGCTTTTGAAGGTGAAAAAGTTGAAAATTTAAGTTTTTTGAGCTTTATTAAATATTTCTTTGTCACATGTTTTGATCTCTTATGCAAGTTTTCAGTGGTTCTTAAACTGTGATCCACGATACACTCTTGTGTTGTCTAAAATCACATTGAGAGATGTTATCAGACTAAATTCTTGTAAGAATTTGAAAATTGCCATTTTTAGGACCAGAACTAGCAATTAGGAGCAACAAAATGTTGCCATGAATAGCCGAAAATACATCGATCCTCAGCTCATTCCTTCTATCTTTTAAAATTCCCGAATTCATGGTTCAAAAATCCCATACAAAATTTCAAACAGTCATACCAGAATAATGCATAGTAACAAGCATTATTACTTAATATACAGTTTGCCACCTACATTTCCTTCGTTTTTGTAGCAAAACAAAACTGTCGAACATACAAAGTCATATATACAATTTATCATAAATGCATTAACAAAAAACGTGACTCTCAATAAGAGTTGAATAATTGAGAGATTTGTTGGGGTAATGTTTGAGAATTGAATGACAATGATACTTAATAATATTATACAACAGAGTTGGTAGGATTTTTGCAGTTCCGATTGAGCTTTCTTCTTCAGAGTCCAACTTCACTGAAATTCCATGTTTTTCCCCATTCCATGGAACCTAAGAGCGCTTCAAGTAAAGAGTTTTGCGAACTTTTTTACAAAATGAATCATTTATTATTTTATTTATTATTGTAAAAAAAGAAGGGGAAATAGTGAATAAAACCCACAACAATAATAATAATCATAGATATTTTGACCTGAAGCAGGAACCTATCTCGAAATTTGAAGAAGAAGGAGGACAAAAAAATTTATAGGGTTTTTTTTTCAAAATTTTTATTAAAAAATTCTAGAAAAATGAAGAAATTTCTGATGGCGAACAGGATTTATCCCCAAATTCCCCACTGGCTACGCGCCATACCTCAAGCAACCTTTTGAGCAATAATTTAATAATTCAATAGTTCTTTTTATCTTAATCGATGTTTTTCTAATTGACACTATTTCTTTCACATTTTATCCACTTCTTACGATTTAATCCTTTGCGAATTTCTAAGAGCAGATTTAAAAAGGATTCCATTTTCATTTTTACCTGAATCGAAATCACCGGCGCCACCACCCATATCGTCGCCTTCTCGGTAGTCCTCTGCAAAAAAGAAAGAAATTTATTATTTAAGGCTTAAGTTTCACTTATTTTTATGTGTCAAAGAATTTTTATCACAAAAAATTTTCATCTTTGAAGACTAAAATATGTGTGAAAAAATTATTAAAAGGAGCAAAATAAGGGAATTTCAACTAGATAATGGAGTTGCTGCTTTGGGAGTTGGAAGAGATTTTAAAATTATTTACACGTTAGCAGATGTTGAAACTACATAATAAATGGATAAGTTGAGGTTTTCCTAAGCACATCAAAGTAGATTTCGTCTATGTAAGTTAAAGTAGACTTCTATAGCTTGCGAAATAGCTAAAACAGTTCCAAAAAGAATGTAGTCTCGAATAACACTAATGAAGGGTCATAAAAATGTCAACATATTCAGATGTTCTACAAGACCAACAATTCGTTGGCTTTTTACCAAAATTTTTCACATATTTGATGCAATTTGCCTTGTTAAGGTTGATTTTACAACATTATTTACTACATTTTTTAATAATTAAATGCAATTTGATAATTTGAGTAATTTTGATGCATTAAAATTGTGTGTTGCATGGAAAAAACATATTAATAGTGAAATTTTAACATAATTAACAAAAAAATCACTAGAAATTTGATAATTTCAACTAAAAGCATTAAACTAGCCATAGCTTACAACATGACCTCCCAAATTTTTCTCTATTCAGTCAACCATACATCCGAAACAACCTTAACAACATACTTATCTTACCAAAAAAAAAAAAAAAAATTTGAAATATTCAACGCGACATGAAAGAAGAAAACACTTTCCACAATTTTTTTTTGTTTCTTTCTTTTTTTCGGCACACACAGAGTGGAGCTTTTTTTTGGGAATAAGCAAAGGCAGTGATATCTTACACGCAACATTTTTCATTTTTTTCCACTTTTGCTTCTTCTTGAAGACTTTTATTTATGATTTTTATTTTTTCTTGGTATGTAATAATGAGTGGAATAATTGCTGATAAAATTAGGTTTGGTTCAAAAAGGAGTTTTGGTGTTATTAAATTTGAAGAAGAATACATTGATTTTAGGGAATTAATTTACAATGGTAACGATTAAGTTGTCCAATTCTATTTAACACTATTTATTTGATTTTTGCCAGACGAGGAATTGAACTGAAGTCAAAAAACCATTCATTGGAACGTATTTGATCAAGAATGGTCCTTAAATTCAACAAACATCTCCACTTTAGCTTAATTTTGAAATGCTAGACATTAAATTTTATTTAATTCTTCAAAAGAAGTTCCAAACCAATACTTTTATCATATAAAGACGACCTGAGTTCATTTCACTTAAGAAAAAACCTACAAAAGTTTTTCATTCAAACCGGAAAATTTTCAACACAATATTTTTTTATTAGATTACAATAAAAGAAGCTCATTGAACAATAAGAGGTCATGCACGTGTGTCTCCAATGCAACAAAAGATTTGAAGCATATTTAGGGTATCTATCGATTTTGATGCATGATTTTCGCCAGAATTGTTGTTATTTCGAATCAATGAGTGTAAAAAATTAGCAATTTAAAATAATTTGATAATTCTGACCAATATTCACCCCTCGTAGCCCAATTTGAATAGTTTTGTGCCGTAGCTTAATTAAAAATTACATCTTGAGACTAAGAAGTGATTGAAATGATCGAGGGAACCTTATCGGATACCCAGCTATCTTTATCAATCAAATAAATCTAAAAAACTTCTTGAATTTTCACTCCCATTCATTAATAATCCAATTCAATAATCAATTTACTCATTTGTAAAATTAACCAACATTATCAAAGTCAGTAGCCATGCACAAAAGATTAAAATAATGTTATATGATCCCACATAAAAAAAAATCAAATCTTATTTATTCATAACCAGTCAATTTCCATCTGATCGAATACAAATTTGCTCAGTCAATGAAAATATTCTTCGACAAAAAAAAATTTCAATCTCAAACACAAGAAATGACTTTTCTGAGTGGAATTGATTATTCATTGGAAATATTTTTGTTAATTTCTTATTATTTGACTAAATGGAGAAGGTTTAAGGTTAGAAAATGTGGTGATTTTTTGGAATTTCAATGTTAGGTTCTGTAATATTCTATGCTTCTGCTCAGAGCTCGTAATCGACGAAATTTTGTATGGAGTCCACAATCCACACAAAATCGATAAAAAATCTCGAGTCAACTTCGAGCTCTGTTACTGCTTGTAAGACGACATTAAGTAGTCAAAAATTTAATTTTTCCTCCAAATCCTCAAACAATCACAATTATCATTCTCTTTCCCATGTGAGCAATTCAACTCAAAAATCCATTTCATCAACTCATCACTCTTTAATAATGTACAGCATCTCATTTTCCTCAATCAGTTGCCATAAAAAATTAAACGTTACTTCTCCTCGTGAGACAAATAAAGTGAAAATTCTTCTCGAACAATAGAACCTTCCTTTGCCTTCGTTCAACTTTCAGTTTTTCTTTTCCTTTTTCCGCATCTCTTCATTTTAAGAATTCACATCATGCGAATGATTTTCAATGCTACCAACATTTTTTTTAAGCCAATCCGTCATAATTTGAAGGCTTTTAAGATAGCATAGGGAGTAATGTGTAAAATTAATTGTTTTAAAAAATTGCCAGAAGTTTTTTGGGAAGAAGGTTGGCAGGTTAAAATGTTTCTGTATGGATTGATAAATTAAATTGTGCATTTTTTTTTAATTTATTAAATTGTAGCAATTTTTTTATTGAATCGAGGGATTTTATTTAGAACTCCCGGATTAAACCCTTACTCCTAAGCTTAACTCAATGATTATCCGAACAATCAACCAAAAGTACCAGAGCTCAAAGTCGATAGAGTTCAAATCAACTCGAAAAACTCGACTCAAAACCGAGTTGACTCAACTTTTCTTGAGTCGACTATATTTTCTCAGAGGAATTGGTAATTTCTTTGTATGAAGAAGTCGACTCCTTGAGTCACTGGAGTCATAAAGGAAAGATTAAATTTATTTTTGATAAATTGCATTTCTATTTAATCCAAATCCTTAACTTTGTGGTCGTTTTTGAAATTTGTTAGAAAAATTATCAAAATTAGCAATTAATGAACATAAAGTCACAGTTCTGTATTTAGATATATGCAAAAATAAATATTCTGTTCAAGCTTAGATACACAATTAGGTGTGTATGAACAATTTTATATTTAGAACATCTATAATCACCCAAAAACTGATCAATGGACATCCACAATATTAGATTACAATTTATTGTGAAATTTATAAATGAATTAAAATCATTTTCTCTTGGTTGGTAACAGTTTCTCTTATGTCATTGGTTACGAATGATGTACATTTGAATGTTGTGGTAACTTTGCTAAGTTAAGTATTTTTTTATAATTTAAGATTTTTTGGGAATTATTTTATAATATTTTAAAGTTGAAGTATTTAACCCGAATGGCACAAGTCGGTTAATTAATCAGAAATCTGGCACCAAGCTGATGTGACTCTGGCATGGTGCTGGATTTATATCGAAGCTAGAACCATGCTAGAATCATTCTGGCTAGGCACCGGATTTCTATTCAATTAACCGACTTGTCCCATTCGGATAAGTCTTGCGATTAACCGACCTATGCTATTCAGTAACCCAGACCCTCTCCATACCCAAATCATGAAATAGATGAAATCATCCATAATTAGTTGCTAAGTATAATAAATAGTCAAAAGCTCAAGAAGATTAAAATTCGCTATTGCTCAATGTTTGCGTACAGACAATTTGAATAAACAATTTTTAATCATTAAAGAACTTTAAACAAAATACAAAACAAGACCAAAAAAGCTTTTAATAAGTTGAAAATAAAATAAAAAGCTTTTCAAAAAGTTAACAAAAAAAAAGGTGAAAAGAAAACAGTGAGAAATTCCTTTACACAATGTCTTCATATTATTTCATAATTGAAAGCAATCCAATTTGTGTGTAGATGTGTGCTTATAAGTACGAAAGATACAGCAGAAAAAAATCAAGCTTAAAGCACACACGATATCATTAAAAAGGCAACAACTCCAATAAGAAAAAGTACAAAAATGTTGATAATAAATGAGCCATCAAGCGAAAAAAGGAAGAAGAAGGGAAAAACTTGAGTAAAATATGAAGGGGGTGGGGTAAGGGTGGGGGTGGAATCCAACCCCCCGAAAAAAAAGAAAACTTTGAGTTCATTGACCGCGTGAAGCGTGTTGAAAACATTTTCTCATAAATAAAATGCGTAGATGCGAACTTGGAGAAAAATCAAATAATTTTCTCACATTTACTTGTATGTGTGTGTAAAAAAAGATTTTCCATATCCAAAAAAAAAATTTTTTTTCCTCTGTTTCCAGCTGGCAAAAAAAAGCAAGTAGATGACATACAAGCATAGAAACCAGATGGTGGAGCGAAAGCTAAGCGTGAATTGTGAGAGGATGGGTGTGTAGGGTGGTAGAGAGTGAGTGAGAGAGATGTTAAAAAGGAGGCCATGATGAAAAAAATCGATATGTTCGCTTTTTTATGCTTCACACACAGTGTATTACATTAGGAAAGGTCGACAAACTCTTGATGGGCATAATTCTCTCCATCTCACTTTCTCTTCCCTTTTTTCAATTCTCTCTCACTCACTTCCACAGTTGTATGTGAACCATATGGGTGTATTTATATGCACACATGTATAAATTTAATTATATTACACCAATACATATACACAAAAAATTATTATATCTATGTACTAGTGAGCAAGTGAGTGAGAGAAAAAAAATTCTATCGACAGAACAATTCGATTTTTTTTGTGAATATATAAAAAAAATCTTCTTCAAAAAAATTGATTTTTCATGAATTTTTATGCAAAATTTTCTCACAAATTTGATAATATTGAAATTAATTGACACACTTAAATAGGCAAAATTGTAAATCACTGCACGAGAATGAAATTAAAATGTAATTGAAAGTTCCCGACATGACGACTTGATGACGGGAAGGTCATATGGCAACCTTTTTTTTATGCATACACAATTATTCTTTTTTTAAGATAGAAAATATCTTCCATAATCACGTAATCTTGGTGTCGATGATGAAAGGAGCAAAAATAATTTTTCACCTTGACAACACAACACGGGTGCCTTAGACCTTACTGGATCTTCTTTTTTAATTAATTCACTGCACTTTAAATGTCCAAAAAGTCGTCCATTAATGATTCGAATTAATTCAAGAAAACTTGTCGACGAATGTTAATCCAAAAGTGGCCCTAAAGCTCCTCTAAGGAATCACTCTGGATGCCCTATGTACCGAAATGTATGAACAAAATTTTTTGGAATCGGAGCTTAAAGGAAAATCCAAGATGGCTGAACAAGAGACTCAACGACTATATTTTTTGACTGTATGTGTGACTATACAGCTGATGGTGTTGTATATAATCAGCAGGCACAACACAATCGGACGGGATGGGTAAGAAAAAAAAATTTTTCCACTGCCACTTGTGAAAAAAAAAATTCATTTTTTTTTTGTGAAAATTTTTCGGATAAAAATTTAGACGTCGATTGACACGATAATGGATATGGATAATATGATGATTAATTAAATTAATAGGAACATACTATGCTCGGATCCACTGTCACTCATTTCCAATCCTCTCTCCGACTACTTTTTAATCCACTGAGCGATCCGATCACCACCGACTTACTGCCCGTGATATATTTGTATAGACCAAAAAAAAAAAACTCTAAAATTGCTGTAGCTGTATGTGCTACAAGTTTTATATATGTATTGGTACACGCGCGCGCTCTTGCTGTCTCTTTCTATGTGAGATGCGTCGACACTTTTATAAGTTTGAGAATTTCCTTGTCTTTAACACAAATGGAAATAAGAAGAGGATCCGCTTCTTTTCTCGTTCAAATCGTTTTGATTTCTTACTCAATTTATGTCAAAATTTGTCCTTAATCACAACCTTTTAATGTCGCTCGTTTACAATCCGAAAATCAAATTGGAAATGATAAAAAAAGTTAAATTTTTTTGCCTTCTGTTTTTTTCTTTTGGTTCACCAAAAAAGATATACAAAAATAAAAAAAGATTTCGACAAAAAATGAGCGAGCGTTCCTTCACAGACACTAAGAGCAAAAAAAAATTTGGCCTCTGTGCGAAAAATTAAATTTTTTTTCTCAATCACTAGAACACAAAATATCGCGATTAATGCGAGTTGATTACATGTTAATTGGAATTTACAGATGTTTACCGAACAGTTTTAACGATTTTTAATGCGCGACTCAAACTTTATCGATGGTTAAATTTAATTAGAAAATTTCTTCTTTAATTTTTCAATTGCGCTACCACCGAGAGAATAACTTGCAATGAAACATGTAGTTGTGGCTTTACTTCAACACTTCTTTGAATTTCTTCTTCATATACGCGAAATTTACATGCTATTCTCGACTATAATGTTATGCTTGTGTGGGTCATCATGCGAATTCTAAAGCATAAATGTATGAAAGTGAAATGGATTGAGGATTTTTTGTTGTTGTATAAGAAATATAGTTGGTTCATTCTAGCTTTTTGGATGCTATGAGACAGCTGACTATGACAGTCGAACTCTGACGAGTATGTCGAGGATAGATTTTTTTGAATTATTCGAGTACGTTGGTCGTTGCTACCAGTAGATTGAGCTTTTTAAGTTCTTAATTGCAAAACCAATTATTTACTAGCTTTGTTTGGAATATTATTTCTCTAATATTAGATAAAAGGATCTTAATACTATACAAGAGTCAGCTAGGATTTAGCAATCTTAAGGCATTCACATTCTGTCATTTTGGATCATGAAAAATTTGAGTTTCTGAACTGAAATTCAAAATTCAAAATTCAACCTTTTCCGTCAAAAATTCACAATGATTTACATTTTCGAAAAGTTCTAGGTTCAATCCAAGGACAAGTCAAGTTTTAGAAGATCTTTATCCACTTCAATATTCTTGTTACGAAGCTCAACTCGTGTGTTGGGTGTAGTATTGAGGTCTTTGGCGTATAACAAGTCTCCTTAGCTAAGTATATCAAGATATACCAGCATCTTATTGATTTTATTCCAGCATCCTGCGCACACGAATCGTGACAAGGTACATTGCAGGTTACATCAGGTCTTTAGATGTACTCGTGTCTTTGCAATGTGCACAGCTTGCAAATGGTTCAGATTCTACTATAAACTGTAAATTAATAGGCTATGGTAGAGGGGCGTAGCCAGGGGGGGCCATAGGGGGCCCGCCCCCCCCCGTTAAGTAATAATAGAGAAGAACCAGTTAATGTAGAGGAAGTGATGAAAGAAATGTCAAAATCAGCACGAAAAATTAAATTTAATGCATGAATAATGAATTAAATATTTAAACTTATGAAGAATGAATATAGATTTAAGGATACAAAATAACGGTTTTTTTAATTTTCGAAAATGAAACCCCCCCCCCTTAAAAATTTTCTGGCTACGCCCCTGCTTTGGTACAATAGATTCTGTTCTTATTTCAATCGCAGTTCCTTCAGCTCCAAAAGACTTAGCACTTTCCACTCTCTGCCTTTTACCTTTTTAGAATTTACACAAACTGGAGAAAGGACATGATTGTTCGGTTCGACTCGTAATTTTTCTTACAGCTGATGAACTCTTATTAACTTGTATATCAATACATGGAATTGAGAATAGCTTCAAATTAGTTTATTTCAGACTACCGCCATTTCGTTTCGAACTTCTTCGAAATTAATTTCGATTTCTTCGATATTAGAGCCGAAAATTCAAATTTCAAAAAACAGTTGCATTATGTAAACAATAAATTATTTTAATTAATACCAATTCTGCAAAAATCCCAAAGTTCTTCATAAATTATTAATTTTATATTTTTTTTATCCATTCTTAACTTTATTAAAAGAAGAAATGTTAAAAAATTATGTCCCAAATGAAGTTAATGTTGCAAAAATTATAAATGCTGGTGACGACAAGTTGATAGCAGTTTGTGAGAACGAAAATGAGCAGCAAAAATTCGCTGAGGTCGCAAAAAAGAAATATGGAAATATTTGTGAAATAACTGTGCCAGATAAAAAAAATCGTAGATTTAAAGTGCTGAATGTTGAAATTTGGTCAAATTTTGATGACTTGTTGAATGAATCAATTGAAGAAGTTGTCAAACAAGAAAATATATATCTTGACCAAGCAAAAACTTGTAAGGTCATAAAATTTATGAAAGCTCGCATTAGTGGCAAACAAGTTGACACAAAAATTCACTTTATTGTGGAAGTTGATGAAAAATCATATGATCTTGCAATGAGTAAGGGAAGGATTAAATACCGGTATCAAGAACCAAGAATTGTTGATGGATTCATCGTTGGAAAGTGCTTCAACTGTTTCTCCTTCAACCATGTGAAGAAGGACTGCAAGAGTCTTGTGAAAACATGTTTCAACTGCGGAGAGGACCATCATGTGAAAGATTGTAAGGAAAATAAACCATCGTGTATAAATTGTAAAAGGGCAAATGAAGAAATTAAATCGGGAAAAAAGTTTGACATTAATCATAGTATGAATGATTTTGAGTGCCCATGTTATTTGAGAAAATATAACTATCTTATGTCAATGGTTAAATAGCAAGATGAATTTCCGATAATGTACACAAATGCTCAAGGTCTGAGAAATAATTTAGAACTATTTCGGGATTATTGTAAAAATTATACACCGTTTTTAATTGCGTTATCGGAAACTCATACTACAATAGATGTAATAAATAGGGAAATTGATATTGAAGGATATGAACTGATAAGATGTGATTCAGATTCGACTCACACTGGTGGGGTTGCATTTTTTATTAAAAAAGACTTTAAATATTCAATAATTAGCGCTAAATTTAAAAGCAGAACGTGGCTATTGACAATCAGAATATTATTAGAAAAAGTTGTAGATATTACGGTAATTTATAAATCACCTAAAGAAAAAAGCAATGAATTTTTTGAAATATTGGATGAGTACATTAATGAACACTTAAATTACAACTGCAATAATATTATAGTAGGTGACATAAACTTGAATGTTGCGACAAAAACTGTATCAGCTAAAAAATATTATAATTTATTAAGTGAACATGGTTTTAGACAAATTGTCAAAGATCCAACAAGGCCAAATAAAAAAAATTTAAATGCCTCGTCGATCATAGATCATGTAATAATAAATAATAATAATGTAAGCTACAAAATCGATAGAAATGAAAAAATCTCAGATCACTATATCATCAATATTATGTATAATAGTTCATGTTTTTTGCAGACATCACCCAAAATCTGTAAAATGATTAGAAAATACAAAAAGCAGACATTTTTAAAAAAATTGTGTAAAAAAATTGATATTGAAAATGAGAAAATCAGTTTCGAAAAAATATATAATGAACTAAAGGATGTAATGAAGTCGTTTGTTGAAAATGTTGATATGTCAAAAAAGCGACACAAATATAACAAAAAAATTGCTGAATTGAAGAAAACCAGGTGTCGTGCATACAATAAGCATATAATGAGCAATAAAGTTGATGATTTAAAAGAATACGATGAGCTTAACAAAAAATACAAAAAAGAAATAAAAAGTCATATAAGGTCTGAATTACAAAATAATCTAAGAAAATATAGGTTCGAACCAAAAAAACTGTGGAGTACATTAAAAAAATTGTACAAACCAAGCATAAATGAAATCAAAGCTATAATTTTTAATGGAGAAGAAGTTGACAACCCTAAGGTACTTAGAAATAGTTTAAATAAATTTTTTGTTGAGTCAGTACACAATCTAATAGCGAATATTGAAAAGTCCAAAAAAAGTGATTATAATGATGCCATTATGCAACCGAATGAAGAGTTTAACCTAGTAACCATTGACAAAGAACAGTTAATGAAATATGTTGAAACCATTAAAAAGAAAAATTTTGATGACTTTGTTTACGGAGAGAATATTTTTGATATGATAAGTTATGAACCACTTGCCGATAAACTATTAGTAGCTACTAATGATTTAATCATAAAGAGTGAAATGCCCGAATCCCTTAAGGTCTCAATAGTATCGCCGATCCCGAAGGTAGATAATCCCAAGACACCCGAAGAGTACAGACCAGTAAATAATCTCCCAGTGTTGGAAAAATTTATTGAATCTATAATTTTGGACCAAATGAATGAATTTTTAGACTCTAACAAAATTATTTCAAGCACTCAACATGGCTTTCGTGCAAACCACAGCACCGAAACGGCTCTAATAACATTAACTGATAATATTATTCAAAATCTTGAAAATAAAAAAATTGTCTTAACGATTTTTTTAGATTTTAAAAGAGCATTTGAAACCATTGACAGAAAGATCTTATTAGATAAATTAAAAAAATATAATTTCAGTGATGAAACTATTAAATGGTTTAAAAGCTTTTTATCTAACAGAAAGCAAGTTGTAAAAATTAATGGACTTTATAGTGATAAAGTTGAAGTTTGCTTAGGAGTCCCACAAGGCTCTAAAATAGCAAATGTACTTTTCATTCTTTATATAAATGACTTGGTTTTGCATTTGAAAAATTGTAGTATAATAATGTATGCAGATGACACGTCAATATCGGTCACTGCAAACACACAAAAAGAAGCGGTCGAAAAAATGAATGACATTCTTTTAATTGTATCAGACTGGTTGAAATTTAATAGGATTGCACTACTAGTGTAAATACATGATTTTTAATAAATCTAAGAAAAATATGAATGATGATATGAACATTGTCATTGATGATGTGGCTATCGAAAAAGTCAATCAAATAAAATATTTAGGTGTAATTGTTGATGAAAATTTGAGTTTCAATTTGAACTCAGAAAACGTTGTTAAAAAGTTGAATAAAAAGTTAGGTTTTATAAGAAGGCAAGGATTTAAAATGAATGAGAGCAGTAGAGTTTTGTACTACAAATCTCTAGTGCAGCCTCATCTTGATTATTGCTCATTTTTGTTAAATATGTCTAACAAAAAATATTTAGAATCAATTCAAAAAGTACAAAACAAATTTTTAAGAGCTATCAAATTGAAGAAAAGAATGGAAAATCATGATGGAGTAAGAAAAGAATTAAATATAGTAAATGTTCATACTAGAATAAATGTCAACATCTTAAAGACAATTAACCGAATTATTACCAAAAAATTGCCATGTGAATTAAATAATAGAATTGCACTTGTTAGTAATAAAAATAAATATACGCTGAGGAAGGGTGGAGCTTATAATGTGCCTAACTACTATACTAAAGTAGGAAAAAGGTCATTTATGTACTACTCTCAAAACCTGTTAAATGAATTTAATGAATTTGTAAAGAAAAATAAATTGGATAAACAAAACATAATTGTTAACTATTTAAAATTTTTAAGTAATAAATAAAGCCTTTTAGGCGCTAATTGAAAAAAAAAAAAAAAAAAAAAAATTAAGAATAAAATTTGAGCAAAATGAGTAAGTGCATGGTAAAATCTGGTTTAACCGTCAAAAATTTTTGAATATTATAACGGCCATAAAAAATTTGAATTTTTTTGAATATAAATTTAACGGATGTTATATGAAATGACGGTAGTCTGGTTTATTTATTTAAAATTATTAAACCTTTTACTCCAATTTGAGCTGGTATATTGTTTGAAAGAGAAAAATCCCTCCCGAACCCTGGATGTAGTCATAAAGTCTATCCTTAAGGGCATTAACCTTGTATCCAAATACTTGATTAATAATAATGCGAGAGGGTTCCAGCCAAGCGGTGTGTTACTACACGTTGCGACGAGCTGAAGGCACTGCGATCCTGATCGATAGTAGAATCTATTGTACCGTTCCCTATGAATGAACTTAAATAGTATTAAGTAGCTCCATTGTATTGTATTGAACATTTTATTGAAACAGTTTAATACAAAATCACAATTAATGTTAGAACAAAAATCATTTTATTAATAGCAACAAGTTGTGATGAACTTTTCATGACTTCATTGATCCAATCCAGATAATTTGAAACTCTTGTAAATACATCAGGATATTCACTTTCGCAATCAGCTGTACCAAATGACACAATACCAACGAAAATGTTTCTACAGTGTTCTTTAACAGCATATGGACCTCCTTAAATAAAATAAGTACTCAATTCTATCAAAAACTGTTTCATCACGTCCAGCCAGCTCCATAGCTTGATCATCACTTAAAGTGCTTAATTTATCAAGCTTAGATCATGCTCGTTGTAATTAAAAATATCTACGAACTATAAATTACCAGAATCTCCAAAGCACATTCCAGTCTTTGTCGTTGACCTTCCGCAAACATGTGAATCAAGAATCTTAACATTTGAATAACTTTTTGAACATTCTGTATTTTCCATGACTTGCAAATCGACATACTTTAAGACATCACTCTTCCCTTTCTCAGTTCGACCAAATCCAGACTGAAATTAGAGACATGACTTAAAAGGTGGTAATGTAAATAATTCTGACACTTACAACAGTTGCATTAATTCCAACAAAATTATCATCCCTTCCTGGAAGTTCAATCACATCAACATAAGGATAGTTAAGTAGTCCAAAATTTGCCTCTGGAATTTGAATCATTGCAATGTCATTTTCATGAAGTGACTTGCTGTAACCTTTATGAATTTTAACATTATGACTTGGAACTGTTGCTTCATACACTGACCATCTAGTGCTAATAACTCCGAATTTTAATTCGACATGATGAAATGAATCTGGAAAACAGTGAGCTGCCTGGAGATGAAACCGAGTTGAAGTACACAAAATATGGATTAATCTAGCATTAGATATCTTACCGTCAAGACCCAAAATTCATCAATCAGAGATCCTCCACACTTCGTGTCTGAAACATACGAAAGTAATGTGATTTCTAAAATGTCAAGAACAAAATTATCGGAACGCTACTGACTAAGGTGCCACTAGATTCTAATTATCGAGCTGGTGACAATTTGCTGCCTTATTACTAACTGCAGCCTGATAGCTTTACACTTGTCATTAACGACAAATTGCCTTAAAAGTGATAGTAGACTTGCTTTTGACTGAGAATCATCAATTGATCTTAAATCTATGCTTTAAACTTACTACAGCATGTGTCATTGACATTGCTCACAACATAGATCAACACTTGATATGGAAATTGTCCTAAAATTGCTGTTTCTCCTCCAAAAATTCTCTTGTCAGCAGTTTGATTAAATGTTTTGCACATTGAGTTATTTTTCATATTTTGTAGACCTTGCTGTCTAAATGCAATATCTTCAATTCCTGCGATGACAATGGTTGATGTCAACAAAATCACTATTACACTACGTCCTAACATTTAAGCTTCTTGAAACGCACAAATGCAAATTTAAAATAAAAAAAAATTTGTTTACAAGGAAAATTTTAAATTTGAATTTTTTTTTGCAACTTTGATTTTATTTTTTGCTGAAATTTTTTAATGCATTTTTGAGTTTGGATTGAATCGGTGATTTCTTTAAATAATAATCAGCAAAGGGTTTCTAGAATTCCAGTTCTCTTGATGTGTCGGGAACCAGAAAGAGGTCGATAAACGTAATTATTTCCAGGAATTTAAGGGATACAAAAAATGGGACCAGAACTTTATGTTTTGACTTTTTGTTCCAAATGGGCTGGACATGTTTTTAAACGTCCACAGGAGGCCACAGTACTTAGAGTGACCGTTGTAGACTTTAAAGATGGCAAGAGATCTAGATGAAGACCAAAGATTTTCTTACTTTGCTGGCAGTACAGATCAATTATGATCAAAGGCCCCCCTTAGTTGACGCCTCAAGCCAGCTCTTTCGCTGGCTACCGTTTGCCAATTGCCCATACCAAATGCAATACTGTCTCTGTCAACAGCTTCATTTCAAAAGTTCTTGGGACGCCTGCGTGATCTTTTGCTATCTACAAAGACATTCTTGAAGACTTTATTAATGGGAGCTTCAACAGGTTCTCTAACGACAAGTCCATTCCAACGGAGTCTGTTGACTTTGATTCGTCGTACGATATCAGCTTCATTAAAAAACAAGGAAGACCAAAAAACAACTGAATTGGATGTGTTGATAAAGACGCTAGAGTCCCTAATACCCCGAACTGAAAGAAGGTTACTAAGGACAGAGCGGATCTCTGAACGCTGCAGTGAGCATACATGCGCCCCAGCCAAGAAAGTAAGTAAGTAAGTTCCAAAAAAAATAAAATGGGCTTCTGGATAACAAAAGTACAATAATAGCATTATCTAGCCAATATTGAGACGGTACGTGAGATGTTCTCAAAACTAGTCAATGCATAGCTTACTCATATCGAGGCTCCTAAGAAGTCATTTAATATGATTTATCATTTTTCATCATTAAAATTTTTCACAATTACTGTGCGACTAAAAATTGAATCATTTTCAGAAATTTTAAATAAATTACACATTTAATATTTCCATTTTTAATAGAATCCAAAAATATAATATGACAGTTTCCTTTCAACTGGATTCAATGCAAGTCAATATGGAGAACGAAACTTGCAATCCATTTGAAAGACTTGCTGCAACTCATTGGACATATCAGAGAACTTCTTATGTTGTATCTGAAGTTGTTATCGCGATTTTTGCAATTATTGGCAACATTCTTGTGTTTCTTGTGTTCTTTCGAGAGTCAAAATTAAGGCATAAAATTAATTTTTACATTATTTCACTTGCGATTGCTGATTTTGGTATTGGAATGATTGGAATACCATTTGGAATATCTGTGGTAAGTAAGTGACTGATTTATTATATTTTAATTCCAAATAATTATTTATGTGTAGCTATCAATTGGATTGCCATACCATTGTTCTCCATTTCTATGCATTGTACCTATTTCGAGTCTTTTGACGTTTTGCAACACATCTGTTTACAGTTTGGTACTCATTTCTGTCAAGCGTCTTAGAATTTTGGTAAGTAATATGCTTAAGACGTCAATTCCAGTTATGCTTTAATAATAAATTCACACCTTCAGGCCATGAACCACCCTAAGCCAAAAACCAAGTCCATCAAAAATATTTCAAAAGAAATTGGCATGTGCTGGTTGATTGGATTTTTAATTGGATTCCTACCTACAATTTGGACTGGCGATACTGACAGCGAGTGTGCGCTTTTGAACGTTTTATCCAAAGGATTTATTATATTTCGATTTATTTTTGTTGTCATCATTCCATCTATAATAATGTTTGTTGTCTACTTCAATATCTATAAAATTATCATCACGCAGGTAAGAGTTGGAAAAGTTAATCAATTGTGCGTACGTGGGATGGCCACTAGGATTAAGTTCAAACATTTTCAAAAGCATATCCTAAACTTGCAGCTGAACAAAGCCGCTGAAAATATATTTGCACATGTCATGGGACAGTCTTATCGTAATCTGATCACCCGAGTAAAATCACGTGTTCACGTTTACAATGTTGACAACAAGTTGTAAATCAAAAGCTTTCAATTGAAGGTGTAAGGGATGATCAATGAATGATATTGGTTATTTGTAAAAGATAATAGCTGATTTATCATATTAAGGATGACTATCTGAGTAATAATTTTTGAATTCATAGCAAAAAATCCAGAGCTTGAAGTTGATAGGGTTCGAGTTGACTCAAGTTGGCTCGACTCGACTCAAAACCGAGTTCATTTTCAACTTTATTTTCTTGGAGTCAATTCCGAGTCGACTCGACTTGAGTCGAAAAAATCTCACAATTCAGATGGGATTTGTACGTACAAGCGAAAAACTCTTCATGCCAAGTCTTGAATCTTGATACCTTTATTATTATTATTATTATTATTATTATAGAACTTACCTTTATAGAAGAACTAAACAACTCCACCAACGAACCACTTCAGCTCACAACTTTAAAGACTTGGGTTCAAAAAATAACGAATTAAAACCTAGCGTGGAAGCTATCCCAAATATAATAGAGATGTCAAAATGAATCCTTAGTTTATTGGACATTTGATTTTAGAATTTGTCAAGGGATTTGTTGTTATATCTCAATATGGATGCATGCAGGCTTTAAGATTTTATTTTGGGATATTTAAGATTAATGGTTTTAAAAAAGTTTATACTCTTAAGTGGTCGTTCACTTATGACATCCGAATTTAACTGTCATTTTTCAAAAAAGAACAATGGACATCCAGGAATTTTTATTGTTCTTTTCTTGCTGACCTCTCCCCCACTGGATATCATAAGTGAACAAGCCTGAAAGGGTTCAATATAAAATAAATCAAGTCTAAGCTAATTCCTCTCAAATTCATTTCAGTCACAAAAAACCTACAAACCTGATGAAATGAGAAAACAAAAAGCAATGAACCGAGAAATAAGGGTGACCATCAGCATTTCAATGATTGTACTGATTTATTGCCTGACATGGCTCCCACTTCAACTTGTTTATTTAATATCGGCTCTCTGTAAAAGTTGTAATGCAAAAAAATTCATTACACTGACTGTTTGCATTGCCCATTTGAGCTCAGCAATTAATCCTATGCTATACGCTTATCACATGAGGGATATTAGACATGCGATTTTTAGACTTTTTCGGTCTGATTTGTCAGAAACTTCGACGTCAGTTCGAAAATCGTCTGTTATGCGGTCGGAGAGCAATGCTCGTAGTTTAAGGGTTGTAAGTTTGTCTGTTGTGGATAAATAAGTCAATTTTGATTATTTTGATATTTAAAGATTTTTAAGATTTTTTGAATAAAATTTAAAATTGGTGTTTGTTATAAATTTGCAAAAATTTGTTAAATGTGATATTTTAAGCTTAAAGTTGGGTCTCAAGTGCTTAACAAATAAAAAATTAAGACAATAGGTTGAAAAGTTAATAAATTTGTTCTAGTTTTACTTTCCAGATGGACACCCAAGCCTATAATAAATCATCTCTCCAAAAATAATACTTTTGAGTGCCCTAGTCATAGATTGTTTTGGTTAATGTCAATATCATTTTATTTGTAGGCTTGCTCAGCAGTACGTGCCAGTTTGTTTTGTAGAACAGAAGTTTTTCTGATTTTGTCAATTTTTTTCAAATAATAAAATAATAATTGGAGATTTATAAAGTTTTAAAGATGAGTGATTATAATACGGAAGAAGTGACTCATAATGATGGGGATATATTGAGTTATGGTGTGAAAATAACATTTATTGTAATGGAAGTTATAATAGCAATTTTAGCCGTGACTGGTAATTTAGCTGTGATTATTGCATTCATTAAAGAGCCCAAATTGAGACGACAGACGAATTATTACATTATTTCACTAGTTGGTGCTGACTTCTTAGTTGGAGCAATTGGAATTCCACTAGGAATTATAATAGTAGGTTTTGAGGTTTAGTGAGTGTATTGAGTCTGGGTTTTGCACAATGCAGACCCTTTCATAAAATTCTTTTATATTCAAAAAGAGTCATTTTATATTTTTTTTTCAGCCTTTTACAGATTTACCACTGAGTGGCGTATCATTTTGTCCAGCACGAATTGCACTGTTAATTTCATTTTGCAACATATCAATTCTGAGTTTAGTGGTCATTTCTATCAAACGTTTTATAATTTTGGTAAATTCTTTCCAAATTCTAACAAAAATTTAATACAATTTTACAAAATTACTTCCTTAGCAGTCAGCAAATGAACCTCAAAACGATAATATGTCTACAAAAATCTTCTTTAGAGACATAAGTCTTTGCTGGATTGTTGGAATTGTCGTGGGTTTTATTCCAATCTTTGCGCATCAGGAGCCAATCAGAAGATCATGCATGCTCAACGATGTCCTTGGCAAATATCTAGTTGTACTAAGATTTATATTCTTGATTGTGGTTCCTGTCTTCATGTTGAGCTTCATTTACTTTAAAATATATCGAATTATTCGGAGTCAGGTGAGTTGGGCTTGTCAACAATTCAAAACCTTCAACTAATCTTTCAACTCGTAGATAAAAAGTGAGCGAACCTTAAAAGGTTCAAAATGTAATGAACTAAAACTCATGAGGAGAGAAGTCAGAGCAACCAGAACAATTTCATTAATTGTCTTAATATTCATGTTTTCATGGATTCCAGTGCACATTGTCTACATTCTTCCAGTCATAACAGGCACAAGTGTCAATAAAAATATTTTGGCATTTGTCGTTAATCTTGCACATTCAAATTCAGCAATAAATCCGTTCTTATACGCTTATCATATGAAGGACATAAGACATGCGATCATAAAACGATTTGCTATTAGCAGTGTAAGCACGTCAGTCCCTAATTCATATGTGAATTCGTAAAGAAACATCTATTATTGTGTGGTCGAGATAAGCACAAGTTGACTATTTATAACTAGATAATACTGAATCATTGACAAAAACAAGAACACATTAACTCATTTATTATTCTAGTTTTAAGATTCATGAATAGTTTGTATTTATTATGCATTTATCATGAAAATCTTGTGAAAATCATAGAATTACGATTTAAAATAAACATTTTAGATAATTTAAGTCAGTCATTATGAATCCGTTAATCACATTTCATGTCAACAGAATAACAACTTTAGAACTATCGATCCTTGCCATTATCGTAACTTTGTATGAATCTCCCAATATCTGCAATATGTGTATACTAATGTAAAACAAGTCGGGATTGATGGGAATCGAACCCACGACCTCAAAAGAGACTGTCACTCGGTCACCGAGGTACTTATCTCACTTCGGCTATCTGTCATACGCATATAACCAGTTTCACTGCGAGCCCTATGCTCAAGCCGATCTACTACAGATATCCTCTTCGATCCATATCTTTACGATGTTTTTAATGATTTGTCATTTTAAAGATCAAGCTGAATTTTAATAAAATGACGATTTTAAACAACAATAATCCAAATTTGGTTGTATATCCAGTCAGGCGTTTAGCCAAGAGTGGATTTGGGGGAAAAATCCCCTTTTTCTTGAGAAAATTCTTCAATTTGCTAGAGTTTTTATGAAAAACTCGAAAAATACGCCCCCTTCCTTATAAGTTTTCCATACAAAAAAAAATAAATTTGTCCCCCCTCTTCAAGTTCCTTGCTACGCCCCTGTATCCAGTACAATGAGCACAACAACGTGGACCCAACGTGGACCAAGGCCGTTTTTGACTACGTATTTAATCTGAATGATAAGAAAAAATTGTTAAGTGCCTTCGTGTTTGTTACCAATTGCTGAACTCTGTCTGATAAAAGCCTGAAAAACAAGAAAATCTGATTAGTCATTGATGAGTCATTCGATGTGAAACAGTCGACTTTTTGGATAAACTTTATCTGATTGTTGCTTTAATTCTTATATCTTGCATACTTACTCTACATTTATGAATCATAATGTATCAAAATAAGATTGTAATAAGCTAGGAAGTGTTGACAGCATTTCATACATTTATCGTCAATATACACCAATTGCATTTATCATGTTTCCGTCAAGATTTTGAGACTTAAAAGAATCCACACTTAAAATTCCAGTATGAAGGGTTAGTTACTTTATCAAGCCATTAAACATCAATGTCGTTTTTATTCACTCTTTTATCAAAAATTCCAAACAATCAATGCAATTTGGGCAGTAAAAATAAATACAATATTAATTACTAGCGCTTTAGGTGAAGCATTCATAACCGAATCAATCCATTTAAGATAACTTGTTACTCTTGTAAATCCAGCTGGATATCCAAGTTGGCATCCTCTTTCAGCACCAAACGACACAACACCGACAATGATTGTTGAATTGTTGACATTGACTGTGAATGGACCACCTGAGTCACCGCTACATGAACTAGCAATAGGTGTTGTGCCTCCACAAATGTTTGTATCTGCAACAGTATCTTTAATATAGTATGAAGCACATTCTACATTTGTTATGATTGGTAAGACGACATATTTCAAATTTGGAGATGTTGCTGTAATTGAATCTGAGTATCGTCCAAATCCTGACTGGAAATTAATGAATAAAGCACAGTTAGATATTAAGGAAGTGAACTTAAGGGCTTTTAAGTATTGTTTGAGATTGGGACAGTGTTCTGGACAGTCCACTCGTTTTGAACTAACATTTAAACTTGTGCTGAATAAAAACAGGGTTAAAAATGGGTTTTTGAGGCGCAATGACCTTGCTACTACTTTGGATTAACGAATTTCAATGCTCTTAGGCTAATTAAGACTCAAAAGACATTATACAGTTGCCTAATAACTTACCACTGTTCCATTTGCTCCAACAAATCTTTCTGTTGTGTAATTCTTTGGCAATGCAATAAGTCCAATACTGGAATCAGATTTAGGAATTGCTACTGGCAGTTTGATCATCGCAATATCATCTCGTAAAGTGTCATCATTATAGCTACTATATACATAAATATTCTTCTTGTCGGTAACAGTTTGACGATAAGAATAAGTTTGTGAATTCAAATCCACATGTCCTCCAATAACTATGATGTACTGATATTCTCCATAGACACAATGTGCTGCCTGAAATATTCAGAATAATTAGAGAATGAAAGTTGCTGTCGGATTTTGTAAATTAATACATACCGTCAACACCCATGTGTCATTAATAAACGATCCACCACACAGCCAACCTAAAATAGATTTATTAATTATTGTATAAAATAGTTCCATACACATAGAAATGCTATCAATCGTTAAGTTTTTATTTCCTTATTTATAATGTTTAATTAGATAAGATCATTTAAGCACCACGATTGAGTCATGCGCTTGTAAAATGGTTATTTTGTGATAATTTTTATAAAGATGAAATTAGAAGCTGATAAAAGAATACAGCAATATTAAATAGGTACGACTTATGATTTATGGTGAAGACCAATTTTCGCAATACTTTTTTGAGCTGCGGCACGTCGAACCATGACTTAAACCGCACAAATCATGTGGTTTCTCAAAATTTTCTGTGGAAAATTAGTGTGCCGCGGCACATGGGATAGTCATCGTTGGTGTAGCCTATTGGGAAGTAGTTCTTATAAGAGTATTCAGAGGACATAAAGTCTCGAATTTTTATATTTTTATGACTTTACTATTGTCTTCGATAAAATTCAAGATACCCAAAATTACTACACTTTAGACCAGTGTTGTCCAAATTGTGTGCCGTGGCACACTGCTGTGCTTTGGAATTTTTTGTAAACGACGCGAGCCGTATACTGTGTGCGTTATTTTAATGTCTTACCCCTAAAATGTGCCGTGGCTCAAAAAGGTTGGACAACACTGCTTTAGACAATCTGAGGTACGCTTAGTCATCATCACCTTACCTTTTTATTAGTAAAATGTCTACCTAGTCAAACTAAGACATTAAAAAATCAACAAAAAATAAATTACCAGAGTCTCCTTCAACAATCACATAAAGCGTCACTTGATGTGGAATTTGACCTCGAGTTGCAAAACTTCCACCAATAATGAATGGAACCTTTCCTGGTGAGTCATCAGGTGCTTCATAAAGTTTACGTAAAACTTCTTGTCTGTGTGGTTGTTCATTTACATCTTTAAAGTGCGACAGTTCTGATAGATCAACAATTTCTGAACTAACAATAGAAATTAAAACTAAAGTTAAGAAAAAAACTTGTTTCCACATTTTTTTAACACGTTGTTCCAATTCAAATTCACAATTAATACTAAGTGTTGACTTTGTTAAATCCACAATTACATATATTGAGCATTAAATTGCGATAACATTTAATCGGAGCGATACGATGATAAGACGATACTTACGGTTTGGTTATCAATCGACCAGAGTTGCGTTCTGTCATTGCCTATGACAGGCAGATTTTTTTGAGTGCCTGTTGACAGGCAATGGGAGACAAAAAATGGCCTGTAACCTTTGCTTTAATATATCCCGAACTGGCAGAAGGTCTTGAAGGATAGAGCTGACTTTACCACGTGCGCTCCAGCAAAGGAAATAAGAAGTAAAAAGTAAATATAACCTTTGCCTGTTGTAAGGCGACCTTTCTCGCAACCCTGCAATCGATTGAGAATGTTCAAAGATTTTAAAAGTCATTGTAAATGAATCATAGCTTTTATTGATTGTGTAGATCAACGAATTGATTTAAAAGTGCTCGTAAGGTGATTTATTTATTTTTTAATTGAATTAGATTGCGGTTACATTGATAAGGTAGTTATGATTCCGGGAAAACCACTTGGACTAAAAATTTCATCATTATTTTCGTCTACTGAATCAGATTTGAGTTTTATAATTACTTGAAAATCAAGGAGAGTAATGTGCGTTCAGAGGATTGTTACTATGCTTTCCCGATGACGAAATCGAGACCGAGACCCGTGACTAGAGAAGAAAAAATTTTAAGTAAAAGTGATAATTTTAGAATTTTTCCCATCACAGTTTGTAGATAATCTTACAGTTAGGGTAAATGAACTTGAAATTTGCGCATTTTCACACATGAAATTTTCATTTGCTTCAATCTCTTCGGAGGATTGTAACTGAGTCCAACTAATGGTCTTGAAATGCAGGGAATCAAAGATATTTTCTTCTTTATATGTGTAAAGTTCTATGACTCTATTCGTGAACGTATTAATCAGCGTCGGAATGGAAATCTTATTGATTTATTGATGTACTTAAAAAATCCCTCATTTTTACCATCGGACAAACATTTCAATGTTTCAACAAAAAGCGAAATTCATAAATTTGGTATAGCGTTACTTCAACAGCATTTTTCGGAAATTTCAACAAATAATGAACCAGTTCAGTCAACTTCCAACTCTCAAGTTACTCAATTACAACAAAATACTCTTCGAGATCGTTTGAAGTTAAGCTTGATGCAATTTACATCAAATGAGCCTCGTACTCGAAACATTAATGAAAACTTAAAACGCGAGTTTTCATGGTATGAGAGAAATAAAGTCAAAACTCCGTTATTAAATCAGCTGTATAATGCACTGCTAAGCATTCAACCAACATCTACCCAGAGTGAACGTAATTTTTCAATCAGCAATAATGTTTTGACCAAGCAAAGGAAGCGATTGCTTAACAAAAACTTAAATGCTATCGTTTTTGTGAAAAGTCATTTCCAAAACCCAGAATAGTTTTAATAGGGACACACTTTCTTATCATTATGCTTTTCTTTTATCATTACGTATTTCGTATTTCTTTTATATTTTATATTAGTATTAAGACAATAAAATTAGTTTGACTGATCGCATAACAAGGAATATATCCAGAAGTTCAATAACATATAGACGTAATCTACATGTTCTAAGTGTTTTTTAATTACTTTCAGCGAAATTTTAAGTAGTTTTTAAAGTCGAAACTTCCCGGAAATTCCCGGGAAGTCTCGGTCTCGGTCTCGAGAATTTGTCGAGACCGAGAAATCGAGAAAGCTTAATTGTTACTAAATAAACTTTAGGTGCCCAACTAGTGCAGTTTAACTTTATTTATACCAAAGAGTTTCAGGTACCTAATTATTGCAGTACCGACACAGCGATCATGGGTTCGAGACTCGTCATGGGAAAATTTTTAATTGTCCTTTTTCGAATCACATGTCCAGGAAATAAGGCTTACAGCCTTCCTTTGTAAGCTATAGGTAGAAATGTCATCAGAGGAGTGGTTCAAATCCCACTATAAACTGTAGGTCTAGGTTTGAGCGGGAGGTCTGCCGAACCCTCTCCCGTTAAACTATCATTAGCCTTGTAACGCATAAAACGCGCCGTTATGGATCTTAAGGTCTGAATGCTAAAGATTAATTTTTTTATTTATACCATAGAGTTTATGATTTTCATTTTCGAATCTCCTTGGTAGTCAATGGACTAAGATTTTTGCATAGATTACATTTGAATAAAACTGACTGAGCCCAGTGCAAAATTCAACGCTTGGACAGCGAAAGAATAATCTTTTTGGTCCAGATGACATCGGATGTAATTTTTTCATTGTTTTGAATAAAAATTTGTTTCGTGTCCATGCCTTGGTAAATTATGAGTCTGAATCGCGGTCTTAATTCATCGATTTTCAGACTGTAAATGTCTTTTCAACTAAATGTTGTCAACACATTTAAAAATTCATTTTATTGGTCTTCACACACGTTGAAGTTTTTACCGACATTCATTGTTACTGTAAAGCTTTTTTCTTAAAACAATCATACTTCAGAATACATCTTTCAAATACGTGTTGGTTAATGTTGATCGATAAACATCAACACTAATAGCTACTTTCTTATCATATTCCAATCTATAATGCAATAAAAACTTTTATGATTGAAAAATGATTTAGCGACTGATTTCTGCAAGATTTCTGTAGTTTTGTTATTCGTTGCATATTCTTGGTTATTGGTTTCTGGTTCTTAAATTTTGGTCAAAGGTGCGGACCTGATAAACTACATTTTGATCATTTTTAATAACTTATAATCATTTTTGATCAAATTTGATCATTTTTGATCATTTCATCAGTACCACATCCTTGATTTTGGTTCACGATACTTTGTTCTCGGTCCATGGTTCTTAGTTCTTTAATCTTCGTTCATGGCTCCAGGTTCCTGAATCTTGGTTCATGGTTATTGGTTCACGATTCTTTGTTCTTCGGGCATGGTTCTTGCTTTACGCTTGTAGATGCTTCAAACTTCAAAAATTCAAAAAATAAAAATTTTATCTTCACACGTGCTTCTAAAATGTTATCTATAATTTCATATCCTTTCTAATTCAATTTATTTTGAGATAAATTTTCTTATCAATGTTTAGAGATTGTCAAAAAAGTATAAAACCCGTATCAATTCCAATCAAAATCTTTAGTTGATTTTGAATCACTTTGAAGTAAAAATGAAAACTTTTTCAATTATTTGCCTAGTTTTATCTTCAATTGGCGGTAAATAACTCAAAATTCTTATCAGTTGTTCAGAAAAAATTTAATCTTTTTACATTTTCAAAAAAAAAATCAGTTTTATCTTCTCCATTTGATGGAAATACCTCAGAATGGACTTTGGATAAAAGGAATGTGGAACCGGATCAACATTTTAATCCAATCACAGACATTGTCTATCATTTATTCACAAGAAGAAATCCAACGGAATCACAAAGAATCACAACAAATATTAACACAATATTGGCATCAAATTGGAATTCAGACAATGCAGTTCGATTCTTGATCCATGGACACAATTCAGGCGTTGGTTCCACTTTCAGCACTCTGATTAGAGATAAACTTTTAGCTAATGCTGATCGTAATGTTGTTGTCATTGACTGGAGCGTTGGTTCCAATACCCGACTATATTCGACAGCACGAGGTCGTGTTGGAACTGCTGGTGTAGCAGTTGCAAACTTTATTGATGAGCTACATCGTAATGGATTTGTAGATTTTACACAGGTGCATATTATTGGACATAATCTTGGTGCTCATGTTGCTGGCAATGCTGGAAAGAACGTTATGCGTGGAAGAATTCAAGCTATTTATGGATTAGATCCTGCTGGTAAAAGTGCAATTTCAGAATGTTTTTAATGTGTTGCTAAAGTACAATTCTCATTTAGGAGGTTCATTCAGTGCTGGAGATACTGACCGGCTTGCTTTTTCTGATGCTGTCTATACAGAAGGAATTCACACAAATGCAGGTGGCAATGGCTTCGCAGAACCAATAACTCGTGCATCATTCTATCCTAATTGGGGTGCATCACAACCAGGATGTGGCGTTGATGTATCCGGAAATTGTGCCCATGAACGATCAATTTTGTTATATGCTGAATCAATATCAAGCAACAGATTTGTAGCTAGACAATGTTCTGGTTATCAACAAATTACAGCAAGAAATTGTCCAGGCATTGGAAGTGGAACAATGGGTGGAGATACAACCAAGACACTTGCTGGAGTTTATTATTTAAGTACAAATTCAGTTTCTCCTTTTGCACAGAATTAAGTGAATTTTATGTTTGATGCCTTAATAAAAATAATAATATGTACTGTGATTTGACTGTGATTGACATTCTCCATCTGTAATGCTGATTTTGAAGTCCATCTGCATTTAGCATTCAGACCTTACGATCCATAACTGCGCTTTATGTGCGTTACACGGCTAATGATAGTTTACTGAGAGAGGGTTGGCCAGCCCTCCCGCTCAAACCTAGACCTACAGTTTATAGTGGGATTCGAACCACTCCTCTGATGACATTTCTGCCTGTAGCCTACAAAGAAAGGCTGTGAGCCTCATTTCCAGTACATATGATTCGAAAAAGGACAATTGAAAATTTTCCCATGCCGATCGCTGTGTCGGCATTGCAACAATTAGGTACCGAAGTACTAAACCATTCTGCCACAGAGCCACTTTAGCTGTTTTAGATTAACCTTATTATTTATCCCCGATACAGTTGTACTACAAAATTAATTCCTAATCTAGGTGGCCCAATGGAGTCCTATGAACCAGTCCAAATAGCTACGGTTCGAATATTAATTTTCCCGAAACTTCGACAATTTACGTCTAACATCCGCATGATAAGAAATTTTTAACGACATGCAATGGGTATCCACTTCAGATGTTATCAAAAACCAGAGGAATTATTAAAGTTTGATCGTTTATTTAACAGAGTTGGAGATATTAACACATTTAGCAGAACGACTGTCAGAATTTAGATTAAGACATAAATCTCCTCTTCTTACCTTAAAGTTATCTTAAATAATAGAGATGCGAATATTATCAGCTCTGTGCTAGCATTGAGCTAATTTTGTCCAAATATTGTGTAAATTTGAAGTCAAGCCAGCAGCAAGCAAGATTATTCACTTCTCGTTTTAATAAGTAATTCATTGCTGCATTTGAGGGCTTCTTATCAGCAATATCCACAGCGCTTATGTTTGCTTGCTATTTGGTGTGTTAACTCAGAGATAGTTGGTTGAAGTCTGCTTTATATGAGATCACGACGAAATTCGAGCTGTGCGTAGCTTTGAATTGAGAGACTAGTCAAGAACTCTGAAATTGAAATTGGAACCTGATAGAATGCGTTATCAATGATAAATTGAAAGACTGGACCTGAAAGTTTCATCTTGTAACTTAAGAAGATCGGACTAAAATCCTTAACTTATTCAAAACCTTGATCTACAAATCGGATGCTTTAAGCTTGGGGGTCAATCACTTATGACGTCCGAATTTAGCGGTTATTTTTCAACAAAAAACAATGAATTTCCAGGAATTTCTATTGTTCTTTCCTTGCTGACCCTCTCCCCAACCCCCTTGGACGTCATAAGTGAACGGCCCCTTAAAAAGATGTAATACACCAAAAAGTGGATAAATTGTGAATTATTTCCAATTCCAAACCCTGTTTTTAACAATAAATCATTTAATCTAATCTCGTTCAATTAACTTTGGTTTTAATTGTTTGATGTCTTGTTATAAAGGCTAGAGTGATAGGTTAAGAAGTTACATTTTGTTTTCATTCCTGTAAAAACACTCAAAGAATGAAGTCGGTCGTGATTCTAGCTTTTATTTTATTTGCTGGAGGTAAAATGAATAAACTTTTGATTGTTTTTGTAGTTCTGCCATAGAAATTGATGAAGAATTAAGCATAAAAGATAATTAATTTTCTCATTACAGTCAACAGTCTCCCAGTCGATGATACCATCCCAAGATGGCACGCACTTTCAGATGACAATGGCCGCATTAAACTTGTCGATTTAAATCCATTAGAAGTAGAACCTGAGCCATTCTTTAATCCACAAACTGACATAATCTTCCTTTTGTTCACAAGAAGAAATCCAACAGTTGGACAAAGAATCACATTTGATTTGGATTCAGTCCGAAATTCAAACTGGAATGTTAACAACGGAGTTCGTTTCATCATCCACGGATGGCAAAGTGATCAAACGACAGGCTTAAATACATTTATCAGAAATGAGTTCTTAGCTAATGCTGACCATAATGTTGTCGTTGTTGACTGGAGTGCTGGTGCTCAAACTATTAATTATATTAGTGCTAGAAATCGTGTTGGTGTCACTGGTGGAACTGTTGCATTGTTGATTGATGACTTGCATAGAAGTGGACTTTTGAGGTTTGAAAATGTTCTTATTGTTGGCCATAGTCTTGGTAGTCATGTTGCTGGTAATGCTGGTAAACAAGTTACACGTGGAAGAATTCCTGCTATTTTTGCAACTGATCCTGCAGGTAAGAAGCATGTTGTTGTGAATTTTAGATCGATCGAGGCTCGTTTGTGTTGAACAAGGCTCAATTGGGCTAAATAAAATTCCTTAAGATCAAAAGTAATGAATGTTTTCCCATTAGGTCCTCTCTTCAGTGCCACAGACGCAGACAGACTGTCATCAAATGACGCAATCTACACGGAAGCACTGCACACAAATGCTGGCACTTTAGGATACGCTGAACCTATCACTGATGCTTCATTCTATCCCAATTGGGGTTCCTCACAACCAGGATGTGGTCTTGATGTAACAGGAGCTTGTGCTCACGAACGTTCCAATCTTTTCTATTCAGAATCTGTAAGAAGTACATTCACAGCAAGACAATGTGCAAATTATATACAAATTAGAGACAGAAACTGTCCTGGAACTGGTACGACAGGAAGAATGGGAGGTGATGCACAAAAGAGCTTAAGTGGTGTTTTCTTCTTGACAACAAATTCAGCATCGCCATTCAGTCAAGGTTGATAAGATAAATGTAATTAAAGTTTTTCGAGTAGTTTCTCATAGATTAGGAATAAAAAATAAGTCAATAAATATGATTATAAGTTTTGAAACTATTGTGACTTGTTGAAATTTCGTTGAGGTTGATTTGAAGTATGAAATCATCAATTGGAATGCACCAGGTTATTTGACCAAAAGCCATTATTCCATAACTTAATTAGTACCATAGCAGTCAGCCATTTCATCAGGATGTTCTCATTAGATTGGATGGCTTTTGGACTTCTTTAGAACTTCCCGGATTGCACATTCAACATCACGTCTACTTAAGGCAATAGATAAATCGCATTTTCCTTATAATTTGGGTATTTTTAATCATATAATCTTTCCAAATGATTAATAATCTTGGTGACCTTGAAAAATTTGAATCTTGCATCTAGAAAATGCGAATTTATCAGCTTATCTTATTATTATCATGATAGCAAAAATCCATGTCGATAAGATTCAGATATCAAAAAATCACCAAATTCAAAATATTTTTGCCAATAAAATTCTATAAAAATCAGTTCCATTTTGTATTACTGAAGATCAACAGGGAGTTCAAAGATGAAGCAAATTCTGATACTTTTTATTTTTCTAGCTGGAGGTGAGCTTTGTAAGACACAATCGGTAATCGAATAGAAATCCGGTGCCCAACCGTCATGACTCTAGCAAGGTGCTAGCTTTGATTTAAATTCAGCACCATGCCAACGTCACACCGGCTTGGTACCGGGTTTATGATTGATTAACCGAATTGTGTCTTTATGGTTTGTTTGACATAATTGGTAATAAATTAATTGAATTTTGATTTTTTCAACAGCCTACACCATCCCATTGGATCAAGTAAATCCACGATGGAGTCTCTTTTCTAATACAAACGGCCGAATGCAAGTTGTTGACGCAAATCCTTTACAAGTAGATTCAGAACCTTTTTTCAATCCATCAACAGACATTCAATACCATTTATTTACAAGACATAATCCAACAACATCACAGAGACTTACTTCCGATATAAATACAGTTCTAAACTCTAACTGGAATCCCAACAATCCAACTAGATTTATTATCCATGGAGTTGATTCAGACAGTAACTCGCTAGTCAGCACACTCTGCAGAGATCAATTCCTAGCTAATGGTGACCATAATGTCATTGTTATAGATTGGAGTGCTGGCTCAAATACATTTGTGTATGCAACAGCTAGAAATCGCGTTGGAGTCACTGGAGGAACAATTTCTATATTTATTGATAATTTACATCGAAATGGACTGATTACAATTGAAAATATAATTGTTGTTGGATTCAATCTTGGTGCTCATGTTGCTGGTAATCTTGGAAAGCAAGTAACTCGTGGACGTGTTGGTGCTATTTTTGGATTGGATCCAATTGGTGAGTTTTCTATGCAAAACTTAGATTTTAAAAACTAGTTGAATTTTGAATATAAAAGCACCGTTAATTTTGAATTTCAAAAATTCCGTTAAAATTTCAGCCAACCTCTTTAGCGCTGGCGACACTGACCGTTTGGCAGTAAATGATGCATCATACACAGAAGGAATTCATACAAATGCAGGAGGAAATGGCTTCGCAGAACCACTGGCAAGAGCAACTTTCTATCCAAACTGGGGCTCATCACAACCTGGATGTGGAATTGACATTACTGGAAACTGTGCACATGAACGTGCGGTTCATCTGTATGCTGAGTCAATTACAAGCAACAGATTTATTGGACGTCAGTGTTCTGGTTATCAGCAAATTCTTACACAAAATTGTCCTGGAATTGGATCTGGAACAATGGGTGGAGATGCTGTAAAAACACTTTCTGGAGTTTTCTTTATTGCTACAAATTCAGTTCAACCATTTGCACAAAATTAAGATTTTTACTCAATTTAATAAAAAACCATGATAAGTTAAAGTGGATTTTAATTTAATTCCTTTTTTTCATTGAAAAACTTTTCTTTTATTGATAAGATCGAAAAACATTTGCTGACAGGTAAATCCAAGCGGAATTCTGATAACCTTTTTTAGACTTTGGGAAATTCCCAAGTTTTTAAATCGATAAAGTATTTTTCTGTTTACTTTTTTTTTCTATTTGAGGTTTTTGGTATGAGCCACGCCCACATCAGATTTCTCGTTTGGCACAAAGAGAGTATGTCACGTTTGAGATAATCTTGCAAGTTTCAAGATAGTCTCTTCGACTTTCATTATAGTCAACTCAATCAAAATTAAGTATTTTATCAAGCAGGTGATTTCTTTAATTCATAGGTTTTCCCAATAACATTTATGTTTATTTACCACAGCCTGCAAACAAGGGCGTACCTATCAACACCAAGAATCATCGATAAAAATATCATTTTGAGGATCACTAACGAAAAAGCGGAAAGTAAAGTTTATTCAGCACTGCAGTACTATGAAAACACTGAAATTGAGATCCTTCTAGAAGTCAAATCTTGGCTCATCGGAATGTATGGGCTCAATGTTTTAGATACCATAACGCTGAATCATCAAGCTCAGTACACAATGTCATATCAAACGACCTATTCACCAATGGGAGAGATGTCAACTCTCTATTGAACAGACTCGGTCCCCGAGCATCTTAATTTTTGGATTTACCTGCTCGGACATCTATCGCTATCTTTTTTTTTTTTTGTTATCTTTGATGAAGCTATACTCAGTTAATATAATAAGTCGATTGAAATGAAAAAAAGCTAGAATTTAATTTAAGAGGTTCAAAAAAATTTTCGTTGCTGCACGCTTAATCCTTCTATATACCACGTAAAAGTTATCATTTTAAAAATAAACTCAAACATTTCTGAACAATCAATAGACAGCTTAAAATATCACGTCTTTATTATAATCATTATAATCAATCATGATAACTTAATTCATAATATGACACGATAAGATAAACTTTTCAACTTTCATAGTTTATTTTTAACCCATAGCAAATGGCGATTGAGCATTTGTTTCTAAAAAGAAGACTCCACGAATATCCTTAGCACTATCGCCACCCATAACAGCAAACACACCAGTTCCTGGACAATTTCTAGCTACAATATCATCATATCCATTACATTGACGTGCTCTAAAGCGATCACTATTGATTGATTCTGAATAAAGATTTGTTGATCGTCCATGAGAACAGCCTCCGCCAACATCAGCACCACAACCTGGTTGAGTTCCACCCCAATTTGGATAGAATGTAGCATGAGTGATTGGGAGATCAAAACCTAAGACTCCAACATTAGTATGCATAGCTTCAGTGTATACAGCATCTTCACTATCCAGCCGATCTGGATTGTTGACATTAAATAATGGACCAGCTGGGTCATTACCGAAAATGACAGCGATTCTACCACGTCGAGTATTCTTGCCTGAATGTCCTGAAACATGAGCTCCAAGTGAAATACCAATCACATGAACTTGAGCATGGGAAACGAAACCATGTTCATCTAAGAAATCAATAAATTGTCCAACAACTTCACCAGCTGGTCCAACACGGTTTCTTGAAGTGATGTAGTTGATTGCTCCTGCACCGACACTCCAGTCGACAACTAATAATTGATTTTATTTATTTATTAGAATTTAATGCTTGCTAGGAACTCACCAATAACATTATAGTCTGCAAGAGCCAAAAACTCGTTACGAGTGAAAATATTTTCTCCTGATTCTGATGAAGCAGTCCAACCATGAATTAAGAATCTTGTTCCAGCACCTCGTCTGAAGTTTGAATTTGTAATGCTTGCAGTATCAAAGGTTATTCTCTGTCCAACAGTTGGATTTGATCTTGTGAAAAGAAGGAAGAACATGTCATTGATCGGATCGAATGCTGGTTCTGGTTCAGCTACGATTGGATTCAAATCAATCAATCGCATATGCCCTTCTCCATCTTTAGTGACTGTCCATCGTTCAGATTCGATGAAGTCGGTGAAGACGGTCCGTTGGATTGGAGTGGAATATGCTAGAAACATTCAATAGTTTATTTCGTTACTTAAACTTTAAAATTTATAAACTTTAAGTACCTCCACAAAATAAAACAAAAATGACAAAAATATGCTTCATGTCTATCCAAAGAACTTTTTACTTCTGACAGGCTGCACTAGATTTTACATGACTTTTTATAGAAAGAACTGAAAAGCTTTCTAAATAAATTCAGCGAATTAATTAATTAAAACTTTTAATCTTTAGATAACAAAGACTGCGGGGGTTCAATCGACTTTATTACTTGTAAGAAGTTCGTCCGAGCAACACACGAGGTTACTTATCTATCACAACAAAGCACTGAAGTATACCTGCTTTACTTAAAACCCTGAAAACCTTTGTTCAACATTCCTAAAATGATGAAAATTAACAGAACTTTATAAGCAAGTCAAAAAGATTTATTGTAAGTATCCAAAACTTAATCACATTTAAATTTCATATTTAACCCATTGCAAAGGGTGCTTCAGCATTTGTTTCCAAAAAGAATACACCTCGAACATCTCTAGCACTATCACCACCCATACTAACGACCACTCCAGTTCCAGGACAATTCCTAGCTACAATTTGATCATAACCAGTACATTGACGTGCTCTAAAGCGATCACTGTTGATAGATTCAGCATACAAGAATGTTGAGCGAGCATGTGAACAAGCTCCACTGATGTCAGTACCACAACCGGGTTGATTAGGTCCTCCCCAGTTTGGATAGAATGTAGCATGCGTAATTGGTTCATCAAAACCTAAAACGCCAACATTTGAATGAATTGCTTCAGTATAAACAGCATCAGATGAATCAAGACGATCAGGATTGTTGATGGTGAATAAAGGACCTGATGGATCATTTCCAAAAATAGCGTTGATTCTGCCACGACGAGTATTCTTTCCAGTATGACCTGATATATGAGCACCAAGTGATATTCCAATTGCATGGACTTGAGCATGAGATACAAAGCCATGTTCATCTAAGAAGTCAATAAGTTGAGCAACGACTTGACCGACTGGTCCAACACGGTTACGTGATGTGATGTAGTTGATTGAACTAGCACCAATGCTCCAGTCGACAACTTAGGAATTAATTAAGATTCATACATTTAATTTTAATACAAATGAGAAACTCACCAATAACATTGTAATCAGCACGGGCTAAAAATTCATCTCTTGTAAAAATATTTTCTCCTGATTCAGAAGACGAAGTCCAGCCATGTGTTAAAAATCTAGTTTCAGCACCTCTACGAAAGTTTGAATTCTCAATACTTTGAACATCAAATGTAATTCTTTGTCCAACTGTTGGATTAGATCTTGTAAAGAGGAGGAAGAACATGTCAGTAATTGGATCAAATGCTGGTTCAGGTTCAGCTACGATTGGATTCAAGTCAACTAAGTGCATTCGTCCATTTCCATTTCTAGCTACTGACCATCTTTCGTGTTTGATGAAGTCGGTGACGACGGGTTGTTGGAGTGGAATGGAGAGAACTAGAAAATTCAGATTTCATGAAATTTCATTAACCAGTAATAATAAGTGTGTAAAGGAAGCTGATTTTAAGGTGTCTAATCTAAAAATGTGTAAATGGCCCAGCCTTTCAGCTGGAAGCACTGCAATCCAATCATTTTAAGGTATAGTTTAGCAATAAACTCTTTGTTTGAGAGACCATAGCTTGCAGTGTACTCGAGATATCAGTAATGGGTTACCTCCACAAACAGCAACAGCAGCTATCACGAAAATAACCTTCATATCTATCCAAAGAGTTGAAAACGACTAACGACTTGCCATGAATTTTCGACAAATTTTATCACAGAAAAGCTGTGAGGATAAAATGATAAAAAAAAGGTAAATCGGCCTCTTGATAACAAAATCAACGCGGGGGTTCAATCAGTTTTCCTTACAAAGAGTTTAAACTTTCAAGGGTTTTGTAAAAATAAGCTCTGTTATCTTAGAGAAAATTTTATGAATAAACTGAAAGAATAAATGTATTAATTCATTGGTAATAAAAAAAATTTGTCAAAATTGTGGTTATCTGGGTAAATGGAAGTTTGGATGCGCTCCTGTCGCTCAGAATATCTTAATTTCCAATGATTTTTTTTTTCATTCCTATTAAACTTCAAACACATTTTAATAAATTTGGATTTTTTTAAAGATTTATTACAGAGATCGAAGCCGATTTTTTCGGCTTAACTCAACTTTTGATTTTTTTGATAGAAAAAAGCTATTTAACACACATTTCAAGTATTTATATTGGACTTTACATGCTTTACTATGATTTTGTGTAATATTTTGTCAGCATGTAGCTATGGTAAGCTCAGAATTTCAAGTTAAATGATGTTAAGCCGAAATTTAAGCCGATCGGCTTAAAATCGGCTAAATTGAAATTCTGAGCTTACTATAGCTACATGCTGACAAAATATTACACAGAATCATAGTAAAGCATATAAAGTTCAATTTAAATACTTGAAATGGGTGTTAAATGGCTTTTTTCTATCAAAAAAATCAAAAGTTGAGTTAAGCCGAAAAAATCGGCTTCGATCTCTGATTTATTAGCAAAATATCAAATATTTCTCATTATTCAACCCATTGCAAATGGAGCCTCAGCATTTGTTTCCAAAAAGAAGACACCACGAATAGCTTTTGCACTGTCACCACCCAAAATTCCAATCACACCAGTTTCAGGACAATTTCTAGCAACAATATCTTCGTATCCATTACATTGTCTAGACCTGAATTGATCGCTGTTGACAGATTCAGAATAAAGTCTTGTTGCTCTTCCATGGGCACATCCTCCACCGATATCAACACCACAACCTGGCTGTGATGATCCCCAATTTGGATAGAATGATGCATGAGTAATTGGTGCATCAAATCCTAAAGTTCCAGCATTTGTGTGGATTGCTTCTGTGTAGAAAGCATCGCTGGTGTCAAGACGATCTGGATTGTTAACATTGAACAATGGACCAGCTGGATCAGTTCCAAAGATTGCATTAAGTTGTCCACGGAACGTGTTCTTTCCAGCATGACCAGCAACATGAGATCCAAGAGAATGACCAACGATATGAACTTGATTGTGTTGAACAAAGCCATTTTCGTTTAAAAAGTCAATGAATTGTCCAACGACTTGACCAGCTGGTCCAACACGATTTCTTGCTGTGATGTAATTGTTTGCTCCAGCTCCGACACTCCAGTCAACAACTGAGAAGTAATTTTTACAATTTTAAGGTTATGTGGATCTAAAGTCTTTCTTAACTGCACTTACCAATAACATTCAGATCAGACCGAGCCAAAAATTCATTTCTAGTGAATGAATTTTCTCCAGAATTTGATGATGAACCCCATCCATGGATTAAGAATCTAGCACCACCGCCTCTAATGAAATTTGAGTTTTCAATGCTTTGAACATCAAATGTAATTCTCTGTCCAACTGTTGGATTAGATCTTGTAAAAAGAAGGAAGAACATATCAGCGATTGGATCAAAAAATGGTTCTGGTTCAGCTACAATTGGATTCAGATCAATCAATCTCATTCGACCTTCTCCATCTTTAGTTACTGTCCATCGCTCAGGTTCGATGAAATCGGTAGATTGTTGGATTGGATTGGAGTAGACTGTTGATTTTATTTGTTATTAAATTATATAAATTTAAAGATTTTAGACAAACCTCCACAAACAACAAGTGCAAAAATGACCAAAACGAGCTTCATGTCTATCCAAAGAACAAATAGCTTCTTACAATTTTTTGTGACTGCTCTGGGTATTTTTATAAACGTTTGCTTTATCTTAAATGGTTAAGAATGTGATTTGATAACTTAAGTAACCAATTAAGATATTATATCGATAAGAAGCTTTTCATCAGTTCTTTCTTTTGTGTATTGTTCATTCTAAATGGTCAATTTTGAACATTAAATTTTAATAATTGTCAACAGTGTCGGTAAAACCTGTAAATACTCAGAGAGGATCAAAGCTAAAATAAATCCTAAATTAATTTGATCACGAAATAAACCGAAAGTCCAACAAACTTAATTATCAAAGAATTTATTATCACTTCCAATCAATATTTACAAATTAACTGCAAATCCTCCTAAATAAGCTCGATAAGATATAAACAATATTTCTAATTTTAGCCTCTTGCGAATGGTGCCTGAGCATTAGTTTCTAAATAAAAAACACCACGAATGGACTTAGCACTATCACCACCCATAATAGCTACCACTCCAGTTCCAGGGCAGTTTCTAGCTACAATTTGATCATATCCAGTGCATTGACGAGCTATAAACAAGTCACTTCTAATTGATTCAGAATAGAATAAAGGGCCACGTGCATGATTACAACTTCCACCGATTTCATTTTCACAGCCTGGTTGTGATGATCCAAAGTTTGGATAGAATGCAGCATGAGTGATTGGCTCACTGATTCCCGAAAGTCCAGCATTTGTGTGAATTGCTTCTGTATATTCAGCATCAGACGAGTCTAATCTGTCAGGATTGTTGGTGTTGAATAATGGACCAGCTGGATCAGTTCCGAAAATGACATTGATTCTGCCACGTTGAACATTTTTACCAACATGTCCAGCCACGTGTGATCCAAGAGAGTGACCAATTAAATGAACTTGATGATATTGTATGTAACCATTTGAATGAAGGAAGTCTAAGAATCGAGCGACTGCTTGACCTACTACGCTGACACGATTTCTGGATGTGATGTAGTTCGCACTAGCACCGACGCTCCAATCGACAGCTAAATGGATTTAATTTTTATGTTATAAGTTATAATTCAAGTCAATCAAACTTTTATTGCTAACTTACCAATAACATTGTGATCTCCTTGAGCTAAAAATTCATTCCTAGTAAAAATATTTTCAGTCGACATTGAAGAAGTTGTCCATCCATGGATCAATACTCTTGTGCTGCCATTTCTTCTAAAATTAGTCAAACTTCCAACATCAAATGTGATTCGTTGTCCTTCAGTTGGATTCGATCTTGTGTATAGAAGGTAGAACATGTCAGCATTTGGATCGAAAAATGTCTCTGGTTCAACTTCCAGTGGATCAAGATCGACTAAATGCATACGTCCTTCACCATCGCGAGCTATCGTCCATCGTTCATCACCGTTGATTGATTTGTCCTGTAAGGGAGCAGAATGAGCTCCTAAAAATGCAGCTACAGTGATCCCAAGAACGAACTTCATCTCTATTCAAAGAAGTTTTAGTCAATAATGTGCTGAATGAAATTGTAAAGATTTTTATAGGCAGAAAATTATGTATTAATGCTGGGATATTAAAAAGTTATAGATAAAGTAACTCAACTAATTAATTATTTGATAAAAATATTAACAAAATGTTAACTTAATAAACAGGAATTAATCAAGTGATTGACACGTGAATTGATATCAGAAATTTATAGTACTAAAGTAAAAAATTTGCTAAGAATGTGAAAATTTTAGGATTTTTTTTTTAAATGATAAGCGTTGCAAATCAGTTGATATCGTTGACCTCCATATTCTTAGGCTGACCATCTGCTTGGTTTTTTATAGGGCAGTCCTACATTTTTTTCATTTTTCGAAAATAAAATAGATTTGTTTTGTTCTAGTTCGTCCAGAAAACGAATAAAATTGGTTGACATGTGGGATGTCTTTTATTAAACATTCAGGTCCACTATTTTCTCTCCCTACATATGCCTCATTTGAGATCGAGTTGAAGAATAATTTATTCATTATTTAATTGATGACTAATCTTTTACTAAGTTGTAAGCTGTTAACTATTGACAATAAATCAATAAAGTAAATCAATAATTGTTGATTTCAAGCATTATATGAAGCATTGCATGCTCAACATTTGTTAAATTGCAACTTAAACCAAACGCATTCATGAGCTTAAAACATTAGCAAAAGCAAGCCGTGATCGTCTAGTGGTTAGGACCCTACGTTGTGGCCGTAGTAACCCAGGTTCGAATCCTGGTCACGGCAAATTAATTTTTTGCCAACGAGTTTTTTTTTAAAATTTTTTACAATGCATTCATTTAAACACATGTGATCAATATTGTGAATGAATTGAATACATACGCAATGACACAATCACATCTAAACTAAAAATCTTATAATAACATTAGTTATTTCATTTTACTTTATTTAAAGAAAATATATTGAATAAAATTGTCTTTGTGGTTTTAAAAAAAATTATAAATTAAATTTGATTCTTTAAAACTTAAGCAAAATTTACGTAATTAATGCGCTTCCTAGCCTCATACTGGAAATTTAACTTTAAACTTATTCACATTTTGTTTACTTTAAAAATTCATCACAGTCTTACAAATACTATTTGAAAGAGTTTAGTGTATTTTTACTTGTCGGAAAGAGAAGTTTATTAAAAAAACGGGAAATATTTCATAATTTTTGGAAATTTTGTTAAATCTTTCAACTTGAAAGCTCACAAAAAGGTATTTTTGTAATTTAAAATTTAAATAAATATTTTAAAATGATCACTCTTTATTATTAGCCAATTACTCATCATGCTAAAGTCAATTTCGGTCAATTATACATCAGAAATTAGCAATTTTATCGAAAAATTTAAACTTCAAGCTGCTAGTAAAAAAGATTATGAAGTTTTAATTATTAAAGACATCCCAAAAATTGCAAATGCATTTAAACTTCTCTCAGAACTAAATTTCAAGCAACAAGTTGTTTATAAACAAATTTTATTCAGCATTATATTCAAAATAAACGAGAGAGTCAATGAAAATCAAGAAGAGCAACCTCAAATTTATGATTTTAAATTTAAAGATAAGCTTTTGATTTCATTTCAATCGACAATAGTCAAAGATGGAAGTAAAACTTTTTGGAAAGTGCCTAGAATTGAAAAATTTAAATCAATATACATTGATGATGATGAAGCTCAAGTAATAGTTCACGAGTTTTTGGTTGGTGAAATTAAAGCTGGAAGAACTGGTAAGTCAATAGAATTATATGGAGCATTCACTCATGACGTTCATAATTAAGGTCTATTCACTTATTACGTAACGCGATAAAACGACTTTTTAGACCTCCTCCCCCCCTCGTAACAAAATTTGCATGAAAAAAATTCTTTTGTTTGAACCGCAACAAAATCTTAGACCCCCCTCCCCCCTAAAAGCGTTTCGTAATAAGTTAACGCCCCTATAACGGTCATTCTTAAAAAACGAAAAAGGATTCCCAGGAATTTCTATTATTCGTTTCTTGCTGACTCCCCCTCCCTCCCTGGACGTCATAAGTGAATGGCTGAAGTTTTGTATTTGCATTAGAACAATCTAGTGGCGTATTGCAGTATATGGGATTTCAAACCTTCATTCAGCTTTGCCATGCAAATACTCTATCTCTTTGGATCTATACGATCTGATCCTATCAAAGCATGTTAAACAAGCAACCTCTTATTTTTTTATTATTATTTTCAAGGCATGGAAACTATCCTAAATATCTCATTTATCCCATATATCTCAAAAATATTCAAAATAATCCCTGAGCATGTATGCATTAGAATTGAGATATCCCATCATATCCTGAAATTACAGGTCCAATACACTAAGAATGTTGGGATATCTTTATTATCGTGCATACATGCTGAGGAATTTTTTGAATATTTGGGATAGTTTCCACACCTTGATTATTTTGAATTAATTCTAGGAGTCATTGAAAAATTTCAACTTAAAAGTAACGTTCAGCTTCAAGAAATCGGAGACAGTGAAGGAAGAAACCTTTTGGTCCTAGCTACAAACCGAATTGAGACAAGTGCAGTCAAAATTTTGCTTAAACACGAGTTCGATGCTGATGAGGCAATTAATCTTGCTTGGAGTCTAATTGAGCAGAACAACAACAATAATGAGAAAAAAGGCGATATTGATGAAATAATATTAAGCCTCTTAAAAGCGAATTCTAGATTCCCTGAAGAATTTGAATATGAAAAGGCTTCCGAGGACGTAAAAAAGTTTGTTGATAAATGTGAAAGCTTACATGTAGACGCTGATGAAGATGATTTTGACAGTCTTAAAGTAAAGCTTGATTCTGAGCCAAATCTTATTCATTTTTATGACAGATACAATGAATCGCTCTTAGCTTATTCACTTAAAATGCAAAAATTTAAAATTATGGAGTTTCTTAACCGACCAATTACGAATGGACCACATGAAGACCTTAACGAAATCTACGAAAACATGAATAAATCTGATAAAAGGAAGCTCCGAGAAGTCCATAAATCAAATGCATACTCATTTCCGGAAATTCATGTCTTAATACTTAGAACTAGGTCTAAAATTGGCAACAACGATAGATTTTCAAATAAAAAATGGAAGTTCGTGGATGAAGCTTATGAGACCCTCAATAAAAATGATTATTGTCGAAAAATAATGAAATTGGCTGCAAAGTTTAAAAAGCTTAGAATTTATTTTGACTTTAAGCACGACTCAACTTACTATATGGACCCAGCTACTTCTTATTATTCTAAAGGTATCATTTATGAAGGTGGATCAATATTCATTGGTGCACTTGAGTTGGCTGATGATGACAATAAGTTTAAAGTGTTTGGTGTGCTTGCTCATGAGCTTTGCCATCTCGCTGTCTACACTGGATTCATGAATAGAAATTTTGATCCATTTCCAACCGGTGAGAGTGATTTAAAAACGAGATTTGTGAACCGAGTCATGACACAATGCAGAGAGCATAAGGAATTTGAGAAAACTATTGCAAATGTCTTTACAAGTTACTCAGAAAGTATACAAGACTCAGAGATGATAGTGACTGTACCTCAGATGATGATGCAATATTTAAATGATAAAGCTAAACTTGAAGAAATTGAAAGAATATTTGAAGAATTATTCAGATACAGCAGTGAAGTAGTTGAGCCTGAGCTAGACAGAGCATTGATAATGATCGAGATAATTGAAAATGAGAAAAAGTCTGTAAAATTTGAAACTTTAACAGAACCAATGAAGGCGAGAATATTGCATTCAGCAATTGAATTTCAAGGAGTTGAAACTTCATTATTTGAGCTAATTGGAGATAATATCGACATCCTTAATCTCCTTGAACCTATCGATATTACAAATATATTACTGAATGACAAAACAATTCAAATTTCCAAAAAGTTAACAGATCCTAAATCTCCAATAATTGAGAGATTTTTTTTAGATTCTGAATACTATAAATATTTGATGTATCCGCATGTCATGACAAGTTCCCAAAGTAAACAGGATGCATATGAATCACTCAAGAGTCAAGTTGAGAAATATAAATTCAACTTCCAAACAATACACCAAGGATATATGTCACCAGTTGTAATGATTGAAAATCACGCAGGTATTGGCAAAACCACATATATGAAGAACCTGGTTGATAAATTTAAGCAAGTCAACAAAACCTCGTGGGTATCTTTCATTGCTTTGAAGAATTGTTTAGATGTTTTACAAAATATTGACAGAAAAATTGAGACTTTTGATGAAGCTGCAAATTTTATCTTAAAACTGATCAAAACAGATTCAAAGATTGAATCTAGCATACTCAATAAACTTTTTTCTGAAGGAAAAACGATTTTTCTCTTGGATGGCGTGGACGAGATAAGTCATAAAGCAGCAGAACATTTGAGTCAAATTTTAGAGTTGTTTGTAAGAAATGAGAACAAAAATCGATTTTGGGTGTCAACAAGACCTAATTGTTCTTCAGTTTTTTCAAAAAAGTGTTATTGGCGATCAGTTTGCAGTCTTGTACCACTAAATGATGATGAGAAAAAATGCTATATAAAGGATATATTAAGGAACAACAATATCATTGAAGAGTCATCACAAAATAAAATTATCTACGAAATTACTAATCATTTAGAAGATTTAAAGGAAAAGTCAAATGCGATAGAGGAAGTCCACAACTTGCTGATGATTCAAATGGTCACGGAGCTTTATATCTACAAGAAAGTAATATTTGAACCTGAAAAACGCTACGAAATGTATCTCGAAATGATAAATATGCAGAAGAACAAATTAGGTGACAAAGTGCCAACATTAGAACGTGACAGAGACGTAAAGTTTACAGTTTGGGATGTCCATCGAGTTCTGGCATTAAAATTGATTTTAAATTATAATTTACAAAATCTTCGAATAATGAAAAAGTGGGAAAAATTTAAACATTATTGGACATCTGAAATGATCCAGCGATATGGATTTGTAACTGTGGATTTAGAAAATGAAGAAGGAAGCATAAACTTCATACACAGGACATACGCAGAGTTTTTTGTTGCACAATTTTTTGTTGAGATGATTTTTTTTGACGGAATTGATGAATGTGTAGATCAAGATGAGCTTAATGAAGTGGCTAGTTTATTTATTGTACTTATAGATGAAATTAAGGATGATTTTAGATTTAATGAATTTAGAACAGACAAATACAAAGTCATCAAAGACTTCATGTACAGTTTTATAGAAAACAACAAAAGTATTGCCATAAATAGCATCAAAAATTTTTTAAAAATTGTTGAACAAAAAGTACCAAAGCATTATCTTGGATCAAGATTGAATTGGATTGTAAAATTTGCAAAATTAACTAAGAATGATCCTGAAATCGCACAAAAATTATGGAAAGAAGACAAATCGAATTTTTTTGATCAAGTTCTTCTTAATGACGAGCAAAATCAGCTCACAGAAGGTTTAAATGCACTGGAAAAATATTTTGGTTCAAGTTGGAATGAAATTTTCAATAAAAAGAACATAAAGCTTTTATCTGACGATGAACTTGATGCTTATAAATGCATAAAATTAAATAATAAACAGATGAGAGCTGATAGAAACTTGCTGAAACTTTGCGATTTAATTAACAAAAACTTTGACACTTTAGAGTTGAAAAAAGTTTACGAAAATTTTCATTTTATTGGTTTTGGTGAAAAAGTTCAAATTGAAATAATTACAAAAATTCACAGCTTTAAGCCTGATAAAAAAGTGTTTTTTGACAAATTTATGTTAAATTATAACTATTGTGATATAAAAATTGGGACGCAGAAGCTAATTTACAGATTAATAGAAGAAGATTTCAATTATGACCGTGAAATTATCAGACAACTTTTATTTGATCAAAATCGTTCACATTTAAATGAAATTGCTTGGCATTTTAGTTTAGAAGTTGAAATATTTATACAAGCTAAAGATTTTTACATAAAGTACAAAAAGAATAATGAAGATCTTCAAGATTTTTTGTTAAAAGATTCAACTCATTATTCAATTTTTTTTCCATTTTATTCACGATTTTACGATGAGAGCAAATCATTTATTGTCGAAGTTTTTAACACAAATAAAGTAAAACTTCAAGAAAAAGTCAAAAAATGTATTGAAGATAAACCTAATAATTTTAAGTTTGTTGAGAAATATTATGAGAATTTTATAGATTTCCTGGACTTTGTATACTCAAATGACAAAACAAAGATTCTAGAAATCTTGAAAAGTGCTTCACTTCTTTAATGACTGCCAACTGTTTTTTGGAGGAAAGTTTTAAGATTTTGTTTTATTTCAAAAAGAAGATGTTGTAACGAAGTCATTTTTTTTATAACAAGACATAAAAGAAGTTGAAATATTTTAAAACAACTAAAGAGTGAAAAGTTTTCTATTCAATTTCACATTAAATCCCGTTTTAATCCAAAATCATTCATGAGCTTAAAACATTAGCAGAAGCAAGCCGTGATCGTCTAGTGGTTAGGACCCTACGTTGTGGCCGTAGTAACCCAGGTTCGAATCCTGGTCACGGCAAATTCATTTTTTGCAACAAATTATTTATTTATTTTTTAACTCTTTTGAAATTTTCTTCTATGTTAATATCTAATAAATAACAAATGAGTTTAAAGTGGAGGAATTTGTTTTAAATATCTTTTGTTGATTTGTAATTATCAGAAATAATTTCTTTAATAAAATTTTGTGACTAAGTTTAAAAGTAAATCGTTATAATTTTGAATTTTAAATTTTGTTTTATTTTCATCAAGTTTAAAAATTGTTGTCTAATCTTTTGAATGTGAACCTTAATGCAACCGATGAGGTGAGTTTTGATTTAAAGTAAGCTTTTATTCTTTACGTGAATAGGACGATCCTAAGTGAGATTAATCCTAGAAGAAGACGGAATAACATCACCTTCAAACTGTAAGTGAAGTTTTTACTGCACCTTTAACGATAAATAAGGTTTGGGTCAAATTTGGTATGGTAACTCGAAGATCGTCGGTTTGAATCCAGCCATGTCCGAATTTGTTCTTTTTTGAAAGTTTAGAAACTTCGGCTGCTGAATGTACTAGATCAAGCCATAATTGAGCATTTGGGCAACGTTGGTTTAAAGAACGGGTCAGAATCTTAAAGTTTAGCAGGAGAAATAGGAACGAAAGCTACAATATTACTCACCAATGGAATATTGTAAGAACGGACCTGAAAAGTATCACATCACGTCCACAGAAGATCAACACGAGAGCCTTAGTTTATTTGAAACCTAGATTTGAAGATTGGAAGCTTGATTCTATATAATATTAATTCGTATGTATATAAACACAAAAGTGTAAAAATTAGGGTGACCATTTGCGTAGTTTTACAACGGACATTCCTGTATTTCAAAACCCTGTCCTGTATAAATTTAAAAATTTTGTTCCAGGTCCTGTATTTTTTTCACGAAAATTTCCGTTAATTTTCAAATTTTCCTTTGAGTCCTGTATTTTTTGGGAAATTTATCAAATGTCCTGTATTTTCAAAAAAATTAGATGGTCACCCTATGTAAAATGTGAATTATTACAGGACAGTATGTCGTCAATAAATGCAATAAAATGCAATTAAAATGAAAAAAAGATATAAGTGAAATTATTCGATGTCAGTGCTTTTACTGGACATCATTTTGATATGTTTGTCCTCATTGTCATGCTTCTTTAAAATCAGTTCTGATTTCAGATTTATTTCTGCTTCACGATGAGCTGGTTCTTGTTTATGATTTTCTACAACTAGTAGTTTGATTCCACGCCACAGCAACTTTTTTTTTATTTTAAATAAAATACTTTTTTTTTTATTTCACAATATTCTCTTTATTTTTTTAAAATTTTTAAAAACTTTTCTTGTTGTTTAACATTTCTAGTAAATAAGTAAATTGGAGCAAATATTTAAGTCTCCTATTTAAAGTCTCTATTGTTATTTTGTAATTATTGGAATTAAATGTTTTTTACTAAAGTTAAAAATGAGGAAATTGTCTTTTTTGGTATGTTTTTAAATTAATTTTAAATAAATAGTTTTATCAAAATTCAGACTACGGCCAAGGGTTTGGAGCTGATGAAATGATTAAAAATTATCAAAAAATGATCAAAAATTTTCAAAATTGATCAAAAATGTTTGAAAATTATTAAAAACGTATTTTATCAGCTCTGCACTCTTGATTACGGTCAAAACTGGCTACAAATAATTTTAAAAAATCCTTAAATATGTTCACATTACACATGGATATGAATATGAGGATAATTTATTGTTTACTTAAAAAGTAAAAATACTTTTTGTTTGGATTATTATAATTTTCTAATATTTCCGTTTAAATTTTATGAAATACTTTTTTTTGTCATTTGATATATTTTTGGATTTTAATTGATATTTGCTACAGTCTCAATTTTTTAACATTTCGTAAGAAGACTTAGTATTGGATTTGCACAAATTGATCTTTTGTGGCTTCTTGGCTTCATTTGATTATAAAACAAGCTTTTTTACAGCATTTTTAATAAAGTCAGAAGCTTATAAATAATTATTGAGATTTTAATCTCACATAAAATTTGTTCTGATGATGCTTACCGATACTAAGTCTGTGTTAAATGTAAATATGTTGATTTTTATTGTTGAAATTCGTGGATTAAGTTTGTCAGATAAACGAAAGATAATTTCAAAAATTCAATTTTTTTTTTAAATAAAATGAGTTAAATAGTTAAATGATTTTTTCAAATTAAACTTGCGTATCCCTTTAATTTTTTTTTATTCATCCCTTTAAATAAATAATCTATTTTAAATTTCATAATGTAACCCTACTCAAATTTAATATATTCATTCAAATATTTATCATCTCTTAATTCCAAAAAAAAAAGTTTTTTCTACGAAATATGAATAAAATTCCTATTCAATATTTATTTATCGTCATATCAGATCTCTGGACCCACTAAGTAAGTTTTTATCTCATTCAGTATAGAATAGATTAGATAGTTTAGAATTTTTTTTTATTTAAATGGAATCATCCACAAATGTCATCAAAATATGGAATTCAAGTTTTGAGGCTCTTCAATACTAATGTGCCAGTGTGAGCTTACTAAGTTCATTAATCCGAACCTGTTAACTTTCTAATAGTAAGAATCACTGTGCCTTTTATGATTCTGCCCGAATGGCACAAGTCGGTTAATCGAATAAAAATCCGGTACCAATGACTCTAGTATGGTGATGGATTTAAATCGAAGCCAGCGCCAAGCTGGCATGACTCTAGCATTGATTTAAATCCATCACCATACTAGAGTCGCACCTGCTTGGTACCGGATTTTTATTTGATTAACCGACTTGTGCCATTCGGGTGCATGAAAACAAGCAACAGCTGTGACCAACATTGAAATATTTCAGTTACACGACAATGTCTGGGTTGCCAGAGAGAATGTCACTGCTGGGACAGAAACACAAGTTTCTGGACGCCCTGGAGCTCCTAAAGCTACTTAGCGCAGAACAGTGATGAAAGGACTGTTGTACAAACTTGGTCCAGCAACAAAGTCAGAATGAAATCCTTTTGTTGTAACCTAAGCTCCACATAGGAGGATGGTTACAGTAAAGAAGTAAGTACGAGTCAAGAGATTTGTATTGATTGGATTAAATCAGTGTTGTCCAAACTGTGTGCCGTAGAAAGTTTTTGTTCTTTGTTTCTTGATTATTATGAATTCAGTAAATAAACGTAGACATAGACATTATTTGTGAATGACCCCATATTATACCCGAATGGTACAAGTCGGTTAATCGAATAGAAATCCGGTGCCATTTCAGAATGACTCTAGCATGGTGCTGGGTTCGATATAAATCCAGCACCATTCCAGAGTCACACCAGCTTGGTAGCGGATTTCTGATTAATCATCCGACTTGTGCCATTCGGGATAGCTATTGAAGAAAGTTTTAATTTTTAAAAGATAAAAATAGACAGGATAAGTAATTACAGTTGTGATTAAAAATTCGTTAAGTTTCATGGATAAATGTTTCATATTTCTAATTGGCACTCAATTTTTAACATGATAATGACTCCTTATGATTTTAAGATTTCAGAAGATTTTAAAGATCTTCTTTTGAAGATACTTTTAAAGAAGGATGAAAGAATTTCTCACAATTTTTGGTGTCGATTATCAAATCTTTGGATGTTCAAAACCCTAAGTTTAAATCTTTTTCAATCCTTGAATTCTTAACTGGAAGAACAATCGCATTAAAGCTGCCAATTAAAATATATATTTTTCCTACAATTTTATGAGTAACTTTTAAATATTTCTTCAATTGTAATATTTTTTCATGATTCCTCATAATGATATTGAGTATTTGTCAATATAATTAATTTTTAATAATTTACATATTTTGATAAAGTTTCGGTGACTTTCGGCTTTGTGTTTTGTAGTATAATGCGCCTACTAGCTTAGGTCAGTCCCAGTCAGCTCCAGCCAGTCCCAGTCAGCTCCAGCCAGTCCCAGTCAGCTCCAGTCAGCCCCAGTCAGTTCCAGTCAGCCCAAGTCAGCCCCAATCAGCCCCACTCAGTCCCAGTCAGCCTCAGTCAGTCTTTGAGATAAGTCAGTCTCTGTTATTCCCAGTAAGTTCCAGTCAGTACCAATCAACCTCAGTCAGATCCACTAATTCAGGCTTAGTGCTCGAAACACATTTAATCCTCTTCAACAAACGCATGTCCTTAAAAGTCACCAAAACATCACCAATCCTAAGAATCTACACTTTAACAACAAAATAAATCTACAATTAATCCTAAAACTAATATCTTTAAATGCTAATATCACTATGCGGTCCCGAAAGCGCCATTTTTGTCAAAGTGGAAATGGTAAATGATCGTGGAAATGCGGTGTCGTTTTCAGAAAAAAGTTTGCGGAAACTAAAATGAAAAAGAATCTTTTAAACTAGTGAAAAATTCAATAAATCTTGTTGCTTACAATTTTCTAATTCCTGATGACTGAGTTGACTTTTTCCATGGTGCATCACTGGGTTCTTGTGGAAGTGGTCCTTGTACAGGAAGATCATATGGATCGTAAATACTTTCAGTCATAATGGAAGATTGTTGAATTGGAATTTCTGGTGATTTTAAATCAGCTGTTGCTGTTGGCGGTGGAGGTTGTGGTGGTCGGAAGTTAACCAGTTCCTCTTCAAGGTCATTAACTCTCTTTTTAAGTTCATTCCTCTCAGCCAGTACCTCTTTCAGCTCAGCAACTGTAAATCTTGGTTTGTGTTCATCATCATCCACTGGCGACATCAATTCTTCACTTTCCTTTTCAGCAATTCCAAGTTGCTTCTTTAATGATATCATTTCCCGGTGCTGATCTTGGATTTTTGCCAAAAAATCAGCGCGCTCCTCACACAATGTCTTAACTTGTACTTGCATTATTTTTGATTTCCTTTTAGTTTCACATGATGTGCTTTTTAGCCTCTCAATTTCCGACTTCATTGCATCAATTGCACAGCTCTTATCCTCAATATCCATTTCCTTATTTTTCATATCCGTTCGTTGTTTGTCGACTTGCTCTTTGAGCTTTTGAATCAGATGAAAATCTTCAATTTGTGTCCTGTTTGGTGAATTGTTGGCTGATGGTGTTGATGTGTTTGCACTTCGTTCCTTTTCCAGGCGACGATTTTCATCTTGGAGGCGGCTTATGGCTTCTAGGAGTTCACGAGTCTCTGATCGCCATGATTCTTCGATTGCTTCAAGTTCCTGGGAGTTAAAATGAGGCTTGATTAATAAAATGGATACATGGAATGTCGGACACAATGATATAGATTAAAATGTAAGTTTCAATTCTTGGTAACTTAGCAATTAAGCATCTAGTTTTCCAGAACAATTCATTCAACATCAAACTCACCTTCTCAAATCGCTTCCGTGACTCTGAACGTTCAACCTTTTCATTCTCTAATTTAAGAATTTTAGCATTTAAATCCTGCAGTTCACTTGCAACTATTTCACGCTCGCTAGCGAATGCTTCGAGCATTTCCAAGGCTGTAATGCATTTCGGAATTAATGACTGTAACGAGAAAAGGAAAAAGGAAGTCGAGATTAATGACTTTAGTAAGGTAGAAATATAAGAACTGAAATAAAGGATTAAAACATGCTGAGTGGATATTGATGGAGATGTGATGAAGCTGTGGAATATTTTTTAATAATATTAACAATAAGCTGTGCTGTAGTGAAATTAATGGAATCAATGCTTTTAATTACAGCTCACAAAAATGACTCAATTCTCAAGTTCATCATCGAACCATAAATCCTATAAAAAATCTAACAGAACAGCCCAGCCAAAACACATCATACAAGCTTTGCCACAAAATCATTTCATGAATTTTTAATCAATTTAATTCAAAAGCTTGCAGTTTTCACTTCAAATGGACTGCAAAATGATTCGACGGGGTTCAATGAAAATAATTTATAATTCCATGACTTTATAAATCGGTTCGATTATCACAGACGATAATTGCTGTGCAACTTTAATGAACGAAGCATGAGCTATTTTTACAAACTGAATGATATTTTTAATTGTTGACATTTTCAAGTCCATTTAATTTTCCAATTAATTTAAATGAATTTATTATGACTCAATTAAATATTTTTATGGATGACTCGACATTTATTGCATTTTTTTTGTGATTTTTATTATTAAAATGACTTTTAAATAGGGTTGAAAAGTTGTGGACGTTGCTAAGGTTGAACTGAAAGAAGTTAGGTCAAACTAGGTTTAATTCCACGAAATCTAGTCCACAACTTGTTTTCTCCTAATTCCCTTAGAAACTGATTTTTTACGCTTTCTAATTTGCTAGAGTTTTTGAGTAAGTTTTTGCAATAGAAGTAATAAAAATCTGGTTTGTAAATTTTTTAAATTATTTAGCTGTGCTGCCAACAACCCAGATTTCCCAAAAAGTATTCTCCACAAAATATTTTGATCAAAACATTCCACACGAAAAATTCCATAAAAAAATTTATTTTCTCAATTTTACTATAAACAGAAGAGATTAAAAGCATAGGTAGGTAGATGGGGAAGCTGTGGAATGCGATGAATTGTGATAGTAAATACGATTTAAAGGTCCATTGTTACAATTTGGTCAACTGTTGTTTATTATTACATTTTTATTACACAAGAGAAAGCAGGCAATAAAATGTGAGAAATGAATGTAGTTGAAAGATATTTTTGGGAGAAATGGCAGCAATAAGCAAAATTAGAGGAGCAACTATGCTGCAGTGAAAAAATATTCTTTAAAAGAAAAGGCTTTTTTGTATAAAAATAGCCTGGCACGATACATTTGGAAAAAAAGTCGAGCGTTTACAGATCATTACCTAAGGGGTCGTTCACTTATGACGTCCAAATTTAGCGGTCATATTTCAAAAAAGAACAATATATTTAATAATTTTTTAGGCCTTTTCCCATATATTTTTACTAGTACTAGTCATATAACATTAACACTTTCTTTAGCTCTACCTCTTTGATTAAGTTTTATGTTTTTTGGATGAATTATAATAATGCAAAGCATATATTTGCTCATCATGTACCACAAGGAACACCCACAGTTCTAATACCATTTATGGTTTTAATTGAAACTATTATTCTTGTCCTCCCCCTTTCCGGACGTCATAAGTGAATGGCTCCTTATGACGTCCGTCAGAAAACATAATTTTTAATTTACTTCGTTTAAGCTGTCACAAGATCGAAAAGCCCCTTAACCTCCTCAAACTCAAAAAACACAAAATTTGCCTTTATTCAACTTTGAGGACCTGCTACTCAGCACCAGATGGACGAAAATACTCAAAACTTTGGGAATCATTTAGTATTGATGTCAGCTTTCAAATGAGACATCTCCGAAGACTTATGGAGAAACTTTCCCAAAAATACCTCATTTCCCCTTTTTTAAAAATTAGACCAGGATGCAATCTCAGACGTCATTAGTGAATAAGTCCAATAATTAATTGCAAAAATGTTTAAGACAGTGTGTTACTCAAAAAATGGTTATGTAGATCAATTTAAAGACAAAAAAAGCAACACGCTATTTTCAGACTAGTAAAAAACCTTTATTATTTGTTGAATAATTAGTAATAGAAATTGGATACCAACTTATGTAAGAATTCTTAGTCTGATGTAATCAAAATACACATCATGAGGAAATCTTTAATAATAAATCATAAAACACCAAAAGTTTCATTTAAAATACATAAAAATTTCATCTTTTTAAAATTCCAAACCCTCGTAAATGTTCTATTTTTACAACAAGTTCTACATCATATCCTCCTGCCTACCATACCCGACAATCATCTTAACATTCTCTCAATTTAATAACAAAAAAATCACTCAAAACTGATGTGATGAAACTTGATGAAAAATAACTTACCATTTTCTACCCCTCACCTTATCAATTTCAAATCAAATTTTTCCATTTCAATTTCCTGATTCTTCATACATCATTGAAATCACAAATAAATATTGATTCACAAATGCTATTGATACCCTCAAATGGATGCTTTTTTGATGGGATTTCTGAGAAGGATATGGGAATTTTATAGGGAAAGAATTATTTGTAATTGAAGGCAAAGCATACAGCCTCTTGTTGATTATAGCAAGGCATGTCTCCTATGTCAAATAATCTGTCCATCGATTTTTGACTTAAAAAGGGCCAATTTTTCTGGCTGTTTAAAAATGAAGTTCATCAATAATCGACATTTCCAGCCCCCTGATTGTCACGATTGAACCTAACTTCAAACATTATATTATGCACTAGTTTTTGACAATCTTTAGGTTGTTTTTAATCCAAACTTCAGTCCATATCAATGTATCATTTCAAATCATTATCCTTAATCATCCCTAACAACAAAGTCCACAAAAAAAATTAATAAAATTTCGCCCATGTTTTATTAACCAAAAGCAGAAATGCTTTCATCAACACATCCATCAACAGCAGCCCCAAAATGTTTCTAAATTCATTAAATGAAGCAGTCAAAATAGCCTCAAGTACGGTCCCAAAATAATACAATGTTCATTAATCTTTATTCATTTATGCCTCGGTTCTCCATCCATGAATATAAAAGATATGAAAACATCAGATGTAAACCAGACAAGAACAAAGAAAATAATTTTTCATTCTTAATTGAGAAAAATTGCAAAAATTTTGTATCTGCATTGACTGTTTAGCCTTGACATTCACGAGAAAATAATAAAGAATTGCGTCATTGAAAAGTTTTTTTTTGTTTGTATGTAAAATTTAATGTTGATGATAAAAAATAACTTTTGGTATTGTGCTTGAATTTATGGATGGATGAACACACACACACACACACACAGGTAAGGGTTGATGCTGGAGGATTAGACACTTTTAGGTGCTTTATTAATTCATGATCTTGGCAGATTAATTAGAATTAAAGCTTTGGACAAGAAATGGACTTGAAGTATATAATAATGTGTGAAGGGACCAGCTTTTTCGGCTGGAGGCACTGCGATTCAAAATTAGAAAAGAATCTATTGTACCACACCCTTTAGACCTACAGTTTATAGTGGGATCTGAACCACTTGCAAGCTCTGCACATTGCAAAGACACGAGTACGTCATAAGACCTGATGTACCCTGCAATGTACCTAGTCACAATTCGTGTGCGCAAGATGCCGTTAGGAAGTCATCCAGATGCTTGTATATCCTTGTATACCTAGCAAAGGAGGCAGATTCTGTGCCAAAGACCTCAAAACTACACCCAGCACACGAACCGAGCTTCGTAACTAGAACGGTAAAATGGAAAAAGAGCTTCGAAAATTAGACATAGCCTGGGATTGAACCCAGGACCTTTGGCACAGAAGACCAACGCTCTACCATTTAGGCCACTGATGCCATTTCACCGCTTGAACTTGAAGTATACAAGATAATGGAACGAAAGTTATAAGATTATCTGATCAATCGAACAATGGACTTAAAGTAAACAAGTCTAATTAATCCAACATAAAATGAAGCTATTTTCCTACCCAAACCCTATAATCACCTCTATTTGGTGACATATTGCAAGTTGCTGAATGAATAGAATTTTTACAAAATGCCAAAAGGCGCTCTGAACAGCATCCCCAACTGTGTTACCTTTTAAATCTGTTCAACTGTAGCTTTCCATTGCATTAAATCTCTACGACTGTTTGTTATTATGAATATGTGTACGATTTCCATTTGTACTTCATGCTGAAAAGTTTTGCAAAGGAATTAAAACGAAGGTTGAATAAAGTGTGGAATATTTTTGTTTATTTTTTTTGGATGAATGCTGTTGTGGAATTTTTATAGTTCTGGTTGAGAAAGCAAACTGGAATTGAGGTATTTTTGGAATGTTTTGAGACGGAAGTTGTGATTTTTTTTTGGAACTTCTCATCTTAATTTGTTCTATTGCTGAAATTAGGTTGAATTTGGTGCTCCTGGGGACAATTTACCCAAAAATCGAAAATAAAACTGTGCCCCTGACAGACCCTAAAACTCTACAAATTGGGATAAATTTACAAAGTTTTTGATTCCTTGTGATCATGCCGCATATGTTGTGGATCTCCCATAGATATTCATAAACCTTATACGTCCACAATATCCGATTAAAAGCATAAAATCAGCAATCTATTCCAAAACTTTTCATAATCATCATAATTTCCATAATGATTTCATTAATATATCAATTCAATCTTGACTCAATGCCAATTTGATGCCAACCTTTTCCAAAACATTTCAGGTGTCTCAATAACCTTATCAAGCTTCAATTTAAGTGATTTATAGAAACGTCTAAACACAACTCATTATTTATCCATTAATTATCTCGTCCGAATGTTTTTGACCACAAAATTTTCCCTCAAGGAACAAAATCAGCCAATAAATCAAGTCCGCAAATAAAAACCCACAAATCATTTTCAACCTTTTCCTTCCTTCGTCCTACAAACAATCTGTAAACATCACAAACATTTTCTTTAATTCATTCTCAACTGCAGCTACATCATTTAATTAAGCGAGATTGCGATAAAGTCAACATGAGTTTTTTTGATGATTCGTAAACAAGTCAACCGCTATTTTTAATCAACTTTTTAATTATTGCATCATTTCCGCTTAGTTAAACATTTCGCGACTTAGTAATCAATGCTATGACGTGTGAATGATTTAATTTGTTTGAGTCGATACTAATTTGATTTTATTAGATGAATTTAATTTTATTTTTAATTGGGAAGCAAGATTTTGACAATTTATGAAAATCGTGTACCCATTTTAATAGTTAAGAACCCATGCTAATACTTTAGTTCTTCTTTCAAATAGTTGATGTACCTCTTTAAGTGTATGTGTACTCCTTCAAAACTTATCCTGCTTCAAGGTTGCATGTCCCTTCAAATTTGTACACCTCTTCAAAGTTTTATACCCCTTCAAAGTTGAGTACCCCTTCAAAGTTGTGTACCCCTTCAGAAATGTATACCCTTCAAAGTTGTATACACCTTCAAAGTTGTGTATCCCTACAAAGTTAAGTACCCCGTCAAAGTTGTGTACCCCTTCATAAATGTAAACGCCTTCAACGTTGCACACCCCTTAAAGTTGCATACCCATTCAATGTAATATACTCATTCAAAGTTGCATACCCATTCAATGTAATATACACATTCAAAGTTGTACACCCCTTCAATATTGAATATCCCTTTAAAGTTGTTTACCCCTTCAATGTTGTTTTCCCCTTCATTCACAGTTGTTTACTCCTTCAATGTTGTTTTCCCCGTCATTCACAGTTATTTACTTTTTTTGATAGTTGTGATGTAAAGTTGCTTATCCATTTATTATAATTGAATGGTTATTATAATATTCCAATCATGTAGCTCAGTAACAAGTTTCAAATCATCAACAATAAACTTTGTGTCACAAACACTAACTTAATCCACATCGGAAAATTTTCCTTGCCCCGATACCAACAATCTTTAGCATTTACCTCACGAACATCTTGTTAAGTCTATTACGAGACAATTTTTCATTTACATTCATGTCACTTTCACGTCTAGATTGTTGCACAGTCTACGTCTCCGGATAGATACAACCTTTAATCCAACTACACAAAGCTTTATAGTCCATAAATGGCATCAATCATTAAGTGATTCGCTATTGGACAATGCTGTGTAAATGCTTTCATCACGTTTGTCTGAAAAGTCGTGTAATGATGACACTTGGATTGACACTTTCTGAGCTTCTTTGTAATTTATTTATGGATTTGTTGTTGATCGAAACGGAAGCTGTTGGTAGCAGTTAATTATTTTAAGAGGAATGATTAGATGGAAAATTACTGGGGACGGGAGGATGCTTTGTTGACTATAAATTGAGTTGATCTTGAGTTACTTAAGAGATAATCGACATTTTGTATGCAATTTCTTTTCTAACTCATCTGCTGATGACCACCTCATCCTTATTTTCATCACACAAAACATAATCAGTCCTTTTACATGCAAATCAACATTGAAAATCCTAAACCAATGCAAAGAACATGTATAGCCTTAGAAATCATCTTTGTAGAAGAAGAAAAGTTCAACCTGAATAATTTATGTAGGTAATAATGGAAAATGTTTAAAAATAACCCATAAGAGGCATTCAGCTCTGCTATATTACATAAATATTCCTTATCATAACTATAAATAAATTATTAACATACACGTGAGACTAGGATGAGTTGGGATAAATTTTTTTTGTAGATGATTGATATGCGTATGATGAAGAAAGTTCTGTTTCTCATAAGATGTTTAAAGGAAGTCATTTAAAGGACATTATTTCAGAAGTTTTGAAATGTTCTTACGATTTGAGAGTGACAATGAGTCTTAGTGAGCTTTAATAATTCGTAGTAAGCTCTGTTAAGTCCCTTTGAGCTTATATATGTAAGCTTTACTAATTCCTAGTGAGCTTTAGGAGGGCCTGATTGAGTTTAACAAGTTTAAGTTACCTTTATTAACTTCCAGTGAGCTACTAAAAGTCTCAGTGAGCCCAAATGATACTTTGTGAGTCCAAATGATTCCTAGTGAGCCCAAATGATCCCCAATAAGCCCAAATGATACTTTGTGAGTCCAAATGATGCCTAGTGAGCCCAAATGATCCCTAGTGAGCCCAAAAGATTCCCAGTGAGCCCAAATAATCCCCAGTAAGCCCAAATGATCCCCAGTGAGCCCAAATGATCCCTAGTGAGCCCAAATGGTCCTCAATAAGTCCAAATGATTCCTGATGAGCTCAAATGTTCTTTTGTGAGTCCAAATGATCTCAGTGAGCCCAAATGATCCCTAGTGAGCTCTCATGAGCCTCATTGAACCAAAAAGTGCCACAAAGAGCTGCAATGGACTTTAGTAACGGAGCTACAGTTCAAAATTATTAATTCACAAATCACAAAATCATTTAAATGCCTAACAAATTTTTAATAATCACAAACTTTCCATATCGAGTCACAACAAATTTCCCGAAAATCCGGTCGATAAAGAATGAAAATTTAATTTTCTTTTGTTTGTCGTGACACATTTAAATAAATGGAATAAAAAACTTTTTTTTATCATCTCTTTGCTCAGGTACAATCTGTCAGAATTCATAATAAACTTTTGCATCACAAAATAAAATTTTTAATCATGCAAAAAGTTTTATTTTTTCTGCGGTCCCAAAGTCCCTCATTTAATCATATTTTTTCGTCCCGTCTAGCATAATTTTTTCGGATATTTGAATAGATTTCCTTAATATGCTGAGTGCTTCCTCAAATTTCATAAATCAATTTCCTCACACCCACACAATCACAAACTTTTTAGTATCAAATAGGACAGAATAATGTTGAGGTTCCTTACCTTCACCGTGTCGGTTCCATATGCATCAATAATTTTTTCACATTCTTTTCCAATGTCACTTGCTAAGTCATAAACATCAACCACAGATATTTCTTGTATTGAATTATTTGCTGACTCACTCATTTGTATGAAGTTTCGAGGCATTTAAAGTCCGAAAAAATTTACTTTTTGTTTTCTTGTTTTTGTCTAGAAAATTTTGCAATTTTTTTTATTGGTTGTCTGAGTCTGACTTTTGTTATTCTTTTTACTGCCTTTCTTTTATGTATGATGAAAAAATTGGCTTAATGACTGTTCAAATAAAAGATTTTTGCTCACTATCGCGGCGGTAAACAAATGATGACTCAGGCTCTGAAAAGATTTTCTGAATGAAAAAAATGCTATTTTTTGTTGTGTTTGTGAAAAGAGAGACATTAGGGGAGATTTGAGAGAGCGACTAGAGTAGGGAGAGAAGTTTGAATAAGGGTGGACACTGGACCTTAACAAAAATATATAAAAAATTGAAAAAGTTGAAAAAGTTGAAAATGTTGAAAATGTTGAAAGGGTTGAAAAAGTTGAAAAAGTTAAAAAGGTTAAAAATGTTGAAAAAGTTGAAAAAGTTGAAAAAGTTGAAAAAGTTGAAAAAGTTGAAAAAGTTGAAAAAGTTGAAAAAGTTGAAAAAGTTGAAAAAGTTGAAAAAGTTGAAGAAGTTGAAAAAGTTGAAAAAGTTGAAAAAGTTGAAAAAGTTGAAAAAGTCAGAAAAGTTGAAAAGTTAAAAAGTTGAAAAAGTTGAAAAAGTTGAAAAAGTTGAAAAAGTTGAAAAAGTTGAAAAAGTTGAAAAAGTTGAAAAAATTGAAAAAGTTGAAAAAGTCAAAAAGTTAAAAAGTTGAAAAGTTAAAAAGTTGAAAAGTGAAAAAGTTGAAAAAGTTGAAAAAGTTGAAAAAGTTGAAAAAGTTAAAAAGTTAAAAAGTTAAAAAGTTGAAAAGTGAAAAAGTTGAAAAAGTTGCAAAAGTTGAAAAAGTCGAAAAAGTTGAAAAAGTTGAAAAAGTTGAAAACGTTGAAAAAGTGAAAAAGTTGAAAAGTGAAAAAGTTGAAAAAGTGAAAAAGTTGAACAGTGAAAGAGTTGAAAAAGTTGAAAAAGTTGAAAAAGTTGAAAAGTGAAAAAGTTGAAAAAGTTGAAAAAGTTGAAAAAGTTGAAAAAGTTGAAAAAGTTGAAAAAGTTGAAAAAGTTGAAAAAGTTGAAAAAGTTGAAAAAGTTGAAAAAGTTGAAAAAGTTGAAAAAGTTGAAAAAGTTGAAAAAGTTGAAAAAGTTGAAAAAGTTGAAAAAGTTGAAAAAGTTGAAAAAGTTGAAAAAGTTGAAAAAGTTGAAAAAGTCAGAAAAGTTGAAAAGTTAAAAAGTTGAAAAAGTTGAAAAAGTTGAAAAAGTTGAAAAAGTTGAAAAAGTTGAAAAAATTGAAAAAGTTGAAAAAGTCAAAAAGTTAAAAAGTTGAAAAGTTAAAAAGTTGAAAAGTGAAAAAGTTGAAAAAGTTGAAAAAGTTGAAAAAGTTGAAAAAGTTGAAAAAGTTAAAAAGTTAAAAAGTTAAAAAGTTGAAAAGTGAAAAAGTTGAAAAAGTTGCAAAAGTTGAAAAAGTCGAAAAAGTTGAAAAAGTTGAAAAAGTTGAAAACGTTGAAAAAGTGAAAAAGTTGAAAAGTGAAAAAGTTGAAAAAGTGAAAAAGTTGAACAGTGAAAGAGTTGAAAAAGTTGAAAAAGTTGAAAAAGTTGAAAAGTGAAAAAGTTGAAAAAGTTGAAAAAGTTGAAAAAGTTGAAAAAGTTGAAAAAGTTGAAAAGTGAAAAAGTTGAAAAAGTTGAAAAAGTTGAAAAAGTTGAAAAAGTCGAAAAAGTTGAAAAGTTAAAAAGTTGAAAAAGTTGAAAAAGCTGAAAAAGTTGAAAAAGTTGAAAAAGTTAAAAAAGTCGAAAAAGTTGAAAAAGTTGAAAAAGTTGAAAAAGTTGAAAAAGTTGAAAAATTTGAAAAAGTTGAAAAAGTTGAAAAAGTTGAAAAAGTTGAAAAAGTTGAAAAAGTTGAAAAGGTTGAAAAAGTTGAAAAAGTTGAAAAGTGAAAAAGTTGAAAAAGTTGAAAAAGTTGAAAAAGTTGAAAAAGTTGAAAAAGTTGAAAAAGTTGAAAAAGTTGAAAAAGTTGAAAAAGTTGAAAAAGTTGAAAAAGTTGAATAAGTTGAAAAAGTTGAAAAAGTGAAAAAGCTGAAAAAGTTGAAAAAGTTGAAAAAGTCGAAAAAGTTGAAAAAGTTGAAAAAGTGAAAAAGTTGAAAAAGTTGAAAAAGTGAAAAAGTTGAAAAAGTTGAAAAAGTAGAAAAAGTTGAAAAAGCTGAAAAAGTTGAAAAAGTTGAAAAAGTAGAAAAAGTTGAAAAAGTTGAAAAAGTTGAAAAGGTTGAAAAAGTTGAAAAGTTGAAAAAGTTGAAAAAGTTGAAAAAGTTGAAAAAGTTGAAAAAGTTGAAAAAGTTGAAAAAGTTGAAAAAGTTGAAAAAGTTGAAAAAGTTGAAAAAGTTGAAAAAGTTGAAAAAGTTGAAAAAGTTGAATAAGTTGAAAAAGTTGAAAAAGTGAAAAAGCTGAAAAAGTTGAAAAAGTTGAAAAAGTCGAAAAAGTTGAAAAAGTTGAAAAAGTGAAAAAGTTGAAAAAGTTGAAAAAGTGAAAAAGTTGAAAAAGTTGAAAAAGTTGAAAAAGTAGAAAAAGTTGAAAAAGCTGAAAAAGTTGAAAAAGTTGAAAAAGTAGAAAAAGTTGAAAAAGTTGAAAAGTTGAAAAAGTTGAAAAAGTAGAAAAAGTTGAAAAAGTCGAAAAAGTTGAAAAAGTTGAAAAAGTGAAAAAGTTGAAAAAGTTGAAAAAGTGAAAAAGTTGAAAAAGTTGAAAAAGTAGAAAAAGTTGAAAAAGCTGAAAAAGTTGGAAAAGTTGAAAAAGTTGAAAAAGTTGAAAAAGTTGAAAAGTTGAAAAAGTTGAAAAAGTGCAAAAGTGAAAAAGTTGAAAAAGTTGAAAAAGTTGAAAAAGTTGAAAAAGTTGAATAAGTTGAAAAAGTTGAAAAAGTGAAAAAGCTGAAAAAGTTGAAAAAGTTGAAAAAGTCGAAAAAGTTGAAAAAGTTGAAAAAGTGAAAAAGTTGAAAAAGTTGAAAAAGTGAAAAAGTTGAAAAAGTTGAAAAAGTAGAAAAAGTTGAAAAAGCTGAAAAAGTTGGAAAAGTTGAAAAAGTTGAAAAAGTTGAAAAAGTTGAAAAGTTGAAAAAGTTGAAAAAGTAGAAAAAGTTGAAAAAGTTTAAAAAGTGCAAAAGTGAAAAAGTTGAAAAAGTTGAAAAAGTTGAAAATGTTGAAAAAGTTGAAAAGTGAAAAAGTTGAAAAAGTTGAAAACGTTGAAAAAGTGAAAAAGTTGAAAAAGTTGAAAAAGTTGAAAAAGTTGAAAAAGTTGAAAAAGTTGAAAACGTTGAAAAAGTGAAAATGTTGAAAAGTGAAAAAGTTGAAAAAGTTGAAAAAGTTGAAAAAGTTGAAAAAGTTGAAAAAGTTGAAAAAGTTGAAAAAGTTGAAAACGTTGAAAAAGTTGAAAAAGTTGAAAAAGTTGAAAAAGCTGAAAAAGTTGAAAAAGTTGAAAAAGTTAAAAAAGTCGAAAAAGTTGAAAAAGTTGAAAAAGTTGAAAAAGTTGAAAAAGTTGAAAAATTTGAAAAAGTTGAAAAAGTTGAAAAAGTTGAAAAAGTTGAAAAAGTTGAAAAGGTTGAAAAAGTTGAAAAGTTGAAAAAGTTGAAAAAGTTGAAAAAGTTGAAAAAGTTGAAAAAGTTGAAAAAGTTGAAAAAGTTGAAAAAGTTGAAAAAGTTGAAAAAGTTGAAAAAGTTGAAAAAGTTGAATAAGTTGAAAAAGTTGAAAAAGTGAAAAAGCTGAAAAAGTTGAAAAAGTTGAAAAAGTCGAAAAAGTTGAAAAAGTTGAAAAAGTGAAAAAGTTGAAAAAGTTGAAAAAGTGAAAAAGTTGAAAAAGTTGAAAAAGTAGAAAAAGTTGAAAAAGCTGAAAAAGTTGGAAAAGTTGAAAAAGTTGAAAAAGTTGAAAAAGTTGAAAAGTTGAAAAAGTTGAAAAAGTAGAAAAAGTTGAAAAAGTCGAAAAAGTTGAAAAAGTTGAAAAAGTGAAAAAGTTGAAAAAGTTGAAAAAGTGAAAAAGTTGAAAAAGTTGAAAAAGTAGAAAAAGTTGAAAAAGCTGAAAAAGTTGGAAAAGTTGAAAAAGTTGAAAAAGTTGAAAAAGTTGAAAAGTTGAAAAAGTTGAAAAAGTAGAAAAAGTTGAAAAAGCTGAAAAAGTTGAAAAAGTTGAAAAAGTTGAAAAAGTCGAAAAAGTTGAAAAAGTTGAAAAAGTTGAAAAAGTTGAAAAAGTTGAAAAAGTTGAAAAAGTTGAAAAAGTAGAAAAAGTTGAAAAAGTTGAAAAAGTTGAAAAAGTTGAAAAAGTTGAAAAAGTTGAAAAAGTTGAAAAAGTTGAAAAAGTGCAAAAGTGAAAAAGTTGAAAAAGTTGAAAAAGTTGAAAAAGTTGAAAAAGTTGAATAAGTTGAAAAAGTTGAAAAAGTGAAAAAGCTGAAAAAGTTGAAAAAGTTGAAAAAGTCGAAAAAGTTGAAAAAGTTGAAAAAGTGAAAAAGTTGAAAAAGTTGAAAAAGTGAAAAAGTTGAAAAAGTTGAAAAAGTAGAAAAAGTTGAAAAAGCTGAAAAAGTTGGAAAAGTTGAAAAAGTTGAAAAAGTTGAAAAAGTTGAAAAGTTGAAAAAGTTGAAAAAGTAGAAAAAGTTGAAAAAGTTTAAAAAGTGCAAAAGTGAAAAAGTTGAAAAAGTTGAAAAAGTTGAAAATGTTGAAAAAGTTGAAAAGTGAAAAAGTTGAAAAAGTTGAAAACGTTGAAAAAGTGAAAAAGTTGAAAAAGTTGAAAAAGTTGAAAAAGTTGAAAAAGTTGAAAAAGTTGAAAACGTTGAAAAAGTGAAAATGTTGAAAAGTGAAAAAGTTGAAAAAGTTGAAAAAGTTGAAAAAGTTGAAAAAGTTGAAAAAGTTGAAAAAGTTGAAAAAGTTGAAAACGTTGAAAAAGTTGAAAAAGTTGAAAAAGTTGAAAAAGCTGAAAAAGTTGAAAAAGTTGAAAAAGTTAAAAAAGTCGAAAAAGTTGAAAAAGTTGAAAAAGTTGAAAAAGTTGAAAAAGTTGAAAAATTTGAAAAAGTTGAAAAAGTTGAAAAAGTTGAAAAAGTTGAAAAAGTTGAAAAGGTTGAAAAAGTTGAAAAGTTGAAAAAGTTGAAAAAGTTGAAAAAGTTGAAAAAGTTGAAAAAGTTGAAAAAGTTGAAAAAGTTGAAAAAGTTGAAAAAGTTGAAAAAGTTGAAAAAGTTGAAAAAGTTGAATAAGTTGAAAAAGTTGAAAAAGTGAAAAAGCTGAAAAAGTTGAAAAAGTTGAAAAAGTCGAAAAAGTTGAAAAAGTTGAAAAAGTGAAAAAGTTGAAAAAGTTGAAAAAGTGAAAAAGTTGAAAAAGTTGAAAAAGTAGAAAAAGTTGAAAAAGCTGAAAAAGTTGGAAAAGTTGAAAAAGTTGAAAAAGTTGAAAAAGTTGAAAAGTTGAAAAAGTTGAAAAAGTAGAAAAAGTTGAAAAAGTCGAAAAAGTTGAAAAAGTTGAAAAAGTGAAAAAGTTGAAAAAGTTGAAAAAGTGAAAAAGTTGAAAAAGTTGAAAAAGTAGAAAAAGTTGAAAAAGCTGAAAAAGTTGGAAAAGTTGAAAAAGTTGAAAAAGTTGAAAAAGTTGAAAAGTTGAAAAAGTTGAAAAAGTAGAAAAAGTTGAAAAAGCTGAAAAAGTTGAAAAAGTTGAAAAAGTTGAAAAAGTCGAAAAAGTTGAAAAAGTTGAAAAAGTTGAAAAAGTTGAAAAAGTTGAAAAAGTTGAAAAAGTTGAAAAAGTAGAAAAAGTTGAAAAAGTTGAAAAAGTTGAAAAAGTTGAAAAAGTTGAAAAAGTTGAAAAAGTTGAAAAAGTTGAAAAAGTTGAAAAAGTTGAAAAAGTTGAAAAAGTTGAAAAAGTTGAAAAAGTTGAAAAAGTTAAAAAAGTTGAAAAAGTTGAAAAAGTGAAAAAGTTAAAAAGTTGAAAAAGTTTAAAAAGTGAAAAAGTGAAAAAGTTGAAAAAGTTGAAAAAGTGAAAAAGTTAAAAAGTTGAAAAAGTTTAAAAAGTGAAAAAGTGAAAAAGTTGAAAAGGTTGAAAATGTTGAAAAGGTTGAAAAGTGAAAAAGTTGAAAAAGTTGAAAACGTTGAAAAAGTGAAAAAGTTGAAAAAGTTGAAAAAGTTGAAAAAGTTGAAAAAGTAGAAAAAGTTGAAAAAGTTGAAAAAGTTGAAAAAGTTGAAAAAGTTGAAAAAGTTGAAAAAGTTGAAAAAGTTGAAAAAGTTGAAAAAGTTGAAAAAGTTGAAAAAGTTGAAAAAGTTGAAAAAGTTGAAAAAGTTGAAAAAGTTGAAAAAGTTGAAAAAGTTGAAAAAGTTGAAAAAGTTGAAAAAGTTGAAAAAGTTGAAAAAGTTAAAAAAGTTAAAAAAGTTGAAAAAGTTGAAAAAGTGAAAAAGTTAAAAAGTTGAAAAAGTTGAAAAAGTTGAAAACGTTGAAAAAGTTTAAAAAGTGAAAAAGTGAAAAAGTTGAAAAAGTTGAAAAAGTTGAAAAAGTTGAAAATGTTGAAAAAGTTGAAAAGTGAAAAAGTTGAAAAAGTTGAAAACGTTGAAAAAGTGAAAAAGTTGAAAAATTTGAAAAAGTTGAAAAAGTTGAAAAAGTTGAAAAAGTTGAAAAAGTTGAAAACGTTGAAAAAGTTGAAAAAGTTGAAAAGTGAAAAAGTTGAAAAAGTTGAAAAAGTTGAAAAAGTTGAAAAAGTTGAAAAGTGAAAAAGTTGAAAAAGTTGAAAACGTTGAAAAAGTTGAAAAAGTTGAAAAAGTTGAAAAGTGAAAAAGTTGAAAAGTGAAAAAGTTGAAAAAGTTGAAAAAGTTGAAAAAGTTGAAAAAGTTGAAAAAGTTGAAAAAGTTGAAAAAGTTGAAAACGTTGAAAAAGTGAAAAAGTTGAAAATGTTGAAAAAGTTGAAAACGTTGAAAAAGTGAAAAGTGAAAAGGTTGAAAAAGTTGAAAAAGTTGAAAAAGTTGAAAAAGTTGAAAAAGTTGAAAAAGTTGAAAAAGTTGAAAAAGTTGAAAAAGTTGAAAAAGTTGAAAAAGTTGAAAACGTTGAAAAAGTGAAAAAGTTGAAAAAGTTGAAAAAGTTGAAAAAGTTGAAAAAGTTGAAAAAGTTGAAAAAGTTGAAAAAGTTGAAAAAGTTGAAAAAATTGAAAAAGTTGAAAAAGTTGAAAAAGTTGAAAAAGTTGAAAACGTTGAAAACGTTGAAAACGTTGAAAATATAAAAAAGTGAAAAAGTTGAAAAAGTTGAAAAAGTTAAAAAAGTTGAAAAAGTTGAAAAAGTTGAAAAAGTTGAAAAAGTTGAAAAGGTTGAAAAAGTTGAAAAAGTTGAAAAAATTGAAAAAGTTGAAAAAGTTGAAAAAGTTGAAAAAGTTGAAAACGTTGAAAACGTTGAAAACGTTGAAAATATAAAAAAGTGAAAAAGTTGAAAAAGTGAAAAAGTGAAAAAGTTGAAAAAGTTGAAAAAGTTGAAAAAGTTGAAAAGGTTGAAAAAGTTGAAAAAGTTGAAAAAGTTGAAAAAGTTGAAAACGTTGAAAACGTTGAAAATATAAAAAAGTGAAAAAGTTGAAAAAGTTGAAAAAGTTGAAAAAGTTGAAAAAGTTGAAAAAGTTGAAAAAGTTGAAAACGTTGAAAAAGTGAAAAAGTGAAAAAGTTGAAAAGTGAAAAAGTTGAAAAAGTTGAAAAAGTTAAAAAGTTGAAAAAGTTGAAAAAGTTGAAAATGTTGAAAAAGTTGAAAAAGTTGAGAAAGTTGAAAAAGTTGAAAAAGTTGGAAATCAGTCTCTTATCCTGCCATCAATTAATGTATCACAAAAGCTTCTGCGCATGTTCTCAAAAAATGCAATTTAATTTTATTCTCTCACTTTTTCACTCACAGCTGCTTTACGAGAGGAAAAGCAACAGCAGCAAAAATTCCACTCTAAATTCTCTCTGATTTTATTATGTTACTCTATAAAGCTGGACAAGTGCGAGAGAGAGACACAAAAATTCAATAAATGCGATTTGAGAAGAAAAAACAAAAAAAAATTGATGACGTATTTAAAGCTTGCAGATTTTTGTTTACCTGTCACCTGTAGTAAGCCGCACGGCAAACTTTTTCCTTTTTTTTAGAAAATGAGAGAAAAAGTTTAAATTGAGGGGAAATTCATGGTGGCACATATTTTGGTGTGTCAAGAGCAGTGCAGGGAAAAGTGCAACGAAAGGATATAGCTAGGGTGACCATCTAATTTATATGAAAATACAGGACATTTGATAAATTTCCCAAAAAAATACAGGACACAAAGGAAAATTTGAAAATTAACGGAAATTTTCGTGAAAAAAATACAGGACCTGGAACAAAATTTTTAAATTTATACAGGACAGGGTTTTGAAATACAGGACTGTCCGTTGTAAAACTACGCAGGTGGCCACCCTAGATATAGCACGTGATTTGGTCACGTGGTTTTTAATTAATTTCTTTTTATTTATGAACTGAATGAAAGTTTGCATGAATTTATCAATGTAAATAGACATGACAGGTATGGAAATGTTCATAAATGACGTCCATAAAAAAACAAGATTTTTAAAAACCATCGCCTTTTGTCACAAGTTTTGTTTGAATCATCGCAAATTTCCAAATGATTTAGGTGATGACTACATGGTGGAATAATAAAATTTAATCAGTAATTATTTTGAACTTCGTTTATTTTATATATGCCTGAAAATCAGAATTCGGTTTAAACACTTTTTAATATTTAAATTGATTTGAAGTTGACAGTTTAAAATTCTCATAAACTAAAATAAAGAAGAAGATAAAATTATTTCAAAAATATATCAAGTAGTTCCATAACCATGACTTATTCCTGTTCTGGATTTTTTAAATTTCACCAGAACGGGAATTCTAGAAACTCTACTTAACACACCTGTAGATTCACGTGCCACATTATCATAAATAGTTTCAGTATCGTCAGTCAATCCATCATAAAACTCATCATAGTAAATTTCCTCATCTAAATTTTTGCTGTAAAGGAAGTCATTTGGTGGTGGTGGAAAATCGAAATTATTCAAATCTTGCTGGACTTTCTGCTGACTAAGTGTATTTCCCTTTGAATCATCATGCTCGCATGTATCATAAATCTGATCATCATTTTCTGCATCATTGTAGAATTCATCAGCCGACTTGCTGTAGTAGTCATCATCTTTGACAGTTTTCAGATTACTGGTTATTTTAGGAATGGTACCGACTGAAACATTTTGGAATTGATTTGAATACTTCCTTTTTCCGATGGATGCAGCTTTGTTTGTATCATAATCAATGTTTACATATGCAACTGATGCTTCAGGATGTTTTGACTGTGGATGCTTATTAGGCTTTGCTGTGTATTTCATTTCAATTTCCTCAACTTTATCCTTCTTAGTCAATCTAAACCTCATACAGCAACACCATTTGCAGATAATCATTAGCTTTAAAGCTAAGAAAACTCCAAAAATTGCAATCATCATAATTTGCATACTCTTCATCTGACTTTTGAGTGCCTGAAATTTTTTCTGATAATTCTCATCATTTTCCTTTAATTTGGCACGTCTTTCTAGAATTCGAAACTTGACGTCAAAATATCTAATGATGTGATTTAAGTATGTTGTTGTTTCATTCAGTTCTATGATTTTTGGACTATGGAATTTGACAATTTCGACTAGTTTTGACACATTTATGACATTATTATAATCGATGTTGGTTCGAGAACTGTTAATCCATTGATTCATGTAGCCCAACTGCTTTATAAACTGTGCATGACTAGTGATGAGTTTTGAAAAACATTCATTGTTATCTGATTTAAGTTTGGCTATTTCTGTGTCTGCATGGTTTTGGAAATTTGATAAATTTTCATGATCTTTGTTGAGCTTTTTTGATATCTCGTCAATTTTTAAGCTTATCTCGTCACACGTTTGTCCATAGACTGATAAAGTTGTTAACATGAGTGATCTTTAAAATTGCCAATTATTAATAATTTCGTTCTAAGTTAAATAATTAAAAAAACTTACATTATAACACATTTTGCGCTTCTCATGTTTGATGATTTTATGAGACTGTTTTTAAATAAAAATTGCAATTCTACGAATCATTCATTTTAAAAATCAAGTCTATATAACAAGATGAAATCATAAACAGCTCATAAAATATTTTTATTTGCGAAAACATGAATAATTTTTATTACTAAACGTCATTTTTAAAAGTCGGGATTTAATTTAGCTGGTGGGGACTTTTGCATATTTTGTAACGCTTAAAATCGTCACTTTTGACTCCCGGATCATTAACGGACTGTTTCTTTATACTTTAAACTTTTACTTTACCTTAAGAAGTATTAATTATTCAATTTTCTAGCCAAATCTAGTAGATTACCTTTGATTTTTGCTATAATTCTTAAACTAATGAAGATATAAAAATTCTAAGCATATGTTAATTTAAGTAGCAAAGTACTCTAGTCTCTCTCTCACTTATGACGTCCAAAATTAACGGTAATTTTTTAAAAAAGAACAATAGATTTCCATGAATTTCTATTGTTCTTTTCTAGCTGACCCCCCCCCCCCCCCCTCCTGGACGTCATTAGTGAACGACCCCTAATCTGAAATCGAGGATAAAAGATTAACAACAGATTAGGGGTCGTTCATTTAAGACGTCCAAATGGGGAGTAAGCAAGGAAAAAGAACAATAGAAAATTTCTCAAAATCCATTGTTCTCTTTTGAAAAACGACCGTTAATTTCGGACGTCATAATTGAACGACCACTTATTTGTTTGATTTCAATTTTTATTTCTAAATTCTTCAACGATTATGTTTACAATAATTTAATAAAATCAATATAGTCGCTCGACTTTTTAGTATGAATTTCACCATTTAATAATCATTGTCGAGCAATTTGTTTGTAAATCCAAAAAACACAGGTTTTTCATCAAAGCTAGTTTCACTGTCATTCTTAAGAGCTAAAATTAAATTTTAAAAATACGATAATATCATGATCTGTAATCGATTTTGCAATTAAGGCTAAAGACTATAGAGGATATCTTTAGTAGATAGGTCTGAGCATAGGGCTCGCGTTAAAACTGGTTTTATGTGTATGACGGATAGCCGAAGTGAGATAAGTGAGATAAGATCGATTGGTCAGAGATCGCCTCTTTTCAGGTCGTGGGTTTGATTCCCATTGAACCCGACTTGTTTTACAATAGTAAACACATATAGCAGTTATAGGGAGATCTACAGATTTCTGTAGCTATAATAGGGAACCCATCCCATCCCATCTTCAGTGTTGAGATACATGTCAACTCAAATGTTAATCAGAAGCAGTGTTGCATTCTGGCCATTTGTCTAGATCAGATAAATTCTGAGACAGAAATTTCTTCATAAAGATCGATTCTACATGAAGATAGAAAATCTAATCTACACAAAGATTATTTCTACATAAAGATTCTGTCTACATAAAGATTCGATATAGATGTCTACAATTCTACATTCTTCTCTGATGTAGACCTGGAAAAAATGTAGAATTGTAGACATCTACATCGAATCTTTATGTAGAAATAATCTTTGTGTAGATTAGATTTTCTATCTTCATATAGAATCGATCTTTATGAAGAAAGTTTCTTAGCTAGACAAAAACTATTGAAGAATCTACATTTTTCATCTAGTGTAGACATCTACATTTGCAACACTGATCAGAAGTTATTTCAAAATATGTACGATTTTATTTAATAGCCAGTCAACGATTAATCATGTGGTGCAAGGGAACAGTAAAAAAGAGTGTAACTTATGTATGGGATTTAGCCATATAGTCGTATAACCCCAGATAGCTTATTGGGAGAAGCATGCGACCGGAAATCTTAGAACGTGGGTTTGAGTCTAGCTCGGAATCCGTTATTTGAAGTCATACTTTTTTCTGTTGTTTTGTTATCTAGAAGTTTACTTCTTCCTTCTAGATGTTTCAATACATTATTCATTCTCTAGCTAGTAGCTACTCACAAGTATCAATAAGATCAATTTTTATCAAAAAAACAACTTAATAAACTTACTGCTTTGTTTCTTCCCGAAATCGTGCTTCTTATCATCATTTACATTTACATACTTCTGTTCTGGATGCTGAATTGGCCTTTCATAGTCGTGAGTAACAATTGATTGATTGTCATTTGCTTTTCTAGCCTTAGATTTTAGTTGCTTTCCTTTGTCATGTGGGTCATTATTGTCGTTGATCAGTTTGGCAACTATAATTTTTAAAACTATGAAAAATATAAAAATTGACAGCAAACCAATTGGAATAAATTCTTGAATCTTCTCAAACTCATTAAATATTTCGTTTGAATTTCCATTCCAGGTGTCAAGCTTTCTATCAATTTTTAATATTTCATTAATGATATTTGGTAGACTTCCTTCAATAGCTTTAAGCTGTTGATCTTGCAACTCGACGAGTTTCTCTAAATCGGATTGGTTTATGATGTCAATAATCAGTAAATTAGTTTGAAAGTCTTTTAAAATATTTTCATTAATTTCGTTCAAATCTTTAATTTCATCAATATCGATTTCAAGTTTTGACTTCATTTCTGTAAATTTTTTGGCGCTGGATTCAGTTTGTTCAGTAAGTTGCTTTATGCCATCATGGATGTTATGATCCCCATTTGTATGACTGATGATTAATCTGGAAATTCACAACATAATTTTTTTTAAATATTCTTTTAATTAAACTTTTATTTTTTTTTTAAATCTTACATTACAAGAATCCAAAAGTTGATTGACATTTTGTTCAGCATTACTGGACAAGATAGATTCTTGAAAGTTTTTTTTTGTTATAAAAACTTAGACTTCAAAATAAATATAATTTAAAAATTTAATTTTACTTGGTTCAGGGGAGTGAAGTTTTATAAGGGGCCGTTCACTTTTGACGTCCAGGAAGGAAGAGGGGGGGGGGGGGGGGGGAGTCAGCCAGAGAGCAACAATAAAAATTCCTTGAAATCCATTGTATAGTCTTTAAAATATGAGTCCATTCGTTTCGGACTTCATAAGTGAACGACCCCTAAGCTTATGTCTTATTTTTTTAGTCAACATTTCTTGCTCTATCCCTGATCAACTGATAAAACAAATTCAGTATGATGATGATGAGCTGGTAATTTTATTTCTGACTCAACATTAAGCGAGAAGTTCACCACATAATGTGATTCAACAAAAATAAAATTACTTCACCAGAAACAAATCCACAGAAAACACAGAAAAGCGATGAAAATAACGCAACGTCTGTTGAAATATTACACAAATTATTACACTTGTTTAAAAAGAGAAAAGATTTTCTAATTAACATCTCAATTTATTACTGAAAAATAAACGACAATTAGAATGTTTTAGGTTGAACATGTTTTTGTTTTCAAAAATTAAAATTGTTTTTCAGTCTCGTTTTAGAATCCAAAGAGTTTGGAAATGTTGAAAGAAATTTTTTTAATTTTTATTTTATTTTTAACAACTTTATCTGATGGGGTGCTGATTAATCCTACTTCAAACCCATCTAGTATGTTACTTTTATTGTTGCTTTTTGCAAATTAAAAAATTAAGAAAAAATTGTTATTTTAGGACTTCAGTTGATCTTTGGTTTGGGAGTTCCTCTTAATCTAGAGAACGAGTCTGTTACTTATGGTAAGATAGAGCGTATGTAGACGTGATAATTTGTGATAATTAAATGTTTACATGATCGAGATAAAGTCTAACATCAACATATATATGCTTATGACATATTTTGATAATTCTTGGTCTTTCACAACTTGATTGGTGCTTTTCATACTTTTCTGTAAGACTAACTTTTATGTCATTAAACCATCAGATGTGTTGCGAATATATGGTGTCAAAAAAGTGTTTTGCTGAGTTAAGGTCGAAAATATGTGAGAACCACTGATTAGGTGCGTAGCCAGAAGGGTCTTGCCCCCCCCCCCCCCACTTAAACGTTTTGAACCGCAACGAGTGCACGGCCTAAAACGCTTAAAAGGGGGCCCCTTTTGGGGGACCCTTCTGGCTACGCGCCTGCCACTGATACTAGATTTTTAAATACAGTCTTGAATCAAATAGCTGGAGCAAGAGTGCAGAACTTATAAAATTAATCAAAAATGATTAAAAATTTTCAAAAATGATCAAAATTGATCAAAATTGTTCAAAAATTACACAATTTGATCAAAAATTATCAAAATGTAATTTATCAGTTCCACACCCTTGAGCTAGACACTTAGGTTCGCCAAATATATCTGATTAATATTTTATCTCAATATTTATGCATTCGATTGCAATACTCTTTGTTCCCCACCTCCGACTGTGAAAAAAACCTAACTTTACATCAGTAGCTTTACCCTACATCTCGTTATCCTGCTTCAAATTTATTGTCTGAGGAAAGCAGCTCAATTGAGTATAACGTAAAAATTCATTAAACATATAAATTCTTATAATTTTTCTAGGCTGGATCGTCAAAGCATTCTACATACTTCCAGATTCCGGATCCCTCCAGAAACATTTAAATCAGTTTAATCGATCAAATATTGACCCAACTGCTGGATATAAATGGACACGATTTCCGCATGGTAATAGACAAAAAAGAGACATAACTGATAAGTTGTCTGGAAATGAGAAACTGATGGAGAATGAAGACAGTAATTACAAGGATGACGAGTCTTTTGATGATGAAATTGACACGCAAGGAAATATCCCAAAACTTAGTGATTATCCCTTGAAAACAGAGGAAGAATTGATGGATAGAAGTGGAACTCGGTGGTAAATTGCATTATTAATGACATTTTTCTACAATTGTCATCCTTAAGCTCTAAAATCAGACTTCTAAATGATTTCTCCCTAATTAAGGTTGCTTTATGATGGATTCGCAAGAATGTTAACTTCTAAAGGACTTGAGGGAAGATATTGTGTATTAAGATCAATTTGTGAAGCAGCTGAGTCGAATTTTGGATATCATAATGGACTTTTTGGGCAACTTTTTCACATATTTTTCACGTAAGTCTCGTTTTTCTGTCAACAACTAAGTTTATTTATTAATTCTTTTTCCAGCCCTTCTTCAACATCTGATAAAATAGTGAATACAGAACATTATGACTATTTAAAAGCTGAGATGTTTGGACAAGCTGGTGAACCATGTGATAAAATTTTTCATCAATGTAAAGGATCAGTTTTGGAAATTTTTACTAAAGTTTATGAGGCTTATTTTTAGTTGTTATTTTAACAAGTCTAGGAAGTCCACTTCTACAGCAACTGTAGCTCAAAAGATTAAAATAGAAATTATTTTTCACGTTTTATTTAATTATTTATGGTTTTATACATTTAAGCATCAAATCAGTAATTTATTATATTACTGGGAACATGCAAAATTTTAAATACATTTAATTCTTTTTAATTAATTTGATTAATTATTATTCAAAGGTAAGAATAGATTAAATGCTGGATAAGTTCAACTATAAAAGCATAAGTTTAACATCAATTTTGGAAGTGTCTTTCCTATTTCTTTAAGGTTGTTCTAGCTGATTAAAGATATAAAAAATAAAAAAAAAAATAAAATATTTCCGTTCGGTTAATAAATTTCAAATGAAAATAATATGCAACCTACCCCTATCACCATGATTGTCAAAGATTCCATAAGCAACATTATCAATAGCCGACTCCTTTTCATTTTCAACTGCATCATAGACTTAAAGATTGAGAAGAATTAGATTGCTTAAAAAAATTTACATTTTATTATTAATACTTACGGTTATCATCGATAGTGACTTCATTGTCAATTTCGTTGTAGACTAGGATTAACATAATATAATTAAGGCAATTTAATTAAAATTAGTTTAGGGGCTTCTCACTTATGACGTCCATTGAAAAATTAATTTATAGATCAACCTCACCTCATCTGTCCTCACTTCTTCACTTTCCCACTTCCCCCTCTCCATTTCCTCCCCTTTCCCCCTCCCCCCCTCGATTTTGATTTAAATCATTTTTGCAAAGGTTTTTTTGGAGACTTTGATTTAAATAAACAGCATAGAACCATTGGTTGCTGTAACCTTCATTTAAGAAATGTTTGGATCTAAAAAATCCAGTTGCAAAATTCTGGCCGAAAAAGGATCAACTGCATTCTTACTTATAAGGAACTGCAACAGAAAACTGTTGATTTGGATACAAAAATTTTATATGGAGGGATTTTAAAAATCCCAAAAAAAAAATCCCTTTGAAAAAATGATTTAAATTAAAATCAAGAAAAAAATCACTTGGGTAAAATTATTTAAATCAAAATCAAAAATAAATTCTGAGATTTTGATTTAAATCGCAAAAAATCTCTTCACCCTGCTTGTGACGTCCAATCATAGAAACAAAAAAAATGGATGTCACAAATTTCTTGACCACCCCCACTCCCATGTCACAATGTGTAACAATTTTTCAGACCCCCTTCTCCCCCTAAATGTTGGTCGACATAAGTGAACGACCCCTTAGATTTTGAGGCATTGTCAGTATTTCTTTATTAAGGGTGCCCAGTTTTTATTTTATGTACAAAGTTGACATTCTTGGCTATATTTTGAAAGCTTAGAACCTCAATGACTACGCCTTTGAAAACGTTTACATTAGAAATTTGATTAGTCATCTTTGTAAGTTACAAATTGTATGAAAAAATCATTAATTGCTCATACAAAGATTATTGGCATCCTCTAAACATTCATACTAGTCATTCATAAATTTACCCGAATTTTTGACGGAAATTGTTGTGATTCCTTTCTTCGTCAATTCCTTCTCATGATCGAGTACTTCATAAACTGTAATTTAAAGTTTTCTTCTTCAATTTATGCTCATCAACTCTTAAAATAAAAATATACTTACGTGACTCCTCAACAGGTTCAAGCCTTAAGTAGTCGTCACCATCAGCTTGTCTGATTCCACTTCCATCTGTGATTGGTATTTCGTAGTTATTGTCAATGTCTGCATTTCCTTTAATACTTCCTTCAATCACTCTCGATTGTCGTTGTGGATTGAGCGATGTTGGTGATGACGAATGAGACTTGATGGCATTCCTGAACCTTATAATGTTGAATATTGTGGATACAAAAATGACGATGATCATTGCCAACATGATTCCTGTGATTGCATTGATCGACATAGTGAAATGATTTAATGTTGATTTCAATTCCGTGGATCGCTGATTGGTTTGAATGTCAAATTGGCATAAAAAAGCATTTTGATTTTCTCCAGCATCTGTCTTATTGCAAAAAAACTTAATTGGTACTGATAATGATGATTGAGGTTTCATGAGAATGTTTATAGTAAACCTGGTGTGGATTAGAATTAAATTAAGTTTGTAAGATTAAAAAAATATGATTCAGCTTACATTGATAAACTCCAGAAAATGTTTTGCATCTGCATTTTAATGCCTTTGATCTTATTTTCTTTAAAACTGCAAATAATACTGATTTCCTTTCAATATGTTGGGGTTTTAAATTTCTTATTCTTACTTTGTTTAACTTGTAATTTTGGTTGAAACTAAATTGTTTATAAGAGACTTTACTTAACCTTAATGATCATTAAATTCAATTGAGTTGAGGCATGAGAACTTTAATCATTACAACTTTATCAAATTTTTGATTTAAAACAAAGGAAATGTGAAACATTTTTGCGTACATCAATTTTTCATTGTGTCAGCTTGTGATGACTTACTGTGATGAGCTGTTTTCTAATGAAATTGAGCGATAAGATTTTTCATCATTTATTTGAGTGCTTTTTTCACTCATTTTTTTCGGTGGTGGAATGGTTTAGTACTTTGGTACCTAATTATTGCAAAACCGACACAACGATCATGGGTTCGAGACTGGGCATGAGAAATTTTTCACTAGTCCTTTTCGAATTATGTGTACTGGAAAGAAGACTCACAGACTTCCTTTGTAGGCTAAAGACAGAAATGTCAGCAAAGGAGTGGTTCAGATCCAACTATAAATTGTAAGTCTGGGTTTGAGTGCAGTGGTTTGGCGCATCTACCCTCGTTAATCTTTCATTAGCTGCAAATCGCCCTAGCGCAGCAATGGATCATTATTGATCTGAATTGCTAAAGGATTTTTTATACTTATGCCTTTGTGAAGGATTGAAACTGACTTTACATTATTTTTTACAAAAATGAATGAACCTTAAAAACCATTAATATACTTTAAGTATCACAGTGCGACTATAGAAAATTGAACTATTTTTACTTCATTTATTTAAATAAATAATTTTAATAGTTAACAAATTTATAAAGCGGCCGTTCACTTATGACGTACAGAGGAAGAGGTGGGGGAAGCAAGAAACGAACAATAGAAATTCCTAGAAATTTGTTGTTCTTTTTTGAAAAAATGATCCTTAATTTCGAACGTCATAAGTAAACGACCCCAAAGAACATTTTCTATTATTTATTCTATGCGTTTCCTTTTGGCAACTCCGAATATTCATTTTCATCAACGAGTGGTCTCACCATTTGATTCTTAAGATTCCTGTAATTGAGGTTTGATGAATTTTTAAGTTTTCTTGATTTAAACCGAATTGAAATTTCAATAATTATCTTTAAAATAACGATTACGAGCACTGCAAACAAAACGCCAATAAAAGCACAAAGAGAATAATATCCGGTATCAAAGATGTCACTTAATTCCTGTTCAACTGGAATTTTTATCTTTTCTGTTGATGCTGCTTCGTCTCTAGAGTCCTCTAAGATGTAAAATTATTTTCAATTACTAGGCTCAGGGGTTTATTGGGGTATGTCACTTATTAAGTAACTCTTTTAGGGGTGAAGAGAATTTGAAACAATTCAAACAAAGAAGAAAGGGGTTTAATAATCTAGTTGTTTGCGTTACATAATAAGTGAACGATAATGGATTTTGACAGTTTATTACCAAATTGATTTAGAAGCCAAGCATCAATTTCTCCAGATGGCAATGCTACTGATATGTGAGGCATCAGCATCAGCGACCTTGAAATTAAACTTTGTTGTAAATGTAAAAAGATTTTTAAAGCTAAACTTACAGCAAGAATATCGCGATGATTATCATTTTGAAAAAAATCTTAGATAGATTTGTTTGTTTTTTAAATTCTTTTATTTTGTTTAACAAAGGATTTCTCACTTAACCTGACGAGTTAAAGTAACTGAAAAACGATTTATTCTATTGTCATCATTTATGAATCAAGAATATAAAACATTAATTATTGCTTATTCAAAGCGATAAAAACATGCTTTTTTTTCAATGAATCATTTAAAAAATAAATACTTTTGGACGCTATGATTAATTTGGTGAATAATTGTATGTTTCACTGATGTAAACTTGGCCTCAAAATCCTAGTTTCACTTTTTATTGGTCGACATTTTTCGGCCGATATTTGACATGTGGTGTTACGTTCAATTTATGGGCCGATGTGCGGTATGAACATTTTAAATTGGATGATTTAATTTAAAATGTCGGCCGACAAATTATCGGTCAAAAAAATTTCTAAGTTTTAAAATTGCAAGCAAGTTTGCTTTAGATTATAATATTTTTCTAGATACGCTTTTGATCTTACAACCTTACCTTAACGTCTTACAGCTGAGGTAATGAGATTAAAAAAGCTTTAAGGAATCTTTTACCTCCTTTTTACTCACAAACCATTTGATAATAAATTCATTTGATTAAGTACACATAAACTCGACATCACCAGAACCAAACTAATCACACAAATGACGATGATTACAGTTATAATTACTGGAACTTTAAATAATGTATCTGACAAAGCAGTTGACGTAGAATTTAATAATGTTGGCGTAAAAATCATTTCTAATGTGCTTTCTGTTGACAATTCTTTGGAATCATCTGAAAAGAGTATTCCTAAGTTTTTAAGGATGGCACTAGCATTAGGAAAACTCAAAGTCGATAAGTTTCACGATAAGACTAGGGTCAACTTATGATTGAGTATTGAGAAAATTAATTTAAAATCAACTTAGTTAAGATTATGAGACAGGGTTGTCAGATTTGTAGCACATCTTAAGCCAAATTTACTTCTCATAACTTCAACTTTTGTTGAGTTTTAATCAATTTTAAAATAATAAAAATTACCATAAGAACAAAATTCTTCATCTTCACCACTTGGACAGTCCAGAACTTTGTCACATTGATTATCATAATCTAAGCACAATCCATTTTCACATTCAAAACCATCGCAAGAATCTATCACTTTTTAAGAATAATGTTAAATTTTTGAAATTTCAAGAATTTAAACGTTAAAGATTTTAAAGAAATAATAAAAAATTACATTCATTAGGATACGTTATTGGATGTGCAATTATTGGTACCACTTGAATGATAGATCTGTAAAAAGAATTTTTGAACAAGCTGTGATTAACTTTACTGAATACTATTTTACATTAAAAAAAGAATAGCTGTTCCGATTCTCATCATAGTAGATTCTGTAGCCTCTGCAAACTTAAACTAAAATATTTGATTTTTCAAAACGAAATTATTAATAAAACGAAGTCATAGTGAGAGCTAATCTACATAAACACAAGTTATTTTTCATATGCCAGAGTTAATACTAATATTAAATTAATAACTAGATGTACTGCGACCAATAATGACTCTATTTTTGGTCCTTATTATAAATTTTGATATTAGTCGACCGTTCTCAGTCGATTACTATCAAAATTTACCCGACCTAGACCCGACCTAGACCCGACCTAGACGTACTGGGATGACTAATGACACTTTTTTTTTGATGCTCATTATCAATTTTGGTATTAATATACCGTTTGTCAAGCTATAGACAAGATATTAATTTCTAATGCTTCTACATGAAAGAAGTTTAAGGTCAAACCAATAGTTCGTCCCGAGCGGGAATCGAACCTTGCACCTCTTGACTGTCGGTCAAGTGCTAAAACCTATATCGAGCTTTGCCATCCAGTTCTAATGGCAAAGTCCGATAGCTTAGTGGTCTGAGCACTTGACCGGCATTCGAGAGGTACGAGGTTCGATTCCCGCTCCGGACAAACCATTGGGTGAATTTCCTTTTTTTCAACAATTTTTAATGTCAAGTGTTTACTCGATAAAATAATTATCACAACTTTCTTTCTTAAATATTTTTTATTGAAACTTTGCTACAAGCCGTGGACACTCAAAAATATGCTGGGATTTTTCAGGACTATTGGGATTAATCCCATTGTCCACGCCTTGCTTTGCTCAATGACATTGGGGCGATTCTCCAGATAAAAATTTTCATTTTAAAATGAATTTTTTATAATTTTTTTCCATTAGAGAGCCTCGAAAGACAAATTAATATTGTACAACTTTTTAAACTCTACAAATCTGTATAATTAAATGCTTTCAATATACTCTAATTAAGGAAATATTTCGATTCTTCGGACGATTTCTCGAAGACAAAATATGGAATTTGGATTTTTATAATCAAAAATTAAGTATTAAAAACTATTCTTTGACATATGATATAAATACCAATCGATAGAAAACGAACTACTTTATCATATATGACAACAATTTTATTAAGCTTAATACAAATTTCACAAGAAAATTCAATTCTTTTGATGAAAATTTTGTCTTCGAGTAATTTTTAAAGCGCTTGAAACTAATTTGTGAGATTCAAATTTTTCAAATACGTTATAAATTTAAATGGAATATTTTTAAAAGAAACGATGATGATTGAGTGCAATATTAATTACCTTTTGTTTAATTAAAACATATAAAAAAAATGATTTTTATAAATTAAAACAAAATTTTATTTTTGTAAACAATTCTTTGTTTACATTTTTCCCAACGTATTTCAAAAATTTAAAAATTTCAAGTAGCAGTGGAATTACAGTTCTGTTTTTAAAAATTCAACCTATCTGGAGAATTGCCCATTGAGATTTGGTCAATTTCTAACCTTTTAAACCTCTTTTTTCAGATATTTTTATGTTAAAAAGTTAGGATACCACAAAGCAAAGAGGCTAAATGCATATAAACCTCCAACAACAAGTGCAAATATAATCACAACGACTAAAAAAACTGCAATGATTTTATTAGTCCATATACTGTGTTCTTGATTAGTTCTCATAGTTGTGAAGCTATCTGGATTTTGAGTTGTAGAATCTGATGCTGTTTCACTTTTTGTTAAGTCAGATGTCGTAAGCTGTGTAGTTGAACTTGATGTTGTATTACTCGTTGTAGAATGTTCTTCAAAATCAACTGAAATTAAGATTATTTTTCCTCATTTAAAAAAGACAATTTTATTCAAATTTACCATAATTGATGTAATCTTCATTATGTAAAGTGGACCATTTGACTGTGGATGTGTTTATTATGTCTTTAATTGTTGATTCTATGCTAGTTTTATTGAACAGCTCATTTAATATTGTCGTGTTTTTGTAATCAGTTGATTTATCTGCAGAATCATCAGTTGTTGCTGTTTTATCCTCATAATCTCGGACAGTTCCATAATCAGGGTTGTAATATTCATATGATTCTGATATTTGCGTACAAAGATGAATCATCCTTGAATTAAAAACTTTATAAACATTTATCACAAAAAGAAATAATTTTCTTACATAAAAATCAACCAAAAATGTTTTTTGTCCATTTTGAATAAAGTTCTCGTTTTAGTGCCGGTTTTAGCAAATTTCTAGCAACTGTCAACTTTTTGCAATAAGACTGCAAATAGAACTGAGTTGATAAATCTATTTGGCATTGAATGACTTTAAATATTTTATCATAATACAAATTCGTATGACTCAAAACTAATAACAACAAAATGAGCAGTGGCGAAGTCAATCTTTTGTAAGCAAAATTAAAAATTTTTATTCGAAAATATCCCTTAAATTATGAAAATAATTTATTTTTTATTTTTTTTAAAGACATCCAACACTTAAAGGTCGAAGAGCGTCTATGAATTTGTTACAATTCAAAAAAAATTATATTTTTTTTTCGGTATAAATTTTGTGAAAGAGAGGAGTCGGGGGTCTTAAAAGCATGTTTTAACGTACTTCAGAAGTTCAGAAGTAAACGATTTCTGAGTCAAATGGGTAACTTTTCATTCTATCTCCTCTTTTTCATTCATCCCGAGTTACAAAAAGATTCAATTTGAAGATATTTCTTTGCGTGAAGCAGCCGGGCTCCTGCTTTGATCTCCCAAGCCAGGGATAGTCAAAATTGATGCAAAAATTTCACTATCGACTCGTGTGACTGTCTGAATAATAATAATGTGTGGAGGACGCAGCTTTTCAGCTAGAGGCACTGCAATTCAATTTGTAAAGACTCTATTGTACCACACCGTTTAAAACTACAATTTATAAAGTGGGATCCGAACCACTGTGACTCCTTAAACTGGCACAAATTGTTTTCATTTTAATAGCTTTTGTTCCATTTAGAAAACAAGCAAAATCTCACTGTACTTAAACAACACTTGCAGCGGTGAAATGGAATCAGTGACCTAAGTGGTAGAACGCTGTCCTTCTGTGCCAAAGGTTCTGGGTTCAATTCCAGACTAAGTCAAGTTTTAGAAGCTCTTTATTCTTTTCACCGTTCTAGTTTTGATGCTCGGTTCGTGCGTTGGGTGTAGTTTTTAGGTAATCCGTACATGAAGTGTCTCCTTTGTTGGGTATACAAGGATAAACTAGCATCTGGATGATTTCATTACAGCACCCTGCACACATAAATCGTGACTAGGTTCATTGCAGAGTCCATCAGGTCTTTAGACGTACTCGTGTCTTAACAATATGCAAAACCTGCAAGTGTTTCGGATTCTACTATAAAATGTAGGTCAAAAGGGTGTGGTACAATAAATTCTGTTCTAATTTGAATTTCAGCGCCTGCCGCTCAAAAGGCTGGGCCCTATCCATGCTATATCTTTAGCAATACTTAGCCAACTCAATATGGGACAATTTAAATAATAATAATTTTATTAAAAATTTAATCATTTGAACAAAGGAACTTTAAAGTTGTTACTAACACCAGGATTAGCCTCTCGTTTCATGTTGACTACGAAAAAAAATGTGAAAATGTTAACAAACATTAAAAAAATAAATTAATTTACAATTTTTTAAATGAACGCTGAGAATTTCTTCATAAGGATTGTTTTGCGGAAGTGGTGTATCATAAACATTTGATTCGATATTTTGAACCTTCCTGGTTGGCACTAATGCTGACTTCTTGACTTCAACTGTTGGTCTTACTCTTTGGACAGCTTTAATTTCTTCCAAGTTGTCACATTGCTCATCTGAGAGATTTATTTGAATTGTACTTTTAGTGTAAATTTGACAGAATTTTGCTTACCATCATTAGGAACCAGAGCGTTAACTTTGAGCTTTGCAAGATTGTGGATTTTTTTAAATATTATGCAGATACAAATAACTAAGCCAATGATAATTGATGACAACAAAAAAAGCCTGAAAAATTGAATTTTGTTATTTTTTAATTTTAATGACACCAGAATTTTATGTCTATGTCTAGTTTTTCGATAAAAGTCTGAACATAACGAGCACGTATACCAACCCTTGATCTAAGGGTTAATTAAACCTCTGATTATAGTCTAATGTTAAGATAAGCAGAGGAGTAGCCTGAAAGGGGGGGTCCTTAGGTACCCGAGCACCTCTGCTTGAAAAATTCTGGCAACGCCCCTGAAGGGGGCATATAGGGCGCATAGGAGGTAGGAGTAGAAAAAGCTACATGTATATACCAAACCTCTTAGTCCAAATTTAATTTTTTAATCTTACACAAAACAAACATTTGTTATAAAATTGTCGAGAGTCTCTTGAAGATGTTTGAAATCTGAACTTTCTAAATACAAGAATATTAAATGTTTTAAAAAACAAATTTAAATTTTTAAGTCAATTTTACTTACCATAAGACTGTGCTAATGTCTGAGTAATCAGCCTGTAATAAGTTAATATAATTAATTAATATTAAATTGCAAGAAAACTTACTTACAATAATATTAGATTTAATGAAGTGTTCATCGGTAAAAAAACTACTCTTGCTTTATAAATTGACAAAAAAAATTCATTAAAAATCAAGAAAAGATTATAAAAATTCATAATGTACAAATAGAACTAATGAAGCTATGTCAAAAATTCATCATAATTTTTTATCGCTTTGTTTTTTGTTACTCATTCATGATTTTTAATAATAAGTTTTGAAGAAAATAGTTCAACCAGGGTGGAATTTATTTCTTTGTATATATTTGGGATATATCCCAAAGGGATAGCGATAGAGTCAGCTTCAGTTGCCATACAAGGGAGGCTATTGATCACAGTTGATCTGTACAGCTAGCGAAATAAGTAAGTAAGTATATCCCAAAGTGGAGGACATTGGTGTTTAGGCTGTTCATAGTTTTTTATCAACTTTAGGAACATATTGCGATTTCAGCTCTGAAAAAGTGGGAAAGATCAAATTTTTAAGCATTTTGCAAGAAAAATAGGTTCAATAAAACGGGGCTGATTCACACAAAAGTACGCAGGTGGACAGCCTATTGGTGTTTGATTTAAGGTTTTTTTACTCAATATTGCAATATTGAAACATTTTCAAAAATCAGTTCTGGAAGTTCTGGAAATAAATCTGCTAGTTTTAAGCAATATTCTTACAGGGGAACCAAATGTTATCGTTGTTGTCCTCACTAGGAACACATTTTTGTCTGAAATGAACAAATCTGGATATATTTTATTTCATTTAACTGATTTTTAATTATGTTCAAGGTGTGGAAACTCAGGATTAATTCTGAAAAAACATAAAAATCCTAAAAAACCCAAAAATCCTGAAAAAACCCAAAAATCCTGAAAAAAACCCCAAAACCAGTAAACATGAAAATGTGAAGTCCCCTTAAATCCATGATGCATTTAATGAATAATATTGGAATATTGGAGATTTCACATTTCAATGTTTATTGGCTCAAGAATTTTGTAGTATTTTTGGGATTTTTCAGGATTAATCTTGAGTTTCCACGCCTTGATTATTTTTCATTCGACATAATTTGTTTAAAATATTAAAATATCAAAAATTAAGGATTTTCATTCAAAATCATATCAGCTGCTTTTTCAGCAATTGTGTATGTTGGACATTGAGTATTTCCTGATGGAATAATTGGAATGACACTCGCATCAACAACACGTAAATTCTTCACACCAAAAACTCGCAATTTATTATCCACAACCGAGTCATTTGAAGACAGTCCCATTTTGCATGTTCCTGATGCATGCCACTCGTTCATTGTGAAATATTTTGCATGACAACGAATAAATGAACTTGAACAAAATTCTAGATTGTCACATTCGGGAATGTTAAAGATTTGAGGCTTAATGCCTGCATTTTTGGCTGCATTTGTATTGAAAATTTTACAAACTTCCTTCATTCCTCTTACAAGTGTGTCTAAATCTTCATCATCGCTGAAATAATTCCCATTGATGATTGGTGAAGCATAAGGATCTGAACATGAACGAAGACTGACTGTTCCACGAGATTTAGGATGCAAAACTGATAGAAGAACTTGAATTACAGCAGAATCTTTATTTGCATTCACAATTTGGTTTGCAAATTCTGGTTTAAAGCCCCATTTATCATTCATAAAGATGTTCATGTCTGGCATGTTTTGCTCGTAACCAGTAGCAATAATTTGAACATCTGGACAGTTTTCAGATGCATTTAAAGTGTTGATGAATCCACCGTAATTAATTCCAGGAACTCGTGAGAAATATCCAGTATAATCATTCATGTATTGACTTAGCTGCTTAATAAAGTATGCCGAAGACTTCAACTTATTTGACAAAGATCCAGGAATTGTCCAAAAAGATACAAATACTGGATGATCCATCAAGTTTTTACCAACTGGCAGATCTTTAATTTGTGTAATTCCGCAGCTATTTAAATCTAAAGCTTTCCCAATCCCAGAACGTTGTAAAATTAATGGTGAATTGTATGATCCAGCTGAAATAATAACTTCTCGTGATGCCTGCAGATCTATGCTTGAACATTTACTTGATGTTGTTTTCACATTCACACCTGTTGCTGTCCATGCTCCTGTTGAATCTTTTGATGTTATTACTTTTGTCACGAAACTATTGCGCATGAAGTAGAAATTATTTTTATCATTTAAAGGAACTAAAAAAGCTTTTGCAGCACTTTCACGTCGACCATTATTTATAGACATTGGAATGTTGGCAAATCCTGTAAATGGAGGTCCACAATTAGCACTGCTCCTTTGACGAATGTTAAGTTCTATAGAAGCATCTTTTAAAATTGACGTAACAAAGTCAGAGCTGCTGTCTGTGTTGGAAAGGACTAAAGGACCAGTTGTTCCTTGATAGTCTTTGCAATTTCCTGTTAAAAGTGAGCCTGATGGATCCTTAACTTGATGATTTTTTTTCATGTAAGGCAAAATATTTGAATAATTCCAGCTAGGATCGTTGACTGCTGTTGCCCATTGGTTGTAGTCTTCATCACATGCACATACAAACATCATGGCATTTGTTGCTTAAAAAATTGGTAAATTAAGACTCAGATTAATTGTATGCTTTACATAGTCAAAAGCTTACTTGCTTCAGCTAGGAAACTTTTCAAATGCAACTACCAACAACATTAATGAATGGCATTTTAGGCTGTGGAACTGATAAATTACATTTTGATCATTTATGATCATTTTGATCAGTTCCGCACCCTTGATGGCATCAGGAGTAATGCTTATGATCACGAGAATTTGTGGGAATCGTTCAAAAGCTCTTACCATAAGCTAAGTCTTTACTAACCTGTTGTTCCTCCTATACTTTTTCCACAATAACAATTTACGCCGTTTTTAAAAGCATTTCCATAATTTGGTGACGATTCTGCTGAGAAATTGTATTGAGCTGTGCTGTTGAAGATGTAACTAAATAGTGGTGGTGACTGAAAAAAATTGACATTTGAGTTCCTTTAATTAACATGATGTTCGAGACTTTTCAACAGTGATTTTCAAACTCAGTGTGTCACAAATGACTCATTTAATATTATGTTTATTCGGGTACATAAATTAATCACAAGCTGCACCAACCCGAATGGCAAAGGTCGGTTAATCAATGTCAAATTCGGCGCAAAGCTAGCATGACCCTGCAATGAAGCTGGCTTTGATTGAAAACCAGCACCATGCCGCAGTCATTTCTAATCGAAGTTTGAGAAGCACTGCCTATATCGAAAAGCCAAGGATTAATAGTTAATAAAATCAAAGCCTTACTATGGATTCTACTTTAGGATCATCACCAGATTCAATAAGTAAGACTTTTCTGCTTGAATCAGCCAAAGTCAATCGATATGCTAAAAGGGATCCAGCAGCTCCAGAACCAACGATTATGTAATCAAAGATGGGAACTACAATATGAAATAAATTATTAAAACAAATTGTCATCATGTTTAAATTAAGGATGTGTGGAGGCGATGTGGATTTTTATGTCCCGTACGTACTTAAAAAACGATTTGTGCTAAGAAGCAGTGAGTGACTGTTTTGTAATTAAATAGATTTTTCCCCTTTCCTTGTCACAAACTCATAATCACTTGAAGCGTCATAAAACTAACATCAAAATGAAGATGTTTGACATAAATAATGAATGATTAAATTTTATAACAAAAGTTTATTTGCATTATCACAAAACAGCAGCCACAAAACATGTGCAAAGTAATTAAAACAATATAATAATTTTAGTTTTTGAAATGTTCATTTAAGACGCACTGGATATGGAAGGGATATATGGGAATTTATAAAAATCTATTTTTTTGAAAGTCATAAGTAATTAAAATAAAGGGAACCTTACCTGCTCCCGTTTGAGATAAATCGCAAGCATTTTCACAATTTGATGTAATTTGAAAGAAAGAGAAGCTTCTGCTGTTTTTAAAAGATTTTTAATTTGTCAACTAAAACTAATCTAAATTTAAAATAAAATCCTTACTTGCAATTAGTAGCTCTAGTTAAATAGTCTGACGGCCAATCATAATCTGATGAAAACTTAATTCTTAGCCAAATGCTCACTAAAAGAATTCCATGCAGGAATGACACGTTTAACAAACTTAATGAAAAATTCATCTTCATCAATTATTGTTGTCTTACTGATATGAACTGAACACAAAATTTCAAAATTCTGTTTCAGTTTTGAGTGTGCCTATATACTATTAAATACAGACGGTCTTTTTAAAGGTCTGCTATTAATGACTAGGGTGACAATTTTATTCATCACTTAAGAATTTTAAGTAAATAAAGAAGAAAAAAAATTATTCACTGGTTAGCAAGCTAGTTCGAAGGATGAATTCTTACTATTTTCTCAAAATAAATTACTCGCTTGTGCATGAACTCTTCTGTTTGACGTTATGTTCTGAATAGCACAAGTTGGTTAATCGATCAGAAATCCGGCACTAAGCCAGTGTGTCTCTGAAATCGTCCGGATTTCTATTCGATTATCCGACTTGTGCTATTCGGGTATCCTTCAACTTCTTTCGTTACATCATTTGTTTTGCAGACTTCATAAATAAGTGCTTAGAATGGAAGCTAGCAGAAGAAAACATCAGCGTTGCGATTTGTCACAGGCAATCACCTGTCACTTACCTGTTAACATGCGATCGAACTCTGGAAAACATTCTCAATTATTGTAAATTAAACGTTGGCAGCTAGCAACATTAATTCTTAATAATTAAGCTATCTTAACACTTTGTACTATCTTAACTCATTTAGACAGAATGCCTGTCATACCAATTATGTTCTACAAACGCTACTGCTTTAGCTAAGAATTTAAATGATTTAATTAAGTTTCCCTCCTTTCCATTCTCTGTATCTTATTGTGATCAATTTCAATCATGAAAAAAATTAATTCAAAAAAAAAAAAAACATTAAAGAAATAAAGAGAATTCGGTTTAGAATTTGATTCACATATTTGGTTCAGGAATTGCAGGTAATAGGACATGTTTTTGGATAGTTAAAATTAAGAATAACAAAAATCAATTTTCGTTTTTATTTGACACTTTTAATTCCAAATTTTAATCCTGTTTTTTTTTTTTAAAAAATTAAATGTTGCATGCTTTCAAATGCACTTACTTATATATTCAGTTATGATAATTAACAAATGAAGTTCTTCTCATTTCCTCTTTTTTCGATGCTCACATTAAATCCATTCACAAAATTCAAAGTAAGTGTCATTTCAGTCTCAATCTCTTCAAACTTGGTGAGGCAATCAACTTTGTATTTTCTAAGGAAGTTAATCAGGAATATCTTCATCGAAGCCATTGCATATCGATATCCTGGATTTATGAATGCAAGATTTAATCAATTATTAACAACTTAACTTATTGAAAGCAACTTACCAATACAAATCCTTTTTCCCCCTAATTCAGATTGAATAGAAAGATAAAAGCTTTGATAAAAATCAGTAAAAATCCATCAAATTAAAAAATCTAACCTGCAAATGGCACAAATGCGTGAGGATTTGTCAGTTCTTCAAAAAATCTTTCTGGTTTAAATGCATCAGCATCGTCGCCCCAAATTTTCTTATCTCTGTGCATTGCAAAAATTGATATCAAAATGACAGTTCCTTTCGGTATCAAATATCCTTCAATTTCAACTTCTTCACTTGCTTCTCTGCCAATTATTGGAATTGCTGGAAATATTCTCATTGATTCTTTTAGAACAGCATCTAAATATATGAATTTTTGTAGAAAATCATTGCTGAATTTTGTGTCAGATTCTGTACTGTAAATTTCATCAATTTCATCAAATAGTTTTTGCTGTTTGTCTTTGTGCATTGCAAGCAGCACGAGAGTTGCTGCCAATGTTTTAGTAGATGTTGCAAATGACTGCAAATGTTTATGATTAAAATTAGGACATCTTTAAGGGGGTTGGAAATAGGTTCATAAGAACTTAATTAGACATTAACTTCGTTATTTAACTTACAGCCATAGTCGTTAAAATTAGTTCTTCATAAATCTCCTGATTACTAAAATGGTTTTTAGGATCAAGCAGAAGCTGTACAATTGAATTTTCTTGACTATTTCGACTTTTATTTGAATCAATCACTTTGGCAATAAAATTGTTGAAATTTTTGAAAATTTGAGCTAGTTCAACGTTGACTTTCTCTAATATTGCTTTATTGAGTCCAATAATTGTAAAAGGAACAGAGTCTATACATTTATCCATGAATCTGTTGAGAATGAGATAGGAAATGTGGATAAATTTGAATTATAAATGAATTAGAACTGAGTTTTTGGCCCCCAAATTTTATTTAATGAAATAGAGATCACATTGATCAGATTCTTGAGCTACTTGACCTGTTTCATGATTGAACCACAAATATGAGTAGGATAGGTTCCCAAAAGACCCATAGCAACCATCCTCATCGGTGGCAATTTCATTAATCTCATTACAAGAATTTTGATCTTTTCGGAGAGAAAGCGGGGAATTCCAAAATTCTAGTATGTGAAGCTGATCGAAAAAGGAGCCAAAAGCCCAAAGCTATGAAATTAACTTTTATCATTCCGATCAGCACCACGTCTTTGGTTTGGACCTCTTTTAATCCTCACTGCTGTGCCAAAGAACTACCTGCTTTACCACCAGTCATATTATTTACATTTTTTTACCCTATTGCTCGCAAAACCTCTTCCTTACACCTTCATTACAATCCCAAGTATCACAAACACTTTCAATTTACAAAATTCTACAAACCTCTTCATTGAGTAATAGATTTCACTTTGAAAATAATCAATCTCATAATTTAAATTAATTTTTCCAAAAGATTCCAGTGAAAGTGCACCGACATAGTCCATAAGATCAAATTCACCACGACCAACTTTTTCTTCCATTTTTGTGACAATTTTCTTCGCTTTTTCATTAAAAATTTCTGGCAAATTGTGCATAACTGCTGATGTAAATGCTTTGTTGAGAATTCTTCGATGTCTTTTGTGATCATCACCGCCCATTGGTGTCAAGGCGTGATCCATAAAAAACATTTGATAAAATACTTTTGGCTTATTGTAAGTTTTAGAGCAGTTAAAGATTTTGTGAATAAAATCAGGATCTTTTGTTAAAATTGTTAAGTAATTTGCGAGCCACAATTTTGTAATCGGTGCGTCGTCCTTAATGAACTTGCTCATTATAGGGATGTAATCTCTTCGTGAAATTTTAGTTGCTAATTTGATAGACTCAAAGATAGACAGACCATCATGCCCTGGAAGATTCTTTGCTAAGTCATGCAATCGCTGTCGTTTCCATCGAAACTGAATCAAATATGCCAACAGAACCACCAACAGAAATAATATTAAATATTCGAAAGCAATCATTTTTAAAACTGTGTTCAAGAATCAAATTTTCTTTAAAGACTAAAACTATCAAACAAAAATGTTGAGTTTTAAAGGATTTTGAAGTTGGTAGACCCCGAAAAAATGGTGAAATTTATGTTTTTGAATTTATGAGCTTAAGAAGCCATTCAATCACTTAGGAGGAGCAACCTATGATGAACAAACTGATCTAATACTAGAGAATGAATAATTCTGATTAAGGTAAAAACTACTTCTCATTAGGAGTAATTGGGGACTTAATTTTAGTATATTCGAATGATTCAAAGATATATTTTTGAGTTCAATACCAATAGCTAGCATCGAGCGTTTCAATTTAGGCAATCCTAAGTTATTAAACAAATAAACAAATTCTGTCTATAGCTTTTGATTTTAATTTCAATTCCATTTTACTTTTATTCCAATAATCTATATTATAAAAGTCCAATTCACTGACTCACTGACTCTGATATGTGATGGATATTTGTTAACATTCGGGCAAATAAGTCTCAATCTAAAGCTCATTTCCAGTTACTCAATTTGTTCAAGTCATAAAGTTCGATTATATTCAGTTTCTTCTTTAAGTACTTGATAGTATGAGTCCATTAATTTGGCTCGTGTTGCTATTGTCACGCAATTAAGATCAGAAACTTTCTTTCGTTTATTTTTTCAGCAATATAAAAGTTCTCTAAGTGCCAAATAAAAATTAGGGCAGGACGGTGGGGCGTTTTCTTCTTTTGTCATAAAGAGTAGGGTTTTCAATCCCGGGATTGAAATGTATGGGAATGTAAAAGAATTAAATCTGGAAATTAGTACATTTTAATCCTGGGATTGAAAACCTTTTGAAAAAACTTTTAAACAAGTCTGAAAGCTTTACGAGGCCATGTGAAGACATTTGTGAAGTCGTGTGAAGCCAATAATTTGGGAGTGTTACCACCTCCCAGTGTCAGGTTGAAGGGGGGGGGGGGGGGGTGTCAGGTGTGGAGGAAAATGAGTGCGAGTTTGAGGAGGTTTGTGAATTCATGTGAAATTTTGTGCGATAATGGACTTTAAAAACAATAAAAACAATAAGGTAATATGCATCTTACAGTTATTTACAAAATTGGAATCAAACTTAAACCCTGATGACAGGTGCCACGGGCGCCCCCGAATAACCTTGTTAGAATAATAAGAATCAAAAAAAAAAACAAATAAGAAAAGCTTAGATTTGTCTAATGACGCTACGATCACCAATGACGCATGTAGACAAGCCTACGTAATTGAAGAAAATGGTAAAAAATGAATGACGTCAGGAGAACTTAAGAGTGTGTTAAAATATATGCCTGGCGAGAAATTACTAAAAACTCCAGAGAATCATTAAATTACTTTTTGCCTTTGATCCAATAATCGTAAGATGTAGATGAGCCCACGTGTAATAATAATTTTGTTAACGATGAACGACCTCCAAAGATCAAAATTGATTTAAAGCCATTTTTTTAATACTTTGAGTAAAATATCAGATTTTTCTTAAACTTTTTTATTAATCTTTTTTTTTTTGGTTATTGCTCTCAAAAAATTTCCAATAAAAACCAAAACTCAAATTCAGGGTAAAAAAAAAGAAAAACATGAAAAAAATAAGTACAATAGTTTTTTTTAAGTTTAATTAATGCTTTTGCCATCATTAGCTGTATAAGTAGGACGCTTCACTTCTTCACTTTTCTTTTTAATGTTTTTTAATCGAATTTCATTAGCTCTAGACATTTCAGCTATTCCAAGCTCCCTAATTGACGCTTGACTTCTCCAAATTTTTATTTCATAATCATCTGATGTTGAGATAAACATTTCGTTGTCTTTCGGATTAAACGCGACAGAGTTGACGACGTCATTATGTGGGAATGAAGCAAGGCACATTCCATAGTATCCTGGGTGGAAATAAATAATTAATAAAAGTTTTAAATTTTTTTAATGACTTTTAACTTACGATCCCACAAGTACGCGTGACGATCTTCAGCACCAGATCCAACAAAATCATCACAAACGTCCAGAAAAATGAAAAAGCATTCTGTATTAGGTGTGTAGGCTTTATGAGCCCTGAGCATTGTTCCAACCTTCTTCAGTGTCTGCAAATCAATCACATGAATATCAATTTCCTGTGATATTGGTGGCGGTTCCAATGGATTTGAGATGACACAATTTTGTGGCCATGGACGTGAATTAACGTATAAAAATCGATGATCAGGACTCAATCCCATTCCAATGATGTGACCTTCAAGGTCAATTAAGGCATCAACACCATCAAATCGACTAGATACAGAATCATAATTTGACCAGTCTGGATCTTGTCTCATTTCTGGGAAGTGTTGAAACTGAAGGCGAGCTTCCTCAGGACTGAGTTGCTCAATTATCTGCTGAAGTTCTCTTCGTCGCTTTTGCAATGCAACTCGTTCTTTTATCGGTGGACCTGGATCGAGTTTTTTAGGGAAGCTCGTTTTAAGTACTCTTTTGAATCCAATTTGATGTGGCGTGTATGTTTTTGAACCTGTTGAAAATATTAAGTACTTTGGCTCATACAAGTCATCATCAACATCTTCGTCATCCATTGTTAAATCAACATCAATATAGTCACCAAGCTCTGATGAAGACTCACTGAAATTCTCTTCTAGTTCCTTTCTGAACTCATCAGAGTAATTAAATGGCCTATCATATCCAAAATTATCTTCATTATTTGAAGAATCTGGCACTTGAATTGACGAGGAACCAGTAGCTACTGGCGGGCGTGTTGTGAGATTCGACATTGGGTTTCCTGGTTGGTAAACAGTTTGATTGTTTGATTGAGATGTTGATTGCTCACTGGTTGATTGGTCTTGTGGCTTTGGAGTTTCATCTTCAAGCCATGGGCATCTGGCAATCCTGAAATGATTATTATTTAAAATTAAGTCAAACTAAGTAAAATGGTTTGGAAAAATGACCAGGGGAGCTAGAATGAAGTCAGAGTATACCTAAGTAAGCTCATAAAGGTCTAACCTAGTCCTACATACACTTCCTTGATATCGTCAAAAAACTTACATTAAATTCCTTATTGAAGATGCATTTCGATTATAAAAGTTTAAAAATTCTTTCATTACTGGCACATTTTCATTGTCAATTTCTTGATTTGCTTTGCTTATCCAAATTGTTGATTTCGAGACTAGATGAGCAAGCCACTTAAGATCACCTGAGAGGATATGTTGTGTGGACAGCCAACAACCAAATATGTCTAAAATCATAATTCAACATGATTAAAATTTCATTAAAATTTAAGAAACTTTGAAGACTCACCATAAGGCTTAGACTGCACACGAGCCTTCAAATGGAACCCATCATTCAAACTAAACACTGCAATTTCTCCAGATGTTGAATTAAAACTTCCAAAATGGACGCCCGAGACCAACAATAAAGTATCATTTCTATTCCATTGTGAAAATTGCGTATATTTCCAACTTAATGTCTTCATGTCATACTTGTACTTCAATTCTGATGGGAAATCTGAAGTCCAAACAATTACAAAGCCATCTTTCGAGCACGTACTAAATAATTTTCCATTGTTGCTGAAGCTCACGTGTAAAACTTGATGTGAATGTTCAGTAAGAACTTCTGTGAGAATTAAAGGCACATTGTCGACTAGACGTCTATACTCGTTGTACCAGTTATCGGTGTCTTGAAAATAAATTGTAAATTGAGAATAAAAAAACTATTAAATCCAAAAAATTAATCAACTCGTTCACGTCTGACCACCAAATCACATTCTCAGCATGTTTTAATTTTATTTTTGTTTGGACGAAAACAACTCACTCATCAGATAATTCATGAATGAATGAAGCGTCATTCAAACACCGCTACATCCCACAACTATAAGCAGTGTCGATTGTTTACCTCGTGCATGTGTTGTGCCGCATTTATTGCGTGTGTAATTTTTTCTTTTTCAAAAACTTTTTTTATTTATTTTTGCAAGTTGGTGCTAATTTGGCTCGTCAAAAATTACATAAAGCGTGTGATTAAACTGAGTGAATATCGATAGAGGGAAATCAATTAGACTTAATTGAGGTCGTTTTAATTGTGTTGAATGCAAATTGTTTGAGGCTTATGTGAATTATTGATTTTTGTTTAAATGATAAAATAATTTTGAGATTAATGAAGTTGGATGGTTTCTCAGATGAGTGACTCTCAAGACTTTATTACTAGCTACTTAGATTTATACATCAGTTCAACTAGGGCAGGTTTATGAGTTTACACTTAAATACATTGAACCCTGAACAAACATACCCGAATGGTACAAGTCGTTTAATCAATTAGAAATCTTGCACCAAGCCGGTGTGATTCTGGCGTGGTGCTGGATTTTATTCAAAGCTAGCACCATGCTAGAGTCATTCTGGCTTGGCGCCAGAGTTTTATTCGATTAACCAACTTGTGACATTCGGGATATAGATATTGGAACAGATGCAACACTCGAACCAGATCTCACGTGTTTTTATGTCAATTCATCAGCCAAAACGAGACTAATGACTCAATTCATATTCATTCCTTATTCTTAATAACCAGCCCTTATTAACATTCAAAAGCAAGTGACTAATAAGATATTGACATCACACAGTATAAGGCAATGTGCTTGACTCAAAATCGCTAATTAAGTACTAAATGACGGCATGCTTAATTCATCATTCACACAATGATCAGAACTTCGATTTGACCTTGGAGATTTGTTGTTTTATCCATCATAAAGTAAAGATTAACCTTATGGAACCCAAAAGAATGTTTTACTCGATTTTTTTGCCAAATAAATTGAGGGCTTGTCATTGAACTCTTGTGAATTTGCTTTAGTAGCTATTAATAGATATTCAAGATTGTCAATATAAAATTACGTTGAGAATCTGTGGTTATTAAAGGTCTTTGTTTGGTTATCTACGCTTATTTTTACATTTTCTTATCAAAATGAGAAAGTAAATGATTGTAAATTATAAAGTCTGATACATTTATAGAGTCTTTTGTTCTGGTTTTGATAAAAAAGATGTAAATTTCTCATTCTGAATTTTTATATACGTAAAAGCTTTAGCGTTATCTTAGATCTGTAGCAGGCGCGTAGCCACGAGGGTCCTGTACCCCTTTTATCCGTTTTGAACCGCAGTGAAAGAACGGCTCAAAATGTTATGGGGGTCGGGGTAAGACTATCTTGGCTATGCGCCTTAGTATCAGTAGTATCACAAGCTAGGTTATATCATATATAGCTTATAAGTCACACTAGTCAGTGATTAGTAAAGTATAACTCCCAAGAATTGCATTTAATCATAAAGCGCAATCAGGAAGCACCTCAAAACAATGATATCATAGCTTCAATAAAAGCCTATGAAGCCTAACGATACTGAAAATCTTTGCATAAAAACCAAATTTTAATATTATCAAAAACCGCAAAAAAAGTTGTTTCTCTTCCTTAATGTCCCTCATCGTCTTATTCTTGTTTCACATTCAGCTATTTTAATCAAATCATGCAAAAATATCATCAAGTCTATAGATTTGGCCTACACAAACTACTATAACTACAAGATCCGCTATAGATATATGCCGCTTGTTGTGACCTTGCCAAAAATTTAAACGAGGCGGAAATCGCAAGTCTACCGTGGCTTTAACACATTTACACAAAAAATCAAGTCATTGACTTTAATTAATGTATGATTTAAAAGGTTGATGCTGTAGTTGATTATGGTTAAGAATCTCAACAATTCTTAATTTACAGCTTCAATTTAATCCCAAAATAATTGACCTATAACTGTATACAAATGTAAAACAAGTCGGGTTTGATGGGAATCGAACCCACGACCTCAAAAGAAGCAATCTTTGACCACTCGATCAGCGATCCCTGCCACTCAACCACCGAGATGCTTATCTCACTTCGGCTATCGGTCATACACATAAAACAAGTTCAACGCAAGTACTATGCTCAGACCTTTCTTCTCCTGCCATATCGAGCCATATCTACACTTAGTTGATATTTCATAAGAATAAGCACACACAGACTCACTAGACTACCTTACCAAAATAACAAACAATTTTACTCACTTGGCTTCAATTTGATTCCCTTGTCGACTTTGAAATCTTCTCGGAACTTTGACCTCCACAGCAGTGTGTCTCGTGACACAAAATGCCATCGTCTGCAGCATTCTGAACAATTTAATATCTCGCGTGCTGATAACAATCCAAATATTTTAATCAACACATTTTCTGGCAGACTTGTCCAATCCGATGGTTCAATTTCATTCTGACTCCTTTCACTTTTCAATTTCTTTAAAACTTGATGCATATCTTCATATTCCATGCTCAACACTCGACAATTTTATAACTTCATCAGAGATTCTTTGAAGCTTAATGTGACTTAATCGTAATTTAAATTGCAACTGAGTCAGAGATGAAAATATAAAGTTTATAAAATTGAAATTTTTTATGCGACGATATGAAAAAAAAAAGTTGTGATCGCTCGCGAGAGAGGAAAAGTTCGTCTAACAAAATAGCAAAACAAAAACAAACACAGACTGAAAGGTAAAAATGTGGGGAGTTAAAGTATGAAATTTTTGAAACTTTTTTGGTTGTTATTTTTTGAGATATCATGACAAAAAAATGCAGGGAAACTTTTTTGTTCAAATGTTAAATTTCTGAAACTTTAAAGTGATTAGGAAATAGCTTTGTTCATTCTTCGTCCTCGTGTTCATTTGAATTATTTTGTCATTGATGAATTAAAGAAGGTAAAGATCAAATGAATCTGGGATGATGTGGTGTCAAAGGTGAGTGGAATAGCGGATATTAAGCCACATATCACTCAAATTGCAGTCACAAATCAATTTAAAGACCCTCCAAATCCCTCCCATAAAGCCAACAACCACTCTCCTTTTGTTTATCACCAATATTCATTCACATATCAATCAGCTGTTTCCATTAATTTCCTTCATCTGTATTTGTGAGAACAAACTCTCAAAACAAAAAAGTTTCGCTCATTTCAACAAATCGGCTTTCGCATTTCGGACGTTTTTTTGATTGTGAATGTTGTGCTTTCTAAAATTTATCAAGCAAGTTTTTTTATTCTTATCTATAAATATTCACAAACTACCGCCACGTCACTTCGGAAGATAAATTATTAAATAATATACTCGTATGTGCAATTAGGTTCGCACTGATATTATTAAATATTGTCAGTTGCTCAAGTGAATCCAATTGAGGAAGTTTAAACTTGTAAAGTATAGAATTAATGTAAGTGGATGCTTATTGACATTAACTGATTTTATGTGATGAGTTTTGTGATGTGAATTATTAAAAATTGAGTTTAAGATCCATTTGACCCAGATTAACTTTAAGATCCAATCATGTGCAGAAAAAAGAAATTCATTCAATTGTGTTTGACCTTCTGAAGTGAGTCAAATCCCGTTAATTGTCACAGATGACAGATCTGTTATCTCTGTCAACAGGTCAGACCAGTGTTGTCCAAACTTTTTTGAGCCACAGCACACTTTAGGGGTGGGCCATTACCAAAATCGCACACAGTATGCGGCTAGCGACATTTACAATAAATTTCTACGGTACACCAGTGTGCCGCGGCACACAGTTTGGACAACACGGGGTTTGAGAAATCACTGACAGACAATGACAGGCGACAGGCAAGTGACAGATCGCAACTTTGCTTTTGACTACTCGACAATAGCACCGAATCTTCTTTGACTTCTTTTTCCTTTTAATATCCTCATTCGTACATCCTCATATTCCCTTAGTACAGCAAATATTCTACATCATGAATCAAAATTGACGTAACAATCGTCTAGCTTACGTCTATCGCCAATAAACTCCTTATCTTAATTCTCAAATTTCCAAAATCAGTCATACTTTGCAACATTCGATGTTTTCATGATTTCTTATCAATTTACAGATATTCCCAGAATTTATAAAACTCAATTGAAGCACATCAGTAAAAATTAGCTTCGGAACAAAAATGTCACTCGATCTCATTTCACCGAACTTCACAGAAGAGCATTTGAATGAAATCATCAAAAAGTATGGAGGAGTTAAGTACACATCGTGGGCATTTGAAGGAAATGCAGGAAAGAAAGGTGATGGATACTTGAGTGAGGTCTATAAGGTTGTTGTGACTGGAAAGGATGATAAGGAGTAAGTTTGAGATCAAAGAAAAAAAATTGTGCCTAGAGACAAGGTTTTGGAACTAATCAACTGACTTTTGATCATTTTTGTTCATTTTGATCTGATCTACATTCTTTATTAGAGTTTGAAGGAGCGCATACTTCAAAATATTTACTAAAAATCGTTCAAAGAAGTTCTGATCATATCAATAACCAACTTCCCATTTCAGAAAGTCCTTCGATGTCCATGTCATCATCAAAACAACTCCAAAGTCTATCGCCCGTCGCAAAACTTTTCGATCTGCAGACTTCTTCAGAAATGAAATTAACTTCTACAATTGTGTCATATCCAAATTCATTGAATTCCAATCGATCAAAAAAGATGCAAAATATCCATTTAATGAAATGTCAACGTGCCTTGTATCCCACGTCGACGGTGAAAATGACTTTCTAGTTATGGAGAATTTAAACATGTGCGGCTATCACACAACATCCCGTCAACAAGCGATGGACATTAATTTATGTCGTTTGATAATGCAAACGCTTGGCAGATTCCATGGATTGTCGTTTATCATTCGCGATCAAAGTCCACAATTGTTTGATGAAATGGCAGCGTCACTTGAGGAAACTTACTATTCAGCTAGACTTAAGCCTTGGTATAATAATTTTATCAATACGCAAATTGATATTGCAATGGATGCAGTTTCTAAGATTTATGGAGGAACTGAAGTTGAGGCGAAGGCGAAGAAGTTTTTGACTGAAGGAAGTTTATTTGATAAAATGGTTAAGCTGACGCACACTACTAATCGGTATAGTGTCCTTGGACATGGCGATTGTGAGTATAGAAGGGATTTATGGTTTATGGGTTTTAGTAAACTGTTTCTTTAATTTCCACAATTTTTGGGTGGAACCATCCTTTTGCTGTACTACAAATTGCTAAGCATTGACTAAGCTCCTCAGGAAGCTAGAAGTCATAAATTTATATGCCATTTTGCATAAGATTTTTGGTCCTTTTTCTATGGCAAAGGCCTATGTCCTTCCTTTGCTATGTCACTGATGCTAATAATTCCAGTCAATAACATTCAAACTCATTTCAGGCTGGACACCAAACTTCCTCATTCACTCAATTAATACAAATGGAAAAGAAATTCCAGTCAAGGCAAAAATGATTGATTTTCAACTTTCAAGATATGCATCGCCAGCCTTGGACATAACATTCTTCTTGTATTCATGCACCAGTGAGGAACTTAGAGTTCAGTATTATAATGACTTGATGAAGACTTATCACACTAATTTGTGTGAGATTATTAGAGATTTTGGATCTAATCCTGAGTTTTTGTTTCCTTATTCGGCATTGGAGGTAAGTGTCTGTTAATCCTTGTCTCTTACCTTAGTCATAACTTTGCCCAGCGACAATTGGCAAATAATTCTAATTTTTAAGAAACATCACCAGGTTTATGAGCCTGGACATAGCTCCCCTTTGGCAACTTATCATACAAGCTATTTAAAAATTTCCATAATTTTAGAACGAAATGAAACAATTTGGAAGGTTCGGAGTCGGAATGGGCATCGAATCAATTCCATTTAGTCTTATGGATGACAGTGACACTGCTGATTTAGACAAGATTCAAGGAGAAAATGCAGTTCCGATTACCGACATTTGGATATTGAAGCGACTCGAGAATGAAAATGATCAAAGAAGATTGGCTGATGTCTTCAAGCATGCAGTTGATTGTGGGTTCTTGGATTAAGGAGGGCGGAAGAAAAATTTGGAATTTAAAATGTTAAAAAAGTATTTCATTCAATTTATCGCGAATAAAATGGATATTGAATTTTAAATTAAGTTTTTTAAATCAAATCCGAAACTATTCAAATGTTTTCAGCTGTAAACATTTTTGAGGTTTTATTCCAAGTGAAACTTCGACCAAACCACAGATTGTTTATAAACAAAAGAACACAAATAAAATTTTTGATAAATATTAAATTTAACAATAAATAAAAAGTTGAAGCTATTCAAGCTAAAATCATGGAAACTGAACATTGTAGGATATGCTTCACTGATAGAGATGACTTGACAGAAATTTGTGATGAAATTAAAGAAACTTTTTATTCATTAACAAATATTCATGTAAGTAGAAGTGCCATGGACAATTTCTCAAAATAATTGTTAAGCAACCTTGTCCTGATTAAGTCCCCCAAGATCAAGTCGCATCTGGCAACGAGCTGGTATGACACTGGGATGGTGCTGGCTTCGATTTATATCTAGCACCATGCAAGAGTCACAAAAGCTTGGTGCTGGATTTCTAATCGATTAACTGACTTGTGCCATTCGAGTCCCTATTACCTCCAAACAGAGTTGCGAAACAGGCCACCTGTGACAGGTGAGAACCGTTCAATTCCTTGATAGTTTGTATGGTTTTGTTAGATGCCTGTTTCGCAACTCTGCCTCCAAACTCTTAAATATCCTCTATGCCTTCTCCAAAATAAATTTGCGTACACAAAGCTAGTTACACTTTCGAATAATCTTATTTGAACTTCCAGCTCATCAATTCTGAAGTTCACTCAAGCTACATCTGTCGAGAATGCAAAGACAAGCTTGAATCAACAAGGGATTATGTCAAGCTTTTAGCAGAAAATGAGATGCAATTAAGAAATAAGTTTTCTATTGATAATTCACTATTAATTGAAGATCATCAAACTTCTTCATATTATCCTCAAATCAAGACTGAAAATGTTGAGCATAAAGTTGTGAGGAATCAAGGTTCAAACATTCCAAACCATAAAATAAAGGCACAAAAGCGAACATACCAGCAAATGAGTGAAAACGTAGGAACTAGATCTTCTAGAAATTTCGTAGAATCTGTCTATTTAAATGAGTATGGAAATGAAGATACCATCGACGATGTAGAATTGAGTCCTGAAAATGAAAGCATCAATGATCAAGAAAATTCATTAAACATGGAAATGATTGATAACATAAATGATTTAGAAGATGCCAAAAATGTTTTCAGATTAATGTTCAATGAGATTCGAGATCTTAAGCCTCAAGAGCTCAAAACTTCAAAAGTTGCAGTTCATAAACCAACTCCTCAAATTAGTTCAGTCGATGGTTCAAATATTGAAATTATGAAAATCACAAACATGTACGAATTTGAAGGATTTATCAAAAAAATCAATAAAGATTCAGCTTATCGCCAAGAGCTGGTAATTATCTTAATTGAACCAATAGATTTTGATCACTTTTGATCAGTTCCGCACTCTTGAATTGAATATTTGACTAACAGAATCTGAAAAAATTAATAAATAATTTTTAAACTTTTTCCTATTCAGATTAATCGCTGGAAGAACTTGACAAACAATACACGCCAAACACAAGTGAATGCAAAAGCTTATAACATCCTTAATGAATTGTTCGAAAGAGATTTTCTAGTATCAAGTGTCCGTTGGGGTCAGCCATTTGAAAAGGACAAAATACGAAGTGATCAATTGTATCTTAAACTTCAGGATGAATTTAATGACATAATTTTAAATGTTTATGAATTGGAAAGATCAAAAGATTCACTTGAACATATAGGAAAGATATTCAAGAACGTATTTAATAATAAAGTTAGACGTGAAGAGAGAAAGTTACAATAAAAATAAGCACAGCACTAAACATAAGTTTGTATATTTTAACACTTTTTCAATCAGTAACGAACAAGTTCATTCAGGCTTACAAGTGGCTTTTAATCCAAGGACAAGATTAAAGGTACAAATTTGATTTCAGTTTATGACATTTGGGTTTTGAGTAGATTTAGAAACGAGAATGATCAAAAATGAATGTCTAATGTTTTCTTACATGCTGTTGATTGTGGTTTAATAAATATATGATGTTATTTAATTTATAAAAGTAGTTTTTTTGCATTTAATAATATTGCAATGAAAATTCGAAATAAATCTAATTTTATTATTTCCAAAAAATATCTCTTAAAATTAATTTAATAATAAAATCAAATCCTTCCAAATGCTTTCAAATCGTTGACATTTTAACAGTTTTGAAATTAAATTTTAATCAAAACACTGGATGTTTACAAGTAAAACAAAAACAAATATAAATAAAAATTAAATCTTCCAAATATTTGGTTGACTGAGAAGTGTTGAACATAGAACTTAAACAATGAAAACTAGTTACTGCAGAATATGTCTCAATAATAAAGATGATTTGACAGAAATTTGTAACGAAATTAGAGAAATCTTTTATTTTTTAACAAATATTCATGTAAGTTCCAGCACAATATTTCCCAAAATCACAATATTTGCTAAGACCTCAATGAAATCCTCCAAATTGAGTTGTTTTAACCGCAGAACTCCTTAATATCTTCGTTATGACTTCTCTAAATGCAATTAATCAACAAACTTTCTTATAATTTCTCGCAACATTCTCATTTCAGCTCAATAATACCAAAGAACACTCAAATGTCATTTGTCAAGAATGTAGAATCAAGCTACAATCAACAAGACAATACATTAGACTTTTAACAGAAAATGAAACCCGATTAATGAATCATGCTTCTACTGACAATGCACAATTAAGTGATGATAACAAAATTTTCTCATATTTTCCTGAGATTAAAATTGAAAATGATGAGTTTGAGTTTGAAAGTAATCAAATAAGTTTAGGTCCATTAGCAAAAGAGCTCAAACTTAAAAGTAATCGAGGGAGAAAGCGAAAAAGTACAGAATCTACTGAAGAATCTCCAAAGAAACAAAAAGTTAAGAAATTAAAAATTTTAAAAGATAAAGTTCCAAAAATAAACAAAAAATCACCTAAACCTTGCCAAGAAATATCCAACAATAAAGCAATCAAAGTTAAATCTTCCAAAACCAAAGATTCAGATCGAAAATCCTCAAAGTCTAGCATTAAACAAGACAAACCAATTAAACAACTTCAATCAAAGGCAAAGGTTGAATCTGACTCTCCAAATGAAGACTTGTCCCATCTCCAAAAGACAAAAAACGGCAAAATCATCTGCCAGGACTGCAACCGTCCAATTCTCAAATCAAACTACAAGGATCACATCAACCAAAAGCATGTTGGCAATAACATCTTTATTTGTGATTTATGTCACAAAAAATTTCATCGAAAAAACTCTCTCGAGTGCCACATGTACGTCCATCTCAAAATTAAACCTTATACATGTCCAGAAAATTGTGGAAAGTCATTTTACAGCAAGCATGGACTTTACTTCCATTACAAGATGCATCATCAACCAATTAATGAATTTATTTGTGAGATCTGTGCTAAAAGTTTTAAACAAAGTCATTTGCTGCAGGAACACATTGATGCTAAGCACAGTGGTGTTAGATATAAATGCAAATATGAAGGATGTGGGAATCAATACAATACAAATGCAGGACTTAAGAAGCATATAATTAGCATTCATGAATGTAAAATCGTTCCTTGTGAGTTTTGTGGTGAATTATTTCGAACTGGATTTTCACTTTATCAGCATGTGAGGATCAATCATAAGGAAAGGAAATTTGTGTGTGAATATGAAGGATGTGATAAGAAATTTGTGATTAGAACTCATTATAGAGATCATCTGAAGATGCACACTGGGAAAAAAGATTTTATTTGTAAACTTTGTGATGCCAGTTATCATAAAAAGAGGAATTTGACACGTCACGTTGAGGTTGTTCATCAAAAATCGAGATTTTATTGTCAGGTTGATGGATGTAATGCAGCTCTTTGTAATAAGGATAATTATAGAGCACATCTGAGAAAAGTTCATTCAAATCATTCAGACATAAAAAATTTATTGGCTGATATGGCTAAAATGAAGCCAGTGTATTTAGAAAATTTTGAAAATATGGATGAAAAGATTGAGGAACAGAGCTAGTTTGAGGTATTGTGCCCTCAGTCTAGAAAAAACAGATGCTAGAGAAACCATTGTGAGCCAATTGAATGAATTCTTTAAAGGATGTCAACTTAATTATCAAGTCGAGAACTTGTTAAAATTAACGGCCTCGACACATTAAATTTGACAAACCATTGTGTGTCATAAGTCATAGTTTGAGTAGCACTGTTCATGAGAGGGTTCAGAATCGTAACTTTTTGCTGAAAAACTCTAGACTAACATTATTTCTAAATTAGTCCCGAATGGCACAATTCGGATAATCGATCCTTAATCCGGTACAAAGCTGATGTGATTCTGGTATGGTGCTGGATTTAAATCGAAGATAAAAAATCACGAATTGGATTTCGTTTCAATCAAACAGCATGGAACCATTGGTTGCTGTAACCTTTCTTTAAGAAATGCTTGAATCTAAAAGATCCAGTTGCAAGATTCTGGCCAAAAAATGATCAACTTCATCCTTACTTATTAGGAACTGCAACTGAAAACTGATAATTTGAAAAATAATTTGAGAAATTGAATACAAAAATTTTACATGGAGGGATTTTTAAATCCCAATAAAATCTTCCATACAATAGATTTAAATCAAAATCTCTTTTTAAAAATCATTGCAAAAAGATTTTGATTTTGATTTTTGATTTAAATCACTCACCCTTTTCACCGGTGTAAAAATTATACTTTTTAATGAGTTGAAATGTATAAAAAATCATTCGAATTGATTCACAGTAAATTATTGCATTTTAAATATAATTGTTTTCAAAGAAATTTCTGACTTTCTTCATTTTTCGTATTTTATTTTATTTTTTAAAAATAAATGGACATTATTTTTTGTTTAGTAAGGATTGTATAATCCTTACAATCCTTATATAGAAAGATTGTAGGAATTTTACAATCCTTACAATCCTTATATGAAAAGGATTGTAAGGATTGTACAATCCTCACAATTCGTATGGAAGAAGTAAGGATTGTACAATCCTTACAATTCTGTTGGAGTGTCTGACCCTTGATAAAATGTCTGCCACTGATTATTATTTAACTCCATCGCATAGTCTTTAATTCACAACCGTTTCCCGAAACAAAGTCTCACAATTCATTATCCTCAATCCGGCAGAATTTCAAGTTCTTCAAATCATTTTAGATGAAACCTTTTCATATGCCTATAAATACTTCCTTTAACTTTCATATCAGTTCCGCATAAATCACATATAAATTTAACTTTAGTATGAACCATATTCTTATGATTTTTAAGGGCATTGTTATTAATATAAAGCAAAGAACAAATGTTGCACTTCAAAGCCGTTTTTGATTTTTTCAATTTATTCTCACGCTTCTCCTGCTTTTCATGTTTCGTCAAATGATATTTAAGGACTTTTGAATAAATTGTTGTAAAAGTACATTTTGGACATTTATGGTTTTTTGCACTGTCTTTGTTGTGGATCTTAACATGCTCTTGAAGGTTTGCTCGTCTGCAGAAAGTTTTCTCACAAATTTTACATGAAAATGCATTTGAATCCTCATGCCACATCATATGCTGCTTATACCTGTATGATGCTGAGAATATTTTATTGCAAATTGTACATTCGAACTTTTTAACATGAGTCTTTGTGTGCTGCTTGAATTTTTGCTCTGAATCGTAGACATTTAGGCATAAAGGACATTTATACTTCGGATGCTCACCATGGATCTCTTTCATGTGATATTTAAGGCAAACTGGAATCATGGATTTATTGCAAATTTTACATGTGATTTTTGGCTGATGACATCTCATGTGAACTGCTAATTTAGCCTTATCGGAACACATTTTACCACATAAATCACAAATTAAGTTTGATGGCTTTCTCATGTCTTTATGCTTTGTTGCGATGTGTCGGGTTAAGCCGTGATTATTTTGAAAATTTTTATCACAATGTTCACAAAAAAATCTGATGCTGATTTTCTTAATTACACTTTCTTGCCATTTTGACGCTTCAAGTCGCTGAAAATTCCCATAAATCTCAAAAACTTTCAATTTTGAACTTTTTTTAATTTCATTGGAATCTTCAAATTCAAGATGATCAATAATTTCAAGTTCTGGTTCTGCTTTTATTTTGTCAAATGTAAACTCATCGTAGATTTTTGGCTGCACTTTTGAGATGCTTGCAAAGTCAATAATATGAATTTCACATTCTTGCTTGATTTTTGTTGATTCATCGTATTGTATTGTGTTGATTATTCTAATGAGTGGAGCTGATTTTGATGCTGAATCTTCTTGCTTGATTGCTTTTGTGGACATATTGATTAATTTCCACTAGCTTTTTATGATATTGATTTGCTTCCTATTGATTCTTATATAAATAATGCATTTATGTGATCCAGAGGCAGGGTGGGGAGATTTTTTGCGATTTAAATCAAAATCGCAGAATTTATTTTTGATTTTGATTTAAATCTCAATGAAAAATGATTTTAAAAAGGGATTTTGATTTAAATCATTTTACCCAAGTGATTTTTTTCTCGATTTTGATTTAAATCATTTTTGCAGAGGGATTTTTTTTGGGATTTTGATTTAAATCATTTTTGCACAGGGATTTTTTTTGGGATTTTGATTTAAATCTCTTGTATGAAAGATTTTTTTTGGGATTTTAAAATCCCTCCATACAAAATTTTTGTATGCAATTTCTCAAATTATTTTTCAAATCAACAGTTTTCAGTTGCAGTTCCTCATAAGTAAGAATGCAGTTGATCCTTTTTCGGACAGAATCTTGCAACTGGATCTTTTAGATCCAATCATTTCTTTAATAAAGGTTACAGCAACCAATGGTTCCATGCTGTTTGACTTATACGAAATCGAATTCGTGAATTTAATCCTCTGTGCCTTGCTGCTTACATTTAAATAACTTGACTTCATCAAGCATGCCTGGATCTTACTCTATATGAGGAACTACCTGCTTTCAATGCTTCCAAAATCTTAAATGTCTTTTATTACAGTACCAAAGTAATCTACTTTAGTTTAATGAGTCATAAGCAAGAATAGGCACTTGAACTGCCTAGTTCCTTCATATCCACAAAAATTTTTTTTCTTGCTTTTTCATCAAGGAATCACCTCTTGAAGTCAAAAATTTTTTGCGGAACTAATCGGTTCCTTTCGTACCTGATGATCAAATATGACTGAAAATCATGCTTTATACTTATATGATTAGATAAACATACTTTGCAGTCATCAGGTACGAAAGGAACCGATTAGTTCCGCAAAAAATTTTTGACTTCAAGAGGTGATTCCTTGATGAAAAAGCAAGAAAAAAATTTTTTGTGGATATAAAGGAACTAAGCAGTTCAAGTGCTTATTCTTGCTTATGACTGATTAAACAAACGTAGACTACTTTGGTACTGTAATAAAAGACATTGAAGATTTTGGAAGCATTGAAAGCAGGTAGTTCCTCATATAGAGTAAGATCCAGGCATGCTTGATGAAGTCAAGTTATTTAAATGTAAGCAGCAAGGCACAGAGGATTAAAAATCACGAATTCGATTTCGTATAAGTCAAACAGCATGGAACCATTGGTTGCTGAAACCTTTATTAAAGAAATGATTGGATCTAAAAGATCCAGTTGCAAGATTCTGTCCGAAAAAGGATCAACTGCATTCTTACTTATGAGGAACTGCAACTGAAAACTGTTGATTTGAAAAATAATTTGAGAAATTGCATACAAAAATTTTGTATGGAGGGATTTTAAAATCCCAAAAAAAATCTTTCATACAAGAGATTTAAATCAAAATCTCAAAAAAAACTCCCTTTGAAAAATGATTTAAATCAAAATCCCAAAAAAAATCCCTGTGCAAAAATGATTTAAATCAAAATCCCAAAAAAAAATCCCTTTGCAAAAATGATTTAAATCAAAATCGAGAAAAAAATCACTTGGGTAAAATGATTTAAATCAAAATCCCTTTTTAAAATCATTGCAAAAAGATTTTGATTTTGATTTTTGATTTAAATCACCCACCCTGTCCAGAGGCAATAGACCATCTTCAGTCATAAATTTAAAATTTGACTGCTAAGTTTATCTCAATATTGACAAAACAGCGTTCTTTCTTTCCTGCGGATATGGTGGTTTTGGGAACTAGTTACAGGTTGATTTATAAATGTCCTCTAAAATTTGAGTATTAAAAAGTCAAACTTAATTGGCAACTTTAACTTTTTTTAAGAATCAGAATAACATTGATGCTCCCTAATTGAACAAAAATAGGAAATTCTCAAGTGACGTAGCGTTTACAAGAACGGTCAATTTTGCACTTTTTCTGGAGAATCTATGTTAAAAATCTAAAATGTTGTTTTTATTATTATGAATAATGAGTTAAAAATTGGTATGTTTACAATATTACAGCTGATTCTTATAGGCGGCAAACAAATCCATCGTAGTGTCGTCCCTTCAACATGCTTCCCATTCACTAATGTAAAATATAAATAAATGTTTAAATGTAGTTGTTTAATGTTGTAAAATGTTACCCAGAAACAATTTGTCGCAATAAATGTTAACAACTATGATAAGTTGATTTGAGGTCTTTGAATTGCTCATTAAAGCTTCATTGGTTTTATTCAGTTGAGTAATTAATTAAATAATGAAATTGTGAAATTAAAACATGCATAATGTGAAAAATAAATATTTAATATCAAATTCTAGATCAGTGATTTATTAAAATCTTTTTTTACTATTTAAAAATAAACATTCAGACCTTAAGATTCATACCTGCGCGATTTATGCGTTACAAGTTTAATGGTGGTTTAAAGAGTGAGGGTGCGCCAAACCACTGCACTCAAACCTAGACCAACAGTTTAAGTGGGATCCGAACCACTTCTCTGAAAACATTTCTTCCTGTAGCCTACAAAGAAAGGCTGTGAGCCTCATTTCCAGCACATATGATTTGAAAAAGGACAACTGCCGAGTCTCAAGCACATGATCACTGTGTCGGTATTGCAATAATTAGGTACCGAAGTACTAAACCATTCCACCACCGAGCAATTTCAGCTCACTTACTTACTTACTTCCTTTGCTGGTCGTACAGATCAATTGTAATCCATGACCTCCTTTAGTTGACGCCTATAACTAGTTCTATCGCTGGCTACTGTGTGCCAGCTCACTTATTTACCATATTTACAATTTTATTACTATTGTTGATTCCAAGGAGATATCTACTGAGACTGAAACTTGAACATCAGACTGGCAAGACTCGGCCCGATCTGATGTTTTAATCTTCTCTGAATCATTTTATTGAATCATTTTATTGGTTTCGCTATGACAGTTTTCAGAATTACTGAAGGAGATTCGTCATTTACTTCATTATAAGCATTTCTTATTCAAGTCTTATCAATTTTGTGTAAAAATTTATTAATCCTTTGTAGTCTAGCCTCTAAATTTGGACATTATGACTAATAAATTATTTTAAATAAAAATAGATTTTGCGTGTGAATTTGTGATAAGCTCAACTGTGATGAAACTCTTATTTTGAAGCTATATGTAGCTATCCAAGTTCAGTTGAAGATGCATCAGCTCTAATACTAGCACACTATTTAATTTAATTAGAGCAATTTATCCACAACTCAAAAAAATTGTTCTTTAATTGTTTGCACAAGGTCATAATAATTTATTTCAAAAAAAAAAAATAAATAAAGTCAAGAAATCAAAATTTATTATTTCTATCCGCAGATAAAACATTTTCTAGAGATTAAAATCAACAGTTCTCACATTTCATTGGCTAAAAGCACCCAAACGCGATCACATATTTTCTCCTAATTTGAATTTACACGCGGACAGGAGCAATGTAGTCGTGAGATTTACTGCGTAATGTTTTGAAAGTCATTTGAAGTAAATTAATTTAAAATTGATTGGCAACGTTCACAAAAATTAAGTCAAAATGAAGTTTGCGGAGCACCTATCGACTCATATTACATCTGAATGGAGTAAGTTGGTTCATATTGGACGGACATGATGATTAAAATTGAAATTAATTATTTTTTTGTGTAATTTTCATTTTAGGGAAGCAATACATTAATTATGAGGTATAATATGGATCTTATTATATTTTGCTATGTTTGTCTAGTCACCCGTCACAGGATGAAATAAATCCTGACAAAATCACTTCCAAAATAAGACTTAAATTCACGAAAATCTGTGAAAATTTTCAATTTTTGAATTTTTTTCATTTCCCGCTGTTCTGCGCATGTCCAATAAGAAATCTGTGAATTTTGTATACAAATAGACAGAATAACAGCTGATTAAGATTTACAGGGTGGCTGAAAATGCACTTAAAAATGTGCGTTTGTAGGAAAATATGAGATAAGTTGCTCTCAGTAGTTCTCATTGGTTAAAGATGATTTTGTGAGAGAATAATTTGGACTGTTGAAGGGATGAAGATGCTTAAGAGACAAAAAAGATCAGACTACTTGTTGAATCATTAAGAATCATGTGCTTTATGCTCTTAAACAATGTCAAAAGTGACATGATGAACAATACTAATCTAAATTCTTATCTTTCTTAATTCCAATTATGACTACCTCCTTTTCAGGAAATGAAGCAAATGCTCTACAATGCCATAGAAGCAGCACCAAGTGCAGAAATTGCTGATCCAGAAGTCCTAACCCGTTACTTTGCTAAATTTGATGAACAATTCTTCAACTATTGTGACAGCGAATTAACAAAAATCAACACATTTTATTCAGAGAAGCTTGCTGAGGCAACAAGAAAGTATGCTGGACTTAGATCAGAACTGTCAGAAGCTCAGAATGAAGGAATTTCTATGGAAAAGTTTCAAAAAGCTAGAAAAAATATTTTACAAAGGAAGAAAAAAGATGTCCGGAAAATCCAGGAACTAAAGCTTGCATTTTCAGAATTTTATCTGTCCCTCGTCCTGCTGCAAAATTATCAAAATCTCAACTTTACAGGCTTCCGAAAAATCCTCAAAAAACATGACAAACTTTTAAATATTGACTTTGGTGCTAAATGGCGACAAGATCATGTGGAACTTGCCCATTTCTATACGAATAAGGACATTGATCGACTTATTACTGAAACTGAAAATGTCGTGACTCTCGAAATTGAAGCTGGTGATCGACAAAAAGCAATGAAACGCCTTCGAGTGCCTCCACTTGGTGAACAGCAGAGTCCATGGACAACTTTTAAAGTTGGATTATTTTCAGGTGCATTTGTAGTGCTCGTTGTGTCTGTTGCCATTGCTGCTTTGTTTAAGAAACCACCAGAAGACACTTGGAGATCTGCTTTGAGGCTTTATCGTGCTCCTTTTCTATTCATTGAGTTTTTGTTCCTGTGGTCGTTGAATGTCTATGGATGGAGATCGTGTGGTGTTAATCAGTGAGTAGAATTTGGAAATTTAGATTTGGGTTGGTTTTTTGATGCTAAGGGTAAAAGCTAGTCAATAAAGTTGACATCTTCATCTCCTTTTTTGAGAAACATCATAACTTAACTCAGGATATCCTGCATTAGGATCTGAACTTATTAAAACCTATTAAAAATCAAAATTTTATCCACAGCGTCCTCATTTTCGAAATTAATCCAAGAAGTCATCTCTCCGAGCAGCACATAATGGAACTGGCTGCAGTATTTGGTGTCTTATGGTGCATATCTGTACTTTCATTCATGTTTAGTAGTGCACTGAGCATTCCAGCATATGTCAATCCATTACTGCTTTACATCTTTATGGCATTATTTTTACTTAATCCTACAAAGACATTCAGGCATGAGGCGAGATTTTGGACTGTTAAAATTCTTAGTCGAGTTATTTGTGCGCCATTTTTCTATGTAAATTTCGCTGATTTCTGGGTAAGTTAAGGTTTTGTTAAGTTTATTGTCGTTCTTATCTGAAAAAAGAGGATTTGCTTTGAAGATGAAATCGGGGCTAGTGATTAGATGTGTCTTAATATAATTATGAATACGCCTAGTGTATTAATGAGAAACTAGTCCCTATATTAGTGTTGCCGCGGCACACAGTTTAGACAACACTGCCCTAGATACATTAAATCAAAAAAGAATAATCAATATTTATTATCCTATAGATTGCAGATCAGTTAAACAGTATTGTCCCAGCATTTTTGGATCTTCAGTATTTCTTTTGCTTTTACACAACAAATGGCGATTGGTCGAAGGCTGAAAGTGAGAATGCTGAACAATTCAAAGTTATTTTAAGTTCTATAAAGTTCAATTCTATTACAGATCCACAACAATGTACAGAATCTTACGTGGTTCGAACAATTGTTGCAATGTTGCCTGCATATTTCCGAATGGCTCAGTGCTTGCGACGTTTTCGAGACACCAAGGAAGCTTTTCCTCATTTGGCTAATGCTGGTAAGTGTTTTGGGTAACAAGTTCCTTTAGAATCAATGTTGTGTCATCTATAAATGACAATTATGTAGCATGTAAGTCTAATCCGTGTTGTGACCTTAAAAAATTGGTTTCAACTTTGTAAGTTGCTTCGAAGCGACAACATCCCTTGATGTGCCTCTGAATAATAAAGCTGTCCAACTTCGCACTTTTAAACAGGCCAGTCCTGCTTATTTGAACAAAATTCCTAATGTTCCACTTTTCTGGACCTGTTTTTCTAAGAAAATGCTTGAAAATTTGGTCGGTCCCGCTTTTTCAGAGCTGAAATCAGCACATGCCTCACATTTTGACCAATAATCGATGAACAGCCCATTAATATTAAATTTACAATTTTTTCTAGCTAAATACGCGTCATCATTTTTCGTTGTAATTTTCTCATCAATTACGATGGCAACAACTGGAAGCTATCCAAAGTCAACACATAATCCATTCTTCTATTTTTGGATTGTATCGGCAATTGTATCGTCATGTTATGCTTATGGATGGGTTTGTATAATTTTTAACGTTGATTAATATTAGATTTCTGCTAAGTTGCTTTTTAAAAAATCCGAAAAATCCTAAAAAATCCCTGAGCCAATAAACATTAAAATGTGAAATCCCTTTTAAATCCCGAAATTATTCATCGCATGCATCAAGGATTTCACATTTTCATCTTTATTGGCTCAGAGATTTTTTAGGATTTTTTGGGATTTTTCAGGATTAATCCTGAGTTTCCACGCCTTGATTTTTACTATTTTTTAACTTCATGATTATTGAATTTTTTTAAAGGATGTTTATATGGATTGGGGATTGATGTCAATGGAGGGCGAAAATAAATTTTTGAGAGACGAGATTGTTTATTCCAACACGGTGAGTTAATTGAAAGTAGAAGAATGAGAAAGTCTTAAGTTCCCATTTCCTTCAAGCTTTAATTCTTAATGTGATAAAGTCAATTCAATTCCATCTTCAATTCCACAGTGGTTCTACTACATTGCAATGGTTGAAGACTTTATTCTCCGATTTGGATGGACCCTCTCGATGTCCTTAATAGAAATGGGCTACATTGACTCTGACATAATGCTTTCAATATTAGCTCCATTAGAAGTCTTTCGAAGATTCATTTGGAACTACTTCCGACTAGAGAATGAGCATCTTAATAATTGTGGTAATTTCCGTGCCGTCCGTGACATTTCAATTGCACCAATTACAGGAGCATCTGATGAGGCAATGATTCTTCGAATGATGGACGATGATGATGGAGTAACAAACAGAAGGAATAAGAAGGGTGGCAAGAAGAAGGATCAGCGATTAATGCTGAATGGAATTGCTGACTCGCAAGATGATCTCGATATGTAAATTAATAATGAACATTAATGTTAACTGTTAGATGTATTTTTATGGCAAGAAGTACTTTTTTTGGCGAATGCAATGCAACTTTTATTATTTCATGCAATTTTTTTCATTTTTGATATTTTAAGCTAGTTCGAATTGTTTTTTGAATGAATCAATTTTTAATTCTGATGATGAAACTGCTTAATTTTGAACGATTTTGGCTGATATATTCACTGACATATTCAATATAACAGTCATTGCTGCTCAGAAAAGATTTAAAAAAAAACATTTAGTTTAAATTTATTCACAATTTTTTTAGTTCTAGTGTAGAATGTACAATTTAGAATAGCTCAACTAGAATAGATATAAAAAAAAACAAAGGCGTGGAAACTTGGAATTAATCCTGAAAAATCCCAAAAATCCTTAAAAATCTCTGAGCCAATAAAAATGAGAAAGTGAAGTCCCATTTAAATCCTGAAAATTATTCATCAAATGCATAAGGGATTTCACATTTTCATATTTATTGGTTCAGGAATTTGTTTTAGGATTTTTGGCATTTTTCAGGATTAATCCTGAGTTTCCATGCCTTTCAAAAAAACTCATCTAATTTAATAGAAAACAATCAAAAGAACTTTAGTCAGACATTAAAGACATTAAATGATTATAATAAATTTATAAAAAAAAGACTGTTTAAATTATTGGTATTAATATTATATTTTCGTCACTGCGGAATGCATTCATGCTTGATACATCATTTTTTATGAATTGTCGGGTGACTAAGATAATTTTAAAGTCGTCAATGGTTAAAGGGAACAAATGGAAACAAATTTAAACATCAAAACAATTTAATTTTTAATTTTGTATAATTTACCCGATCGGCACACATTGAAATTCATTGAAATGTTTGCTACCAGGTAGCTGGGTTGATAGTATAAGAAGAAGCTGCATTTGGCAATGAGACCCACGTGGCAACCACTTGTCATTCAGTTGGAAGATGCTTTCAAGCAGCTGCCGCTTGGTTCTAATTATACAATCAACCCAGCTGCCTGGTTGCAAACATTTGAATGTGTGCCGATCTGGTTAAAGGCACAGAAATGATCAAAGTGCTTTAAAATTATTAATTTATTGATCAGTTCAACACTTTCGTCCTGATTTTTTTTAAAGAAATTCTTTAGCAAAGTTTTAGTTCGATTGGCATGTTTAGTAGCCGGTTGGTCGTTATCCCCTTAGTAATCCTCACCCTATATCAGTGATGGTCAACCCGAGTGCCGTAAAAATAGGATATTCCACGAAACCTATGCTGTATGCAATTTAGGTCATGTCTTACCATCAAGTGTGTCATGGCACAAAAAGGTTGACCACCACTGCCCTATATAGAAAATACCGAGCAACTGGCTTTTCATTTAAAAACTTAAATTAGTTGAGTTTAATTCCACAAAATTCCACAATTTTTTCTTTCATTTAATCACAAAATTTTTAAAAATGAACCTTTTAAGCAAACAAAAGAAAATTTGATTATTTTTATAGGGATAACAATGTGGCGCCTAAAACAATCATTGTTACCTCAACATATAAGTTACTTACAGCACCAATCGATCACATAAAAATGCTTGACAATTTGTAAATGACCAAATGAGCAAAATGACAATTGCTGTTCTGCCATGCTTTAGCGTGGATTTTTGAATTTTTATTTAAATTGTATTCAGCCTCTTTCAGGATATTAAAAATAGAAAATTTAAAAAAACTTAAAAGGAAAATTAATTGATTTTAAATGAAATTTTATTTTCTTATCTTTTTTTTGAATTTTTATTCAAATGTTAAATTAAAGTTTATTTATTTTTCAAATATTAATATTAATAAAAAATTAGCTAATCTAAAATATTAAATTGAAATTGACATTATTATAAGAATTTTAAAAATTCAATTTATTTCAGTTTTATATTTTTTAATAATAATAAAGTCATAATTTAAAATAAATTAAAAATTAGCGTGGCACTGCTGCAGCTGCTGTCTGACAAAATCCCTCTGATTAGCAACATCCAAAAAATCTTGATTAATACAAATATTTCCTTCCAGCATCAAAATTTGAAGATTTGGAGTTCTTTCAATAATTTGTGGATCAATCGATGTAATCACATTCTGGACAAACTGAATATTCCTTAAAGTTGAAATTGATGGTCCCAATGATTCAAGTCTTAGAGTCGACAGGTTGTTGCCAATAAGTCTTAGTGTAATCAAGTTCCTCAGTCCATCTAAATCTCCAGTTCTTAATTCAGACACTGAATTTCCACATAAAAATAGTTCCTGTATCTGTGGAATTGGAGTAAACCAAGATGGATTGATTTGACGAATCCCATTACGACCAAGACCCAAAGTTCTTAAACTAGTCAGTCCCAAAAATGGATTATTTCCTAATTGAACACCGTTCATGCCAATCATAAGGAACTCGACATTAGACAAGGATGAGAATTGTCCATCAGTAACTTGAGAAATCATGTTGTTAAAGAAATCCAAGCTTCTTAACGTACTGCTGATTGGTATGAACCATTGAGAATTGATTGCTGTAAGAAGATTGTTGCCAAAATCAAGGAACTCAATGGAAGTTCCAGAGAATGCATTTGCATGAATTTGACTGATTTGATTGAACAGGAACGAGACATGATGAAGTCTTGGTGAATTAATGAATAAATTAGCTGGAAGTGATGTCACTGAATTTTCATTGATAATGATCCTCTCCATAGCTCTACAGTCAGCAAAAGCTGATGATTCAACAATCACTAAATTACTTTGAACTATCGAAACTTCTTGGACATTCGTAAATTGTCTGCAGAAAATTCCAGGAAAATTTCTCGTATTTTGTGACAAAATGTTGACTATTTGCACATTAGCATCAGTTCTGCCTGGTAATTGCTGTCCACTAATAAATGAAAAGTCAATTCCTGTTGGATTATTGATTAATGCATTGCATCTATATCCAGTTACTGTTACGTCATAAATACACTCAATTCCTGAGAATGCTGTTAATTTTCTTCTACTGCAGGTGCTGAGTAGCTCCTTGATTTCACTGATGCTAGCTTGAACATCCTCGAAATTTTGATCTATGCAGACATTTCCTTCCAACATTAAAAGTTGTAGATTTATAGCATTTTCAATGATTTGTGGATCAAAGGATGTGATTTGATTGTTTTTAAATTGTAAGTTCCTCAAAGTTATAGCTGCATTTCCTAATGATTCAGCCTTTACAGCTGTCAATGAATTCTCATTAAGCCTAAGTGTTGAAATATTTTGGAAGGAGCTAAAGACTCCATCCTGTAGTTCCGATACTTGATTCCCACAAAGAAAGAGTGTCTGAAGTTGTGGAATTGATGTGAACCATGATTGATTTAGTTCTGTGATTCCATTGCGACTAAGACCAAGTTGTTCAAGACTTGTTAGGCCTTCGAATGGATAAGCGTCCATTTTTACTTGGTTTATGCTTAACATCAGTTCCTTTAGGTTGATTAAGTCTGAAAATGTCCCATCAGGGATGTGAGAGATTGAATTATTCATAAAATTTAACACTTCCAATGACTGACTGATTGGGATGAACAAATTTTTGTTGATGTCCGCTAAGATATTGGAACTTAAATCTAGAACTTTCAGTTCAGTTCCTGAGAATGCATCAGGATGGATTTGATTGATACGATTTGATGCGAATGAGACTTGAGATAATTTTGGTGAATTTATGAATAAATTCGCTGGAAGTGCTGTGATTCTATTCAAGTTTATGCTGACTCTCTCTAAATGTCTGCAAGCTTCAAAAACTGAAGGTTCTATTGTATCAAGGTTACTGTCTATGACTAGAATCTCACGAATATTTTCAAACTGTTTGCAGATGATTAATGGGAATGTCCTCGTATTCTGTGCATTGATGCTTACTTTAGTGACTTCACTATTTGTTCTATAAGTCAAGTGCTCTCCAGGGATAAACTGGAAGTTCTTGTTGAAAGGATTATGGACTTGTACATTACAAATGTATTCATTGTCAGCTGTAACTTCATATTCACAATTTATTTCTGGTTTAGTGTCAAAGTTTCTAAAGCATGTCCTAAGCTCATTAGAGACTCTATCAAGTTCACTTTGTACATCATCAAAAGCTTCATTAATGCAAATGTTGCCTTCAAGTTTCAAATATTTTAGATTCTTAGCTCCCTCAAAAATTTGCGGATCAAATGAGACCATCTGATTATTAATGACTTGAATATTCCTTAACGTACTGATTGATGGTCCAATCATTTCTGCACTGACTGTTTTCAATCTATTCCCATTGAGTCTAAGTAATGATAAATTTTTGAAGCTACTGAAAATCCCAGACTGCAATTCAGCTATTCCATTCATACATAAGAACAACTCTTGAAGGTGTGGAATTGGTTCAAACCATGATGGGTTCAGTCTTTGAAGATTATTACGTCCTAGTGCTAATATTTTAATGTTGTCAAGACCTACGAAAGGATTGTTACCCATCTGAAGTCGATTGTTGCCCAACATAAGAAATTCAACATGTTTCAATGCTGAAAATGTTTCGTCAGGAAGTGTAGTCAGTAAATTTCCGAAAAAGTCAACCATGTCTAATTTTTCACTGATTGGAACAAACCATTCTGGATTAATTGCTGTGAGTTGATTGTTACCCAAGTCAAGGGATTCAGCGATGGTTCCTATGAATGCTGATGGATGGATGTAACTGATGTAGTTGGTAGACAATGAGATGTAGAATAATTTTGGTGAATTTGCGAACAAACTTGCCGGAATTGATGCGATTCTGTTTTGATTTATGTAAATCTATGGAAATATACGGAAATCTTTAAAAACAACCTTAATAAAAATTGTTAAGTTTCACGAACCTGTTCCATGTTTCTGCAATTTTCAAAATTAGCTGCTTCAAGCACCTCCAAGTGACTATTCATGACGAAAATCTCTCTAATATCTCCAAATTGACTGCAAATGACAGTTGGAAATGTCTTTGTGTTCTGTTGAATGATACTTACTAGCTGCAAATCATTGTCTGATTTCTCAGGGATGTGATTACCAATAATTGACTCAAGTTCATCTCCAAGAGGATTAAAAACTTGTAAATTACATCGATATTCACCATAAATCGTCACATCATAGCTGCATTCAAGTTCAGGCACTGCATCCCACAATGCAATGCAAATTGACAATTTACTCAAAATCTTATCGAGATTATTTTGGACATTCGCAAAATTTTCTTGAATGCAGACATTCCCGCCGAGGTACAGAACCTCTAATGTTGTTGCTTCCTGTAGAATATTTGGATCAATTGCGCGAATTCGATTGCGTTCGCCAAACAGCGCGGTTATTGATTGAAGCGAATCTCCAAATGCATTAGCACTAAGCCGCATCAAGTAGTTGCCACGGAAATAGAAGCTTCTTAAGTTTGTAAGAGGCTTAAAAATTCCATCAGGAAAATCTTCAATTAAATTATTTTGAATATTTAAGACTGTTAAACTTGACAAGCTCTGGAACCAGTCAGCATTTACTGATGTTAATGAACATCCATTGAGATCAAGACTTTTAAGTTTGCTGAGAGGGCTGAATGCTGCTGATGCGATGTGAGTGATTGAGTTGCTGCCTAATGAAAGTATTTCTAGGTTGTGCAGGTCTCTAGGATAGTTAAGAAAAAAATCAATTTTTTAGGTTAAGGTAGCAAGTAATGTTGTATTAAAGGAGAGCCAATTTTTAATGAACCAGGAAATCACAGGAAGGTTAAGATAGTTTAAAGCATCACAAGTAGCAAAAGCTACAACAGGGTTGAAAAAGAGATTTTAAAAGGGCTGATGACGGAGCTTTAGTCCTTTATGTTTCTCAAGTATGCCTGTTGAGACGGGAGCTTAAGTTTCCCTAACATCCAGTCAATGAAACTTGAAACTTGAACTTTAAAGTAAATTTAAAGAATCACATTCTACCCCAAAAAATTGCTAGTTCAAAAAAACTTAAGCAAAACTCACCTTAAATCATCAGAATTAATAACATTAATAAGATTATTAACCAATGACAAATGCTTTAATGTTCTATTAATTGATGAGAACCAATTCGAATTGATTGATGTGATTTTATTATTATCAAGAACAATAAGCTCTGCAGCAGTTCCACTGAATGAACTTTGAACTAATACAGATAGATTATTATTTGATAGCTCAATGTGTGCTAAACCAGGACTATTAGCGAATATATTTGCAGGAACTTTAATGATTTTATTTGAGTTTAAATAAATTTCACCCAAGTTGTGGCATTCACTTAAGTCACTTGGTGTAATTTCCTCAATATTCAATCCAATAAGTGCTAGTTGATGGACATTTGGGAACTGACGACAAATTATAGATGAAATTATTTTTGTATTTCCTGAATAAGCGTAAACTACATCAACATCTTCGTCACTCATTCCATCTATGTGAGTACCTTCTATATTGTCAAATTCGACACTATTCGGGTTGTTGATTGACAACAAGCACTCATATCGAGCAATGCCAATTCTATGGACATAATCACATCGTATATATTCTTTATCGTTTAATACCCGCGGCAAAACCGAGGCAGAAATTATTAAAAATTTGAAAAATAAGTAAAATGCACAGATCACTAAGTACTTCATGATGTTTGCTCACTTTGTGTTAAACTGTGACTTCTTGGCAGATTGAGTTGGTCTTTTTATATGAAAAGGTTGATGACAAAACTGATGAGTGATAAACAAACAGGCGATAATGTCCTTAGCAACTCTCAGGTGCAGTTGTCGCAAAATTGAAGCTCAAATTAATGGAGCTTTATAGATTTTGGATGTAACTTTTACAATTTTACTCATAATTTGAAGCAAAGTTGTCAGAAAGATTCCTTTGGAAAGGTGCTTCACTAGAGCACGGTAGCTTTTGCCTTTGGGCACACACAGGCTACACCTATGTATAAGCAAAGCCCAGCCAAAAGCTAAAAAGTATACCTATTCAAAGGCAAAACCTAGTTAAATGCAAACCTTGACATTTGTAAATTTTGATACCTTTCTAAAGCAATGCCTGGGATAGATTTTTGCCTTTGATAGGAATTTGACAGGTTACAACTATAGTTTGCAGTATCTTTACGCTTTGTAAGTTTCTTTTGATTTTGAAAACCTGAAAATTTTGAAGTTGGTATGCAAAGTGAATTGAATAGCAAGACTAAAATTTTAGAAATTCAATTTCAAAGATCAAGAACAGATCAAAGGGATGTGTTCTTGATGTTTGCATGCCAATGTTGTCTTGCAGGATCTGACAAATAAGTTTTAGAGATAATTTCACTAATACCCGAGTAGCACAAGTTAGATAATCGAGAAGAAATCTTTCGCAAGGATGACGTTATGGCGACTTGTTGCTAAACGAAATAGTTAATAAATTTAATAAAAACAATGTTTTCTCATTGTTCAAAACTTTTTGATCAGTAGCAAAACTACAAGGACCTTCTTATTTCCAAATACCTTTCCTTCACGTGGGTTATCTTGAAAAATGAGGGATGGTTCAAAAAAATGCCAGGATATTTGAAAAAATTTCTTGCAGATTTAAATTAAATTTACTATTTTTGATTATAAACTAAATCTATTTGATTCATTAAACTTGGATCTAAGACTGTTTGACTAGTTTTTTTTAAACACACCTGAATCAATTTATCTTCAACTAATATCAACTAATTACAACCTTTATTTAGTATTATGAGAAGCTTCTGTTTCAGAAAAGTCTTGTTTCAAAAGCGAAAACAGATATTCAGAAAAAAAGTCATTACCAGCAATTATAACAAAGCATTGTCTTTTAGATGACTCATTTAACTCAGCGACCATTATAACAAATTCAGCATTTGTCGAATCGTTTTGTCGTCGAGCGGAAATCACAGCCAATAAATCATTGATAAGCTGATAAATTTGAAAAATTAAATTAATTAAAGGTTAATAGCTGTAAGGTGAAAACAACAAGCACACAGCAGGTAACAAGTGTTGAAAAAAATATACAATCAGATTAAGACGTGATTGATAAGTCGACAATCACCGAAAACAACTTTTATTATCACAAATAATATCATTCAGCCATTTCAAATGTTTGTGGCATTAAAGAAAAAATAAAAATAATGAAGGGACAGTTCATGGATAACGTAACACTTTTAGGGGCGTTTGGGATCGAAGGTTTTGTGACAAAAAGACGAAAAGTGAGCTTAAAAGACAAATTTTTTGTCACAAAATAATTGAATGACCCCAAATTGTTGTAATGCAGCTAAATTGAATTTATAGACTTTTGTACGAATTTGAGCGTAATCGGAGCTTTTATGATTTAGAGCATTCAGCGAAAATTTATACCTGAAATATAAAATATTAACAAAATCCACAAATGCAGCTTTTAGTTTCTTTTCTTCTCTGTTTCTTCTTGGTTTTTTATTTTTGCAGCTTTTTATTTATTTTTTTATCATCAATTGATTAATTTAATTAATTATTCAACTTACAATTACTAACTAGCTATTCACAATTGGTTTTTTTTGCCTTAATATCTATAAAAAAAATTTATATATATTTTCACCGTCATATCGCTTATTTGATTTACTAAAAATTAGAATTTTCCATTTTCCAACTTATTCTTTTGTTAAGTTTCCGGGTTTTCTGACTTTTTCTGGCAATTTTTCAGCCTTTTTTGCCATTTTTTATCCTTTCCAATTTTTTTAGGAGCACAAAAATTTATTTACAGTTTTTTTTTGTTTTTAAAAATTTACTTTTTAATGTTAATCTTTATAAAAATGTTCTTTGATGTTGTCGGCTTATGAACTTCCGTGTAAAAATGCTTTGGAAGTTTTTTAATTCAATTTTATTTTACTTTTTAGGATCTGAATTTTATTTTTTCTTTTAATGCTTCTTTTGATTTTGAATATTACTTTTTATGAAGCCAAGTTTTTATTTGATTTTTTCAATTTCTATTTGATGACATTTTTAAAAAATTTCATAGTTATAGTTTTTAAATTCATAAAAATCAAATTTAATTTTTTCTTTCAATTTTTTTAAATCAAAAAATTTATATAAAAAAGTATTCAGAATTTAAAATAAAAATTTTAAAGATTTTTTAAATTTGAAATTCTTTAATAATGTCAAAAAATAAATCAACTTTTCAAGTTTAAAAATTGAATTTTTTATGGAATTTTTGAAATTTTCTTTTTGCAAATTTTTACGAATCTTCCATACAACATTCAGGAAGATTTTTCCAAATTTTATTTCATCCACAATTGGACAATTTTTCATCATTTTTATTTATTAAAATTCTAATTTTTTTTTATTTTTTTCTTCTTTTTAATCCTAATTAGGACGATATTACAAACAAACAAATAATATTAATAATAGTGATAATATTGAAATAATAATAAATTTAATAAAGATAATAATGCATTTTTAATTATTTACAAGTTTTTTTCCTTTTTCAATATAAAAACAAATAGAGAAGAAAAGAGAATTTTTTTTACATTCTTCTTATAATTTTCACTTTTTTTTGCTTTTTAAATCGACGATTTTTTTATAAAAACTTTTCTTCTTCTTACATGCGTTTTTTTATTTATCATCTTGTGTAGCTAAGTTTTATTTAATTTTGTTTATTAAATTTATAGTTTTTGTATTTTTGGATGGGAATTTCACTTTTTAGAGTTTTTTTTTCTTTTATTGGGTATTCTGTGTAGTTTTGGATAGGTTTTTGGTTGTTAAATGACTGCTTTTGATTACTTTTAAGATTTCTTGTTCTTGGATACATCTTGATTGTTCGAAATACAGCAGTAAGCATGTTCATACTATGCTGCACTTGTTCTTAATATTTTGACACCAGCAGTCGACACCAACACAGAGAAGTCACTGTCAATGCCATTTTCTGACATTTGCTGGTGCTTTTCTTGTTCTTTATAATCCATAGCAACAAACAATTAAGATTGACATGTTTTATAGCTGATAAACCAGTTAATAGTCAAAAGTTGATACTTATGAAAAAAGACGTACCAAACTTAGTTCCTAAAGATGATGAGCTTCTTAAAACTGATCAAGAACAGCCATTTAACTTTATAATCCAAACGTTTTTAAACAATTTTGATATATTTAATCAAATGAAGCCTTAATCGTCAATATACTCAAGTTATAAGGAGCTTTAATAAGGCACAAGACTGTCGTGGATACAATTTGAATAAATCAACCCAACGCCAGCTTGACACTAGTCCAATGCCGTTATTCTGTGTCTTTTCAAAGTTATGTTCTGTTCAGCATGTAAAGCAGCTTATATGTGAGACTAGCGGACGATTAAGGCTTCAAAAGATCATTTTGGGAAATTTTTATTCTTTTATTTTCTTCAACATTTTGTGGCACTGAATGGGAGGTCGAAAATCATAATTAGTGCATTCTTTAAGTTGAATAAAAGTCAAGTAAAGTTGAAAATAAATATGTCTCCAGCAGTTCCTTGTATGCTGGATATGAATAAGCTTTAATAAACATCAACTAACATCCCCTTAACTAATATTGATTTTATTAATAAAGGAACATAAAAATAATAACAGTAAAATATTTTTTATTTCAATTCAACTAAAAATGAATTTTTTTATTTTAAAACTGAATTATTCAAAATTATAAAATTTTTATTTTTCATCTGAGTTTCAGTTATTTTTTTTCAATTTAAAGATTCCATTATTTTCACTATTTTTTGCCACAAAATGCGTTTTTACAAAATTTTTCACTATTTTTATGTAAAGTGGAAGATAGAGAGAACAAAATGACTCATCGGATATCCACTTTTAGGTTTCTAATTTTATTGACACTACGACTCCCGAGCAGCACATGCTGGAATGTTGATGTTTGGATTGCTTTATTAAAAGTCACTCAATTAGAGTCTATAATCAAACTTTACTCAACCTAGACATATTAATGACATAATATTGGGAAATCTAGGTATCTTAGGCTTAAAATACCGATATTTACTATATTTAGCCATTAAATCAATAAATGAGAGTTCCTGAATTTTTTCATGTCTACAAAATTCCAAAAGTTCACTAAACCAGCACATACTGCTCGGGAATCATTCTTCTCTCTATCCTAAAATAAATTGTAATTTTCTTCTATTTTTCGCGTTAGAAAATTTGAAGTATTTTCTAGTTTTTAATAATTTTTATATTCTATTTCGCACTTTTTTGAATTTTCAGTTCATGTTTTTTGTTTTTGTTTTTAGCACAAAATTTTTAATTTAGAAAATTCATTTCTGCATTTAAATTTTTTATTCTATACAAAAAAAAATTGTTTTTTTTTTTCACTTTTCTTTGAAAATATTTTCAGTTCTGTTTTCTTTCTTTTAAAGTTCCTTCTTTTATTCACTATACAAAAAAACTTTATTTTTTCACTTTTCGCTTAAATAAATTTTTTATATTTTTTTATATAAATTTCCTAAGTCCACTTAACTCTAAGATTCGTTTGAATTTTTAAACGTTTAGTTTTTTTATGTTTTCACTTTTCCAAAAAAAAAATTCACAGTCGCAATTTTTCTTCTTTTTACTTGTTTTTTATTTTAATTTTTTTTCAAAATAACTTTTATTTTTTTTCCAGTGCGATTTTCAAACAAAAAAATTTGTCACAAAATTTTATTAAAAAAAATTCTCATTTTTTGCTTAATTACTTCCAGTATCGTCGTCGTCGTCTTCATCTTCGGCTAATTTTGTGAAAAACTGTCGTGTACTGCAAACTGCAACACCTAAAATGTTTGGAAAAATATGGAAATTTTAGAAAATTTTCAATTTGAAAATATTATTTTTTTTGAAATTATAAAAATTTTTTTTTAATTTTTTAAATTTGTTTTGAAATTCCTAATTTTTTTTGAAGTTTTTAAAAAAAATTCAAATTTTATAATTTTTTAAATTTTTAAAAAATTTTAAATTTCTATTAAATTTTAAATTAAAGCTATTTCATATCTTAATGCTTACCTTTTCCTTGATTTTCACTTGGGTCATCGGAGTTCTTCCATTTCTCAAATGCTTCTACCGAAAGTACATCATTATCATATAAAACCTCAAATATTGAGTTTAGAAGACCTGAAATCACACAAAATAAATCCATAAAAATCCAAAATTCATCAAATCAATCTCAAATTTAACTTACCAGGTGGATATTCCCTGACAAAGGCAAAATGCTGCAATGCATAAATGCACTGCAATTCACGATTAATTTCATTATCGATATATCGTTGAAGGAGAAGGGAAAGTGACTCTAATTTAACATTATTCAACTTGTATGATGGCTGTGTCTGTCCCGTTGAGTACTCATCACAGCAGAATTCCATCACAATTGTGGTTAGTTGACGAATAAAGTTTGGATCTTTCGTGCAGTCTGTTGACTAAAATTGAGAGAAATTTCGTTAAATTCAAATTTTCTTGGTTGTGCTCAATATTTCGGAGGAGACATAATTGTGTCTTAAGGAATATGGCGCACAGCAACTTACTTGAATGTAATCCATAATATTGTCATTGCTGCTCTTTTCTTGCAGCATTCTCTTCATCTGTTGCATTACATCAGCAATACCACGTGTGCCACGCCGCACCATGCTTGTGAAATTCTGGAAATTTAAAGATGAAGAATAAAAAATGTGCGAATGATGATAAATTTTTCAATAATATACAATAAATTTTTATTTTCGAAGATTTATGTTTAGCTTGACAAAATTTCCCAATTTTTTCGGATAACCCCCTAAATTGAACAGTAGATTTCCTAATTTTTTCGGACAACCCCTCCAATTTAAACCTAATAATTCCCTATTTTTATGGACAACCCCTCGAATTTAAACCTAGAAATTCCCTATTTTAATGGACAACCCCAATTCTCAGTCTAATCCAGAACCCTATACCGATATCAATAATTCACTTACATTAGTCTCTAACCACCGTCCAAAATTACCATCCTTAATAAATTGGCCTAAATCACAGTTTGTTTCGGCAACAATCGATTGAAGTTTATTGGCGCTGTGTCGTTTTTCGACTGTCGTAAAAATGAATCGTAAAACATTTTCCTTGTCACATTCGTCTGCTTGGCTGACATGATATACTTCTTGGAAGGTCAGTACGTTTGCAATTAATAATTCGCCTGAAAAATCATCAAATTTTGAGGTTATAATTTTTTTTTGTTTGTAGCTTTAATTTAACAATTCAACTTACCCATAAATTGAGCAATATATTCATAAACACGCGGTACATCACATTGAATATCGGGTGCGAATTGCATGACTTTATAAAGGGCTTGCTTGTTGTCATCACGAGCAACAAGCTTATTTTTGATCATCTCGACAACAATCATCATGAGATTCTCACGATCATTGTCTTTACGATCAAGGAATTTATTGTAAATAGCTTCGAGTACTTCCTTATTAGCGGCATGCTTACGTGCCTTTTCAATAGCAGCATCAACTGTCAATTTATCATCCCTGTATAGATCTACAATTGTTACAAGTTCCTTAACATTCTTATCAACTTCCTCTTCAGTCAAAACAATTGGTGATATTGGCTTCTTCATTGGTGCTGTGCCACTGAAGCTCATTGATGCACCAATCGGTTGTTGATGACGTGGTGGTGGTGGTTGAAGGGACCTTGATGGACCTCCATTTCCACCACGTGATCCAGAATTATCACGTGATCGAATTTGTGATGAATTTCGACTTCCTTGATTACTACTTCCACGTCCACCATATCGATTATTATCACCACCATTATTATAAAATCTTGATCCACGATCACCACGCTCCATTGATGAGTTCTTTGAACCTGAATTAAATCGTGGTGGCATCTCACTATCTCCATCAACTGTTAAGCCTGCAAATTTATTTGTTTGCATCATAAAGTTTTGGAATTGTGAAGCATTTCCTAATTTTGCTGAGCTATCGCTCATCGATGGAAGTGAAATTTTATTCAATTGAATTGGTTGATTGCGTGACTTTGTATTTTGTTGGACTGACCAGCCATCGCTGTCTTGTTGGGGCTGTTGGCGTTTGTTATAGCCTGAAAGGAGGTTGAATTGATTAATTTGTTCAATTTATTATTTTCTGGTTTTGACTTAATGCTTGGGTTTCTTAAGTATGACTTAGTAAATGAACCCTTATTAACCCTAATGTATATTTAATAGCATAAACCTAGTCCAGTGTTGTCCAAACTTTTTTGAGCAACGACACACCTTAGGGGTAAGCCATAACCAAATCGCACACAACATGCGGCATTTTAAAAAATGTTACGCCACACCAGTGTGCCGCGGCACACAGTTTCGACAGCACTGACCTAGTCAATACCTAATCAGTATGTTTAGTCATGAGATATTAGTGGATGCCCCAAGGTACTCGTATGAACCCAAGCACCAGCCAACTTATAAAACCATTAACACAACATACCTTGATTGCCCCTCTGTCTGTCCTCCTTAGCACTCTGTCTATTTTGATAATTATTCATCATTTGCTCCTGTTCGGCTTCCCATACCATTTGATCCATAGTTTTTGGGATAAGGTCTTGTCGACGAGCCTTCCAGTTATTACTACGAAGATCCTGAAGATTTTGAATTTCAAACTTGATACGTGATGATCGAATGGATTTGTGTGCTGGATGTGTCATTTCATTGAGGATATTGAAGTACCTCTGGAGTGAGCTGCGTCCTTCACTGGCTTCCATTTTACCACCGATTGTTGTGAGGAGTTTGCAAACACGTTCGACCTTTAGATTTGATATAATGTTTAAAAATTGAATATACAACAGCTTTTAAAGATTCTGCTTACCTTCTCTTCTGTAGCTTCATTCAACAACATTTCAATACATGTTCTCATGATCTTTGTTGTCAACATTTCAATCTTGTACAGTTCACCAATAAATTTGACTGTTCCATTGGCACGTTGACGAAGTCTGTAATGATGTTCTTCTAGTTCTGCCTTTCTCTCTTCTCGCTTCTGCTGATCAGGCTCATTTTCATTTTCTCGTAATCTGAAATGATAATTTTGTGTTCAGTAATATGACTTGAGGAAGGACTTTAGGTATGCAATACTCACTTGTCTTCAATTACTCTAAATTCCAATGAATCTTCCTTGTTTCTCTCGAATTCCTTTTGACATTGCGTGATTAATCTAACCTTCAATGAATTCTTCTTGGATTGCTTATCTTGAGGTTGATCGGCATTCGTCTGTACGGTTTGAATGTTTGCAATCTCATTACACAAGTTTGCATATGTCGGTGCGAACTTTGGCTCAGAAATTGCTTTTTCAAAGAGAAGACCGATGACCTAAAATAATTAATTTATTTAATACAATTGTTATAAAAAGCATTATTAGCTTGACTTACCCCATCGAGTCTCTCCATTGTGTCAATTTTATATGTCTTGACTTGCTCGACGAGCACATCAAAGTTCTCGGCAGTGAGTTTATTGAGCATTGAACGGAATTTACTGAGTACATCAGATGTCTCGCGTTCTTCTTCGTTCATGTCTGGTCTCTTTTTAAGATGCGTTGGTTTCCATGCATTTTCAGATTCGTTGAGCTTCACATCATCTTGAAGGCTCAAGTGTAGTTTGATTATTTGACGATCTGATTGACCGCCTTGTCGTCCACCTCCGGGTATCTAAAAAGATTAATAGCATATGAAAGTTTAGGCTTGATGTGACCAATTATAGTAAAGTTAAATTACCTGTTGTTTTCCCTGTTGACTTGGTCGTTTTGGAGGATATGGACTACGTCCGCCTGGTGTGTTCATCCATTTTGGTGCAACAGAATTGATGGCATCAAAAGGCATTCTCAATCCCAATTGTTGATTAAGGGTATTGGTCAAGTATTCCTTATTGAATTTCATCAATGTATTAGATACGCCTTCGGGAAGATCAACTGGTGCAACAGCAAGTGCGTCCTTCAACTTGAGAAGCTGATCACGAGTGTAATATTTCTTACCAGCTGGATTTTCTGGACTCCATTGATCATCTACATACTGAATGAGACTCTCAATTTTTGCACCTTTTTCTTCAGTCTCTGTTGAATTGTTATTTGTATCCTGTGGCACTTCAGCAACCACAGCACGATCAGTTTCATCATTGTCATTTACAATTTGTTCATTAATGATTTCCTCCTCAATCTCATTCGACGGCGTCGATGATGATGATGACGTGACTTTTTGATAATTATTATTATTTGTATCATTAATATCACTAACTTGATTTGGAATTTGATTCTGTTCGGACGATGGTGGTGGCGTTGTTGGCTTTTCAGTCGTGGTCTCAGAGATTTGCTGTTGCGGTTGTTGCATTATTACTACTGGCGTTATATTCACATTACTCGTGCTAGTTCTACTACTAATATTATTATTATCATTATCGTTAATGTTAGTATTATTATTATTATTATTATTTTCACTATCTTGCACAGGCGATGAAGCTATTACATGCGGCACAACTGGTTGTGGTTGTTCAACCTCTTGCTTCGGAGCTTCAATTTTGACTGGCTTTGGTGGATCCACGAGTTGTGGAATCGCTGGCTGACTACTTTGACTACTCTGTACAGGAGATTGTTGTGGACTTGGCTCTGGGGGCTTCCTGCTCTTATTTTTACTGATTTGGTGCTTAGGCGTAATATCAACTGATGGTCCATCGCTCATAGCACTAACGACAGGCGTTTGTGGCTCTGCATTTTCCTTCTCAACAGAATCTTCTTTGCTTCCACTATTATGATGATGATGTTGTTGCTGATGATGCGAATGCTGATGATGTGACTGTGTCTTATCCTCATTATTCGCTGATGCTGGTGCATCCTCTTCGAAAATATTCTTCCCTGTTATTGGATTTATAATCTGAATCGCATTGGGACCAGCCTTCTTTGTGCCAGTCTTTTGTTGTGGTGGTGCTGCAGGCTGTTGCTGAATAACCTGTGGTATTTCATAAACATATGGATACTCATTAGCTGGTGGACCGATTGTTGCTGCTGGTCCAGGATTTGGAGTAGTCGTTTGACGTTGACCATTTGCTGGCGGTCCTGTCATTTGACTGTACGTCTGTGTTGGTGGATTAAAGTAGTATTGTGGCATTTGATAGACTTGCTGCTGAAAGTGTTGAGCCGAAATGGGCATTGTTTGGCGAATGTGACCAGTTGGAATGACAAAATTATATTGGGGAATTGTTTGTGTTGGAAACATGTACGATGGTTGTTGTTGTCGTCGCACTTGTTGCTGCTGCGGACGTGCATATTGTGGTGGAGCTCGTGACTGTTGCACTGATCCTTGAGGTACGGCATATGCATTGGGTTGTTGTGTTTGTTGTTGTTGCCCCTGTTGTGTTGGTGGGGTAGGAGGTGCAGTTGGTGGCGCCATAGATGTTAAGCGACCTTGTGATTGAGGAGCTGAATTTGATAAGTTCTGGGCAGGATTTGTTTGTTGTTGTTGTTGCTGCTGTTGTTGCGGTGGACCTTGTGTCTGGTAAGGATTCTGTGGATGTGGAGCTGGAAAACCTCCGTCTAAAATTGTAATTAAGTTTATATTAGTCTCTTTGTTATTACTGCTTTAGTTGGTTTCTTGGAAAGCATATTTTGTGTATTAAAGACTAGATGTGCTTCCAAGTAACCGAGTATGAATGTTAAAAAATTTGTTATTAGTACTTAAAGTTAGTAATTAGTTAAAAAACTTAAGTTCCAAAACTTTATAACGTACATTTTCAGGTATCTAGCATTTTATTTCAAACTAGTGACACACTAGCTTAAAATATTATTAAAAAGCCCCAAATATGTACGTTACTAGCTTTGTATAACTAAAGAAATCATATAAAATAATAAAATCTGAGCATAAGCTCAAAAGTAAACGATGTTCATGTCTACATCAAACTACATTTTCAACTCATAACAATGAAATAATAGTCTAGGTTGGAAATAGAAAGTGCAACAAATAAAAATGTCAAGAAACAAAAAGAAAAAAAAAATGTCAAACGCAAAATTTTTTTAAAAAAAAATCCCTAAAACTTCTTCTTACTCGACATATGTCTGATAAAGTTGGGGGCAATATTGGCACCGCCTGGTGTCTGAAAGGGTAAACATTGCGTCACGTGATACTCATGAGACTGGGGAGCCTGAACATTTCCTGAACCACCACCATTTGGGTTTGATTGGTTCTGTCCACCTTGTTGCGATTGTTGTTGTTGTTGCTGTTGCTGTTGGGATATTTGCTGTTGTAAGGCCGTTGCCACACTCACTGGAAGTGCCTGCACACGATGTGTTTGATGGTGTGGTGGTGGAGGATTTACAGACAGTTGCGGATATGACGGTACGAAATTTCTAAGACTCATTTTTATGCTTTACTTTTTTTTAAAACTTAAGCAAAAATTTATTTTTTCGACTTTCTTGTTTATTTTTGATTTCGGACGAAATCTTTCCTTCGTCTTTAATTTATTTTTGTTCTTAATATTACTCTTATTATTCTTTTTATATAGGATGTGTTAATGAAACAACAACGCATTTAGAGTCGCAAATTTGCGATAAAACGAATTGTTACTGTAAAGAGATAGAGAAGGAAAAAAAATCTTTTTTATTGCTAAGGACAAAATATAATTTAGAGAATCGCGAGATTTGATATTGATTGATAAGTTTCTGACACTTTAGTGATTTTTTTAAAACTGTAAATTATGCAGATTCTTTTGTATTGTCGAGGATTTAATTAAATGATTTATTTGGTTTATTTATTAAGTTGAAGATTGGTTGGAAAAAATCGATTTTGTGATGAATTGGACTTGCTATTTTAGACTTTCCTAGCTATCCTATCCTAAACATTGCTCAATATTAACTTTATGAGTGAAGCCTAGTCCTAAAAACCGGACTCTGTGGTTCTAGGTTATGTTTCTGAGTGTCGCTTATGTATGTTATAATTAGGGTTACCATCTAACTTTCATGAAAATACAGGACATTTGGTAAATATTTTTGAAAAAAACAGGATATAGAGTAAAATTCGAAAATTAACGGAAATTTTCATGAAAAAAATACAGGACCAAGAACAAAATTTGAAAATTTATACAGGACAGTCTTGAAAAATACAGGACTGTCCGTTGAAAAACTACGCAGATGGTCACCCTAGTTATAATCATAATATAGAAAATGACTAAGGTACACACTTGGTTAGCACTCTAGGCAGCAACTCATGTTGCAATAACCAAGATACCTGACCATAACCTTTAAAACTATCCTATTATGTCATTTTACTGATTATTTAACGATAAAAGCCATCCTTATTTAAACCTCAACCCACTTCCTAGCTGAATAATAGCTAGTTCCCCCAACATCTTATAAAGACCCCCAAATTAATCGAAAAATCCCCCAAAAAAAAACCCCAGGATTCTCTCATAATTCAAATAAATCTCAATCAATCTCGAACATGTCAAGAACAAAAAGGTGAAAAAACGACGAATTTTTTTTTTATTTTATTTTACACTTCGAAAGTCCAACGAACTCCTCATTTCCATAAAAATGATTCATACGTAAAAACTATCACACAAATTTCAATCCACAAACAGAAATGCGAAAAAAAAAATTCCAGACAATCACAAATGTGCCCATTAAAAATACTCAAAGACGTAGAAGTTTTTCTTTTTGTATATTTAATTGCACGACTCATACAATCACAAACAATTTATTTTCAATCACTCATTCATACTTTATTTGCTTAGTATGGTATGACAATGGGTGAAAAACGGTGATTTACTGAAGTGAGCATAATAAACTGGTGCACTTGAAGGCGCTGTATGTGAAAGTTTTAATTACTTTGTAATCTTTTTAAGGATTCATTAAGGAAGTTTTTTTGGGGTTTTAGGAATGAAATTGGAAGTTATTAAGTTTGTGTTGTGTCTGGTTGATATATTTTTGTTGAATTCAATTTTTAAATAGATTGTCAAGGACGTTGACATCAATAGAAGCATTAAAGTAAATATTAAATGCATTTTGAGCTAAAATGTACCAAAAAGTTTTATTGTGCGCTATATTCTGTAGTAAACAGTAAAGTGTCTCCCTAAATATGCAACATAATTCAAAACTTTAACCCAAAATTCAACTTTCATGAGAGAAAAAAATTAAATTCCAATCCTAAACTTTAAAGTCTCTCCCAAAATATTCCTCATCCTTAAATTTTAATTTTACAGCATAAAATAATTTTAAAATCCAAACAATCTTTAAAACTCCGGAAGTTATATAGCCTATCACTTCCACTTAACTCTATATTTAGCACCAAATACGCATTTTATGGATATCAACACGATTGAGCGCAGAAAATTTCTTCTAGCAGTTTCTAATAACTTTGTCGCATAAATGGAAAATGAAAAACAAAATTATCTTGAATTGGAAACCATTTAATTTTAATTGTTATTGAAGCACTTGCACGTTCTACATTTCGCTGTTTTCATTAATGAGGGGGAATTTTATTGCAGCACGAAAACTTTTGAGGGTTCTTTTTGTAAAAAATGTGCTAGACAAAGTTTTGGGGTGAATTGAGATAAAGTTACAAGGCAAACTGAATGATTCGCTGTTAATCGATTTGTTTGCAAGATTATTTTTCATTTTGAGGAACTTTTTTGGACATTTGGTGGCTAGATGAGGAGTTTTTTGTTGGATGGATGAGCTTTTAAGGCGGTTTGAAAATTTAAATTTGTGAACTTAACCTAAAATTGTTTTGAATTTGTTGCTACTTGAAGTATGAATGTCTAAAGTTGAGATTGTTAAAATAAATCTTAGCCAATATAAAGTAATGTCAGGTTTAACTAGAGGAACCAGAGAAAATCGAGTTACCAGTCAGGACCAAGTGACCAAGCCTTTGGCTTATCCTCTAGGATCTAATAAAACGATGAACTAGTAGAACAATGATCCTGCATGATTAAAGACTTATATTGCACCATACCATACTAAAGCATTAATAGCCTGGATACCATAGCAGACCAAACACAACACTCACTCCTAGTCATCCTCCTCAAACAATTACTTTAAGCCACTCCATCTGTTCCATCAAGATTAAAAAAATCTCAAATATTCGAAAATGAGCATTAATTATTAAAGCATTCAAAAAGCTGATAATGAACCGTTTTTTAAACAAAACTAGGGCAACATTGAACGGATTATTTTATTTTTTTGAGTTAAAGTTTTACTTTCATTCAATTTTTCAATGAGCATATCCCGAGGGGAAGATAACACAACGGGAAAAAAATTTATGATTTCCCACCGTAGTGGGAAAATTTCCCATCATGACGGGAAATTTCACATCATGGTGGGAAATCGACGGGAAATCGATGGGAAATTTCCCATCGCAGTGGGAAATTGATGGGAAATTTCCCAACGTGACACCAATTCGGGGCAAATTTAAAAAAAAACTGGAAATTGTTTTTGGAATGGTTTGAATTACACTCTCGGTGCATATTTTTTTTGAAGAGGACATTAAAATTGATGCAATAACCAAATTTCAGGTAATAAGATGTTGTTTCGTTAATTCTAGGGCTGTTTGAAGTTAAAAATAATTAAATAAGGATTAAAGTTATTGAAAAACGCTTTTCAGTTCCTAATAGTATGATGTAAAAGCTTTATTTTGTTGCACATTTAAATTTATAAATTTGTAGTTTTGGTACTTAGGAAAATAGCTTCAAGCGTGCCGCAAATATTTTAGATGGAGATTTTTCGGGTAGTAAAACCATATCTCCTTTCCTTTTGAGTTTTAATAGTCTTAGTTATGCAAAATTTTGTTTCTAAGTTGTATTTCTAGAAATGTCGTTTTTGAGATTATTTTCTAATTTGGGGTCATTCATAAACAAAGCCTATATTCATGACCAGTATCAAAAGTAACCATCAAGTATTATACATCATTAGAATGGTATGAAACTTGTGAAAATGTCTTATTTGTCTGTCTGTCATACAAAATTCGAAGTTTCATACCCTGCAGTTCGAAATTTTCGAAATTAACAAAAAAATAAAAACTTAAATTAAACAAGTTTTGTATTAAATCTAGATGAAACTTTTATGTGGTCGTTTAATGATAAGCATAATATAGCTATATCTTTTTGAAAACAATCAAAAACTCCAATAAAATCACTAAAATTTCAACGGTTTTTTTCAAATTTAAATTTTTCGAACGTGCATATTATAACTCCCTTAGACTTTCGATAAGTCTGTCGAACATGAACTGTTCGTATCAGGTATTAACTATAAATTAAGCTATAATAAACTGAAAACGGATTAAAAAGTATTTTGTTTTGTAAGAGTTAGAGCAGTTTGAGAAATATGAAAAGGATACAACTCGTCATAAATCAAAAAGTACCCTATATCTTGACAAATATTGAACTTTTATTGGGACCCCAGTACATTTTTGTGTTAGCAATCAGTATTTATCAGAGCTAAGATATTTGCGGAACGTACGAAGATAGTTTTCCTAAGATTTTTATACATCCTAAATTTCATTATGTTTTAAAATAAATCTTTTATTTGAATAGGGATTGAAAAGCGTTTTTCAATAACTTTAATCATTGTTGAGAACTTTAAGTTCAAAAAGGACAGGAAAAAAGACAGAATTTTCGTCTATTTTTATCTTCAAACAGCCCTAGAATTACGGAAATAACTCCAAATGACCTAAAATTACGATTAGAAGTCAATTTCGATGTCCTCTACAAGAAAAAAATGCCCCGAGAGTGTAATTCGAAACATTGAATGAATATAAAAAAAATTCTTGATTTTCGCTGTCTTCAATATTGCCCCGTAGTGTGGTGGGAAATTTCCCGTTGTGATGGGAAATCGACGGGAAATTTCCCATTGCGATGGGAAATCGACGGGAAACGATGGGAAATTCCCATCGTGGTGGGATATTTCACACCAATTTCACATCGAAATTTTTTCCCGTTGTGTTGTCTTCCCCTCGGCATATCCACTTAGTTTTTTTTTCTCAATTTTTAATTGGAGAATTAAAGTTTAGAGACATCAATCTGCGGTCTCAATAAATTCACACGAGAGAATGTAGGACAAGGCTATATCAAAGTGGAACTTGAAGATTAGATCACAGCGTGTATGTCATGGTAACCACAGAATTTGCAACACAAAAAAATATTCTCATTCAACAGAAAAAAATTGCAATTTTTTCTTTCATTTGCAGGAATTCCAATGTCGCGAGAAAAAAAAAGTGAAATATTCACAGCGAGTTGAAATTTATTTTGCAAGTGATGACGAGACAATTGAAAAAAAAGAGCATCAGCAGCAACAAAACATGAAGAATGTGAATTACGGCGGTGTATGGTGCATCATTGAACGTTAGTGTGGGTCATGGATGATGATGAAAAAAAAGAGAAGAAAAAAAAAAGTTTTATTTTTTCGCACACAACCACAAAGACATGCGAATGCACAAACTAAGTCACTCATACAATGATTGATTCCACAATTCCGTTCATTCGTCGCATTAAAAGAGTTTTTTTTTTCTAAAGCAACCCAATTTCCATTTCACTGTAATCGATTTTCTCCACGCGAAATATTTTTTTGTAGCAGAGTTGGTGTTGATTTTGGGAGTTTGTGATATCAATATTTGATCTTAAGCTTCAATCCTCTGGACATAGCCTCAATAATTTTGAATTTAACCTCAAAAGCCCCAATTTAAGTTGAAAACGTTCTGAATTAACCACAAAAATGCTTAATTTGGCTCAAAAGTTCACAAAATTCCAATCATTTTGAGTTAAAGTTTGGTTTTTTGAGGTTGAGTTTAAAAATTCTTTCAGTTAAAGTTTCTTGACGCAAAACTTAAACACAAAATAACCAACTCTGTCAAAAAAATCACAATTTTCCTCATTTTTTTCAAATAATTCAATTTTTTTATAAACTTTAATCTTCAAATTCACTTAATCACTAAACCAACTCTGCATTCATTGAAAAAAATGGAGCTACACAATTTTCACTTCCGGAATGGTGCCGGAGGTCAGTTAATTGAATTTTCTCACTCAATTTCGACTCCACCGGACTCACCAGTAATCAAATTTTGCACTTCCATCCTTATCGATGGCATTGAATTCATTTTTGTGTCGCATTTCTAAAAACTTTTAATAAATTTTTGCGAATTTCTTTCACAGCACAACGAAAAAAAAAACTTTTTTTTGTGTGTTGGCGACAAAAAAATTTCCAGATGGTTTAAAAATTTTTCCACGTGAAACTTTTGTACTTTTTGATTAAAATTTTATGTCTCGTTATGATTTCTGTCAATTTTTCTACACAAAATTGATTAAAATTGAGTTAAAATAATTTATTTCGAGTAAATTTTCTGCTTTAAAGCCTCGCGACGTCCACGATTCTTTTGAATTTTTTTTTTACTTTATTGTATGAGAAATTCTCACAAATACAAATGCAATTTTCTCACTTTTTTCTCCATTTTATTTCTTTTGATTTCTCTTCTCAAATTCTTCCTGTGTATGTTTAGACCTAACTGCACTGCTGTCTACACACTATAGAGAAATTAATACCTTGTGCATGTATTAGTCAGCATGAGAGAATCAAATATGAGAGATGAGAGAGGCGAATGAACTTCAAACAGTTTTTTTTTCTTTTTTAATTCTTCCCTTCTTTTAAAAATTATTTTTCGTATTTCGTCGTCGTCGTTTTTTTTTGTTGTTGTTGTTATTGGATTTTATGAGAAGAGAAAAATAAATTCTTCTTATTGTGCTGGTTTTTAAGTAAAAATGAGGAAAGCAAAAACTGTTGAAGTAGTTTAAAAAAATTGAAATTTTTCCCGGAGATTACGAACGTTAAAAGCTTTGAAGTTGACAAAATGTTTATTTTATGAGATTGCACTTGTTTTAATTATTTTTATTGAGTTTACAATTTTTCTTCAATTTTTTAATTTGACTTTATGATTAATAATGTTAAAATTAAATCTTTTAAAAATTTCTTTTATTTAATAAAGAAGAAATTTGAATATGCTTAAAATATTAAAATTACAAAAATATTTTTTTATTGAAATGTAATTAAGTTGAAAATTTGATTTTATATCAAGTATTAAAATTTAAAATTTTACCATTTTAAAAATTAAGATTTTAATATTTAAATATTAAAACTTTGATATTTAAAGATTAGAATTTTAATGTGTAAAATATAAGATTTTATTATTTTAAATTAAAGTTTTAATATTTTAAAAATTAGATTTAAAATTTATTTTTTAAACAAGAATTTTAACATTTAAAAATTAGAATTTTGATTTTTTAAAATTAGAATTTAATATTTTTAAAATTACAATTTTAATATTTAAAAGAAACAAAAAATACGATCAAAAGTTTAAATAAATTTTAAATTGTTTATAAAAGTGAAAACTTAATTAAAGAATTAAAATTTCCTTTAAAAATTGAAACTGATTGAAATTTCAAGAAACAAATGTGTCAAAAATTCGAGAACTTTCAAAATTTATTTTAAAACACTTTTTAAGAAGAAATTTAAATAATAAGTATAGTATATTCCACGTGGCTTTTCTATTCATCCATATGTTCAATTACTCATAATAAAAAATAAATTTTTGATCCAAATGATCCACAATTATTTGTAAGAAAATTCCGAAGCAAAATCGACTGCAAATCGACAAGAAAAATTCAATCTAAAAATCAATAATCTTTCATTTCTCAGACATTCTTCTTCCAACAACTTCCTCATTCTACATTTACACAAAAAGATGTTCATCTCCAGCACAGACATTCCCACTCATTTATTTTTTTCTCGTTACAACATTAAAGTGCATTTTAGCTTCCGACCTTTTTTTCTGTTTATTTTGCACAACAATTGACTACATCTGTATTATTGCCAATTCTAAAATTAACCTTCGATCATGTGGGCAAGAAAAAAAATTGTATTTTATTTAAAGAAATGAAAAATGATGAAAATGAGCACGAGACAGACAATCAGGCTGCACTGTGCCTTTGTTTTGTCTTATAAGAATCTCCGAGAATCTCAAAAAGTTTGAGACAAAATCCTCATTATAACTTATTGTTACTGTAGTTAATGTCAAATTATGAAAGTCACGATGATGTCGCTCGTACTTCCCGAGAAGTTCTTTGTTCCACTTGCCTTGTGGATTGATTTATTAAATAGAATTTTCAAAAACACGTCATTTATTATGTCTGAATTTAGTTAAAATTGTCCTCATGGAGTCATTTATATATTAGGCCTGCCTTGAGCTATGGACACACAAACTCATTGTGTTCTATAATATTTACTCTATCCTAAGAGGGACCAAACTGATATCATCCCCAAAATCACCCAAAAAAAAATCGTTTTTCAAAATTAATAGAAAAAATCTTTGACGTAACTTTGATTAACAAATTGCAAGTCAGCAGGTCTATTTTTAAAATTTTAAACGTGACTTAATGATTACGAATGAGCTGAATAGATTAAAAATAAATATTGAATGGCTCTTGACTGATAAATGCCGAGGTTACTTGACAGTAAGTTGTGAAATTCAGAAGCTCATCTTTGTTTGAATGATTTTTTTTTGCCAGAGTAAAGTTTAAGGAACTGATCACTACGACTTGCATTACTTCCCTATGACGTCGCAATTTAGTATGCCCGAAAAGCACAAGTCGGTTAATCGAATAAAAATGAGGCACAAAGCTGACATAACTCTGGTATGGTGCTGGGTTCGAATTGAGTTCAGCACCATGCTAGAGTCACGCCGACTTGGTGCCGGATTTCTATTTGATTTACCGACTTGTGCTATTCGGGATGAAACCAAGTTAAATTCAAAAGAGAAGAAGTAGAAGAAAAAAATTCAAAATAAAAGTAGAAGTGAAAGGGGAAAAAAGTATCAAATGCGGCAACAACAATCAAGTATTTACAAAGAATTGGCATCAAAGTAGTTTTTTTTAGCTTACAAGTGTATGCGTGTGTAGATTTCCTATGAGTTAATTGTTATTTTTATTATTTCATTAGTTTGGTTAATTAATTAAACATATTTTTAAGTCTATTGTAGGTAAATTTTTTAAGCATGTTTAAGTTTCAGCGAAATAAAGATTGGACATGAAGGCATTTGCATTTTTATGCATGCGATTATTTAAAATGTGGAATATTTTTTTTATTTTTGCTGTTGATTGAAGTTTACTTAATATCAGAGTAGGAATGGGTAGGTGTAGCGTAAATCTAGCTAACTTGACTAGATTAAGGCCAATCTTATTTTACTGCAGCTGATTTATTGATTTTGCATTTAGTATTTTAACTGATTAGATTTCAGTATTGATATCAAAATGATGGGTGTGACTAGGGTTTCTGAGAACAGGAATTCGGGAAACCCTAGGCTGTGTCTGTGTTTAGCATACATTTCAGTCTCTAATACTGAAATCCGAATTTTTGAGCGATCAGCCATTAAAACACAAATTGCAGACTTATAATATATTTTTAATCATTCATTTATGACGTTCATTAATCAAACTGGCTCTGTTAAGACTCAAACAGGCCTTTAGTTTTATTCACAATGGTGTAGAACTGATCATAAAAATTAAGAATGATCAAAAATTAGTTAAACAATTCTACTTGATTGGTAGCTAGTAAGTTGCAAACAGCTAGCTTGAGACAACATTTAAGAGGCAACCTTAGTAGATCTAAACTAATCTGTACATTTAGCGAATTAAGTTAGTAAATTATCATTGTTTTTCCTAGACGTCATGAAGTGAATGACTTTCGATTAGTTATTATTAACATTATTGCATCAATGAACAAAATCGGATGATGAGTTGATTTGGTAACAATTTTAAAGTATTTTTACAGCATTTTGGCATTAGTTCTAAAGCTAATTAAGTCATTAAGGCTCTTTAAAAAGTAGTTTACAGTTTGAATCTCAAAAGCGTAGGCCAAGTGACATGTATTAAGCGATTTGAGACTTTAAAGCTACAAAATTTAATTAAAACTGGTCAATTGTCACAGTGTCTTATCGTTATTAAGTGAACTCTTATCTTTTTTCTACCCTAATGACTAAAAGACATACTTAGAGTTCATTTTAAAAGAAATGTTAACCTTAAAAATTCTTTATGGAGTCAAAAATGCCTCAAAAACCCCCCAAAAAAATTCCCCAAAATAACCGATAAATTTCAATAACAGTTACTTCCTCAACTCAATCATCAGTTCCTGATCATGATTTGCAATTTATAGTTAAATGTAGTTAATAGAAGTGTAATGAAGAAAACAAAAAGTAAAGAGAAGTTGAAAAGAGAAAAGAAACTCACCTGTGAATGGACTTGGTGTGAAGCGTTGAGCTTGAATATTTGTCTGATAACTGGTACGACCCGGATTTGCGCTCATTTTTCTTCTTTATCAATAATTAACAAACTTATTGAAATAAATATTTTATTTGTTGTTGTTTTGTCGATGGAAACTTTTTTTTTCAATTTCTCCAAAACATTGGAACTAAAGTTCTTTAAATTCACTTTTTGGATTAAAATTTGGAATTTTTTTCTTCACGATCAACAATTGAAAATCAATGGAAAAATTGTTTATTTTCCCAAATTAACAAAAAAATAAAAATCAACAAAAAAAATTAAAACAAAACTTTTGTGCGTGTTCTTGTCTCTAGTTATTGTTCCTATGTCTGTTGATATTATGTCTATGAATAATCTTTATCTATTGAAATGATTTTGTCGACACTGTTCACATAGAAAAACTAAGTTTCTGTTATCAGGCAGAAAATCACCAATTTTACACTTAAATGTTGCTTATTAGTACTGTTAAAGTTGCTCCTTCTTCTTGTCTTTTTAAAATAAGGATGACTAAGCTTTAGTTGATGAGATGAACTCTGTTTTGTGACTGATTACAGCTACGGAATCTTTCTTTCGACTTATTTTTGTCTAGTACCTGTTGGGATGAAAAAAAAAAACATGAAAATATTGAGAAACTTTTTGTTGTGGCTTTGTAAACTTTTTGAGGCAGTTGGAGATCAATTTGGGCGAATTCAAGAAATTTTGGGGAATTTATAATTAATTTTTCAACTGGTCTAAACTACCTGAATTATACTATCAGAATTATAAAATATTTCAAATAGAAATAAATTAAAAAAAAATAATAAAATCAATTTTATCGATATCGAGTCTGTTAAGTTTTAAATCGATTGAAATTAAAAAGTTATCATGCCGGTTACGTTGGCTATCCATCCAAATTTTTACACTCCCAAAGCCAAACTTTTAAATTTTTTTTGAAGAAATCTGTCTTAAATATAGAAATTGAGTTTGTAATAGAAGCAATAACTTTGAGCAAAACTTAGAACTAGCTTGCAATAGGATGACCAGATAATTTTTGAAAATTTAGAGGTCCTTAAAGTAAAAGAAAGGACATCTCACTAGTCTAATAATAAAATAATAATAATAACAATGGTTCGGATCCAACTATAAACTGCAAATCTAAAGGGTGTGGTACAGTAGATTCTTTAAAATTGAATCGCAGCGCCTCCAGCTGAAAGGCTGGGCACTTCAAACATTATTAATTAAAACGAAACAAAACTATTTTTTTTTTAAAATGAAAAAAAAAATAGAGGACTGTGCTCTGATGATCCAAGCATATGGTTAGCTTTGGCTTAAAGTTGCCTTTGATTAAATAATTTCGAAAGAGTTCAGACAAAAGTTTTATATTAGTGGTTAAACTCCATGAATGATATAATTCACACTTTATGCTTTACTTAGGCTCCTGCATCCTCTCATTATCATAGTTTTTTAATGATTCCTAATTTAAAAGTGCTCAGTTCTTTTGGTTTCCTTTGGATTATCCCAATCTAAGGCGTGGAAACTCAGAATTAATCCTGAGAATTATTCACCAAAGCATCAGGGACTTAAAAGGATACGTGGATCGTGGATATTTTTAAGGATTTTTGGGATTTTTTAGAATTAATCCTGAGTTTCCACGTCTGCCCCAATCTTTCATCTCTTATATTAAAAGATGCCTAGACGCTCAGGAGCTCCATAAGCTACTTAGTGCAGAACAGTGATGAAAGAATGTCAGCTTAATGTGCGGACAGAGAATATGTACAAACTAGGTGACAAAGCCAGCAAAAGAGTCAGATGAAAAACCTTTTGTTGTAACCTAAGCACCACATAGAAACATGGTTACAGTAAGTAATTATGTAAGTATTAAAAGAGTTTACAAAAAAACGCTTTAATTTGACTAGAAATTGTGCTCAACAGCTCATTACAGAAACATTTAGCTAAGATTGTTAATATCATCCTGTTCCCGAACAGTATCACATATAAGATTACTCATTTCTCTCAACAACTCAATATTTTTTTGAAAAAAATATTTTTTAATGTCTAGACACTTTTCAGACAACAGAAAATTTTTTTTTTATTTGAGATTTCTGTTATCTGTGAAATAATTCTCATATTTACTCCAAGCAGTGCATTTCTTTCATCTCTGCATGGGCACCTTATCTTTAAAAATCACAAATTTAACAGATAAGCAGAAGAATACGAATGATAGCTGAGCATACATGCTGTTACATGTTGGTATAGCTTTATAGATGAGGAATAATTTAGCAGAATTTTGTAGATAGTAAAGTATGTCAGAATATGCATGATATGATGTGAAATGAATTGAAATGCTCAAAAACTGCCTCAACAACTTTCAATCTTACAGACATTCGCAATCTTAAGACGCCATACCTGAAAATACAAACATACATAAATTATGACTCTCGTGACAAGTGTCAGTCATAAAAGTATTACGCAAGGTCTATACATAATTATTTTTTAAAAGACTTAACTTTTCAGTCTTAGCAACTCAACTATTGAATATTCATACTTTATAGCTTTCAATAAGATTCTTATTAGAATTGCAATTAGCAAAATTAAATCGTAAAATTATATTTTCAATAATTAATGCATTTCTGGATACGCCTAGATTTTTTTTTGATATTTTAGATTTTCAATTTAATGACCTGAAAATTTATGATTTGATCCCTTTTTCCTGATAACAAAAGGATGTCGATGTATGAATATTATGGCAACGTGATAGTTTTAAGCATAAATTAGATAAATTATTGAGTTATTTTAAGGACGAATCTTTAAGGAAGAACCATACAATACACTTCATTTTAAGGCATTAAATGAAAAAAGTTTGAGCAGAGCTCGAAGTCGATTCGAGATTTTTATCAATTTTGTATGGTGGAATCGACTCGGCTTTATACAAAATTTCATTGAGTTTGAGCATTGACTCAAATGACACAATAGACTATTAATCGATTAGAAATTCAGCACCAAGTTGTTGTGACTCTGGTATAGTGCTGGTTTTAAATCGAAGCCAGCACTATGGTTTTCTTTCAATCCCGGGATTGAAATGTATTTAATCTCGGGATCAAACAAGGGATTCAGTACATTTTCACCCCTGGATTGAAAACCCTAGCCAGCATCATGCCAGAGTCATGCAAGCTTGGCGCTAGATTTCTATTCGATTATCCGGTTTGAGCTATTCGGGTGAGATTTTAAATTCTAAAGAACGACCTTTAAAACTGGAAATCATCCTTGAATAGCCTTTTATAGTTTCCTTAATAGAAATCTGTTGAATTGATGAAATCTGATGACTTTATTTTCGGTACACACGTTGGAAATTTTTTCTCATGATTAATTAAATAATTTCTAAGTTAAAAAGAAGATTTATAAGTAAGTCGTCATTAAGATCCAAAGTGAAGCTATTCTCGCGTGTGCTACAATTAAACCTGTTCTTCTAACTCGCCGCGTTCACGATCTTTAAATTAAATTAAAACTTTACACTTTTGAGACATGGCAACAAAACAACAACAACAAAAAAATTCAGAAACTAAAGTACAAACAAGGGCTGGCAAAATCAACGCAAATTGTGAGGAACATCATCAAAATGAGAATAATTTTTCATCAAATGAGATATTAGAGCAGCTAGCAAGCATTAAAGAGTCCTTAAAAGCCATTAATTTAGTCCTTGAGTGCAACACCTCAGAAGCTAAAGTTACAAACCAATCCATCAAAAAACTACAGAATGATGTGACAAAAATTGATGCAAATCTGAGCGATATGCGAAGAGAAATTGATGAAAATAATGAAAAGTTAGAAGTTATGGGTAAGAACATGGATTGCACAGAAGAAAAAGTCGAGAATCAACAGAAAACGATCGAACAACAAGCCAAGTTAATAAAATGCCAACAATCAATAATTAATTCACTCCAGCAAAGAAATAAATCAACACAAATATCTATTCACAACATTCCAAGTCATCTAGATAAAGATCAAGTCAATAAATCAATAAGCAACTGGTCCAAACTTGACTTTTCACACGAAACAATCAAAAGTGCATCATTAGTCAAACAGAAGATGAAACATACTGCAAACTATTACATTAATTTTTACTCAGACAACATCAAAGATCGCTTCATGGGATTTATTAAATCAAAACAAAGAGATACAAGCAAAAAGTATGTGCCGATTCTATGTGAGCATATTTTTGATATTCCAGAAGATGACCCATGTAGAGGAATCGAAATCAATGTAAGAATAGTGATGTCTGATATGAACAAGAAAATATTCAATCGTGCTAGAGAAGTTAAATCTTTATTCGAGTTTGTATGGCTTGATTTAGACGGCTACATCAATGTTAAGGAGAAAAAAGACAGTAAAGCCATTAGAGTCACATCAATTGAGCAACTGGAAGAGGAAATCACCAATAAGCAGCAACAAAACGATGAGTCACTGAATTAAGTTTGTTTAACTTTTACTTTAAATGATTTTCTAATGACTTCTTTCAGCCACAGCAAATACAAGCATTACTCTCATTAATCACACAATAAAAACTTTCTTTCTCTTTCAAATTCAACATGCATACAAAGGTTTATCAGCGAAAGCTGTCTTGCGAGTGCATCTCTTATTTTTTAAGCAGCACTCATTTCTACCTTTAGTTTTTTTTCTTCTCAATTCAGGGGAGGGGGTATTTATTGATATTATAAAGCTTCATCAGATCTTATGATGTACCCCATGATGTTTTATAATATCTACTGTAAGGTCTCATTAGATCTAAAGATGTAATCCATGATGCTTTACAGATATCATATTTAAAAATATTCAAAAATATCAAAAAGAATCTATCTTATATGCTTCAATTTGCTGTCTGACTGAATTCATACACTCTTTTGAATTGTTTTAAAGCTCGAATTTCCAAAATTTAAACTGCGGCTGCTCACGTTATAATTCTTGAAATAATTAACCGAATTTATTAATAATGACTGATGATTATGAGATAAATGTTAATGTCACTAACTTTAATGGTTTTCCCAAGTATGTTTCGAAAAAATCATATGGAAATTTCTTATATTTAAATGCAAGATCCCTCAGAAATTCGTTGCAGGATCTACAGGACTTTGTTAATACTCAAAATTTTCTTGTTCATGTTATAATTGTTACCGAGACCTGGTTAAAAGAATCCGATGTCGTCTACTTTAATTTAATTGGATATACGTCTTTTCATTCTATAAGAAAATGCAAAACAGGTGGTGGTGTTGCCA